CCAGCATTTGGTCCTGTTAAAGAAGGAGATATTGTAGTTTGTGGATAATGCAGGTATTAATGATTTAATATTAAGACCATTGTCAAAGACTGTCAGATTCAATGTTTTGAAAGTAATTCCAAATGAAATCATTGGTAATGTTAGAAAGCAATTTGTTTTGTTCTGATTTGCATGGATATCTATATAGTACAATATCAAAATAATTTATGCATTTAATTTAATATTATATATTAATTATGGACGACATGAATAATTACGATGAGTTTGGAAATTACATAGGACCAGAAATAGATTCAGATGAAGAAGATAATGTGTAGATTGAAGAAGAATAGATAGCTGAAAATGACCAAGAACATGTAATAGCAAATGTAATAAAATGCTTCTATCTTTGAAGAGAGTGTATATACCTAATCAATAAGTTGCAGTAATTCTTAATGAAGACAAACAATACTATCCTGATGCATAACAAGTATATGGTCGAGATGTTGAAATCAATGTTTAAGAAGAGGATGCTTAACCAATAACTTAGCCAATGATTGCTCCACTAAAATCAAAGGAATTTGATATCTAAGAGACATAGATACCTCAAACTACTTTCGACTATGAGTTTCTATGTCGTATTTCTAAGAATCCTGCGTTGGTAAGAAATGTTGCAATTGTAGGCGGTCTGCATCATGGTAAGACATCAATGATGGACGTCTTTGTTAAACAAACTCATCTTAAGCAATTTAGTTTGTAGAAAGATATCCGTTATACTGATACTCGTCAAGATGAATAATAGAGATTGATCTCTATCAAAGCAATCCCTATGAGTTTATTATTGCCCAATAGCAAAGATAAGTCATATTTAGTAAATCTATATGATACTCCTGGACATGTAAATTTTATGGATGAAGTGTGTTGTGCTTTAAGAGCTAGTGATGCCATGTTGCTTACTATTGATGTAGTTGAAGGAGTAATGATGACTACTGAAATGCTTATAAAGGCAGCTGTCAAAGAGAAGATGCCTATAGTAGTTTTGATTAACAAAATAGATAGACTTATTATTGAGTTAAAGTTGCCACCTTCAGATGCATATTTGAAGATCAAAAATATACTTGATGAAGTCAACATTATTATATCCGATAATGGAGGTAATTAAATCATTTCACCTCTTAATCATAATGTGATATTTGGTTCAGGTTTATTTTAATTTGTTTTTACTATTTAGAGTTTTGCAAGGAGATACAATAATTTTTTAAATCCTGAACAATTCACTCGTCTTCTATGGGGAGATATCTATTATGATAATAAAGAGAAGAAATTTGTTCGTAAAATGTCCCCATATGCTACTTAAAGGACATTTGTCGAGTTTATTTTAGAACCCATTTATAAATTATTTGGGTAAGTGGTCTCTAAAGATAAGGAACAATTAGAACCCTTTTTATTGAGTCAAGGTATATCTCTAAAAAAAAGTGAATTCAAAATGGATACTAGACCATTATTGAAATTAGTTTGTTCTATATATTTTGGTAATACATCTTCTTTAGTTGATGTACTAGTTGAATAAGTACCTAATTCATAGGAAGGTAGTAAAAAGAAAATGGAATTATATTATTAAGGTGATAAATCAAAATAATCATTTATTTAAGCTTCTCAAGGTTCACATAAAGGACCATTATGTATAAATGTTGTAAAATTGTACAGTAGACCAGATTGTATGAGTTTTGATGCTCTAGGAAGAGTTATAAGTGGAACTATTAAAAAAGGATAGAATGTTAAATTATTAGGTGAAAAATATAATATAGATGATGAAGAGGATATGGCAATAAGGAATATTAAAAATATCTGGATATATTAAGGTAGATATAGAGTAGAAGTGAATAAAGTACCAGCAGGAAATTGGGTTTTGATTGAGGGAATTGATTAATTTATAAGCAAGAGTGCTACAATTATTGAAGATTCTTAATAAATGGACATTTTAAGACCTATTTAACATAATATTTTAGCAACTATGAAAATTGCAATTGAACCATTAGTTCCAAGTGAATTACCTAAAATGTTGGAAGGTTTACGTAAAGTCACAAAGAGTTATCCTATTTTGACAACTAAAGTTGAAGAATCAGGAGAACATATTTTATTAGGAACAGGAGAATTATATTTAGATTGTGTTATGCATGATTTAAGAAAGATGTATTCAGAAATAGAAATAAAAGTATCTGATCCATCTGTTCGTTTTTGTGAAACTGTTATTGAAACATCATCAAAAACATGTTATGCAGATACTCCTAATAAAAAGAATAGAGTATTTATTTAATTATAATATTAATTAGATTAAAGCATTAGCAACTCCATTAGATAAAGGTTTGACTCCATAAGATAAGGGATTGGCTGAGAGAATTGAAAATGAAGAAATAGATTTATCATGGCCAAAAAATAAATTAAGTGAATACTTTAAATCCAATTTTAATTGGGATATTATATAGAGTAGATCTGTATGGGCATTTGGTCCTGAAAAAACAGGGCCTAATGTATTTCTAGATGATACTTTACCATCAGAAACAAATAAATAATTATTAAATGAAGTCAAAGATTATATGATTTAAGGTTTTTAATGGGCAACTAGAGAAGGTCCTTTGTGTGATGAACCTATTAGAAATGTTAAATTCAAGATTATTGAAGCAAATATTGCAAATGTAATAATTATATTTTAAATATATAGGAACCTATATATAGAGGAGGTGGATAAATAATTCCTACAACAAGAAGAGTTTGTTATTCATCATTCCTTATGGCAACTCCAAAAATCATGGAACCTATGTTATTAACTGAAATAATGTGTTTCCAAGATTGTATTCCTGCCATCCATAATGTTCTTTTGAGAAGAAGAGGACATATCTTATCAGAATAAGCAAAACCAGGTACACCCTTTTCAGTTGTGAGAGCTCACATTCCAACAATTGATCATTTTGGATTCGAAACTGATCTCAGAGTACATACATCAGGATAAGCCTTTTGTTTAAGTGTTTTTGATCATTGGTCATTATTACCAGGAGATCCTTTAGATAAAACCATAGTCCTTAAACCTTTAGAACCAGCACCTTCAAATCATTTGGCAAGAGAATTCATGATTAAAACTCGTAGAAGAAAGGGTTTGAATGAAGATGTGTCTATCTTGAAATTCTTTGATGATCAATTCTTGATTGATTCACTTAAACAAGACAAAGACTATTAATAGTATATTTGATGAGTAATTATTTACATTCCAATAAGATAATCAATCATTATTTTAAAATCTCATAATTTCTTTTCATTTTTGCATAATAAAAGTATTCTATTTACTTTTTTTATGTATAACAATATAATGATAATGTCTTAATTCCATTAAGATTCATTATTATAAGTAATTAACTTAGTAGTTAATTTTAATAAAATTAAAAAAAATGATGATAATTAATATGATATTCATATATATATATATATATATATATAATTACATTTTTAATACTTCATTATTCTAATTATGGCTTGTACACTTATCTTGTATTAATATTAATTCTATGTTCAGATAAGTAATTAAAAACATGAAAATCAGTATTTAAATTACCATCAAGCTATTATTATTGGAATGGATTTCTAATAAGATAAGGTGATAGATAATACTATTTAGGATGAAATGAATTTGCAAGTATTCTAGGTACTCCATGATAACATCTTCTAGCATGACCACTCATAACTAATAAATCTCCAGAATCAAGCTTAAGAGCAATTGGTTTTTCATCTTTTGTTGGTCCTCCTATTACAAAAACACTTGATAATCCAAAACTAAATGAGTAGATAGGAGAAACTTAATCTAATTCAGCATCATCTAAATGTCCTGTCATATAATCATGAGTTTAATAAAAGTTTATTATAACTGATTCACTTTAATAGTGATTTTACAATTTTAAGAAATTATTAGCTCTTTGAGAGATTTCTTAAATTGGATCAGGTACTTGTGTTTTTTCTTGAGGATAATGTCTATATATATATTAATAAATTATTAATATAATACCTATTGTTCCAATCATATTGATAACCAACATTAGCCCATCTTATTTTATTATTAAAATGATATCTTTTATTATCATGGACTATGAATTTATCAAAGTTCTCATCTTCTTTATAGATGAAGAGATTAGTTCTGTATGGTTGATTGATATATTCATTCATACACAATTTAGAAATGCGAATTTAATCATCAAGGTTGAGAAAATTCTTGACTTAGATGACTCCTTAAGGATAATCAAAATGATAAATTGATCCATTTTTATGAATTCCTTATTATTCCATTTATTATTCATTTAGATTATTAACATCAATAAGTTCACTAAAATCAGTTTGGATATCAGCATAGAATTTATATTTCTTTTCTGTTTCTTTGAAAGGATTTAAATTTTAGTATTGGATTGGTTTTTATTTATTTTTTTTAATCTTCTAATACATAAATTTATTTAATGAAAGAATTCGCATAAAATTAAATATAATTTGAGTATAATATTAAATATAAATAAATAAAAGATTATAAAAATTATTATCAAATATAAAATTATACAATATCAAAAAATGTAATAAATTACATCATCAAATATAATTTAAAAAAAGAAGGACATACTTTTAACATATTTTATTTTAAGATGATAAATCTTTTCATTCTAAGTCTTATTAATGTGATTAACTGTTAGAATAGATTTTATTATCATGATCCAAGTAATGATATTACAAAGCCGAGAACTCATGCAAAGATATCTGATAGTGGTAATTGAATTAATAATCAATTCTAGATACTCATTTTGATTTTTACTTTGAGTTTACATAAGATAAAAAGGAAGTCATAATGTTTATAGAAATTGATAAAATTAGCTATTTTTCTTTAGGACTTGGAAAATCTATGTCAGATGCAGATTTGTGGGTATTTGAAATTTACGATAATGTAATTACTGTTAATGATTCTTATTGTGTAAAACATGGAAAACCTCCTACAGATATTTCATCAGGTGGAACTGATGATTTATAACTTATTGGTTATTATTACAATTAGAATGGTAAAACAGGTGTGAAATTTAAGAGATTAGTATCAACAGGTATTAATATATATCTTACTTTAATAGGTGATAAATATGATAAGGATTTAGTGGAAGGAGAAGCAGTGGAATTTATATGGGCTCATGGTAAAACAGAGGCTAATATTACAGTATCAAATCATGGGAATGTAAATAGAGGATCAGTATTATTAAATTTTACTGATAATGGAGGAAGTAATGATGTCATTATAGTCGATGAAGACAATACATATTATATACATAAATGGACAAATTTTGTTTGTTGGGGTATAGCAAGTGATTTTGCTATAATAATTGGAAGATATTACAAGACTTGGGGATATAGAACATATCTACATGGATTCTTGTTTATATTAATAGTAACAAGTTCAATCACAACAGCTATGATGATGTTAAGTACAGATTGGAGTGTTTTAGAATGGAGTAATTTTAAAGAACAATCAATTAAAAATTTATTCCATATAATCATTTTTATGATAGTAACCATCTTTATGATTGCATAAAGTATAGGTGGAATTCTCTATAATTATATGTTAACTACATTAAAGATTAATCAAAAGGTATCATTAAAACCTTCAATTCATGCTATTCTAGGCAGTGTTGTATATACATTAGGCAAATTATAAATCATAGCAGGACTCTTTATGGATAATGATATTAGACTAATGTTAATCTTAGGTGCTGTATTCACTACTCGTCTTATATTAGAAATTCTATATCGTAAAGGTAGTTTAGTTAATTTAGTTATGACTGGAAGAAGAGAGTAACATTTTAACAAAGTATATGAAGATGGTTAAAATCCTTTATTGGATATTAATAATAGTGAAAAAGATGATAGTTTTGTAAAGAAATCATCAAAATTATGGTGTATATATAAAAATTAAGTTGTTGATTTATCATAAATGATTCATCCAGGTGGTAATTACATTTGGAAACTCATTTAAGGTCAAGATGTTACTCGATATATTTTAGGAGCTTACACTCTAGATTCACTCAATATTTAACCTTATAAACATAGTATATATACACTTAAAATATTGGAATAATATATTACTGGAATATAAATTAATTAAAATTTAGAATTCTTTATTAATAAAGATAATCGTAGAGTAATTAAATAATTAAATGAAACATGGAAATTAAATACAATTAGTCCATATACTGATTAAATTGCTTACTTTGGATTTGTAAATGAAAAATATCAATTCAAAAATACTCTTTCTGGTCTATAAACATTTGGATTATACTTTCTTATAAAATCTATTGAAAATACTTCTATTTCTACTAGATAATATACTATGGTTTTAAGTATGACTTAACAAAGGATTAAATATAGAAAAGATTTATCTGAAATCTTTAAAAAAATACTCTCTTTGTAAACATTACAAAAGGAAATTCCAAAAGAAGAAGAATACTTATTTGAATTACCTTTAATAATTAAGAGATATCAATCTAAAAATGGATTCTCATCTTTTATTCATAATGACAATCGTAATGGATCATATTCAATTGAAGGTCCTTATGGTAATAATATTTTTATTGAAAATGGAAATCATATAGTGTGTATTGCAGGTGGTACTGGATTATTCCCTTTCTTAGATATTCTTGAATATCAACTCAAATTGACCTATCATAATATATTAATAAAATAATTTGGTTAAGATGCTGTCTAAATAATAAATCCAAGATTAATTAAGAATTTCAAGATTACTTTATTTTTAGCTATTAATTCAGCAGATGATTTGGTATTTATTATATATATTATTATTAGATTGGTAAAGATATATATTTTACATTATTATCATTATAATCTTAATTGGATACACCAAATTTCAAAATGATTGTGAAAGGAAATTTTAAATTAAAAGAATGTGAAATTATCACTTAAAGATTCAATACGTAAGTTTTTAAAACATTCATTAATGATTTGAATGCTGTTTCCAATTTCTTTATTTGTGGACCACCTATTATGAATTTCACAACAGAAAAAATATTAAGAGATGAAGGAATTAATAATATAATTGTTCTTTGATTATTATAAATTTAGATATATATTTACAACTTTCATTATTTTATGTACAATTTTTAATAACAAGAAATACTAAATTTACTAGCACATACACAAATTAATAAGAAGAATATCGACCATTCAATAGGTTATTCTATTTATATATATTAAAATATATTTACATGATAATATTATTGATATAATTGTAGATATCATCCCTCCACAACATTATAAAAAATTAAAGAGTCCAAAATATTAGATTTAATCATTCCAATCCTATGCAATTATAGCCAATAATGTAGATGTAGTTCCACAATCAACCAATCCCCAAAGAATAGCAATTAAAAAACATATACCATATTTCTATTCATAAGTATTAATTATAGCCAATAATAATGCTATGGATATTAAATGAAATTGTAATAATTAACTTGTATATTTGGGTGTATAAGTATTAAATACACCTATAAATATCTATATATAATATTAATATATTACTCCTCCTAAGACTTCACAACATCCTAAAACTGTCATAACTAATAAAGTATATTTAGTAATCTCTTCATCACTAAGTAATTATGTATCAATAGAATTTTCTATGATATAATGCATAACATTCCATTGAAAACTCAAAAGACAACCAGTAATCATCATCGGAAAGATAAAGCATTTGACTCTAAATTCTTTCATTGTTAAAATGACAGAAATTGGATTTAATTTATTCATTTCCTCATTGTTAGAGACTTCTTTGTCATCTTCTTAAAGTTAAATAATGCTTTAAGTATGTTATTTTGGTTATGAAACAAAAAGAAAAGATAAAGAACCAAAAGTTGCTACAGCCACCATCAAACAATAAAAATAGAATTGCTTTATTTGAACAATAATAAATGCTGAATATAAGCTCCCTATAACTTATGATATTTATAAAACTGCCCATGCAATTCCATAATATAATCCAGCCTTTTTTGATTATTTACTCAATTATGCTACATAGTCATTTTATGTAATAAACAAACCAGATGATGTAAATCCACTTATGGCAGATGAAATAATTGTTATTAAATAGATCCAGAAACTATTACACATTCCACCTTCTTTATCTGCACAATTACAAACTAATAAACCAGATATCAAAAATAGTAAATATCCTAGAGAATGAATAAAAAAACTATGTCTATATTGCAATTTTCTAATGTATAAAATACCTAGAATATTAATATTTGTATTTACATACAAAATTTCCAATCATTCCAAATAAGAAGATAGTGAAAATAGAAATATTACCCAAATAATCATAGCCTTTTTACTCAAAGATCTAAGTCATTACATTCAGACCAGTAGATGTTGCTGATAAATATATAGCAAACACTAAGCTCATATAAATTAAACTACAGAGCATGTCAAATTTAATAATAATCACATTTATTTATATTTATTTTATCATAACATCATAATCACATTCTTTGTTCATATTAAATCATCAATAGTTTAGCATGCATCATCATTTCCTTATATTAAATACATCAACTCCCTCTCTTTTGATTTAAATAGATAATCTAAACGACTTCTATTTTCTTATTGTTGATTCTTCTTCAATACTTTTATCGCTTAACTTAATGATATTTATTTAGACCTTTTTAGATTTTACTTCATCTTAAAACTATATTATTACATTTCTCATAAGCATTTTAGCATTTGGACATTCAAGACTCAATTAATCAATCAATTACTTTTAATTGTCTGATTCTCTTTATTTACAATACATTTTAGATAATCTACCTAAATATATTTTTCCTTATATTCTTTATTTCTTCTCTTTTTTCATTTGAATTGTATCAAATGGTGGAGGAGATAAATTTAAATTAGCTAAAATAGGAGGTAATTCTTTCCTTTATCTACTATGATGACTCTACAAAATCTTTTGAGGTGATTTAATTTATTCTTTCTTATCTTCAGGTACATAAGTTGGATTTGACAAAACTAGTTGTTCTTAATAACTTTTATTCAAAACCAATTTAGAGAGAGTCTTATTGTACTTTTTACATTCAATAGATTAGGATTTATGCACTAACGACTTTGATGTTTCACTTTATGGTAACTCAATTTATGGTTTATCTTTCTTGAATTTAGGAAGTCTGGAACTTACTTATCTTAATCCAAACACTGAAATAGTAGTGGCATCAAATACTTTCCAATTTCTTTGGATTTTAAATAAACAGATATCCTAATTTAATTTTAGTGTCAGTTCTCGCTGAGATGAATTCTGCTGGTTCCAAAATACTCTCCTGTGAAATCATTCTCCTTGTTGTTTAAGATTCCATTTCAATTAAACTAAAAATTAAAATTAAAAATCTAATATTGTAAATATAATATAAAAAGTAATATGAATCATATAAAGAGTTTAATAGAAAAATCTAAAGTAATCATATTAAAACAATAAACACTCATAGATTAATATTATTGAAATGAAAGCAAATGATAAATTAACTTAACTTAAATAAAATTAATTAAAAACTAAAATAAAGAACTTAATAAAAATATTGATTAAAATGATTATGAAATAATATTATATTTTCCTCATTATATTTCAATCTAGATCAATAAAACAAGTGGAATTAAAAGAAAATTATTATGAAATATATGAAAAATGAACTAGATTTTGATAAAATATTACTATAATCTTCAAATTATTGATCAAAGGCAAAATGTAGAATTGTATTTAACTTTAATAATAATAATTTATATACATCTTTAATATACTAAAATACACTTACAAAGTATTCAAAAATCTATTTAATTTATAAGTATAAATTCCAGAAGAAAGAGAAACGCCATAAAATAACGAACTCCTAAAATTTATTAGAATTTATTAACTAAAAATATATATTTATAAAAATATATATATAATTATGTTATCTATAACGTCATGAGGAAGTCTTGTCACACTTTAAACAATATAATCTTTATATTTCAACTATCGAGAAAAAGATCTATCAATAGTTATCTCTTCAATATGAAGACGCAATTTATATGAAATATAAATTTGGCCATAATTAAATCCTCCTTAATTAAATTCATTAATTCCTATTGAATTTTCAATGTTCATGTTGCTATTATTATATATTTAATTCCAACATTTGATAAGTTTAAATTCCAAAATAATTGATGATTCTAAATTTAGATCCTTCATTATAATTCAGTTTGCTTGCTTATGTAGAACAAATGTAGAGAAGTTATTACAAACATCATGTGAATCCAAATTTAGAGTTTCGAGAAATTAATCTAATAAGTAAGATTTTGACTTAATATTAAAATGGGTAATATAATTCTCACATTTAAGAAACCATGAATATATAGACATAATAATTTCTTAAGAAATATTTACTAATAAAAGATTTAATATTGTCATTTTTTTTCAAACCTTAGATATTTATCCATTTTCTACTATTTACAGGAATGAGGTTAAAATTTTGGTATAGGAGTTCCTTTGTTTTTTAATATCCCCTTCTTGAATAAGGATTTTGCACTCACATTTGGACTTTCATCTGTCGCTTTAGGGATAATTATTATTTTGTTTCCAAATTATAGTAAATCTCTCATGATTTGAATTCCCTCTTCCTCATTTCTTGGTTTAATCATTATCACTTAGATATTAGAGATTTAGACACCATCCTATGGAGATTCTTTGTTCAATTTTAATTGCTGACTATTAGCTTAGATAGTTGAGTTTATGCTTTGAATTCCAGTTTCTATGGTGACTAATGACAATTATTAAGCTTCCTCGAATTCAGTATCTTTCTATGACTTACATATGTTACCCATGAATTATTAAATTTAATCTTTTTCTTTTATTTACACAACCTATTAAACCAAATAAATTTTAAGATCACAGTTTTTAAATTATTCAATTCAAATCAACTTTCAAAATAATCTATTTTTAGATTGTTATTATAGAGATGAAAACAATAACTCAATTATTTGAGAATACTGGATTCACAATATCACAATGATTTTTAAAAGTGAAAAATTTAATTAAAGGGGGGTTATTCTAAAATAGACAGAAATTTTATTACTGTTAAATTTTTAATTGTCTCACTCCTTCTAGATATGAAGCACTTAATATTTAAATAAATTTTATTTATTGTTAAGCCCCGATTCAAATTAAAGGAAGTCTAAGATATACTCAAAATTTCATTGAAATACTAAACAAATATTTGATTTTCTCAATTCAATCAAAATAATAAATGATTCTATATCCTATTAAGCAAAACAAATTACATATGATAATCAGTATGCAAAATCAACAAAAATATATTGCTAATTAAATTTTGAGAAAAAGAAAAGTAATAAATTTAAGAAGGATAACAATTAAAAATTATGAATCAATTTTCATAAAAAAACTTAGAGAGAAGAGAGAGTTCTGCTGAAATTGATGGACAAGTAAACTTAGTTTATGAGGCTTAAGTAGAAGATGTAATCGAAAAGTCATAATAACCATAGCTTAAATATATGATGTAATCCTTTTTATTTTATTCAAGGAGCTCAAGCTCATCAAATGATAAGAATGAACCTATGCAAAATTCTTCTTTAAAGGAATTTCATTTGAATTCGATTGAGTTAAAAGTAAACAACTAATTTTAGAATGACATGCAAATTTAAAGTTATAAACATACAAACGATAGTGTTTAAGATTTTAATTAAAATGAACAAAATAAACCTATGAGAACTAGAAGAAAACTAAATGCTAATAAATCAATAATAGATTTTCAGTCTGAGAATAATTCATCTTCTTAAAATTAAAGTATTGTTGTTTGTAAATGTACAAAATCAAATTGTTTAAAATTATATTGCAAATGTTTTCATTAAAATCAAAAATGTAATGATCTTTGCAATTGTATAGAATGTAAAAATAAGGAAGAAGATTTTAGGATTCGATTTAATGCTTTAGAGAAAGTCAAATAAAAATTACATAAATAGAATAATGATGATGATTTATTTGATATATCAAAGATTTGGGGATGTAAATGTCAAAAATCTTAATGTTTAAAGAATTATTGTGAATGTTTTTTTAGAAATTAGAAATGTTCTTCAAGTTGCAGATGTAAAAATTGTGGAAATAAAAAAAAATTCCCATTCTAACAATAAAAGAAATAAAAGAAATAGAAGATCTAAACTTAGGTTTGAATATATAAGAGAATGTAACAGTAAACAACTTTGATATTAGAATTTCTTATTAAATAAATAAATAACTATTATTAAATTTCATATCCATAAGAAATGATATACAAGAATTATTTATTTTTTGTTATAGATAATTTAAAGCTGTTAAATAATAATTTAAATAATAATATGAAACCTTATCAGACTCCAAATTCTGGTCATTCTCGTTAAGGAAGTTTAAGAGTGTAAAGACAACCATTAGCTGTAATAAACAATTGTCCTGAATTTTCATAATGTGCAAATTACTTGCAATAGAAAGTTTAAGGATTAGAGTAGAGAGTTAAGAATCTTAATAGTTAACATGCAGATAGAACAGAAAATAGATCTACTACTGCATAAAAAAATGAAACATCTCTATCACCATTTGTTAGATAATAAAAACCATGCAGTTCAAATTAGAAAGTGGATTCTTAGAGTTATTATGAAACTATCATTAACAAAAGATTAGAAAACATTAGTAAAATAGATTAATCTCCTGTACATATCAAAACTGATAATACAGTACTTTAATAAGATAAATATTCAATACATAGTTAATTTTCTAATTTAGGTCCATCATCTGGTAAATTGCATTCTAACAGTATTATAAGAATTTAATAATTGACTAAGAAATTAAGAAAGTTTAAAATGATCAAAGATTAAAATTAAGATGAATGTGCTCCATCTTTGGCTAAAATTAAATGTTTTTGTTAAGAATACTATAATGATTGTTTTGATTTCTATAGATGCACAGATTTGATTGCTTTAAAATATTTTATCTATTTGCTTGTTTAAGAAATTAATACTCTATATAGTTAGGATGCTTTTAAGATGGCAGATAATTCAATGTAATATTAATAATAGATTGAAATTCTCAAAGAATAATTAGACAACTAAAAGAGTGATTAAGTAAGTTTCTAAAATTAATTGAAATTATAAAAAATGGTTGTAGATACATAAAAATTAATATAAGATATTATTAATGTTTTATAAACTAAACATAATTAAAGTACATTAATCAATTAAGTTGAAGTATTGAATAATTAAATGAAAAATATCAAAGAAAATATGTCTACAAATTAAATTTAACATCAAAATGCTACTTCATTTGGATAATAATTAGCAAAATGTGGAATTGATATTAATTATCAATAGAGAGTAACTAATGATACATCAGTTGTAAATTAATCTAATTTTAAAACTTAAACAGTAGATGAAAGAAATTAAACCTAATTCAGTTCAAAATCAAAGTCTCCTTATAGTAGAAATCAAAAAAAGATTAATTTTGATATAGAATAATAATGTGATGTGAATAAAAAGTTATTTGATGAATAAGTGATAACAAATAGATAATTGATGGAAAAACTATTCAAATTATAAACTGAAAAGTAATAGAATGATTAGATATTGAAGTAAGTGTAAGAAGAATTAAAATAAAGAAATTAAATTATTATAGATTTAGAAAATAATATAGAGAAAGAGAATTCATTACTTAATTAAATGAATTAAAATCTATAGGAAACTATTTAATAAAATAAAGAATTATAAAAAGAAAATAATAATTACAAAGAAAGCATTGATCAATATATGTAGATAGAATAAAAGTATTATGATTTATTACAACAAAACAATAAGTAATTCTAATAATTGAATTAAGTATTAAAAGAACATGGATGTCTATAGAAAGTTTAATAATAAATAGAAGTATTATTATTAATTTATTATAGGCTGAATGCAAAGGATATTAATAACAAATTTTAAAATTATAAGAAAAATGTTAAGCTTAATATGCTCAATTGTAAGATCAAAGTGATGCCAAGTATCTATAATAGTAAATTAATGAATTATTATTATAATAATAAGAACAAAGCAAAATAATAGTAATCAATTTTTATATAAAATAGACTTTGATTACTGATGAAGCCTTGTATCTAGGACAGATGACTCTTTATGCTTGTGATATATTATCTAGATAATCAACAGATGGTATTCCAACCACTCTTGTTATGTTGCAAAAAGACTTAAATGGAAAGAGAAGTACAATTTAATAGAAAATGAATATTCTGTAATAATTTGGAAACAATATGAAAAATCAACATTTGATTGCTCATAGTAATTCTAGTTAATTTAATGATAATGTGGATTTACTGGAAAATCTACATAGTGAAACTTCATCGATTAGATAGAAGAATGTAAGTTCTTATGAGGAGACTGCAAGTACAATACATAATAATAATATTTAATCAAATGATTTAATGGTGATGTTATTAGTTTAATGCAACACTTTAGAGAAAATGATGGAACTTTGATTTTTTTCTTGATAATTCAATTTTTATTATTATTTTATCATGTTAACATTTTTATGGATTTTAATTGTGCAATTAGTAAATGCTTAGAATTGTGAATGTAATTAACAATATACAGATTTGTGTTTGATAAATAAAAATTGCTCATTGGTTATATCTCATTTGAATAACACATCAAATTAGATAGATGTACTTTAAATAGAGAATTGCAATGTGACGATATGTCTAGAAAAATTAGTGAATAAAGCAATATTGTAATTCAATTAATTAACAATTATCAATGCAAATATCATATAAAATGAGACTTGTTATTTCTTATTATCTCAATAAGTAATCTTATAGGGAAATTATACAACTATTTAATCTTCAAATATTTTATTTTATGGAAATGTAGAACTTTAATTCATTATGACTTATAATATGACTATAAACAATACAAACATGTTGTCAAATACTATAAGTATTTGTACAGATTACTTATAGATTAATTATTCAACTCTTAGAGCTTCAATGTAAAATAGATCATAATGTTCATGCTTAAATTATCAAAATTGTTCAAATTAGGTCTATATAAAAAGTATTTATAGTTTTGTAGGTTATATTACTCAAAATTATATTAATTTATCTACTACATATATTGAAGATTAATGGTTATAACAGTTTCAATGTAATTTTTTCAATCCTTAAAATCTCACATATTTTACTTTATTAGTCTCAGTCAAAAATCAATTTAATTTGTCATAACATTCAAAAATGAAAGGTTTTTATATTGGAGTGTATTCATATAGTTTAGAAATTGATTAAACTAGTTTAATTTCATCTGATGGAATGGGATATAGTACAAATGAAGGATTTGGTTGTGGATACACAGATAAAATAATAGGATTAAGATAACAATGTGGAGGTACTGGTGGAAGTCATGGAGGAATGGGAGGATTCTCAATAAGTCCAAAGCCAAATTATAATTAATTGTGTTTACAATTATAGAGTAAGTAAATTTATGATTATTCTTTCAATCCTGTATTACCAGGTAGTGGTGGAGGTGGTGTTACATATGTAGATTAAATTTAAAGAATTGAAATTTAAGGGTAGGGAGGAGGAGTTATACATTTGGAAGTATTAAATTTATAAAATGATGGGATAATAAGTTCAAATGGAACATCTTATATTGAGGAACCATATTTTGGGAGTGGTAGTGGAGGATCAATATAGATAAGAATAATTTATTTCAGTGGATAAGGATTAGTAACTGCTAATGGTGGTGGTTCTTAATCTGTTGATGATTTTGATACATACTAATTTGCTAGATAAAAGTTTTATTAGACATATCAAGTATATGGTGGTTTTGGAGGAGGTGGAAGAATTAGATTGTTCTTTTTCAATATCACAGAAATGATTAATAGCACATATTATTAAATTTGTAACAATACAATACAAACTAATCCTGGTGGTTTGTCAATACAATAAAAAAGTATCCTTAATATGTCAAATCAAAGTTTAATTAAATTTTAAGGATCCATCATTCCTACAGGATGTCCTTAAGGTTCATAAGGTAACTTTTGTTAGCAATGTGGGAATGGTTTCTATAAAATGCTTTTTGGACAAGCACCTTGTTAACCATGTTTTAATACTATAAATTAAAATACAAGTTATTATTCTTAAGGTGAAAAAAATACACCTTTTTGTTAAGTTGAATGTTATGATGGTAAATAACCAAAAGATTATTAATGTTTAATTGGATTGGCAGAGTTCTCATAAACATTAGGTGGATAGAATGTTATTTTTGCTCTATTTATTATTATCATGTTATTATTGATTAATATTGGTATTGTTTGGGTGAGTAGAGATAAGAATAAGAAGAAATCAAGATAATTTTATGGTTCTTATGATGATTCAAGTCTTTAGTAAATGTCTAATTCTTTATCTGAATTAAATAACAAAACATATTTAATTAGTCAGGATCTTCATTTTCATGTAAGAAGAATATATCTTGCTGGATGTAATACTTATTAAAATCCATGGTAGATTTATTAAGAAACTTTAGTAGATGGTGATCTTAATCAAGGAGACAATAAGAGATTATAAATATTATTTGAAACATTCAATTAAAAAGCATTATTTACTATATTTGAGAAATATATATTGAAATTTTTCAAATTTTATTATTATCCTCTTTATGTTTGGATTCTTTAATTGATTTAAGCAAATAAATTTAATAATCTATCAAAATTATTTGTTTAATAGGAATATCTTTATAATGAATTAGATCCTGATAGAGATAAAATAAAACTTAAATTTTCATGTTCTAAAGATAAAACTTTAGCATTTATTGATAGACTTAATTTAGCTTTGAAAATAGTTGAATAGAGTAATACTTTAGAATTACCAATCTATTTAGTTTTAAGTGGTTATGGCACTTTCTCTTATCCATATTAAATCAATATTCATGATGCTCTCATCAAAAGATTATGGTAGTAATTTAGTTTTAATACTAATGAAGAAAGTGTCAATCTCTTTGAAAAATTTGTTACTGAATTTAACTATTATGCAGTAAAGATAGATTTTAGATAATCTTAATCTTCATTTACTAAAAGATTTCTTGATCTATTAAATTACACAAATTAATATAATTATGAAATCTTTCGATTGCATCATGCTATATAAGCTGATATTTGTATTCATATAATAGCAATTTAGCCATCTGCATAAAGTTAAGTATATTAACTTGGAAATGCAAATTAAAGAGAATTAGAATTTCTTTCAAAATAAATACATATTATGAAGAATTTACCAGAAGAATTCACTATAAAATTATCTATAATATTCAATAATTATAATAAAGACAGAATTGTTAATTTAGAGTCATTTAATAATTTAGCCTATAATATTAATGAATAATTATAAATAATTATTAATAAGGATAAAGATGACTTAAGAAATTAAATTTAATTGGAAAAGAAAAAGATGCAATCAAAAATAAATTGTTTTAAAATAGATGGAATGAAATAATATAAACTTAAAGGAATATAAGTAATTAAACGATTCTTTACATGGCTATTTAGTTAAATAACTCGATATCGAGATAGTAGAGTTAATTAATAATTCCTTATTGCTGGAATATGTATAGTACTTGCAATATAATGGGTATTATATTTTATTTTATTAGAAAGTGTTTTGTAATTGCCTATCCTGTTTTATTATTTATACTATTAGATATAGATAAGGATTAAATATTTTTAGCTGAATTAATTACTTAAATTTTAATATTTCCTTTAGCATAAATGATAAGTTTAGTTATTCTATCTGCTTGGGTATTATTATATAAATATATTAGCTTTTAAAATCAAGAAGAAATTATGGTAAAATGTATCTTTTATTTAATTTATGTGGTTTGGCTAGTTCATTGATTGAATTTATTTTTGGATGTTATGATCTATTCAATTTCAAATCTAGTGCTGAATTTAATTTATTTAAATTATTTCCTATCTTTTTCATTATGCTTTCATCACATTTAGTTTGTTTATAGATGAACTTTAATGAACTCAACAAAACTAAATATTTTGAAATTTGATTTATTTCTATTTATAATTATTTTAAAATAATAAATATTATCAATAATTATAAAGTAGTTTCTATTTATAAAATAATACCTCTTGTAAACTTATCCAAAAAACTATTAATTACTAAATTAATTATTGATATATTTTAAATAAAGATTAAATTAATAAATGAATAAATACACCTTAAAGTTCAGAGATAAATAAATTGAAGAATAGTTTTAAAACGTCCATCAAATTCCAACCAGATAAAAACATATAAAACTTATATCAGCATTTTTCTTAGCACTTTAAATATTCAAACTTATAGCAAGTATTTTACAGCATTAGAAAGAACAAATGTATATATTAATCTTTTTAATTGGTGCTACATTAATATTGTGTTTTGCTAAGATTACATCTAGCTTCTCTTCAAATATGGCTCTTTGTTTTATTAATCTATCATTTACTTTTTATACTGTTTATTATGATCCAAAAGATGAAATCACTAACTCTTATTATAGAGGAGCTAATCAAATGGTTTTCAATATTATTAACATATTATTAACTGATTTTTTAGAATCAGCTTTTATAACTATGATAATATTTGCTACTAGATCAATACATGTAATGCTTTATGGTGATAAACCAGATATCTCTTATTTTGTACTTGGATTTATTATAAATATGTCATTTCTATATATTATATATACTTATCGAAGTGCTATGCGTTCATAATATATTCTATCACGTACAGATAAATAATGGGAGAATATTCTTAAATAAATTATTCAAGATGAACAGTTTATATTAATAAATTTTGATGAAGAAAAATTAAAGTTTTCTAAAATATTATCAAACTTTTTTAAAGAAGAAGAAAGAAATGATTAAATAGTAGACTTTTTAAGAAATTCATATATTAATTAAGAGACCTTTGAAATTTACTTATTTAATTAAATAAAGTTATTTCTAACTAATTATCATGAAGTTTTTAATAAAATTATCTTATTAAAATATGAAAAATATCATTTTTCAGTCACTTATTCAATATTTTAAGGTTCAAAACCAACTATTTTGATTTAATTAGTAAAAAGTTAGTATAATAAAGAAATATAAAGTATTATCATCAACACCTTAATCAATCTAAAACTACTAACTAATTTAATTAGAATTATTAATGGTAATTAAAATTACAGCAAAGATAAGTTTCATATAATATCTACAAAACTTATATATTAATATTTTTAAGCTAAATTACATTCTAAAACATTTTCTTTCAAACACTGCAATATCAAAAATATAATTTAATAATTAAAATATTATTTTTATCCAAATAGTTTTGTAAGATTATTAGAAAATACTGTTCACATTAAAACAATACCATGTATTTTAAAGCTTCTTTTATTAATCATTATTGAAAGTTCAAATAGTAATGTAATTTTCATAAAAACACTTAATATTAGAGGGCAAGATAATTGTCTAAAGATTCATAGTAAATTTAATATTGAAAGATTCTAAGTCAGATATCTATAATTTGAATATTTTCTTTAAGCTATTGTAAAATGTATATCAAGTAATGAAAAATGTACTATAAATTTATTATTTAGAAATTGAATTTGAGTTATATTAAGAATCTTTTCTACCTTATTGTAAGCCAATGTTTTTAAAATGTTGAAATGAGAATTTTATAAAAATAGGAATTGATTGATTTTCTGTTTAATTTAACAATTTTCTTTATTTTCTTGTGTGATTTTATAATTAATATGAATATATATATATTAATAAAATTAATGAAATCGTTTAAAGTTTCAAGTGGAATAATGGATATCATTAAAAATTAATCAAAAGATGTTAAATCTTCTTAAATGATAGTTGACAAAGTTAATGAGATTGTATATTTTAATATAAGATATAGCATAGTGGAATTGATGAAAATAATCTAAAATTAGTTAATTAACATCTTATGAACCATTTTCAATTGAAGCCAATTGTAAGTCCAATAGAATAACCAAATAATCCATTGTAAAAAATACGGAATCGTTCTAAAACTAAATTTTAATCATTATTACATTCTTAAATTAGTTAAGAAGTTGAGTCAGTTCAAAATTCATATTAATATACAGAACTACTTAGTGAGAAGGATAAGGAAATAAATTATTATAAGAATCATATCTAACAATTAACAGAAGAATTGTAAAAATTAACTGAATTGTTTGAAACAGTTAGAAATGAAAATTAATCTCTTAAAAATTAAGTTGATCAAAGTTAAAATTATCAATTAATCATATCTAATTAATAGAAATAGATTTTGAAATTGCAATAAGATAATGTAGAATTAGAAATGATTTTGAAGAACACATTATTACAATAAGAAAGATAAAAATTTTAATCATAATCTTCAAAATAATCAATAATGATTAAAAAAAATTCATTAAATGGATAAAAATTAAAGTTATTTAATAATAATTTAAGTTTGAGTGAATAAATTAATAATTCAAATATGAGTACAAGTTTTATATCTTGTCCAGATAATTATAATTAAAAATAGAAAAGTCATAGAGTTAATGAAAGAGTAAAAACTAATTAAACAGTTCCTACTCTTCCTGATTCTAAAATATATTCAAATGATCAATATTATATATTAAAATAAGGGAAAGAAAATATCAAGATGAGATATTGATGATAAATTATTTTTTTTTGTTATCTATTAAAATTCAAATCATAAAAGTAGTTTTGATATTTGAGTAGAGTTCATAAAGTTTCTAAATTTCTAAACCTATTGGAGTTTTTAATATAATTTTTTCATTTTAAATTTACTTTAATTAAAATTGAAAATAAAAAGGGAATGGTTAAGGATTTATTATATCCTTAATTAAAATTTCTAATTTAATATCCAAATTATTTATTATAAGAAATCTATCAAACTTAACTCCTAAAATAGAATAGGTTTCCAATTAACATTTAAATTATCTAAGTAAATAATAATATAAACTTTTATAATATGTCTTTTGTTGCATTTGGAATTTCAATATTAAAATTTTGAAGCCCATAAAATTAATTCTATTATAGTGATTCCATTAATAATAATTCTGCAATATATTGGAATTACTATTCTACTTTTTTTATAGCTTATAAATTCTTATCATGTTATTTAATTATCCCTTCAATTTCCTATTTCACAACTCCAATTGTTGTATATATTTCTTATATCCACGTTTGTTCTTTCTCTTATTTATAAATCTTATCTGGAATCAATTATTTAACTATATGAATAGGTAAAGATTGTTTAGTAAATGTCTAATTTATTTAAATTATTTTTACAAGTTTGAAATGTTCATAATATTTAATAATTAGATAGTAAATGGAATATACACAATATTATGAAAAAGTGAGCTTATAGTTCATTTTTTTAATATTATCAAATGCTTGATGACTTATTAAATTAAGTCTTACTAAATCTGATTAATAGTCTTTTTACTCATATTTTGGAGGTAAATATAAGTATTTTTTGAGTAATAATTTAGTATCACTTTTTTATCGTTCTTTAATTATAAATGAAATCCTTGAGATAATACCTTCTTAATATGATTTATTAAATTAAATTTATGGAATGCAATCTTCATCATCAAGTATTCTAATCTCTTAACCTTATATTAAAAAGAATTTAAAATCTTCATAACTTTTTAATTTAATGACTTCAGCAGCCATTTAAATTAGATCAGCTACTCTTAATTCAGGACTGGTTGGTAAATATATATAAAATTCATTTAAAAACATAATCTAAATGTATAGAAGTATATATATTACTTTAATATTGATAGTTTGATTACTAACTTTTAAACTTCTATGATGCATAGTTTATCTGATGGTATTTGAATTTCTTACAAATTTCAAGGTCTCACTAAGTGAAATATCATCTGAATTAAATGAAGAGTATTTCATTGATTATCTTAAACTTTCTCTTTCTAATAATGTCTAATTAGGAGAAGATGTAATTGTTTCATAGAATGAAGGTGGTAATTCTAAATATTTTAATACTTATTCTGGATTTTATTTGATAATTGGAGAATTAAGAACAGCTTCAAGAAAATTTTCAATAATGATTTTTCTAGCTTCAATTAACTATGTTTTTTTATTGCTTGCCCATTAATTCTTACTTAAATGTGGAATTGAAATTTCATGGAATTATTTTCTTAACATTTATTCCAACTTTATTAAACTACTGTATCTAGTTAATAAAGTTAAATTTTAAGCTCCAGTAGATATCTATTTTGAATTCTATATTTACAATCATCACATAAACAGTATATGATTTAAGAAGTGACTTTCTTAATTCTGTACCCTTGGCAAATACTTATATTGGTTAGTCATCATATTATTAAAAAATTTCTAATTTATTATTCTTCATTTTAATATTATTAATTAAGGATTCAAATAAATTTAGTAACTTTTATTTTTGTTCAAAATCTTAACAAATAAATGTAATGGATTATTCCTAAGAGGAGACTGTAAATAAGAATTTACAATATTGAGTTTCAGGTTTATTTTTACAATAAGATTTCTCATTAAGGTAAAGATATTCATACAATTTTTCATGTTATTTAACTAAAGCATTTTGATTTCTTTAAGTTAGGATTATCATGTCATTGCATATATATACTATAACTGATTTCTATTATTTTGATACAAGTACATTAATTGTTTCACTTTGAATATATCTTCTTGTAGATTCTACAATAGATATATTAATAGAATCAAAAAATAATTTTTACAATTCAAATAACATTTAATTTTTGAGAACACTTAAATACATTATATATTTTACTTATCCATCAAAATATCAATTTTATAATTCACTTCAATGAATTTATTTAAACTTTCTTATAATGAATCATAATCTGGATGTGATTGCCAAGTATGTTTGATCAAATCTTTAAGTAAAAGTACATATTTTGGTAATCTTTAAACTGGTTTGATGAGATAGGATTCTAGATTACCACCTTTAAATATATCAATTTCTTCAAATTATGAAATAAAATTATTTAATTATGGAATTTCTCTTCTTAAATTAGATACAATTTCAATTGAGAAACCAGAAGTATATTCAAAGTATATTTTAAAAAATTAAACATACTTATCAAATATCTTGCCAAAACAGGTATGTTAAGTAAAATTGCTAAATCTTTCTATGATAATAAATTTAATAAAATACCTGAGATTTCAAATAAAAATTATTTATTTAATAGATATATTTGTTTCAAATTTCTGAATAATAATTTAGATTAAGTTTCTGTCAAAATTTCTTATAATGGATTGTAAAAATTGACAATAATTAATTCCAAATCTTTTAGATATGTGAATTCACTATCTACTAATTCTTGAATTACACATTTACGATATCTAGCCCACTTCTTTCTTTTTTAATATTTGATTTTACAGGAATGCATTCTATAATAAGATTAGATTAATATAATTTATTTTCTTATAATTAGATAAATGTTACATTAAACCTTCTGTTTATTCTACTAACTCACTTATATAATGATCTGCAGAATGTGACAATCTTTAACAAACTACTTGGATATCTGATAGTAATTTAGATTATTCTTCTCCTTTAAGAAATGAGTTCTGATTAAATTAAGATATTTCAATGTTGTCCATCTAATCTGAGAGATAACTATTATTACTCTCAATACTCAAACTTAATTAATGTTGCATTTGTATAATTATTAATTAAAATAGTTTAATCTAACAAAATAATTCAAAGTTATTTAATTTAAGGTAGTTTTTTAGACTCTGAACTAACATTCCAAAATTTCTAATATTCCCCTGATTTCGTTCTATCTCTCGATTAATTGCCACTATCTTCATATTATTCTTTAATTAATTGTCTATTCACATGTTATTCAAAGAGTCTCTTATGATTTTTCCCTGGATTATTTAGTTCTATAAAATTGAACAATCCTCCATCATTAAGACTTATAGCTCTATTAATTTTTATAGATGATGCCATAGATGAAGGAGATGCAATATGTAAGAATCTTATTAAATTTAAGAATTTCTTACTAATTAAAATGCTTTTTAAGAGATCCATATACTATTGTTGGCAAAGTGTTTGTTTAAGTTTATTTAATTTTTTATAGAATGAGATTTTCTTTGAGTTTCATTTTATCTTCTAATTATTTAATAAGATTTGGGGCATAAATATGACAATAATCATCAATCTAATACAATTTTAAATTTACTTCAAATACAAAAGCAATGGTTTTCTTAAAATATTATGTCTTTGTTGTATATTTATATAGTCTGGGAATCGAATTTGATAATGCTTCTTCACCAAAACTATCATTTTCACAAGCTATTGTTATTCTTTAAAGTTTTCCATCTTCATTTTAAACATAAATCTTATATTAATTATAATTATATATTACTTCCACTTCTCCAGATATTATAAAATAAACTTTATTGGCAATTTAATTGACTGAATAAATTGTAACATTATTCATAAAATATTCTTTCTTCAATTATTTAATAAATGGTATAAATTCAATAGGTTTAATATCTGGAAATTACATTCTAAAATATTCCACCTCCTCTTTATGTTTAACAAATTAGAATCCATAAACAGATATCTAAAATTATAGAGATATATAATACTTCATGAATTGAAATAAAGCTTAATGAAATAGCTGTGCAATCTGTTAGAGCAATTATTTTATGTTTTGAATAGGCAGTCTTTTTATAGATTTCTGCTTAAAATAAATGATCTGGTGGTTTTACTTTCTTTACAAGTTTTTGTTTTTTTTAATCATTTTTAATCAAAGACAAAGTCCCTTCAAGTAATATTAATACATTTTCAATTGAGTCAGCTATTAATATAATTATAAAAATACTCTAATGCTTATAGACTTATCCTTTTTTCAAATAGACAAGTTAGATATACTTAAATGCACTCTGGGTGAATGTGTCTGTTTTTAAAATCTATTTGTAAAAGCTAAAGAAAGGGAGACGATTAAGTTATTACTCGTATTACTAAGCAAGCTTTGGATTGTTAAGATTTTTTAGAATCATTATAATTGTCTCATATTTGTTTATTTCTGTCATGAAAATTAATGAAACTCCAGAAAGAAATTAGAACGATAGGTAATATATGATTTAATAATGATAAACGGATAATCAAACAGTTAAGGATAAAATATTAATTCTACTTGAATAAAAAATATTTTGAAGGGTTGCACAATATGATTTCTATAAAACACCTAAAACAATCTTTATAATTATATTTTGATCATAGATAAGGGTATTATATAATGATTAATACTAATGTTTAAGAGAATGATAATCATTTCATTTTATAATTAAAAAATCTTCAACATTTGATGGGAATTATAGAAAACAATATCTTTTGAAAACTAGTTGTAATACTTATTATACTAATATTTCATTTGAACAAATTATATTTTATACTAATCCTTATCACAATATATTTTGATTAGACTATTATTGAAAGTAAAAAAGTAAATAGAAAAATAATTATTAATAGTTTATTTTATTTAAATAAAACAAAAAAACTAAAATTAATTAATAATCAATATTTGAAATCTGTTTATGATAATGATTCTGATTGTATTTATGTCAAATCATTTTAGCATAGTCTATAAATATATTTTAAAGCTATCTCTGTATTCATTATATCCTAATCAATTTAAATTTACACTAAAATTTAACTCAAATCATTAAGCAATCTAAAATTCAATAATTCCATTCTTTTTATTGTATACAATATACAACAATAAGCAATAGTACTTTAATAAAATATTGTTGTATCATAATACTATGTAACAAATGTTAATAAATTAAGAGTGCATTTATAAATAGCTGATATTTTGAGTTTCATCAAAGAATTATCAATAATGTTTGATCTTATTTGTTTAAAGTATCTAAACTCCAAGTCACGCATTATATAATCAAAATTCTTAAAATAATTTGGCATTTCTATTTAGTATTATATAGTTTGTAAGATTTAATATTGACATTTTGCTAACTAATCTTCAGTCATTTTCTCACCACTTATTTAGATAAGTTATGATGAACTTAAACAATATATATCCTTTTATTTAGAAGCCAAACTCAAACAACTTATCCCAATACCTAAGAGTTCTTAATTGCCTAGACTAAAGGGATATTGTTAAAGAAATTTATCAAAAATTGAGATGGCTAAAAAATAAGTTTCATTTGAGGTACTATCATAAGAACTCAAAACTTAACCCATCCAACATAATAGATTATTTCTTCTCAATTCACAAATTGAATGACGTTTAAGAGATTCTTAGGTCTATAAGAAATAAAATATATATTCATACATTAATGTGATCCAATTTGAGTGGATATGAGAAATGAAAATGATAATTTTGGAACCATTACATTTATTCATAGTAAGAATATTAGAATGGATTACAATCGATTTGATTCATAATTTCCAATTCAAAGTCATCCAAACAGATCCACTCGAATTTAAAGTTATGGATATCCATGTAATTTAAAGACGGTTTTTTCTTAGGACTTGCAGGAATAGTTTTTTGAGAAATTAAAGACTTAGTCTTCAGATTATGATATGAATTTTCATTGTTTGTAATGTCAGAGAATTACATATTAATTAATTTAAATTATAAAATTACTTCATAATTATAATTTCCCTTTCTTCTTTCCATTTATTAATTCATATATTTCATCATTGTAATATATTTCTAATAATTATTTTATTGATTTCTTTTTTCTAGTTAACACAGTCAAATCAGCTCCATTTTATTAAAACAACTTAAATAATTATGGATTTTTATATTTGATGGCTAAATGAATAGGATAGTAGCCTTTATGATTTGGACTATTGAGTATATCTAAGGATATTTCTTTTTATTTGAATAAAGATTATAGTTCACCAACATCCCCCTCATCAATCAATTAAAAAAAATACTTTTAGAAATCACTTAATTTAGATTCTTTATATCTATCCCTTAATTCTTATAATGTTAATTCAGAGTCATGTAATCTTTAATTTACAACTTATTTAATTTATTAGCTATCTCTTAAAGTAGCTTGACTTGGTTATCTTTTAATGGCAGGAAAGTAAACTAGTTATTAGGGTTATTTAGATTTTTAATTAGTCCTTTGAAGATCTTATATGGATGGATCTACAAGGTAAGTACCATTAAAAACTTTACAGGTATTCAATTTAGATTTAAGTACAATTTTGCTAATTTAATAAATGAATTCAGTACAGATGTTCTTCTAATTGATTGAGTTCTTGATCTTCATGTGCATAATCAGGTTTCTTAAAATATAGTGGAAATCCATTAGATTTAACTTTTGGTCTAAACTAAAAAGTATTAGATTATGGAAATACTTTAGATAATATTTTGCCTGCATCTCCTTCCAATTTTTAGTTCTTGGCAGTAAGAGATTATTGCAGTACATTAAGTTCCTCATTCTTCAATTAACTTACATTTAGTAAATTCATTGAAACAATTCTTTAATCTATATTTCCACTTTATAAATATTCTTATAAGGCTTTTTTATGTATCTAATACATGAGATTCTCTCCAACATGTAATTTATTTTTGATTTAAGGAAGTTAGGATTAGGATTATAGTGATAAATTACTCATTATTGTTTATATTAATGTTTATAATGATACATTTTTTTTTCATTTGCTTGGTACTAAACCTAAAAGGGATTTATAGTTTGTCAATTGATGAGGAAGTTCTGCAAGCAATTCCCTTTATAAGATAGGCAAACTATGAGAAAAAGGAGCAAATGGAACAAATTAAACAACATTCCTAGTCAAGACCTCCTTTTATAATTATTTCTAATCTTAATCTAAGAATTCAAGTTTTTTGAAATCAAAATCTCCTACACCAACTAAAATAACTGATATTGGGACATTGGCACCTATTTTTAATAATAATCTACTATACATTAAGCTATAATTTCTGTAGTTTAATGTAAATCATGTATTTATCCACATGTCAATATTAAAAGAACAGTATAGATCTTCTTTTTAGCATTAAATTCAGCTATTTGTTTAGAATAATTTAAAATTTCTCCTAAACATCCAGGTCCAGAGAATTATAAATTAGGCAAAGTTTATTTGTACAAATTTACTAATCCTTCCAAACCATATACTTCTGGTTTTTAAAAATCTCCTGTTAATGGGAAACTAATTATATTATTAAAATGAATACCATTATTCAGTTTCATTAACATTATAATTTGGTAAATGAGGAACAGCACCAAATCCATACATTGCTACTTTCTTATCATAATCATAATTCAACAAAATTTATGCACATGCTTTAATAGCAGTTTCATATTAATTCCCATTTTAGGTTTTAAAAGCATGTAATGAATCTGGAAAATTGGGATTACCATTCTATGCTGTATAATCTACACCTATTATTAAATTAATTTATTCTCCATCTCTTAAAAAGTCCATAAATGTAGGTCTCTTTATTACCTTTTTCTCTTTCAAAATAATCTTACCTCCAGACTTATTTGCTTGATATTCTAAATTAAATTCACTTTTATTTTCATTAATTATTTCATGAATTGAGGTTTCAAAATATCCCATAAATTGATTATTTGTACCTTTTTCATGAACATCCCAACATTCAACTTTAAACTTCTCTTCCTATTTACTTCCACATAATCTTTTAAAAGATATTTAAAATGGTTTCCATTCAGGATTTAAATTATCTTTTATCATTTCTGTTTTATGAACAGGTAACCAATCTTCTCCAACTCTTTTATAGAATTTAAGGAATGGATCACTCTTTCCAAAGAAACCATCTGTACTAAATTATAAATATTTATCTTCTTACTTCATCAAATCTTTTCCTATCCAACTCAACTACAAAAATTGATTATCTTCTGGCTATTTATCAATATTTACTACCAAAGTACCAACACCCTTTCCTTTCTTATCTTTCAATTCAAATTCTTATTTCATGTCTTTTGCTCCCACAATATCTGCTACTGTTGTCTCAACTTCTCCCATCAAATAATCATCAGATCCAGCTGATTAGTTCTTGTCCCAAACCTAAAACACTAGCTTCTGGTTTAACTCAAAGATATAATCAATGACAAAGCTCTTTTCCCAACAAGGATTCAGATTATTCTTTAAAAACTCTGTATCCCCTTCACATTTTTCTTTTTCTCCTTAAATCGTATGTAAAAGACGACAGAAAGGATCACTTTTTGAGAAAGTATCCATGTCTTTCAGATTTTTGGCTTTTACAAAGATCTCTAACTTATACCTTTCTTCTGGAATGCTTTTATTTTAATCCATCAATTATATTTTTTATAATAATCAAATAAATAAACTATAAACATTATTAATTTAGAAAGTTATCTAAATCAATGTAAATGATATCATTAATTTATATTATTGTATAGTTCTTTACACTATACAATAATTATCTAAAAATTCATTATTGCTTGTTTGATTCTCTTTTGAAAATGAATGCGTTAATTCGCATATTTTTAAAATTAGAATAAATAAGTCAAAATAAATTTACATTATATTAATTTTTTCAAAATCAATTATTAACATAATAATATCTTTATTTTTTTTTCATTATTTTTTAATTGAATTCCATGATTAAGGATGAAACTCTTTTGGTAATTTAAGGAGAGGTTTTTAAAAATTAGTTTTAATAGATGATTTTTAATTAGTAGCATTAGCTATACTAGAAAATTAAGATTTAATTTTAATATCTCGATCTTCTTCTGATAATTTTCCAAAGCTCCAATTTTGATCAATTTATATAACTTTAGGTTAATTATTTTTTTATAACATAGGTACTTGAAATTCATTTATTTAAGGAATATTAATTATTGGAAATCGAGTAGAAGGAGAATACTATTCAGCAGATTTAGGAGGTTGCTATGGAACAATATTTTATTTAGGTGGTGACTTATTATATAAGAGTTTGGCTATAAGATTTGACTTTCTTTTGTTTTCTTCAATTAAAGTCTTATTTTTTAATTCAAGATAATGAATCACTTCTACCTATTCTTTTGGGGACATTAATCTAGGACTAGAGATAAGAGTAGAATTTGTATAAGCTTTGTTTAATCTTGTACTCTATTCTCTACTTGTATCAGGAATTCCTTTCTTAATTTTATTTTTTTTGTATTACATATTTTGTGAATTTATTTGGATTCATAAATTTAGTAAAAGAGTATACTATAGCAGTTGATTCAAATCTGCTATCTTAAGATGTTTAATCATGATGAGTTTATTCTTTAATTTGACTGGTCTTTAAAGAATCTGATGGAAGCTAAGAGTTCAGTTTATTAGTTGACTTTGATTGGGTGATTTTGGGTTTCGTCTTCATTATTTAATATAAAAATTATTGAATAAATACTAAACTAGAGTGAATCCAATATATGATAATCTATTTGAATATGATAAGTAATTACTGACCATATCAATAAGAAAAGCTAAATAGATAAATGTATTAGATTAAATAAAATAATATCATCATTAGATCTATACTGAATATTTGATATTATTTATAATAGAAAAGTAATTTAGTTATAAATAATAAAAACAAAAATCACTGACTGAATTGGATTTATTCTTCATATTAGGTAGATTTTTAACTGTTTTATGAATGAAAATGAACATAAACATAATTAGACATATGAATAGATTCACTTTTACTATATAATTTGATTTCAGTAAAAAGAGAGTTTGCAGATTCTATTTATTGAATTCCTTCACTTTCAGATTCAGTAGATGATTTACTGCTATCATTTTAAATGAATTTTTATGATTTTATTTTAGGAAAATATTATTTCTTCACTTATTTATAGAATCTCTTAAAATTCTCATCAGAACTATCAAATAATAGTCCATAGAGTGAAAATAAATCTACTAATTTCATCACTCCAATTTGACTCCTTAGATTTTTCAAGAATACTTTATATTTAAATGTTTTTTGAATTGTTTTGGATATACATTTATATAAGAAATGTAATTATTAATTTTAGTTGATTAATGAAATTTCACCATAATAAACAATAAAAGCTACTATCTTATTGTATTCATAGATAGATTAAATTTCTACACTGCAATAGATATGTGATTATGCACTATTCTTGATTCCTTGTCTCACTTATGATATCATTTCATGATACTCTAATTTAGGAGATAGAATTAGAATTAGATCATGTGCCAAACTAAGGTATTCCTAAATAATACTGTATATTGGAACATCATTCAAAAATAGCAAATCTAAAATTATACATAGCTTATTTTACTCACAATGGCAGTATCTAATTTAACTGTTATATCTGATTTAGCTACAAAGTGTATCTTATTGTGACAATTCAAAATATCTATTCCCTTATTTAGGATTGGCCTAAAGACTTGGGTTTCTTCAACGAAATATACTTGTTGACTAGAAGAAAGGTGTTTAAATAAAAAGCTTCCTGTTGGATCATGAGCAATCAATAATTTATCATTCTTTATTCTCCTATAAATTAATTCAGTGATGATATTTGGCACTAGCTACTTTACAAATTAGACTTCCTATTAAGGAGTTATCTAATAAACTATAAATAGAGTTTGAGTACTTCAAATACAAATTTTATATCATAGAGTATTCTCATAATAAATGCTGTAATTTTATCTTTCAATTTAATGATTTATTATTAATTAACATTGCTTAATTTTACTAACAATCCATCACCTTAATGCATTAACATAGATTCTTTAGAATTTGTTTTTGATTCCTTTGTTTTATTATTTTATATGCTACCTCCTATTTTTAACTTGTTGAATATTCATTAACTTCAAACAATTATGACTTTTCTTAGTAATTTTTATCGTATTCACATAAAAAATTTGTATATTCTTGACTGACTCTATTGGAGTCTTAAGCATTAAACAAACTATTTAGACTTCCATAATTATCTAATTTCATATTTGATTAAAGAGAAGTTCCATGTGAATTTTATACACGTTCCTATTCTTTGTTTTCATTTCTTATACCACATAGACAGAACATATAATAATTTTATTATTTTTTAATAACAGAATATAAATGGTATAGTATAATCTATCGATGTAAAATAGAAGGAAAATAATCCTTCATTTATTTAATTAACTTAAAGCCAAAAATTAATAATGCCTTAATTTTCATAATGAATTCCTTTTAATTAATAAATATTATAAGATGTTGTTTTAAACTATTAAACGATTAAGTTAATACATCAAGAAGGAAAATATAAAAAATAATCTATAAAAAAAATTTAGTCAATTACAACCATGCTAATAGAAATTTTATATTGATTATTTAATTAATTAGGATTAAATTACTATTTTTAATCTATTTATGACAATTTTTAGTTTCCAATAGATTATAAATAAACCTACAATATAATTTATCTAATCATTTTTCAATCAAAATTAGTAGATAATAATTATTTAATGATGCACAATCTGTTTAAATAATATTTTGAGTAGTTTAACTTAGAATTGAAAATATTACATTAGAAATTTGTTTGCTTAAAAGAAAACTTATGTATTGAATTATTATTATAATTGCATTGATACTTTAATAACATATCAAAGTTATTGGTTTTCATTACATTGTCTTTTTTGTGAATATTATTTTTATATAAGTACAAAAATTTAATTTCTTCAATATGAATCATTTCAAGAATTAAGAATTATGATTATTATAAACCACAAAAAAAATAATTAATGTGAAGAACTCTTTAAATTATATTGAATACAAATTCAAATTTAAAATAATTATGATTTTTTTCATCAATATATATTTATGTTCAATTTTAACTTTTTGCATCTAAATTTAAATTCTGAAATACTTTGAGCAGAATAGATTATTATAAATAGACTAGAATCATTGGATGCAATAATTGGAATAAGAATTAATGATGTTATTAAAAAATTTTACACTCTAAAAACAAAATTTAAAATCTTTTAAATATGGGCAAGAGAATTAGAGCATAGAGAAAAGGAAAGTCTAACAGTGTCTTCAAGGCTCATCAAAACTAAAGGGTTGGTAGCCCATAATACAGACATCTTGATTATGCTGAGAGACATGGCTATGTGAGAGGTGTGATCGTAGAAATCATCCATGATCCAGGAAGAGGTGCTCCATTAGCTAAGGTGGAATTCAATGATCCATACAAATACAAGAAGGTCACCAAACTCTTCATTGCTCCTGAAGGATCATACACAGGATAATATATTTATTGCGGAGCTAAAGGTACTTTAATTATTTATATATCCTTAATAGCTCAATTAGCCACAGGAAATGTACTTCCAATTGGTTAAATCCCTGAAGGTACAGTCGTATGCAACTTGGAAGAACATCCAGGAGATAAAGGAGCTTTGGGAAGAGCCACTGGTTGTTATGCTACCATTATTGGTCATTCAGATGATGGCACAACTACTAGAGTCAGATTACCATCTGGTACAAGAAAAACTCTCAGTGCTCTCTGCAGAGCTACAGTAGGTATATAAATATTCTATGAATTAGGATTGATTGCTGGTGGAGGTAGAACTGAAAAGCCTATCCTCAAGGCAGGTAGATAATTCCATAAATACAGAAGACTTAGAAAATGCTGGCCAAAAGTTAGAGGTGTAGCAATGAATCCAGTTGACCATCCTCATGGTGGTGGTAACTAATAACATATTGGTCATCCATCAACTCTTTCCAGATATGCCCCACCAGGATAAAAGGTTGGTTTGGTTGCTGCCAGAAGATCTGGTCTTCTTAGAGGTGGTGCTTAACTCAAACAAATGGACGAAGATTTAGCAGCATAATAAGCAAAAAAATGAGATTATTTATCTATAATAGTACAATAAAATTTAGGATTTATAATAAAACTTTGTTCTTCTATAATATCTACACTGAATAATAATCTATAACATCAATATATTTAAATTATTGTTATGATCATCAATTTTGGTGTATATTTTAAATAAAAATGAACATATTTTTCAATTATGATGCAAATAGGATTTATAATGATGTTATCACAATTCAAATTAATATTGTATCTTTGCTCAAATCAGATCAAGTTGTTTTAGCAAATGCAATAACTTTCATGAAATATTTTGATGAGTTTCTTAGAAGGTGAAATTAAATTATATTTTAAACAACTGAATCTGTTTGAATGCTCTTCCTTTTTAATGAAATATAACAATGTAACTGTTTCCATATCCTATGCTAATAAATAAGATAATAAGTCTGGAGACTCAGCAATCATAAATCCAATATGCCAAATAAAGTAATAAGAAATACTAAATCAAATCAAATACTATATTTTATAACAATAATTAATGACCTACTCTAATATGTATGAAATACTTTAGTTGCTTTACGTATTACTTCTGCTAGAGTTTTCTCTCAATAAACTATAATTTAATTTAAATTCTGTAAGACATTTTATTAGAGCTATCAAAATTAAGAACTTGTTGCATTTTATTCAAAAAAATTGCATTTTTTATTTTAATTGGACTAAGATCCTACTTATTAAGATAAAGTTTTTAGTGCATTAATTATAAAACATAGCAATCACAAGTGAATTAAAATAAGGATTAAGTTAAGTATATGGTATTTACAATTCAGAATTTAAATAAAATAGTGTACTAGCACTTAAATCTAATTCATATACGAAATTAACTTCATCATGGAAGGATTATGGATTTTGTTCTATTAAATCTACATAAGGTAAATATTGATCAATCATATACTTATCCCCCATAATAATTGAAAAAATTTTAGCAACTTTGCTCTTCTTTAATAGACAATCACTTGTCTAATTAAATCAATAATATATTATATTATTGATTTAATTAAATGAACCAATTTATTATAGTTGACAATTTTATGTTAGTATAAATAATTATAGGAATTAGAATCATTTTAAAACAAAATACTAATGTATTAATAGAATTAAATTATATTTTAGTCAATATCTATGATATAAAGATACAAATTTGTGAATTCAAAATGTAATTGAAATTATTAAAATACATCCAATAATTATTAAGATTGTGTAGAGAGTAATATATTAAAATAGGAAAAGGATTTGTAATAATCTTAAGATATCTATAATATTATGATAAAAAGAAATAAATAATAAAATAATAGATAATTTTTTATAAGGACTTGAAACTCCAAAACACTTTAATTAATTATCAAGAGTTGAACTGCTTTATATAATAATAAATTAATGAATATATATATTTAGATTCAAATAAAAAAGTGTATATATTTGAATATAACATAAGTTATAAATTATATATATATGAATTATTGATTTAATAAATTGACATCAATTAGATGATTTATCTATTAAGTACATCCGAATAATTGATATATTTTATATGAAACTATTTCAAAATTAACAAAAATAAAATAATTATTATCTATGACATAATCTAATAGTATAAGTTACAGGAAATAGAAATTTTATTGATGAATAGATTAGAAACATTATTTTTAAACATATAATTCGGCAATTATCAGAATATTAGAATATGATATTTCTATTACGTATATTTATATGTCGATTTTTATTTTTTCTAAATCATAAATTTCTTATTTCTATATCAATTTTTAATGTTTCCACTAAATAACAATGATTCAGCTCTATTAAAATCAACTTAGTACCAAAATGATAGTTCATAAAATCAATTTTCTATCCCCTTTTAATATTAAAGCCAAAATCTTGTTAAACAGAATGATTACAAAGAATAATTACCCATTAATATAGCTGTAAAAAATTCAATAATTTAATTAGGATATTGATCATCCAGATAATATCATTACATTGTTAGAGAAAACCTTCTAAAATGGATAAATATATATTGATTTAGGATAAAATACTTTAATTTCACTCAATCCTTTCGAATAAACCAATTATTTGAGTGACACATTAATCTAAAGTTACAAAAAGGATTTCTTAAATAAGAGTAAGAGAATTTATTAAATAAAATAGGTGCTACACAATAAAATTATTAGCCTCAACCTCATATATATAAATTAGCAGAACTTGCTAAATAGGCTTGTTGGTCTAAAAATAATAGTTATAATACATGTTCTATATTGACCTAAGGAATTAGTGGATCTGGTAAGACTGTTGCCTCTAAAGCTATTTTGGATTACATTGCAGCAGATTCTAAAAGTGGATTATATATATCTTCTACTCTTAATAAAGTTGAGATAGAGTAAAGAATTATTTCTTCAGATATTATTTTTGAAGCCTTTGGAAATGCAAAAACATAAAAAAATTCTAATTCATCTAGATTTGGAAAGGTTGTTTCAATTTAATTTGAGAAAAATGGTAAGATAAGTAGTGGGAAAATAATGACAACACTTTTTGAAAGGACTAGATTAACATAAAATAGATATATAGATAGAAATTATCATATCTTTTATTATTTATTTACAGCTTATCACAAAATATAAGATTTAAGTATATATATAAAAAAATAATATTTTAGAATCCTTTGCATAATAATCCCAAGAAGATCTTAAATATGATATTGTTAAATTGGTTGAGGAAATATCAAAATTAGATCTTGATTCAGAATTTATGCTTTTAGGAACTCAAAATTAAATACTTATTAGTTAAGATGATCAGAACAATATAGAAGAAGAGCAAAGATAATCTAATGAAGATTTTTTAAATTTTACAAAACTTTTATTAGCTTTTGATGATCTTGATTTTAGTTTAGAGGAAATAGTAAATATATTTAGATGCATTGCTGGTCTTATTCATTTAAAAGAAGATAATTATGTAAAAGCTGAAGAATTTTTAATGATTCCAAATCTTCAATAAACCATAAATTCCAATATTGAAATGTCTCGTTTGAGTAAGAAACTTTAATCAGAGTCTATCGTAAATGGAATTATAATGGATTTCTATTATAAATTATTTAGTTGGATTTAAAATAAAATAAATAGTAATCTTTCTTAAGATTATGATGTCAATAAAAAACATATATTAAATGTTTTTGATAGTTTTGGATTTGAAATTTTTGAAAATGAATATGGAATTCAATAAAATCAATTTGAATAACTTATGTTAAATTATATAAATGAAAAATTGTAGAACTTTTATTATTTTTCAATTGCTGAAAATGCACAAAGTAAATATATATATTATATTATTAGAGAAATTTTAATCTGAGAATCTAAGTTTACTTAAAGTCGATTTTCAAAAAAATGATAAAGTTATATCAGTAATAGAAGATGTGATATTTACAAGTATAAAGGATTGCATTAAATTATAAAGAAGTACTTAAAATTTAAAAGATATTATAAAAAAATAAACTTAAGAAAAAAATCTTTAAGATATTTTGATTGATGAAACCTAATTGAAAAAGAAATAAGAGAAATTAACATAAAGTTAAATAACACATAAATTTTTATAAAATATTATTTGTATTAGACATACTGGAGGTGAAGTCTATTATTAACTTGATGGTTTTATTTAAAATAATAAGTATACAATAAGTTAGGATATATAAAATATTAATAAAATGAGTTCAAATTCAATAATTAAATCATTTACTCAATAATCTTAAACTTAAACTGTATCAGATATTACTTAAAAAGATATTAATGAAATAATTTAAATGTTTAAAAAATCTGAAACATGGTTTATTAAATGTTTCTAAACTAATTATCTATAAATGCCATAAAATTTTGATAAAATTGCTATGAAAACACAATTAAGTTAAAGTGGAATTGAGTAATGTTTTTAGCTTTTATATTAAACATATTTGTTAAGTATACCTAATGAAGAATTTTTCAATACTTATTAAATTATCTTTCCAAATACTAAAAATATAGAGGAATGGTAAAATGCTCTAAATTAATAAATTTAAGATTAAAACAATATTTAATTCTTGTATTTTGGATCAAATAATGTTCTAATAAAAGAATAATTCAAAAGAGATCTTGATTGTAGAAGAGAATAGATGATATAAAACTAATAGAATTTACCTTATTTAGAAATTTAATTAAGATAATAATATGATGAATAAATTGAAATCATATTGGCAGATAATGAAAAAAAAATATAAGAATTAAATAAAAAAATTGAGATTAAAGAAAAGGAAGCTAAATATTAATAATAGAGAGCAGATTATTTAGAAGCTTTATAAAAAAAAATGATTAAGATATTTGAAAAGACACAAGGATATTATTCTTAATAGATGGAAGAATTATAAAAAATCAAACAAGAATGTGATAATAATATTTAAGCATTAAATTAGACTTAAGATGAGCAATCAAATTTAAAAAGTTAAGAAAATGGGAAAATTTTAATTTTTGGATAAATTTAGGATAAAAATTAATAATGATTATTTTTATTAAAATATTCATTGATTTTATCTTATTATCATTATATAATTTAAAGATTAAGTAAATATATTTCAGATTAAAATTCAAGAATTCTTATATTATCATATAATTTATTAAATAAATATCTTAAGAATCTATGCGTTGTGGATTTATTACTAAAATCAATTAGATTTAATGATTAATTATATTCCAATGCAATCATTTTATAAGTTAGCATTCCAAACACTTTCAAGTTTCCATTCTTTAGGATTAGTAAGTGATGAGGAGAAGTCATACTTGAAAGAAGTGATCATTAATTGGTCTACTCCTTAACTTAATACTTCTTAGGATTAGATGTCTGTATTAGTTCTTCAAATTATTCGGGTACTTAGAAACTAAGTCTAACATGTTTATTAGACATAGAAATTCTTGTGTTTGATTGAGGAAGAAACTGATGAAGATGAGAATATATGATTATATAAAATTACTTTCTCTTTTTATATTAAAAACCTCCATCATTATATTCAATAGACAGTAACACTATTCAAAATTATAAACAATAAGAATATTACAAGACAAAGTAAATAGCTATTTTTTTGTCTATGCATAATAAATTGAATACAAAATTGAGAGTTGAATATTGATTAGATATCTTTCTTTTCATATTACTTATATTATTTATATCAAATGTATATATATATATATAAAGAATAATGCTATAAACAAGTCACCATTTTTGACAATCTGAAATTGTGATTTTATGTGCTCGATCTTTTAGTCAAAATAGTTTTTATAATATTATATTTCATATTTCACCATAGTCAGGTTGAAAAAGCTACTGTGAATATAAGAATAAGTATTAATATTAGATAATTTAGTTTGTAATTTTGCAAATGATTTTTCCTAGATCTTTATAAAATTCAAAATAAATTTATTAACACCATTAGATTAATTAATAATATATATTATGTATTATTATTTAATATTTATATATAATTTTTAGGTAAATAAGACGAGTAAAGTAAAGAGAATAAAATAAAAGGAAAGCATTATGATTTTTGATTAAAGTTTCTTATGCAATTATTTATATGGTTAAATAAGCATATAATGATCATAATAATATATTTATATTTATCAATATTATAAGAATTGGATAGATATATAAACTTCTTAATTGAAATTAGGTGGGGAAGTGATTTATTTATTTATATGATTATATAATTATACTGAAATTAAGTAAATTATAAATTTTATAATATGTAATATAATCGATTAGGAAATACAGGTTTGCTTGTATCTTGTTTGGGGTTTGGGAATATGATTAATTTTTAGCCATAGGATGAAGAGGTGAATATTGCTATAATCAAAAGGGCATTTGATGCTGGAATCAACTTTTTTGATACTGCAGAATTGTATGAATACTTATTAGATTAATAGCTATTAACATGGTGAAGCAGAAAAGCAATTAGGTAGATCAATAAAGATATTAAATTTACCAAGAGAGAAATTAGTGATTACTACAAAAGTTTTCATTAATTAAACACCAGGAGGTAATTGAATAATTTATATTTGTATAGGATTGAATGTTAATAGAATGTGTACATTAAATAGAAAACATATTATTGAAGCAGTAAATACAAGTCTATAAAATTTATAATTGGATTATGTAGATGTTGTTTTTGCACATTAATTTGATATAGACACTCCAACAGATGAAATTGTTAGAGGATTTAACTAAATAATAGAAGATGGAAAAGCTTTCTATTGGGCAACTAGTAATTGGAATCCAGCATAAATATAAGAAGCTATTAATTATGCTGATTTACATGGATTAATTAGACCAATAGCAGAATAAGGAGAATATCATATGTTGTAAAGGAAATAATTTGAATTGGATTTAGTAGGTTTGTATGAGAAATACAATTATGGTACTACAATATATAGTCCTCTTTGTGGAGGATTCTTGACAGGGAAATACTTAGAAGGAATACCAGAAGATAGTAGATGTGCTAAAGATAATGGATGGATGACTAAAGAGAGAGCTTAAAATAGATGGTTATTGAAATACAGTAAGAATAGATGAAATAGATTTATTAGTTAAGAATCCTAAGAATATAGAAGGTGTCAAGAAAATAGTTGAATTAGCTAAAGAATTGAATGTTACACCAGCCCAATTAGTTTTAGCTTGGACTATAAGAAATAAAGATATTAATGTAGCCATAACAGGAGCAAGAACTGTTGCATAATTAGAAGAATCTTTAGGAAGTGTTGAATTATTAAAGAGATTTGATGAGAAATTAGATGAGAAAATGGAGATGATTTTTGAGAATACTCCAAAACAAGATTTAAATTATAGAACTTTTTAATAAAATAAAAAGAGAAGATGAGATATATAATGATTTAGAATTAAAAATATCATCATATGTGATTATTCATATTTTTATGAACAGATTCGTTTTTTGTTTTAATTATATATAAATGAAATCAACATTAGTTGTTTTATTGATAGTTGTGGCTTCTGCTTCTACAATTGCAGACATAACATAGAGATTATCAAATTATGCTGATCATCCTTTTGGATCTTCAATGATCAATTTAGTCAGTGTCAATATGAAAACAGGTGGATCACTCAATGAACTCAAACAACTGTTATAACAAATTAAAGATGAATTAATTGCACTTACATAATTATAAGATTAGGAAAGTGCAACATTCACTAGAAGATCATAAGTAGATTTAGCCAAACTTTAAGCCACTTTAGAATAAGCTTAATCAGATCTTGATAATTAGAGACAAGAATAAACAAGTCTCTCTAATGAATTAACTACACTTTAAACTAGAGTCAAAGAGGATTAAGCTGCATTAGATAGAAATAGTAGAGGAAGTAATGATGCTTAAGCAAGATTGGACTCAGAAAATGCAGATTTCACTACAAAATATTAAGATTATAGTGATGCCATATTAGCATGCAAAGAAGCATAAAGATTATTATTAAATTTAAGAGGAGAAGGTGCTTCTTTAATTTAATTGACGTAATATTATTATGATTATTATTTTAGACAAGACACTAAATCTAATTTAATTTAGACTAAAGAGAACTTCTAAAAAATTAAGGAGATTCTTGAAGCACATACTAAAAAGAGTTCCCTTACTTTATTTTAACCAATCATTGAAGGATTAGCAGAAATGACTACTAAAGTCAATCCTGAAACTTTGAACAATGTTCTTAGTCTTGTTGCAAGATTGATTACTGCATTATAAGAAGGTTAAGATCAATTAGAATCTAATCATAAAACTTAAGTTGATAATCTTAGTAGATTAGGTGATGATTTGAGAAATGAAAAATAAACATTATAAGTCTCTTTGACAACTGCTAATAATAGATTGAAGGAGATTTAATCAAGATTAAATGAATTAGATGGATTGATTAATATTTCAAATGCCATTGTTGAAGTTACTTAACTCAATATATAAGATGCTACCAGAATCAATGAATTAGAAGATCAAGAATATAGCAATTAGAAAGTTAGCAGGTATTATATTATAATATAGTATTAGATAAACTGAAATTGACATTGTCGACAGATTAATAGAATATATTAATCAAAAACTATCTGAATGATTTATACATAATATGCATTATATTTATTTAAATAGGATATTTTTAAGTTCTAATTAGTGTGTAAAAATAATTCTAAATATAAAAAATAATAGAAAATGTATAACTATCAATAATAAACAGGTCCAGGAAGATTAATCTTTAATAATCTAAAACCTTTAGCTGCTGTAAAATATTTGAATCAAACAAATCAAAAATCCATTATTTATCCCTTAAGAAAACCAAAACCAGTTCCTGTTACTAATTCTGTTTTCAGAAATCAACCTACCAAAGGTGATTTATTTTTTGATCCCATTAATCATGAAGGAGGATAACCTTTGTGCACTATGTCTATGGCAGATTATAAAGAAGATGGAACATGTCCAAATTGCAATAAAAAATGTAAGAGTTAGTATCAATTTATAAGTCCCTTTAAATTAATGGTATTATGATCTCTCCCTTGCAATGATTATTATGCAATTTAGAAACAATCAAAACAAAAAGGATATTATAGAATGTGTTAAATATTATGATGATGGAGAATATGAAATACTCTATACTGATTATTAGGAAGCATAAGAGACTGATTAATACTTGAATAATGATCCAATTATTGATGAGTTGATTGGAGTCCAAAAAGAAATTTTACAAAGAGTTGGAAACAATCAAAATGTCATTCTAGAACAAAGTCCAGATCTTATAGAGAATTTCACAAAAATCATAGAGAGTGCCTTATAATAATGATAGATATATATCGAAAAATCAAATAAATTAATCAAATCTCTTTCTTCTCCGAACTTCCAATTCAGAAATATCTTGCTTATGTATTTGATTTAAAGATTTATCTATTTAATCTTCATCTTCTTTCATTTAATTCCATTCGCATTTCTAATCAAAAGTCAATTTAATTTCAAATGTTTCAATATTCTGAACAATCTCTTTCTGTTTCTAAAGTGAAATATATTCATAATCTGCCACTAATCGTAAATTATATTTTAATAATTTTATAGACAGCCAAACATATCCTTAATTACATAGTGCCAAATATTCTAATTTACTGTTCTTTATTCTCTTTCCAACTATCCTCTAAATTTCCAATTTTTACATCCTTTAAATAATTTGTCTAAATCAAAACTTATAATATCGAATTTGCTCTTCATTGAATAATGCTTGTGAATATTTATACTTACTCTAATTTTCCCATTTATTCTAAACTCTTTAAGAATTATTTAATATAAATAAAAATAGATATGCCTACATTGTTTGAATTATTATCCCCCTTTTTAATTGGTGGTATCTCAGGATGTACAGCCACAACCTTTGTCTAACCTATGGATACTGTAAAGGTACGTATTCAAGTCAGAAGTGAACTTAAAGGACAGGGATAAATTATCAATGTCAGCACAATTGAAATTATAAAAGACATCTTGAAAACAGAAGGACCCTTAGGATTTTATAAAGGGTTCATTATAATCTTATATTATTAGAATTGGAGCTGCTCTACTTAGATAAGTTACTTATGCAACTACTCGTTTGGGATTGTATAGAGCGATTGATGATCATTATAAAAGAACACATGGTAGAAGCATGATCTTCTGGGAAAGATGTTTAGCATCTTCATTTTCTGGATTTGTGGGATCTCTTGTTGGAAATCCAGCAGATTTATGTTTGGTTAGATTCCAAGCTGACACCCTCTTACCAGAAGCTTAAAGAAGAAATTATAAAAATGTCTTTGATGCTCTCTATAGAATAGTTAGTGAAGAGGGACTCGTAACTCTTTGGAGAGGATCATTACCAACTATCATCAGAGCCATTGCTATGAATTTAAGTAATTTAACAACTTATATTCTTAGGTATGTTAACAACCTATGATCAAATCAAAGACATAATCGTATCTCTTCATGGAAAAGGAAAGGAAGACTACATGGATAAACTATTGTATATACTTACCTCTAAACTCATAGATCTTCTGCTGCTGCTGGTATAGGATGTGCAATTGCTTCTTTGCCTCCTGACAATTTAAAAACAAAACTATAGAGAATGAAGAAAGATCCAACTACAGGACAATTTCCTTATAAAAACATTGGAGATTGTTTCTTGAAAGTATTTAATTTTCTTATAAATAGACTATTAAAAGAGAAGGTGTTACTGGATTATGGGTTGGATTACCAGTCTTTTATACAAGAGTTGGACCACATGCTATGATTACTTTGTTAGTCTAAGATACATTGACTTAAATGTGGAATCCTCCAAAGAAGAAAAATTGATATTAATCTAATAATTATCAAATTAAATCACAATTCTTAACCAAACATATTTATAAATTAAAAAAAATCATTGATCATCTTTAACTATGTCATCTTCTATTTCTTTATATATGTCATCTTCTTCTTCTTCTATACCTATGGCTTCTTCTATACCAATTGCTTCTTTAACTATGGCTTCTTCTTCTTCTATCACATCCAAATCTTTTAATTCAAGTTTATTTAATTTATTCCTAATATAAAGTAATGATGAAGAAATTACAATAAATACCACAATTCCCAATGATAACATTATTAATAATAAATTAGTCTAATTAATAATATATTTATTACTTATCCAGATATATTATAAATATTAGCTTAAAAACTAACCCATTTACCAAAGTCATTTGAAGCATTAAATGTAATATTTTATGTTTAAAATTCCTTGTCTTTAATTTTAATTGCCAAATATCTTGATAGAGTCAAAGAGCTTAATTATGATCCAACTTACAAAATTATACCATATGAAAATTCATCATTCTTTTTTTTAAGATGTAAAAAATCAAACAATCTTAAAAATAAATTGAAATTTACATTTAATTATTTGAAAATATCTTATATCCACCAAGTATTTTTCTTAATTTTTCCTTACTTTTACTAAACCTATCATAAACAACCAATAGTTTTTATTTCTCATCTAAGGGATTTTAATAAATCAAACCAAAGAATCCTTATGTCTCCTCAGAGACTCGAATCTTTCCAGTAGCATAAAAATATCCATATTGCATATAAGCCCTAATAAATTCTATATTAATAAGTGTATCTTTTTGTAAATATTCAATTGTTATTTCTAATTCATAATGATGAAAATTTTGATTGGTCACTATAATTCTGTAAAATTCCTTCTCTTCCTTTAAACCTTACTCAGCTACTATCAATGATTATGGTACTATGTTTGAAGGTATATCTGTGAATCCTAATTCATAGAAGAAGGATATTAGATCAGATGTATAAGCATCATCCTATGGATAGGTATAAATGATAAATTCTATTAAATAATTAATAATAGAATACATGAGGAATTTGTAAGCAAAAATAACAGATAAGTATCATCATTATAAGCTACATCAAAACTAACAAAGACTTAACCTTTATCAGCAGTAAATTCTCTAGCATTGAGTTAATTTATAACTCTTAAATTATCTGTTTAATTCTCTTCAATAGTTAGATTGAACATATATACATATTCAGTAATAACATCCAAAATAAATAATATTTCATGTAACATTCTTATATGAGTGATTTAATTAATTACTAATGGAGAATAGAAAGGACCCATGGCAACAGGTAATGAACTTAAAAATGATGTAATATAAAATTAAGCTGAGGATGTTGTATTACATACTGAAACTACTAATTTTGTTTTAGTTTCCCAAGTATTGGCAGTGATTGATGTACATTTTATAGATTATTCAGATAGAGGTAATGGTATATAAAATTTGACCAAACCAAAATTATCAATTGCTATAATACTCTATTCTTATTAGATTAGAACATAATCATTAGTATGTTTAATTTAGGTAGTGTTTGGAATAGATATTAAATATTAATTATAATTAATATTATTTATAAGTTCTAATTCTTTTTAACAAGATTAACATTTAATTGACCATTCACTTACACTTCCATCAATATAATCATTATATCCATCTAATTTTTTAATATCTTTATCTGAATTGTTATAAGTTATAGTTTATGTTCCATTAATTATTAATGAAAGATTATATATTTTTTCAGAAGTTTTAACATTAACATAAACATCCATTAATTTTGCATAACTTGTAAATCCTTAAAAGAGTACTTTAATTATTTTTGATTAAGATGATTTAAATTACAAAATAACAGAACTATAAAGTTTTTAAGCATCAAATAATTATACTAAAAATACTTCATCCTCTTAATTTTATATAATATTAAAATCAAGATTATTTGTTTTTAAGAAGTATGTATGAAATGCAGAAATCTAAGGTTCATCCACTTTATAAACTATAATAACATCAGAATAATTAGAATCTTTTGCTTATAAAAAAAAATAATTTTGAGAAAATGCTACTTATGAATTTGTTGTGTTTGTAATAGTAAAATCATATTTTGGTAATAATTTTTCAGTATAATAGAAATTTTATTAGACTAAATTGATTATCATTATTTATTGATATTATAATGTAATTATCCTATTTCTAATAACTTATAAAACAGTATCAAATTATTATTTGAATTTAACAAATGCAATTAATTAGACTTATTAAAATCTTTATAAACCTGGATCAATAATAATTAAACCTACATTAGTTGAAATATATAGATTATAAATGTTGATATTAGTTTTAACATTAAATATATTGATAGTTTTATTTGTATTTATTAATTTTTCTAATTCAAGAGAATTAATTTCAAATACTTTTTCTAAATTACAATTAATTGATTATTTATATACTGGCAAGAATATCTAAATTAAATAAATTAATACTTAAATATTATTATTCTCTAACTCTACTAAGTATTTTTCTAAGTGTAATTTAATAGTCTAAATATTGTATATTGACTCAATAAAACAATTAGTAACAATAAATTTATTATTATATTCAATATAGAGATCTGCTCTTTTTTCCTGTTTTATAACAAAACATTCATTTGAACATATTAATCCTGTAACAACTTACAAAATAGGTTATTAAAATTTAATGCTTTATTTGTAATTGCAATTAATATCTTAGTCACTTTAATATATAATGCAATTGAATATTTGAAGAGTTAAATCTTTCCATTAGATTATTTGTAAATATTGATTATCAATTGCAATTCTAAAGGCACGATTAAAAATAATTGAATAAATATCCATAGTTTATGCATAAGAGATTCTAAATTGTTCTTTAAATTTGATCCTTTCAAAATCATCCTCATTAGAATTTTTATTTTAAATTTCATTTGAATTATCAAAATAATTATCAATAGATTTATTATACAAATAATAATCTACATTAGGACCAATAACAAGATTATTTAAATATAAATTATTAATACTTTTATTTAAAACAATGACAGAAGAATCTAATTCCTATCTATCATAAATATCTTAACTTCCTTATTCCAATTTTTTTATATAGAATGTAAAATTACATAATGATTCTATTTCCAAAGAAGGAAATGAAGCTTATATTTCAATAATATCTCCATAACATTAATCATCATCAATAGTTATATATGAAACTTGTGGTGTTATAATGAAAATGGACTTGTTGTTTATTGCATAGGCATTATCTAAATTAATAATTCTACATACTGTTTAGACTATCGAAATAGAATAACTCTTTGGAAGATGTGATTTCAATAGTTTTATATAGATTTGATGTTAAATCATCCATTTAAGAATATATTTCTAGAAAATACTTTTTTGTGTTGTTATTTTTATTTCCAATAATAAAACTATATTTATCATTATGAAATATTTTAGAAAATGTCATATTCTTTTACAATTTATACATTTGTATAATTTTGTATGTTTAATCATCAAATAAATTAACTTTGAAAATATCTAAAGTAATTGTTGAACCCAAAAGTATGCTATGATATCCATTTTATTCTATATAAACACTAAAAACATCAAAAATATCAGTCATTTTCCAACAATATTAATTAATGTAATTCTTAATATAACATAATCCAAGTTCTTTTGATAAAAAATATAGAGCTGAATTGTATATCAAAAAATCAAATAGAGTTAATGATTACAATTAATATATTTGTTTATCAATTCTTGTTGAAACAGTAACTTCTTTGGTTGTAAAATTTATAGTATATATATCAATTCGACTTTCATCCTAAACATAGATCATTTTATAATAATTCACAATATCATCGTAAATATAATTTATCGGTCCTGCTCTATAAATTATGATATCAATTACTAAATAGAGCCCAATTCATTTGTTTATAGTAATATTCTTTAAGTTTATTGTGAAGTTGCATTAGCCAAGAATATAATTGAATACTTTTTGATTTTATGGTTGCATTCTACTAAACCTAAATTCAATCTCATACATAGAACATTATAACATATCATGTTCTACATAATTAGTTAATATTAATACTGTATCAATTATTTATTGAGTTGTGTAAAAAGGGATTGAAAGAGCTTCACTAATATTGTAAAAAGATATTATCACATTTTCATTAACCACATACATTTATATTGTCTGTCCAAGCTCTAGAATAATAATAATAAATTTAATTTTTATTACAAACTCCACTTTTAGGGTCATAGCATAAACTATATTCAGAATAATCTGATTATTATGAATTATGTAAGGTGATATTTTTATATTTTATTTTACTCTCTAGACAATCATTGGATGATGAATATTGAAGTTACTTACCATATATGTAATTTTATAAATCTAATTTTAAAGTTTCTCCAGGAGATAAATATATTGTTTAATCCTTATACTTCTAATAGCACTAACAATATATTTCATGGAATAGAAAATAGATAATCATATACATAAAGGTTGCTTATATAGGAACTTTTTTAAAATTTAATATTATAATTACAAATAATAAAGATAATTTAATTATATATAAATTAAGTTAACTATTCATTTATAAAATATGTAAATAAATAATAAATTCAATCATTCTTCTTTTATAGATTTAATGTATGCAACTAAATTCATTAAGATTTCTTTTGTTTACATTTTTTTTTTATTATTATCATTTAATTTAATCAATTCATTATATACTTTAATGAAATTGGGGTTAGCATAAACATCTAATAATTAAGCTTTTAATTATTCTCTACTATCATAAATTAATTTAGCTTATTTCTTTATTAATCTAGGCCAATTCAGTTCATATTTCTTACCATTATTACTTACTTTAATTGGATATTATCTAGCAATAATATGATCTAAATTTTCATCAGGATCTTCTCGATTCCAAACAACCCCATGTTTTTCTTTCATATGTTTTTTAAATTTTGGATCTACAACCAATTCTCTCATTTCAGTTATTCTATATCCAACCTTTAAATTATATAAATCCATTTTTAATGTTTTAAGTAATAATGGAAATGGTTTCTTTCTATGAACTAAATCAGTAACAAATGTTTTAAATAAGGGATTCATACTTCTTTCAGTTACTCCATATGTTCTTCTTTCTAATGATTATTCATCTACATCATATCCTTTTTCCATTATATTCATCTTCTTTTTCTCTAATTTGAATTTGATTCTATATAAAAATGTACCTATTCGAAGAATATTTGAACCATATTTTGCATATTCCAAATCTTCAATAAGTATATTTTATAATAATTATTAAATCTCTTTTCCACAAATATTCCAAATTTATTCTAAAAAATCATTAAATTCTGGATTTTCAAATACATTTAAAAATTATTAAGTATTAATATGAGTAGCTTAATGTAGATATTCAATATAAGATATTAATGCACCATTAAGTTTTAAATTAAGGAATACTGGATATTCTCTTTAACATAATGAATACAATTAATCATATCCAATAGCTCCTTTAGAAAATATACTATCTTCAATTTTTAAATGATCTAAACATGGTTTCAAACGAGGAATAGCAAACATTTTTAAAATTTCCTTTACTTATGCTTTTATTGCAATAGATTTTTTTTTTTCATGTGTTTCTTTAAAACATAAAAACAATAAAAGTTCAGGAATAACAATTTATTATTCTTTCAATAACATTAAAACTACTTTAAGTACAAATTAAGGGAATTTTTCAGATTTCACTTAATCTAAACTTTACCTTTTATTTTTTAGTTTTTCTTGAAATTCCTGAAAATTTTTAACAATTTATATAATAACTTCTTTAGATTCTGAAAAATCAATTTTATTGAATTAATTAGATATCTTATCAAATACTTCAAATTATTTTTAATTTAATTAACTAGCAAGTTCAAATTTCTTATTTAATAGTTTTATACTTTATAATATTATTTCTTCATCAGTTGTTTCAATTAAACTATCATACATCTTTTAATAAAGATCAGATTTTTAATCTAAATTAGTCTTTTATAACATAGTATCTAATATTACTAAAAAGTCCTCCTTATATACAATTTCAAATGATATTGATGAAATCTTAAGAAATACAAATATAGCTGGAACTGGTCTCTATAAATATAATAATTATATAAGATTTTTCCTTATATTTTATTTTAAAGTATCTTCTCCACTTCTTAATCCATTTTTAACATTTCTTAAAATTTCCTCTGTATTATATATTGGTTCAAAGTTGATTTTATATACATCATTAAGCCATTAGAGATAATTAAAATCAATGTTTGCATAAAAGTTTTTCAATTATTAAAAGTCTTATTAATAGGACACTAACATCTAATCTTTAACACTATCAATTTCTAAGAGTTAATGAAATTAAGCAAATTTTTGATGCTATTTAACTTCTAATTTTTTCATTTATATAATGAATGCTAAAAATTAGAAAACCTTTCTTCAATTAATTGTACAAAAATTTTAATCCAATTATTATAATATTTTAAAATGAGGTTAAATTTTGTTTGTATTATATATTTTATGTAATAGATCATGCTAAGAATCCTTTTCCATCTTACTATAACCAACTTGGGAGAGTAGCTCTTTGTTTCTTAACTTTAGTGCTTGTTTTTTATACAATCTATTGTGTTAGTTCTGATTTCAATTAAGCAATTAATGAAGAATCAAATTTGCTGAGATCTCTATTATTATTAATTGCTTCAAGAGCATAAAATCTTTAGAAATCAAATTTATCACTAAAATTTTAATATAATAATAAAATTACCCTTCTTTCACAATTGATCCTGGATAAAGATCAATAAATCTATTTACATTTACTTCAAATTGTCTTCTACCTTCTTCAGTTGCTAATTAAATTGATTAATAATAAATTTATACATAATTATGCCTTAAATGGTTTAGGAATGTTAGCCAACTCTTCTTTTGAATATTCTAATCCTTTATACATTACTTCATTATAGAAATATCTATCCCATGAATCAACTCTCAACATACCAAAAAATAGGAACCATTCTAATGGTAATAATTTCTATAATATAGTTCCTCTTGCTGTTGGTGTCATGTCACTCATATAATTTTGATAAACGTAATTATCCCATTCATAAATATTTTCAACACTATCAGCCAATGTACGTTCTCTTGCTTCTGCTTATAACCATTCAGGAGCAGTAGATCCTCTTACACCTCTTTCTACTTTTGAAAATCTTGCTCTTCTCTTATTGAACATAATCCAAGTATATGGATGGAATCCTTCTCTTTAAATATGTTCAAATAATGGATCTCTTCTTAATTCTCTATCTTAAAATAACAATAAATCTTCCATGGCCAATCCTCTATCTAATCCTATATTTCTCATCCATCTGTATAAGAATCTAAGTTTTGTATTCCAAATCACATTACCTTGCAAATAAAGGTTCAACAAATTTGTAAATTAATCCAGTCCATCCTTATGTAAATAATTTGACTGCTGAAAGTGTCATTGCTGGTGTACGTGGTTCAGAATACCATTTTCTTGGTGATCCTATTATTCTTTCTCTTTTTAAAGCACGAATATTGACTAATTATTCATAGATGAGCTTCTCAAGTCGAACCATTGATGCAAATTAAATCTTTTATATATATATTTATTAATTATAGGATTAAGAGACACTTAATATAATTCAGAATAAATTAAAATTACAAGAAATTCAAATCCAATTACCTATATTTCAAATCACTATAGTAATAGTTAAATTTACATTAATATTAATTATTATATTTCATTAATTTAATTTTCGCAAAACCCAATGTTTTTGCCTATCTTATATTTTTTTAAGGATCATTATTAAATATTTTGTTGGTAACATACTTAATTTTTTTTAATTTTTATTTTGTAGCTTAATAAAACCCAATTTATAATCTAATTTATTCATTATTTTATTGAGATCTTCAAAACCATATGTAAATGATTTGATCCTTCTTTTCTATATTAATACATTCAATTAAAAAATCTTTAGACTCTATCTCAATAAATTATTTTAAAATTAATTCATTAATTCAAAAATAACTGGAGATCTAGGCCTTTTCAATTGCATTTATTAAAATGGACCATTCAATTATCTTATAAACACCTTCTTTAAACAATATTGCAAATGCAAATTGTTTTTAACTCTATTTAAATTTTGTCCATATTCAAATAATCTTGTTTTTATAATCCTAACTAAATGTTATGCTGCTTCTCTTTTATTTATTTGTTATTTCATTGTAATTAAATATCCATTCAATCTATTTTTGTATATTTTCTTTATTTTTGAACCAAAATAATCAAAAAATATAAGAAGTTGTGTTTGTTGTGACCAATACTTCAAGTATACTTAAAGCAATAATTATTCCTACTTTGTTTTTTTAACAATAATCTTACGCAATTATTCTTATTTTGCATATTCAAGTCTTTTGTTTACTGAGCTCAAACTTCTTTATAGTATGAAAAATTTGATTTCTTAAAATGAGATTATCATTTTCTTCTTTCTAATATTTTAAATCACCATAAACAATAATAAAGGTGCATTTGTAGGTTGAATACTCTCACAATCAACTATACTTTCTTATTTGATGCTTAAATTTGCAAATGAAATCTTGAATCCTTCACCAATATCACTATTCTCACTTACACCCAATGAACAAACTTCATCAAAAATATTCCTCTCACAAACAACTGACTCTTTTATTCTAATCAACTCTCTAAGATTTCTTAATAATGGTTTTTGTAATGCTTCTAATAATAATTTTGCTGCAGTATCTTAATGACTATTATTTGGATTAAAATTCTCTTTGTTCTTCCTCAACATCTTGCTCTATAGAAATTTATGAGATAGATCCTTAATCTATTTATTAGCCTTGCTGAAATCAATAGTTCGAATATTTTACAATTTCATTTTTATATTTAAATTATATAACGTTAAACATCTCTTAATTAACTAAAATCATTTTTCTCTTTTCTTACTATCTTACTAATAATATTTAGAAATATTAATCCTACCATTTTAAATTAAGAGTTTATTTTCAATCTAAAATATTTAAATAAAAAACAAAGAGAAATTTATTATTCCTCAAACACAAGAATCAAATATTTATTTTCAAAAATATTATAAATAGCAAACATCAAAATACTCACTTGATAATATCAAATTCTTCTAAATTTTTATAGAATTAGAAGTAGATTAATGCAGAATATACATCAATATAAAAATTAATAAATCAAAAGAGAGTATTTATATTAAATAAATCTTAATCCATGAATAAAATATAATTATCTAATAATTTACTATATAAGATAATCAAAAGAAATTTAGAAATATAATTAAATTAAAATGCAAATTTTATAAATTTTCATTTTTAAGAATAAAATATAAAAATTGTTTGATTGACATTAATCTTTTTTAATTCTAAGTTAATTTGAAATAATTTACAATCTTAATTAACTTAATAATTTTTATTTACTAATCTAAATTTGATTCACATTTGAATATGCAAATCATTAATAATGTAAATATAAATTAATTACAATTCTAATAAATTTATTATCATTTCTACATGCCGAAATCATATAAAATTAAAAATATTTATTATAAATTCCAATAATTGTTATGATCTCCTAAAGATTAATTTGATATAAAATTATTTTAATACAAATAAATATTTAATACAATTTTCATTAATAGTTAAATGGTTTTAAGTCTTTTAAGATCTCCATATTTTTATAAATTCGTATTATCAGATCTATAATAAAATTAATTTTTACTTTCCTAAGTAAATATTGCCTAATCGAAAGGACCAATAATTTTTAATGCTTTTCTAAATTGATTTTTTTTCATTAATTCTAAATTAAATATGTTTAATTAATTTAAAGATATAAATATATCCAAAAATTCTGATTATTCTTATAAAATAAAATCAACTTATTTTTCATTTATTTTAACTAAAATTTTCATTAAACTAAATAGTAATTTATTGAGTATTTATTTATTTGTGATGATAGTATAATCAGGTTGGATATGATATTAACATTTAATTTTAATATTATAAGATGATTCATAATATTAAAATATTTATTTCAATTTAATTTAAATCTAACAAGATGATAGTGTATTCTCTATTTAATGAGATAACTTATTAATCATTTGCATATATTTAATTTATATTTTACCATATTTATTTTAATCAAGTTAGGCTTAGTAAGTTAAAGCCATTTAAGATTTCAAGAATTTCGAGAAACTCTTAGAGCAAATTTAAATCCAAGCACAAAGTTATTCAATTTTTTCTGATTAAGATTTAATGAGTTTAGATTTTTAATCCATTATAATTACAAAAGTCAATTCAGTAACTTTAACTTCAGAGAGTTTTATAATAATATTCTGATTTGCAAATTTTTGATGATTTAATATGAATTCCTAATTATTAATAGAGTTTTCATTAGTATATTCTTTAGTTCTTTTGAATAAAAAGTCTTCAAATTTCATATTATTATTTATTTTGTAATTACGTAGAAAGGCTTTTAAATTATTTTGGTTATTGTTTAAAGGGTTGAACTATGGAAATTAGGTAAAGTTAGATTATACAACCTAGAATGCTAGAGTATTTTAATCGAAAGTAAATATAGCAAATGGATTATCAAATAATAATGGGATGAACTTTTCTACAAAAAAAAAATAGATATTTAATTTATACCTTTTTAATAATCCTAAATGATAAATAAGAACGACTATCGATATTATTTATTAATCCTTTAAATTACAAATATGGCCATAAACGCTATTAAAATAGCATATAAATATGTAATTAAAGATAAATCACCATTACTTAATTCAGCAATTAAGATTTTTATTATTAGGTTATTAATAATTTAAATTACAGCATATTTAAAATCAGATATTAAGATTATAATAATATGTAAGGTCATCATCACCTATCCAAAAATAAATGATTCTTAATAATCATAACTATTATTGACAGTGATTTAATAAATCATTAAGATATGATTAATAGTAAACAAATAAAAATCGATCCATTGTTTTTAAAGTTTATTAATTATGAAATGTGAAATAATTACTGCTATTCCAAGACCAAGAAATACTAGGGCATAAATAAATTATTATGCAACACTGGAAATAATTGTTCTAATTATACAAATTACCAGACTAATAATACTGATACCTTTGAAAACTGGTAATGTGAAGCCTTTTCGAGTTTCTTAGTATTTTAATTCTAGATCTTGAGAATTGAATGTGAGAGTGAAAGAGTTCATTCAATTTAATTATATTTTAATCAATTTTTTTAAAGCATATATAATTATTCAATCTTATTTAAGTATTACAAGTGTTTCATTTAAATTTCTTCAATATCACTGTCATATTTTTTCAAACTAATCTTTGAATGGTCAGCAGAATAACTGAAATATGTTATGATATATACATTTTCTTGGTTGATATTTATTATTTCTGTTAATTAAAATTTTAAGTTCTATCTACTATTTTATTTTTAATGGGAGGTAACTTATAATAATAGGAATTTTTGATAGGAGATTTGGAATTTAGGTTAATAATTTTTTAAGGACTTTTATTGTTTGATTAATCTTATTACTTAATAGTAACAAAAAGAATACCAGAATATAGCTATTTTATTTAACATCAGGGGATTGATTAATCCCATATTTTGAGATGTATGACATTTTGCCTTTAAATCGATCCTGAAAACTTATCATTGGAATATTTTATATTTATTAATAATTATATCAGGAACATTTATAATCAGTTGGTAAACCTGCGTTATAATTACATTGTGTTCCTTATTCAATTGATAATTTGCATTAAACTTCAGTTTTATCAACACATTTACCAGGACCATAACTAAAATAATAATTGATTCTAGTAGTCGCTGAAGTTATTGGTGTTGTTATAAGACCCGTTGTACATGTTTTTGTAGCAGTTGTACAAGTGATAGTTGTAGTTATTTATTTAACAACATTAGTTGCTGTTGCAGCACTTTCATCAAATTAATATAATTTGATATCTTTTTCAACAACAACTAAATTTGTGTCAGTCCAAGTCCATTCTAAATAAAAAGCTGTAAAACCAGTATCTAAATTAATTGCATTAGCTGTAGCAACAGAAGTTGTTGGTCTCAATGCTATTATGTCAGAAAGAGCATTTCTAATTCCAAATTATTCAGCAGCATAAGAATAAACTTACATATATCCATTTACAGTGTATAGATAATCAGTCCAATCAATTCTAACTGTGTGTAATTATCCATTTATCTTTAATTCTCTTCTTGAATATGGACATGATGCAAAATTGAGGAAATAATAATTTGTTTGATAATAAGCAGGTGAAAATTTAGCAATTCTAAATAAGGCTATCTCAGCAACTTACCATATTTTAGGTAGAATTGCTCTTCTCATTGTATAATCAAAACCTACTTAATCCTATCATTAATTTTATTTATAATACTCTTATTAATTGTAATGCTTAATATGCAGTTCTTTCTAAATAGAATGGATGAGAATTTGTAGTTTCAATTAATACTTAATAAAATAAAATGTATCTGTCTAATATTGCTTCCAACTCTGTTTATAATGTTGCTGCACTTTGACTTGCTTCAGGAGATTTCCATGGATTTATTGTGTATAAAGCAAACATATTTGCTTCAGTAGCAGCCAATGCTCCAACACCAGTAGGTGTAGTACCAGTTGTTTAAAGAGCTGATCCATCTGTGGTTTTAGAGAACCGAACAAAAGCAAAATTCAATTTACCATCTCCTTTATCCACACAAACATTGTCATATTGTAAACTAAACTATTCTAATGAGTCACATTTAGATGATAGAGCTCCTGTTGGGATTCCACTTCCTGAAGGCCCAGACCTGCAAGCTGCTACTTCATTTACCATATAACAAGGTAGATTAACACAAATGGTTCCATCATGTCTACAATATCCTGAAGCATTGCAAAGAGTTGCATCTGCATTAAAGGTTGTACAAACTTATTCTCCCACATAAACAGAACTTACTACTGCCAAAAGAACAAAAAAATAAATCATTTATTATTTATTTATTTATATCACGTCATTTGACATATATATGATGAACTCTAACATTTAAATCTTTATTTTTCATAAAATCATAACATTTTCTTCAATTTTTCAAAACTTTTACTAATAAGATGACTAAATGTTTTAACTAAATGTATGCTAGAATATTAAATAAAAAGTAAAAACAATAATATTCCTCATAATTATTCTCATAATCTTTATAATTTGAGATTATGAGAATAAATTCAAATGTTCTCTCTAATTCATAGATGCTTGACATTCTATAAATTATTAAAACAAGAATTCTGGTTTCATCAGTATTAACATTCAATACTATATTTTAATTAAATATCTATCAAATAATAATTATAGCCAAATCATTTAAGTTCCAAAAAAATAAAGAAAAATAGATTAATTTCAATCTAATTATAAGATAAATAAACCTATTAATCTATTCGTAATCTTTCTATAAAGATCCTCATTAATTTCAAAACTTTACTATGTACTTGCAAAGAAGTACATCCAAATCTATTCTCATTTATAATATTGAATCCAGTATTTATTTATTATGAACTACTAAATTTAAATAACACAATTATTCTTGTATTATTATAGAATATACTCAATGGTTTGACTAATAAAAATCTGCATATTAAATGAATTTATTCTGTAATATGGAAATACTCTATCCTATTTTCGATCAGTATTTTTTCTATTTCTATTTGATTAACTTAATAATTTGTTCAATCCTAATAGATTTATTTTAATTTCTTCGCATGATTATTCTTATAATAAGCAATACAAAATGCATCTCTTATAATATGTCCTCATCATATATATTTAAAAGATAATCAAATTATTTTTTTGAATATAATATTTACACAATATTATAATTATGCAAATACAAAGATTGTAATTTCAATTACATTTCTTGTTAATTTTTTTTACTTATGGTTAAGAGAATCAGTCAATCTTTTGTAATGACAATTAAATCACTTTTTACAAATTTGCTTAATATCCTGCTTTTTTTAATGAGACTACAAAAGAATATTAAATAAAAGAAAGTGTTGATTTTTTAGAAATTATATAAATATCTGAGGTTCAATAATTGAATAATAACTACACTCTAATTCATATTCATGCAACAGGAGATGAAATTTTCAAAGTTTTTAACAATCAAAATTAATATTATTTAGAAAGATCTCAAATATAGTTGCATTTTAATTAAAATAATTTTCATACATCTAATTTGATATCTTTTTAAAGCAACTTTTAATTGCCTTTATGCAACCAATTCCATTCCATTTATCAAAAATAATTCTAATTTTTAATTATTTGTGAGTAGGAAAATATATTTTTAATTTATATTCTTGAATTTTAGAATTAAAATTACACAATTAAGACTATTTCTTTAAATAAAACTAATAATGAATGTTAATTATCCATAAATTAATAAAGTAATGAAAAATAAATATATATTTCATTCATTAATTGTTTAAATTGGATTATTTATGTAATAGATTTTAAGGAAATACAAGAGCTTGTAAAATCTAATACAATTTTTTAAGATTAGATTTTAAGAACCTTTTATATTCGATATTCAGATCCTTATCTTATATTTGATCATCAAATTTATACAATTACAAAATATTTAAAACTATATAAAATATATGAAAATTTTGATAGAAAAATATTAACATGTTCTAAGATGCTTGAAAATCTAATTATAATTGTAGAACAATAAAATAATGAAGAAATATTTGATTATAAAAATAGTTTTCATATTTTGATTACTAGAAAAGAAAAACCTAAAGAAATCTTTGAGCTTAATAATAAAATAATACTTCATTATGAAAACTATATAGAACATTTGGAAACATCAACACTTTCATATAAACTCTATTTAAAAATTGATAAGCTAATTATTGTTAATTTCTAGAATAAATTTTTTTTTGGATTAAATTCCACAAAAATCTTTTTTTTCTAATAGAATACTTACTCACCTTATTTTAATTGTAATTATTATAAAAATTAGAATAAGTTAAGTTTTTTAACTAGTAATCTATATTATGATAATTAAATTACTTTTGTTTCAATCTTAAAGAATATTTCAGATCCTTTTGAAATATTTCAAAATTATTCATTTGTTGAAAAATTAATAAAGTAAGATTTCTCAATCACTTTTGATAAATAGAAGATTCTTAATGGAGTTATTCCAATTATTACTCCTTTAAATAATGCAGAATTGTAATGCAATAATAAGTTAGAGAAGATAACTTGTATTAATTAATATATAAAATCTACAAATTGGTTTTTAATTAAAAAATTTATGGATGGATCTTATGGAATTCTTTTTCAATAAAGAAAAAACTTATATTTTATAGAATGCAAACATTAAAAACTTACTTTTTTAGGAATTTTCTAAAATTTTTAATAAAGTAATATATTTTCTTATTAATACTAAATTATATTGATTTTAAATAATAAAACTAAAATTTTAGCAGTTGAAGTATCAATTTCTCTTGAATATATGATACTAGAATTTGAAGAATAAATTTTAGATGTATAAGTCTTTAATTATTAATTGATTGTCATTTTAGAATCTTGTTAGATATTTTCTCTATAGTCGCCCTTAAAAATGGTGGAATTAAAAATTAAAGTAATAAATAATATATATATTTATTAGAATTTTTAGATTTCACAAATTAATTGCAGAAACATGCACTATTTAAATGATTAAGTATCATTCCTCTATAATTAAAGCACTTTAATAGTTTTTGAAAATTTTATTACAACAACAATTTTACTTAATAATCTATAGATAAATAACATTAATAAAATTTATTTAACCTAAAATATTTATTTAATAGAAGAACAAAAGCAAGATATTATAACTCTATCAAAATAGGTCTATTTTAATTATTAATTTATAAAATTATAAGAATATCAAAAATTACATTTTGAATATTCATATCCATTAAATTATATACTAAATAGTAATTTTTTGGTAGTTGCTGCTTAAGCAGATGATACTTGTGTATTATTAGTTTATTCTTTGTAAACTAAAAAATAGAATAGTTTAATTTAAATTATTGATGTTGATTACTTTTCTTTTCACTTTATTGACAATGATCGTTTAGTTTACATTTATTAAAATTAGATTTATCAATAAAATATTGGTGAAATAAAATTGTATTGTTCAACTCAGTATTTTTTTGAGTTCAACAAAAATCTTTAACTTCAAATTCGAGTAGAGTTGAAATCAAACATTCTTTAAACAAGAATTTAGACCTTAAACATTTCATTAATAAATTGTATTGAAAATTTAATTGCTTTAAACAAATTTAAAATACAATTGAAGGAAGAAGATGCAAATAAAATAATATTAATAGACCCTAGAAAATATATCTCTGGGCCTCTTAATAAAATATCATCTTAAAATGATTCTATTATTTTACCAATTTAAATTATACATAACATTGATTTTGCTGAATGCACATTTTTTGTTAATTCTATTTGCATCAATACTTAAGAAAATTACGTTATATTAAATATTTTAGAGAATAAAAAAAGAATCTATGTATCTTAAATATAAGAAATTAGTTTTCATAAATAAAATGACTTATACTATCTTGTTCAATATTAATAATAACCAATTAAAATCAAAATTTATAATTTAGTTTCAGAATTATAATCATCTTTGAGCTTATTCTACAATTGTAATAGCAAAAAACACATTCATATTATTGATGATATCCTTATTTTTATTTGTAATTATGAAATGACTTTGTACATGATAAATCAAAATTCAATACAATATATTGATAAACTTGAAATATTGATGTTGGACATATAAATATTAAATGTTAAAAATAAAAAAAATTCATTTGTTATATATCATTTTGAACTTAAGGCAGAATTCCTTACTTATATTACAATTTAAGATGATTAAATAATTTCAAAAAGTTTTTCATTACTATAAGGAATTAGTAATTAAATCATTTACTTTTAATATTAAATTCATCTTTTGGAAATTGAATATAATTTAAATGAAAGTGATAATTAGAAGGTATTAACTAATAATTAATTTAGTAAATTTAATTAAAATTAATAATCTAATCTTCCAGTCTTTTTGGATATTTATATTTGGCTTGTTTAGATTTTAGTTAACTACAATTAGAATTAATATCACAATTAGGAATAATTAGATATTCATAAGGTATTGCTCCTTCAAGAATAATAACTCTTACAACAGACATTTTAATCTTCATAAAAAACAATAATTATCCAGTGATGGATTTAATTATATATAATATATCAAGAATTCAAGAATTTAATTTTCTTGATTAGATTTATCAAATGTCATGTGAGAAATTCTAATTATCTATATACAATTAGTCTATAGCATTTTTAACTTTGCCTTCACAATAAAAGCATTAAGTTTTAAAGTTTTCATCGTATGAATTAAATATAACTACTATAGATTCTTATAGCAATATAACTCTAAATTTTGAAAATATGATATCAAATTTAGATCTTGGAGTAGAATTTTCCAAATAATTTTAAGGTTTTTAAATAAAATGTGTTATGTTATTAATATTTATAAATACAATCTTACTTTTCATTTGGTTATTATTATTTAAAAAAATGAAAGTCAAGAAAAAGAGGATAAGTAAAAGTAATTTTAGAGGTTAAGTTGAAATAGAAATATGATTTTAAATTTGTATCATTAATATAGGAATGATGAATAATATTAAATAAAAAAATAAAATTTAACATTAAAATAAAGTTCTGTTAAAAGAAATAAAAATAAATAATTTTAAGTATTTAAATGTCATACTACAAACCATTTTATCAAAGTGCTTATGATCGCACAGCTCCAGTTTATCCACCAAGTTAATATACTCCTGCTTATTATGGTCCTTACGATCGCCCACATTCATATTAATCAAGAGCTCCAATGAGAGGTGAATAATGGTCAGAATATATTCCCGTGGAGTAGAGATACACAGATTATGTACCAGAGACAAAGGTTGAATATAGACCTGTAGAGAAATAATACACAGATTATATTGAAGGTTTAAAACATAAATTTATAATGTTTAGTTAAACATGAAACAGATTATGTACCAGTTCCTAGATTAGAAAAAAGAGTGGAATATATTCCAGTTGACAGATATGATGAACATGTGGATTATGTTCCAGTATAGAATAGCCATGTAGTGAGAGGACCTTAAAGTAGAGTTGGTTATGGAAGTTAATCATAATATTTACCACCACCTCCACCTGCTCCAACATCTTATTCAAATTATAGATATAGTCCAAGTAGAGTTAGTGGATATCGTCCAGCTACTGGTTACGGCTACAGATACCTTTGATTAATATATTAATTTAGTAATCCGTTTTCGTTAATTTTTTAATAATGTACAAATTCATCGCTTTAGCCTTGATTGTTTCATGTGTAATGGGTGTTCAGAAGGATACAAAGACATTGTTAGCTGAAATTGATGCTGACAACTTTGGAAATACAATTCTATCAACAGTTTAAATGTATTTACAAGCAAAAGGAAATGCAGAAGAAATTTTAGTGTTGTTAAATTAGGTTTTAGCTGGTTTAGTTGATGATTAAAATAAACATGATAATGTTATCAGAGTTGATAGAGCTGCTTGCACTCGTATAGTAACAGATTTAGAAAACTCAATTGCTTATCATTAAGCTTAAGTAGCTGCTAATGCTTAAATGAGAGAAGATAACGAAAAAGCTTTAGCAGAGGCTGAAAATGATGTAAGATAAACAATTTAAGTAAAAATTTGCATAATAAATAATTAATTAGGATATTGAAAGTAATGAAAGAACATTTGCTCAAGAAGAGGCTAACAGAAATAAGGCTCATGAAACATGGGTTAGAAAGAATGGAGAGCATGATGATGCTATTGCTGCTGTTGATGAAGCAACTAAATTAGTCTAACATCTTTCTCTTGGTGCTACTTTTGCTGAACTCAAACCTAAATTTGAAGCTGTTTAAAAGAGATTGATTGAAAATGAAAGTCATGGTGCTTTATTCTAACCAATTGTTACAGCTTTGACTGAATTAGCTACTAAAGTTGATCAAAAAGCTATTTAAAGAATTCTCTAATTGCTTTCATAACTCAGATAACAATTAGTTGAAGCAAGATCAGTTTTAGAAGTAATTATAATATATTAAATATATATAGGATACTGAAAATAGATAAGCTTAAAGATGGGCTGAATTCTCTACTCATTTGAGCAATGAGCACAATAGATTGGTTGATAGAAAGAATTAATTGGAATAATCAATCCAAACTTTCAAGACCAACATTGATACTGCCACTCATTTCTTCGAAGTCCATTAAGTAATTATAATTATTTATATCTATACTAGTTGGAATTAGAATAAGCTCAAGAAACTCTTGATGCTGAACATGAATGGTGTGCTCTCTAAGAAAACACTTATGATACTTAAACCACAGAAAGATAAAGATAATAAGAGATTGTTGAAAGAATCTTAGAGCATTTAACTGAAAAATTAACTGCTACATCCCAATATCTTGGTGGCAGATTCTGAGATTTAATCATAAATATTAAACATTAATAAGGGACAACATTATTAAACATTTATATAATTATTATACAATGTACTATATGTATAAAATATTGTTCATTGACCAATTAAGGCTGATGCTGTCTTTGAAACACTAAACATTTATTAATATTGCTTACTATTTCCAATTTGATGGCAATTTTTATGTTCTTCTGTAATATCTACTTAATCTATGAATTCTGCTCTCAACCAAAATCAATCTGAATTTGCTTGTAATATCACCTCTATTCTTTTCTAAATGTTTTCTAATTTGAACAGCCTTCTTAATCAAAGCATATAAGTCTTCTGGAATCTTTGGAGCACAACCTTTAGGTTATTCTACCTATTAATACCTCTCTTTTTTAAGATTCTCAATATCTTTTATCCTGTTAAGAATCTTGTTTATGGAATTCCTTATTGATCTCTTAAATAAACACCAATTTATGATCCATTCAAACCTCAAATTACATTTATTTCTTTACCCTTCTTTGCCAAATTCACTATTTGATCAACAATTGACTTTGATGATAGAGTCAACCATTTTGGAGCTTTTCTTTTGTATGGAAGGGCCGATCCAGAGATACCCTTTCCCTTTCCCTTGGCTTACATGCGTCCCATTAATAATTTAAAGATTTAATTTTATTTTAAATTTTATCCATTAAATGATTAAAATTCACTCATGTTTGTAGAATACCTTTGGCTTCTCAATTGAATTGCTTTTCTATTTATGAATGCATACATTCCATGATGCCATAATGAGGGTTCAAAATTATTATCATCATCAATAAAGAAGAATTTCTTGTCTAATTCTGGAACGTCAAACTTATTCTCCCAAATTGGTGCTCCATCAAGTACCTTTCCAATCTCTCCTTGTATATTTCTTTAATAAATAGATCCTGCTGCTATTCTAATTTGAATTATGATTAAATTACCTTGATCCCAAAAATACTGCACCAACAATTCCTGCCTTGAAATAGATTGCCAACTTTTTAGCAACTGGAATACGATTGACTGCCTCTAAACTCAAATAAGTTGAAATTAAAGTTGCCTTATTCTAAAAGCTTCCCACTCCATTCACCAATGATGCCACTTTATTTTATGTCTCTGTTGGTACAAGAGATGTGTGAGTCCACCAAGTTTTATTATTTTAGGATAGACTGATGTACATTAATTTATTTAATATATAATCTCAAACCTATTAGTAATAATTCATTTATTATTGTTTGTTAATATGCAATAATCAATTATAATTAATTCAAATGTTACACCATTTTTAAACATCTGAATCTGTGCTTTTGTATACAATTATTAATATTATATTTAATGGATCATATAGGTCTTTTACCTAAAGCAGAGAGTGCAGTAGTTGTTGATAGTGAAATCGAAGGGACAACAAAAATAACGTATATAGAACCGATAAGATTATAAAAGAGGAGAATAGTACTTGGAGTGTTTCTTTCTGTCATCACAAGCTTTTTGTTTACTTTAGCTTGTAGTTGGTCAAAGAAACTTGTTAGAAAGTTTTTCTTTAAAGAATCATAATTAGACAAGGCAACCCATATGTGGATTACAAATAATGATAATTCAAATAACATCTCAAAGTTAGTAAAAAAGCAAAATCAAGTTTATTTTATCAATCGAAAACTAAAGTACATATATGATAGTGCAATGAATACATTTAAAGCTCTTGAATATGATTTGAAGACCAAAAGAGATTTATTATAAGCTAGAGGAATATCATGTAAATATATGATTAATTAAATTAGAACCTTTGTAATACCAAGAAGAGTTTGGGAAATGCTTAATTGATATTCCAAAGCCTAATTTGTTTGTATATTTGGTTAAGGAATTGACAGCCCCATTTTATATTTTGTAATATTTATCATGTTTTTTATGGGTATTAGAAGGTAATAATTGAATAAATAAAAAAGACTTGGCAATATTGTCAATCATAATGATATCTGTATCATTGATATTTACAACAATAAATTTTTTGCTTTTATAGAATTCAGCAAAGAAATTGAGAGATATGGCAAAGAGTTTAGCTTAAGTATAAGTGTATAGAGGAGAAGAAATATTTAATAAACTAGGAATTTAATTTAAAAAGATTGATAGTCAAGATTTAGTTCCAGGAGATGTGATTGCAATTGAAAATAAAATGACATTACCTTGTGATTGTGTTCTAGTTTCTGGAGATTTATTAATGAATGAAGCTTCTTTGACAGGGGAATCAATTCCTATACCAAAGATTCCAGTTGAAGATTTGGATTAGCCTATTTCATTTATGACTGATAAAAGACATTGTTTATATGAAGGAACTAAAGTTTTACTAGCAAGACCTGCTTACTAATATGTTATAGCAATAGTTGGTAGAACAGGATTTAGTTCATTTAAAGGATAGATTTTCAGAAGTGTATTATATCCAAAAGTTTAACCTTTTCCATTTTATAGTTAAGGAATAAAATATTTAATTTGTTTGGCCATATATGTTTTAGTTGTTTATTTTGCATTGCTACCAAGATTTATTTCAGTTGGATTTAGTTTTATGATAATATTTTTAAGATTTTGGGATGCTTTGACTTGGATAGTACCTCCAGCTTTACCAATTTTTGTTTCTATGTGTTAGACTTATTCTTTAGTTAGACTAAGATAAAAAGGTATTTTTGGTATCGATCCTAATAAATCACTTGTAGCAGGTAAGATCAATACAGTTTGTTTTGATAAAACAGGAACATTAACAACAATAGGTATTGATATGTTTGGATATTAATTGAGAAATTAAACTAAATTTGGAAAGTTCATACCAAAAAATTAAGTGAATTATAAAAATAGTTTAGAATTTAAATTATTTGCTACTTGTCATGGAACATATGAAATAGAAGGTGATTTAATGGGAGATAGTCTAGATGTTGAGTTATTTAAATTTACAGATTTTAAAATTGAAAAAAACCCTCCTCAAAATATAAAATCTAGAGTTGTAAATAGAGAAGGTATTGTATTAGATGTACTTAAACTTTATGAATTTGAATCAGCTTTATAAAGAATGAGTGTAATAGTAAAAGACAAAGATGATTATTATGTTTTTGTTAAAGGTTCACCTGAAAAGATGGCTGAATTATCTATTCAAAATACAATACCAGTAGATTTTAAAAAGACTCTTAATTTATTGACAATGAAAGGATTAAGAATATTAGGATTTGGATACAGAAAAATAACTTAGGAAGAAAGTGAAAGATTAATGAATGCTAGTAGATAAGAATGTGAATAAGATATTTAATTTTTTGGATTATTAGCAATGGAAAACAAATTAAAACATGATACTCCATAGGTTATTAATTTATTAAACAATGCATGTATTGATCTAAAAATCATTTCAGGAGACAATCCTTTAACTACTGTATAATGTGCTAGGGAATGTGGAATAATTCCTAATGATAAACCAGTCTTATTATTAGATTATAATGAAAAAGAAGTATTTATATTATTTATTTAATTAGTAATAATTGTCCTTAGATGAAATATGTGTTTTCGAAGATAATAATAATATCAATCAATAAAAATAAAATAGTGAAATTGAAGTGCTTATTGATGATGTTCAGGATATAAATGAATAAATATTAGATCATTAACAAATAATGAATAAATTGATTCAACATTTATTGACTGCTTAAAATATCAAAAGGTCAATTATCACTGAAAATGATAGTCTTAATGCAAGTCATTGTTTTGCAATGAGTGGTAAAGCATTTGATTACTTTTGGGGTTAATTACCAAATGAAGAAACCAAAAAACATAATAAATAATCCTTTGCTGGATTTGAATAACCTATAGATAATGTGGAATAAATAAGAATATAAGGATTAACTGAAGAAGAACTTCATATTAAATTATTTGCATCAATCTGTTTAAATGCAAAAGTTTTTGCAAGAATGAGACCAGAATAAAAATCTATGGTCATAGAAAAACTTTAAGAATTAAAAAAAATGGTTTTAATGATAGGAGATGGAGCAAATGATTGTGCAGCTATTAAATAAGCAAATGTTGGTGTCTCATTTGCTTAAAGTGATGCTGCATATTCAGCTCCTTATTCTAGTGCAGATGATAGTATTGATTGTGTTAGATAAGTACTTTTAGATGGAAGATGTGCACTTTAAAATGCACTAGAAGTATTTTAATATTATGTTGGAGCCAGTGTAATAAAATATATAGCAGCTATGATATCAATGGCTTTTGGTTAAAATTTTGGAGATTTACAATATATTGTTATCAATTATGTTGGTTCTTTGCCTTATCTTAAATCGATTTCACTTTCCAAACCTTCTATTACATTGACTAAAGATCTTCCAAATGAAAGTATGATGGCACTTTCAAATGTAGCTGTCTTAAGTTTCTAAATTTTTGTAGCTTCATTTGGTTTAGTGATTAATTTTCTTTATTGGAATAGTTTAGAATGGGAGAATGAACCAGGAGTAGTAGATGGGAAATTTTCAAAAGAAGGAACATTATAAACAACTCAATTTAAAAGTTTATAAATTTATTTCATCATGGCTGTTATTGCTATTTACACTTCAAGACCATTCAAGTAAAAAATCTTTACTCATAAAATTATGTTAATATTTATATGCATAAGTTTATTCTTTACTTTATGGATTTTCTTCACTTTTTAAGAATGGCAATTTAAAGTATTAAAACTCTATGACACAAATTCATATCATGGTAGATCTTATAATTTTATGCAATTTATTTTGACAATTATAGTAGGATTAGTAATGTTATTAGGTGATGAATATTTCATAAGAAAAATGTTTCCTACAAATCAAAAGAAAACTAAAAAATCTAGAGTTAAACCAAGTATGTCAAATCATATTTCTTGAAAATATTAAAAAATAAAGAACAAAATTCATTTTTTAGTTAAATCATCAATCTTATTACGCAATTTTACATTTTACATAGTTAAATCTTTTATCATTTTTTGTGTTTCTACATCCTTAGTCAAAGTCTTAAAGAATTCATCTCTCTCTCTCTTTAAAACTTTTATCTCCTCTTCCAACTTCTTTACCTTTTCATCTATTTAACCTGATTTTGCTTATACTTATTATTATTATTATTATTATTATTATTATTATTATTATTATTATTACTAAGGTAATTCCTGTTTACTTCTATTTACTTTCTAAAATCATATTAATTATATACTTCTGCTATTAATTCTTTGATCATTTACTCATTACGACTATTTTCTTCTTTACAATACTTCAATTCCTATCTTAATTTTCTTGTCTCCTCATCATCTGCTGGTTTATATACTATCTTTGTTTCTTATTAAGGCTAATTTTTTTTTAATTTTTCTAATTCAGTTTTCAATGCAAATATGTACTTGTCATCATTCTCACTCTTTTCCAATAAAATCTAAAAATAATCACAATAACAAATACTTTTTTGTTCTTCTCATATTCAACTTTGACATCTTTTATTTGATCTTCCAATATTTATCTCCTACTTGATACTGCTTTTATCTTCTATAATAAATTCTCATTTTCCTATTTAACTGCATCATATTGAGATTTCAATAACTCATATTATTATTTTTCATTATTATTTTTGGATTCTTATCTTGATTATTTAGACATTTAAGAAACATCAGAATATTAAGAAGATGAACCTAATTTTGTATTTAAATCTTTGACTTTTGATTTCAATATTTCAATCTGTTATGCTCTGCCTTTCCATCCATTTTCATCCAACAATATTTAATCTAAATTTACATTCTCACCTACTTCCCTTTATATTATTCTTATTGCTTTATTTAATTCTGTTTTAACTTATTATAATTTAACACGCTATTCTTATACTTTCTTATCTGCATCTTTGAATTTACTCTTAAAATCATCAGCTATACCAACATCCTCCTTCTATTATTCTGATCCTTTTAATGCTTTTGCTAATGGATCTGCTTTAGGAATCGAAGCTTTTGGAAGACTTTTATCTAATGCTTTAATTCCTTCATCAGTTTCTTTTAATGCTTTGTTTACTTGTTCTTCAAGTTTCTTTCTTGATTGTCTTTCTTTCTCATAACTAAGCAATAATTATCTATTCTTCTAGACTAATTCTCTAATTTTTCTATCCTTTAAAGTTTCATTTTTTGAATTGATCACCTCTTCACATTCCTCTGCCAATGTCTTAGGAGGTTGTTTCTTATAAAATTCTAATTATTTTTAAATTGCTTCTATTTTATTTTATGGTCTACTGCAATATGATCATTAATACTGTATTTATGGTAATTGTTCGACCTTACTATTTTATGAATGGCTTTTATGTTAATATTATTCTTCATCCTCAGATGATGTCTAATTCTGCTTGTATTTTTATTCAAATTCATTAATTTGATAAATATTTTGTTCATATTCTTCATCATATTAATTATCTTCCTCTAAACTACTCATTTAATATTTAATAAACAAAAACCTAAAAATATATCACATTATTTTATTTATTATGAAATGCATTATTCATTATTTCAATAGATGTAGAATTTATAAAAATATGGTATGATTAATTTAACAATAACTTTAAAATTCCTTATATATAAAGTTTTTAAAATGTTATAAAAACATTTCATTTAAATTTTAATAATTCATTCTCATATTACTAAAAATGGTCTATATCTATTTTTATAAATATTATTAGTTATTACAAGGAAATTTAGAAATCATTATTACCCATTAAATTGGAATTTTAATAATATATATTAAAAAACTTAATTAAAATAAAACTCATGAAATTCACAAGGATTTATTTAACTAAATTGCATTCATTCATAAAATAAAAATTATATAGTATACAATTATCTAAAAGGTTGAATTGAAAAGTTTCATTACTTTTTGCAGATAATAAATTATGTTATTAGTATTCTTTAATTATAATATTGAATAGATAATGACATACACTAACATTAAAATAGTTTATCTAATATTAGTGATATAATTTATCAATTAAAGATTACTATGAAGTATTAGAATTTAGATTGTGCTATGGTAACATAATTGAATACTAATAAGAGATGATTTATTATTCGAATTTAATTTTGTTATCCCAAGTCCGGTATTGAAAAAATATGATTAATTTTTACAATATTGGTATATGGGATATTAATTTGGCCTAGCTTGGATTTCTGATATAGTATAGAACTAAAATTCAGAGATTTTCTCTAGGCTTATTTTTTATCATAATTTAATTAATGAATTATTATTAAATAACAAAGTAATTAAATAGCAGGAATTAATATGTATTCAAATTAAAAGCTTGAAAATTAAATTAAAGAGATATAAAAAATTAAAGAAAGGGTTATAAAATGTTGATTAGTGTCATATCTATTGAGAAAGATAATGAAATTAAAGGCATTGATATTTTTATATTATTGATTTATTTGAAATACTAGATATAATATAAATGATAAATATATGTTGTAGTGTTTATATATAGGTTTTAAGAATGTTTCTTGAGAATTGAGTTTTATTATAAAATCGATAAAAACGGTATTGAGAGCAATAATAAAATAAAATATGAGAAGTATAACAGGAGTGATATTGATTCTTTTGTTAAATTAGAGTGTTTTTTGCAGTCCAAAGAAAATCAACACAGATTTTTTAAATTTGTTGAGCTCAAAAACAAACGTGATGAGTTCTTAGGATGCAATTCAATCTGTTTTAATTCTTTTAGAAGATTTATAAGGAGCAAATGTAGAAGCTTAAGATAAGGCAGATTTAACATTTTAGAGATTTGAGAATGCTATTTTAAAGGATATTAATGAGTTTTCAGGAATAGTGAATGTGAATTCAAAGAGTGCAGCAGCTGCTCAATAAGACTTAGAAGCTGTTGAGTAAGGATTTTATATAATAATTAAGTCTTAAGATTTAACAAACAACAGATTATTTGAATTGGAATAATAAGAGATATAAGGGAAACGAAGTAAAATTAGAGAATTTAGCAGAGTATAATAGTAATTAAAAATAATTAGATAACGTTGTGAAGCTAATGCATTATTTATTGATACATTAAGAGAATATAAAAATGCACTTTCGGTATTGGATTGGGTTAGAAGTGATGCATAAAGCAAATAAACAAATTTAGTAGAGAAAAATCATATAGGTGATTATGCTGAGAAATTAAGCAAATATGCAAATTTATTTGAAGAGTAGGCAGTATAAGATTTTGTGAAATTGGGTGATGATGAAAGTTCATTTACTTAATCAAGTAATATTATATATATATATTGAAGGAAAGAGAGATAATGGAGAATAATTAGTATAATTAATGACAAAGGATGTAGTAGGTGTAATTTAATAGTTAATAGAGAAATTGAGAGAGACTATAAAGGGATTGGAAGAGTAGGAGATTTAATCAGCTAATGATTTTGCAGATTTTAAGACAAATCTATTGGCTGAATAAGAATCTTTAAAATAAGAATATGATGCAAAGGCTAAGTTCTTAAATTCATTACAAAATGATAAAGAATTGGCATCTGACATATTAATAAAGAAGAAAGAGTTATAAGAATAAAGCATGAGAATATTGAGTCTAACATAAGGTAATGATTTGGAATGAGATGTAGAGGAGTACAATTATAAAAAGAAATTGTATAATGAAGAGAAGGTAAAGAGACATGAAGAGAACTAATTGTTGGAGGAATCTCTATTAATATATAGAGAAAAGATAGCCACAGTTAATGAATATTTAAAGAAGAGAGTGAATGAATATGTTGGAGATTCTTTGATTGAAGAAAATGTTGTAAGCAAATAGCAATCTATTTCGTAAAGAAAAGGATAATGAGTATATCTATTATTCATTGAAGAAATATTAAATATATAATGTACTGATGCAAATATGTCAATAAAAGAACCCAAGGATTTTACCACCTATGTGTCTTTATCTTGCTTCTTCATGAGTGAGGATTCCAACATTAGTAGTTAATACTACACATCCAAATTATCTAGCAGGAAGAATATTATTGGCCCATCTTTCGAATTCTCCTAAAGTAACATCATAACGAGGAGATATTACTCCACATTTATTGATACGACCTATTTTTTATAGGTTTATGCAAATACCTAATAATTCAACAACTATTTTGCCACTTCTGTGATCATCAACAATTTCAAATTCTCCAATATAGCCATGTCTTTACATCACTTATAAAAATTTCACTACTAATTTTGATGTAGGTCTGATTAACACTTGTTTTCTTCCTTATCTAAAATCATATTTTGATTCATTATTAACCTTTCAGCATTTACTATTGAACGTAAACAATCATTCAAAACATTCATCTTCACCATTGCTTAAAAATCAAGAAATAAAAGATTATTTTAATTTTTTATTAATAAAACTATGATTCCTGAACATATAATCTAAAAACTCAAAACTAAACAAGGTCATTACTCAATTGATGTTAAAGAATCTTTCATTGATAAATAACGTCGTCTAAGTGAAATTGAACGATAAACTGTTCTTTAAAAAAAACATAAAGAAATGCAACTGTTCAGATAAACATTTTCTTCATCTAATTCCAAATTGTCTAAGCCAGGCAAAAGAATTATGATAAAAACTAAAGGATGTAGTTAAGCTATTCCATTAGAATAATTTTAATAAACTATTTCAACTCCACTTCCTCCTACACCCTCATCTAATATTGGTCGTAAACATCATTAATCATTATCATAATCATTACCAAGATTGGAATAAGAAAATAATTATACTACTACATTAAGAAAGGAACCAGAACTCTAATTGAATACTTAATAAGATACACACAATCAACTTGAATAATAAAATCAAAATATGTAAACAGAATAAATAGAACAAATGTAAATTCAACCTTCTGAAGAAAATAATAATGATCATATCTAATGCATGGTTGAATAGCATTTATCTGATTATTAAGCTTTTGTAATGCATTTGGCAGGTATACAATTAAAAGATAAAAGATAGGGAAATGCATTTGTGTTTAATGTCCATGTGGAAAATGTAAATGTAAATTTGAGTATTAACCATTTAAACCTAATATTTCATGGAAATCCCATTACAATTAAGAGTATAAGGAAACACAAATGAAAGATTAAGAACTCAAAATGAATCTAAATTCTATTGGTAGATATTAAACTTTAGATTTGAATGAATTTAAAACTACAATGGCTTCTGATTATAAATAATGTGATCCCTTTCCAAATTATGTTATTGAAAAATAAAAATATTAAGCCAACTATGGATCCACTCCTATGACATCATATAATGTATAAATTATTAATGTTAATTAGAAATTTTATATGGATTATGGAGACTTACATCATGAATAATTCAAACAAAGTCATTATAAGACAGTGATTCCAGAATTAAAATTTAATTCATCAACAACATATGGCAGTGAATTTAAGACTATAAAATAAGTAGACACAACTGTAATTGATAAATATGTCATTAGAGAGTCAAAAACCACCAAATGGTAAACCTTTTCCAACGATAGACCTATTTTTAGGATAATCATAAAATAAATTGGTACACGATTAAAAAATTGTTGAAAAATGTTTTTAAGTTAAAAACTTTTAAGAGGTATTTAATTGGAATAATATAAATATAGCCAATATAAACAATTCCAGCTTTTGATAAATAATTTGTAAGTATGACAAAAAAAGATTTTGTAATGAAGGAAATTCCATGTATTAGGAATCAATATTCATAATAATAATAATATTGAAATAATAGTAGATTTTATTAATTATATATATATATATATATCTAATACGTTAATTATTTTGTTAATCATACCTGACATTATACAACTAATTGTCCATTTGACATTAAATATGTTTTGCTATCATCTTATGACCATTAGATTTGGGGATGATTTAAAGGCTATTACTTAACAGTTATATCTTTAGCTGGTTTCCCTTGTATACCGATAATGGCTCCAAAGAATCTAATTAGATAGTTTAATCTCCATACCCTGTAGATCCAACTTTCCATATTTTGATCTTCCAATCAGTATCACTAAAACTTGCCAACTATTTACCTGTATGGTCGAATTCTAGACAATTAACTTAACCACTATGTCCATCCAAGACTCTCCATTTAACAGCAGTTCTCAAGTCATAGATAATAATTTAAGTATCTCCAATAGCTATTTTTTAAGTTTGTTGATGGAAACAAACACATTTAAAGGTTTTGCAAATAGTTTATAAAGCATATGTAGCAGATCTATGACAAACTTTCCTTAAATTAGGATTATTTGGATCAAGACTTTTTAGAATGATATCCATAAGAAATGGTAATTGTTTATGGATATTATTATGTTATGATTTGATGTAATTTCTAATGATTTCAATTATAGATGAAGGATATAAAAAATGAGTTTCTAAATTCACAATATCTTTATTTAAGATTTTAGTAAATTCTAATGGAGCCGAAATGGCAACTTAGATGATACTTTTAGCAGTTAGTTGTCTCATTCTTTTTTTCATATCTTCTGATTACTTACTAATTTCTTTTAATAAATTAATTAATTGCATTTATTAACCACCTTAAGTTAGAATTTCTGAATAATCTATTACAGTGTTATATTGAAAAAAAATGAAAAATAGATTTTTAAAAATTTCTTATGGATTGTATGAATTTCTAAAATGTTATTAGACATCAACAAAGACTTTTAGAAGAGGAGCACAAAGGTGAGGATTTACAATACAATTTTTGAGATTTAATCCTTAAATCACTCTTCTCTTTTAATCTTCACTTTATTAGAGAGTCTAACACATTCCTGTTAAATAGGATTCTAACATAAGTAGTATTACTTCCACATTTGAAAAAGCATGTCCTTTCTGCTCTTTATTTAAATCTAGCAGCTCTCTAATTAATTTATGCTATTCATGCATATCTTAATCAGACTTTCTAATTTATGAAAGTATTAAATTACATGCGGCATTCATGACTTCATTAGATTCATCAATAGTGTATTATGCTAACAAAAATAAATCCATAGACTTAAAATTTAAATCTAATAATTATTTCTTTTTTGTTAACAATTCAACAGTTTGTATCATTAATTAATTAAATACTTATGCTTCTTTGGATAAATAAGACAAATAGAAATGCATTAATGACATAGCTCTTTAAGAAGTAAAATGTGGTGAAACATCCCAGCCACGAGATAATGCAAAACTAACACAATAACCCATTGATTAAACACCTATCAAAGGAGAGAATGTTGGTTTCTAATAATTCAATATCTAATCTAATTATGTACTTAATTGAGCATCAGCCTCCCAAGGATGTAACATTAAAAATAATCTATTTTAATTATGATTATCTCCTTATTTCTTTAAATCCCACCATTCTAATTCACCTATACTTGTTTCAACAAACTTACACATTCTCATATTATTTTTTACAGAATTATGATCTATTAAATATAACATTTTAGCTGCTTATTCAGCCTCAAATTACCATTATTTAAATTATCCTCCTACTTCATATAAACTAGGATAAGGAGATTACATTTTGATATAATTATTTCTTTATTGAAATTCAAGTAATTAATAAACTTTACTTATAGATTTATTAAATTCTCTTTTAAATTCACTTAAATGATGATGACTTATCATTTTATCTTTAACTTTATTTAATTTCTTTTCTACTTGAAATAATGAATGATATTATTCTATTATTAATGTTCTCAAATATCTTCCCTTATAATCAAATACCAATGATTCTCCTCCTTAAACTATAACAAACCATTAATCTCCTTAATCTTCATAATATAATCCTAAAACTTATTGATTTATTCCATGTAATTTTAATGATACACTTCCATCTTATAAATTAATTATAATAATAACATTATTTTCCATTAAAATTGCAATCTTTTAAAATTTTTATTATTAATTATTTGTTTACATTTCCTCATAAGATTCATTTTCCAATTTATGAATTCTTATTGTTTTTTTTGCATAACTTGGAAAATAAATTCTCTATGATGGTTCCAAATCTATGAATTCTACTTATTATTCTCCTATCTTCTCATTAAATACTAAATTATAATCCATTATTATAAATTATCCACTTTCAGAACTTGCAATTAAATATCTTCCCTTCTAATATATAAATTTGACTATTTTTTCATCCATTTTAATTCTGTAAATAAAATATGATTTACTACTATATGTTGTTGGAAATCCAAATATGATACCATTACTACAACCAAACCAATAAATTTAACTCTCCTCATTTACACTAATAAATGCACTTCTTATTTATGTTTCAATATTTATATATGGTAAATATTTAATTTTAAATTATTAGGAAGTCATTTAACCTAAATTCCAAATCAAATCATCATTATAAGATTTTGTGAAATCAAATGCATCTACTTATTTACATCCTTATTTCAATGTTTCAATCTTTATTAAATCAGAAAATGTGTTGAATGACCATTTAAATCCATTAAATTTAATATCTGAATCAGGTTAGTTAATACGAATTAATGACATATCCAAAGTTACATCAATCAAATTGTATTTACATAAATACTAATTTTTATATTAATATACAAGATTCTTTAATATATATATACCATTAAGCTCTTTCTAAATTTCAGAACCTTATATTAATTCTTAGAAATTAATTTAAAGTCTACTGAATTAAGAACCTGCTATTTTTGTAAATTAAAACTCTTTAAAGCCATAAACAAAATCACTTTGTTCCTTTAAAATAGATAATAAATATATTATATCTTTGTATTCCATACCAAGTAGACCTCCATTTCTTGTAGTTATATATAGATATTCTTTTGAATAATGAATTTTAGTAAACTTTTAATTATTTTTAGATTAACTTATACACATAATCCAAGGTGTATCAAATATATCAAAAATCAAATAAAGTTATCTATGCATCAAAATAGTCAAATGTTAATATTCTTAATTAAAACTCATATGTCTGATACGATTACATGAAATACCTTCAATTTTAAGTTTCTTTAATCCATCACATAATTTTAGTTCCTTAAAATCCAATTTTATTTATTCTCTTTTCTTATTAAATTCCTTATAATTCAAATACCTTTCATTATTAAGAGGAGACAAATTAATAAAATGTAACTAGTTTTCCTAATCGAATACACATACAGTATTAATATCAATTTAACAAAATGAACGTACTTTACAGTCATATTGTTTTACACTTCTCATTTTCCAAAGATCAAAAAGACTTAAACCATTTTACATTCCCAACATCAAAAACCTGCAATTATTGGAACTTAAAGGTATACAGTATTGTATTGGTCCTGTACTATCATGTGCTGATATTCCAACACAACGTCCATCAAGACAATCAAATATTCTTATTCTTTTATCCTCATGAATTGTGAGTATGCATTCTTCTGCTCTATCTAAAATGTTAAGAAATGACATTCTAACTAAATTCATAGTTAATAATTTTCCATATGCATTTGAAAGGTTTGGGTAGATCACAATTCTTGGATTAAGATTCTACATCCAAATTACTATATCTCCATGTTGACCACCAGTCACTAAAATATTATCATTTGCAATCATTGTTTATACAACATGATTCTAAAGTGTCTTATTTCTGTAGAGCAAAGGAAAAATAAAATTCGGCATTATTTATGTACAATATAATAAAATATAGTTTGCAATTTATTTATATTTTTTAACATTCTATAGTTCTTCTATGTTCATCCTATTTTTTATGTATCCCATTTATTATTTTATATATAAATGAAGATAATTAATTTAAATAATTATTTATGGAATCTGCAGTTGGAATTGAATCATTTCTTCAAGAAGGATAGCCATTTAAATGTATTTTCAAACATCGTTTCACTGATTTCATAGTCTAAGAAATTGATCTCAAAAATTAATTAGCTATAATATCAGATAAAACTAAATGGCTTAATTTTGATTAAAAGTAGGATCATCCATAATAACAAAAAAATAAGACATTACCATTTGCAAATCTATCTCTATCTGAAGAATTTCTTTAATAATCAACTCAGCTATTTGGATAAGAGGTTACTGAATAATTTAAATAATTGGTGGAGAAGGTAAAGACCACTGGTAAATGTGTGTAATTTGAGACTAAAGTTTCATTACCTGAATCAAAAGAAGATAGAATAAAAGTACATTAATTGATTAGGTAAAATATTCCATTTCTTGAATCCTTCACTAAAAATGTCCACAATTAAAAGCCTAAAGTAGAAAAAAAAGAAGATAAAGCTAATGAAAAATTGTAGGAGTAGACACTCTAAAAAGTTTAAGAATAAACACTTTAAGATCATATATTAATCAAGACTAGTAATATCAATTTTAAAAAATATGTTGCAAGTTAGACAACAAGTAAAGCTTATGGAGAAAGTAAGAAATTTGTAAAATTTTTATTAATGAAAAGAAATATAGATTCTATTAATGCAGGAATGTTTATATCAAAATAACTTGGATTATCAAATAAGCATTTTGCTATTGCAGGTACAAAAGATAAAAGAGGTGTTACAACTTAATGGGCTACACTTTAAGGAATGGAAATTGCTTAATTAATAGAAATATAGGAAAGAAAGTTTTGGAACTAAAATATTTTGATGTCAGATTACTCTTATTAAGACTAAGGTATTAGATTAGGAGAATTATAAGGAAATAAATTTATTATCACTTTAAGATTTCTTAATGAATTAACATAAAGTCAATAATGGGAATTAGCAAAGAATATTGAAAATTTAAAATTACATGGTTTTGTTAATTATTTTGGTCTACAAAGATTTGGATCTAAAAATAAAATTAAGACTCATTAAATAGGTAAAGAAATAATTAGAAAGAATTGGAAAGAATGTATAAGATTGATTATATTATCATCTTAATAAGAAGATGAGGAAAGAGTCAATTAATTATTTGAACTTGATGATTTTGTTACATTATCAAGTATAATTAATCCAAGATTGAGAATTGAGAAATAATTAATAGATAGTTTATTATAAAATGGAGTTCATAATTACTTCACAGCTTTATAATCTCTTCCTAGAAATGCAAGAGAACTATATCTACATGCATATCAAAGTTATATTTGGAATAAAATGGCATCAATGAGACTCAATTAATATGGAAATAAAATAGTGGTAGGAGATATTGTAAGTGCTAATGTAATGGATGAAGGAGTTGCAGATGAAGGAGAGGAAATAATTTAATAAATTGCAGAAGATGAAGAATAATAGAAAAAATAAACAATATCAGCTTGTGTTCTTGTGACTGAATAGAATATTTCACAATTTACTTTTGATTAAATTGTATTACCAATCTATGGACATAAAATTACTATTCCAGAAGAATCTATTGTTTCTACTTTATTATAATAAATATTTTAGATGGAATAAATTACTAAATAAGATTTTGAAGATGCATCAAATAAATTTTTTATTGATGGGAATTTCAGATATTTTGTATATCATTTAATTTATTTAGGTTTAAATTCCATCTGAAGTTGAACATCAATTATTCAAATATTAGAATAAAGATTAAGATGTTGTAGATTCCTTTGGAGAATTACTCATTGATCAAGGAGATTATTAAGGTTTGCTTATCAAATTCAAATTAAAGAAAAGTAGTTATGCAACTATGCTAATAAGAGAACTCACTAAATGTCCATCAACTTTAGAGTTTTAATAAGAGATAAGTGGGGAATTTAATTGAGTATTTTCTACAATCTTGTAATGGTGTATTTGAATTTAATTTCTTAACATTCATGTTTATTCTATACATGGAATTATATAATTCAAGACTCAATTGATGTTAAGCTTAGTTCTTCTCCAATGTCTTCTCTTTGAATTATACCTATACTATTATATAATGCAAATACCTAATTGTGTTATCAGTTCTGTATCTGAACCAATTTGGTAAGGGTCTATTTTGTTTGTTAGCCTTAATCAATCTTTTCTTCATTCTTAAGGATTTATGGGCTCCCTAATTCAATACAAGTAAATGAATACCATTTTTAAATCTTTTTTAATTTATTTAATATATTAAATGAATAAATAAAATAATCACAAATCCTGTCAAAATATTAAGCAATCTCCTATCTATTTTCTATCTTCCTATATAAATTATCAATCAAAACTTACATATAAATATTAATCAATAAGTATAGTATACTAATTTTAATCTATTCTCGATATATTAATAATAGAAAGATCTAATTGTGAATTTATATTATATTAATTTTGATTTTCTAATATAAATTGATTCTCATTTAAATATAATTCCATTAGTAAATAGATATTATAATAAAAATAGATTATTTAATATTCTTAGGTCTAAAATTAAATTTCTTTAATAAATGACTAAAATTTAGATATGTGTTTCTTAACTCTTTCAATAATGTAAAATGAATTTTTGTTTATAAGACTAATTTTGAGGTTGAACAAGATTTTTAATAATTTTATGTTTGAATAAATTCAACTATAATAATGTAAAATTAAATGATTAAATATATCAAAAATATAGACTCCTTGGTCTTATAATTTTCCTAATTTTATTCAAATGATTTTCTGTATTGTATAATTATTTTTATATTTCTTAATTCAGTAACAATGCATCAAAGTATTTTTTTTAATTAATGAAATAAATAATGGCAACTAATGAGTATTCAATATTGAGAAAAGTATAAATGTTGCATTCACATGCTCAACCTAAAGACTCTAATTTAACTTTAGGACGAATTACTAGTTATGAATCTAATTAATTTTGTCGTAATTTGAACATCATGATTTATAGAAGGGCGTCTACAAAAGATGAAGTTAATTATTAATCTTTATCTAAAAATTTGTAGTATTATGATGAAAAATTAGCAATCAGTAATATTAATTAGATCATGTAATTACTCATTAAAAATAGAAGTCCAACTCTTTATATTGAAATGGATGAACTATAAAACAAAGTGTGGAGATCATTAAGAAAATAATAGTTGGTATAAAAAACAAATATTAAAGCAATCAGTTTATTCAGTTGAGATAATAGTATTGAAGAATTAATGTGAATTTGAGTTCACATTTGATATCAGCAATCTTTCATGCTTTCTTAGTGTAAGAGAATTAAGTATTCTCATAAATGAAACATATACAGATAGAGTGAAATTAAAAATTCCATATTTGTCAATCTTAATTGGCAGAGTAAAGACTTAGAAATTGGATGGAAATATGAGACTCTTTGAACTTGCTCATATTCTAATCAATGGATAAAGGACTCTTATTTTATAAGAATCCTGAATACAATTTTGATGATTAAAAATTATAAAATTTTGTTTCTTATTATATATTAATCCTTTCATTTTGAGATTTTGCTATAATTAAAATTAAGTAAATGCACTAAATGCAATAATAATCAATTCATCAATAAAAAATTGTCGAACTAACAAATTAAGGTATTCAATATGTTGTATATATTGATAGGATTATATGTTTAATTAGAGGAATACATTAGAATGAATTAAATAAATTAATAAAGTTATTCATAAGCTTTTTTAGAATGTATACAATATACAAGAGATAGTGAAGATCATTTTCAATGTATACAATAAATTTTAAAGTAATTATTTTTGAAATTTTAAAGACAATCCATTGATTTTAATTATAAAGACAATTAGGGTAATACAGCAATTGTATATGCAGCTAGAACAGCAAAGATTAGTATTTTAAATGAATTAATCAAATATAAAGAGAAAATAGAAACTAAATAAATAAAACTTGCACTTGATATTGCAATCTAATCTGAATAAGATAATTGGGATATTGTTGAAACTCTCTTATAAATTACATCTCTCGATAAACCATAACATTTAATTAAATCTTTACTTAAAGGTAATTATAAGACAGCTGCTAAAATTATTGAGAAATATGGAGCATCTGGTTAAGATGAAAATGGTGATACTGCTTTACATATAGCATCTCGTAAAGGAGAATTAAATATCATCAAATAAATTTGTTAAAAGGAATATCTATTTCAAAAGAAAAATAAATTGAATTAAATTCCATTAGATGTAGCTTGTAATGAAAAAATAAAAGAATTGTTAATTTTAGAAGAGACTTAATTTACAAAATCTCCAAATAGAAAAAAGAAATAAGAGGATTTATAAGAGAATATTTAGAAAATTGGAAAATAAGAAGAATAAAATGATATTCTACCAAAGTTGGTTAAAATTATATAATAAAGAGAATAAGAGACTTAGACTGATTTAAAAGAAAAAAAAGTAATAGAAATATAGGTTCCAGAACCAATATCAATAAATTAACCATTTTATAATTAATTAATTATTGAGTCTTAATATACATTACCATAACATAAAATTAGTTTAGATGATATAATTAAGTATATATAATTTTGTAATTATTAGATAACTTACTTTTGAAATAAATACATTTACATAAGAATTAAGTAAATATTTAGATGAATAGAAACCAATCATTGATAAATTAGTATAATTGATAGATGAAGTAATTGTTATTATTCTAATTTTAAGATTGTTCAAAATGTTTAACCTAAATCTCGTGCTTTTCTTTATGGATCTTGTTAAACTGGATTAAATTTATTGGATTCTGATATTGATATAGTTATTGAAACAGTTGAACATGAAGAAATCATTTTATTATACAAACTTGCAGATTAATTTAAAGTATCATAGAATTTAGTTTTAGATGACAAGCTTTATCAAGGATGTCAAAGTTATTGATAATGCTAAGAAACCTGTATTAAAAATGTAATGTTCTAAAGAATTTTAAGAAAAATTAATTGATATTACAATTAGTAAAAATGATCATTTTGGAAGGAAGACTGCAAATTCTATGATAGAATTTTAAAAAGAATTTAAATAATTTAAAAGTTTAGCTTTAATGTTGAAATTCTATTTTAAATCAATAAATCTATTAAATGCATATTAAGTATTGATTAATATAATTAGGGTGGTTTAAATAGTTATTGTATATTGACTATGATTTTAGCATTATTGTAAATTAAAAGAATCAGAGATAATGAAAATGAAGAAATTGGTAAAACATTTTTAGATTTCTTTGATCTATATAGTTAAGATATAGATTATTATAATAAAATAATCAATATAGTACCTTCATAATCAGAAAATATGTAAATTGATGAACCAAATATTTATTAATAGCAATATTTTTAATTGTATGAAAATTTATTATATAGTTAGTGATTAAGGATATTAAGAATTAATTATTTTGGATCTTCATAATAAGAGTAATAATATAGCTAGTAGTACTTTTAAGATTAAGAATATTAAAGTATTTTATATTATTTATTAAATAGAATGCTCTTAGTTTTGGATATAGTGCTATTTTGAATGCAAAGAAATGTGAATAACCTTGTTTCTTCTCTAGATATAATAAACCTGTTTGTTGTATCTTAAAACAAATGATTTAACAATCAAAAAACAATCATATTAATTGTCATTTAAAAAATAAGTAACCTTTTTATTTGTTTAATTATAATAATACTTATTGATGAGTTTAATGTGTATTTAAAATAATATCAATATTATTATTCCTATCAAAATTTATGAAATTTATTATCATTTCTAGGATTAGACTTATCTACAACTACTTCAATATTGTTTTCATATGATAATTAACATATCTCAGCTAAAAATGTTCTTGAATTATGAATGTATGTACCACCTAATAAAATATTTGGTTAATTAGCTATAAATATTTATTATAAATTTAATACGTTATTTATTTAATAATCCAATTTCTTTAACTTCTTCAAAAGATATACCACCAACATAAAAAATAATAATCTCAGTTGGTCTTTCTCTAAAATTATTTAAATTAGTAGATGGGAATTCATTGTCTTTAATTTTATTAGTTAATATTTATTCTAAAATAGTAAGAAAATATGGCTAATGTTAAGTATAAATATTAGGAACATCTTTAAAAACAGATTTAAATTTTTGTTAAGCTTTAGAAAATATATTCTTATCACTAAATAAATCACCTTAACGTTTAGCTTTACCAGAGTAATCCAATAAGTAGTTAATTAAATTTAAACTGTTATTTTTTACACCTAAATCCCTCAATATATCTTTCATTCTTGAAATCTTATCACAATTTTCATATCTTAAAGCATATAACATAACTAATTTTAATTTTTCATATGTTTATATAGTTCTATCTTCAAGCATCTAAAATACAGCTTTTTAATGTTCAGATTTAGCTTCATTACAAACAATATCTTATTCAACTTTAGATACTTTTAATAATTATCTCTCTTCAACTAATTTTGATAATTCACAACTCAAAGCAACATGCTTGGATAAATTGCCACTCATTTTTCTTATTTCTGGAATCTTATCTACAGCCTTTTACATATCTTCTAATGAATTAATTTACACTGTTTCTTTCTTTTATTAAGTAACTTTATCAATGAAATCTTTAATATTTTATGCTAATTCTCCAAAATTTGAATATTAGTTTTCAGCAAAGAAATCATCCAAAGTAGAAGATATAACAAATTCACTTTCTGAATCTGCTTTATTAATACTCTAATTATAATTATTAATATTATACAGCAGCTTAATTCAATGCTTTTTAACCTTAACGAATATCAATTCTATTATTTTAGATTCCTATCAATTCATGAAGCATACCCTAATAAGTCCATTAATTTAATAATAAAGTAGCTGGATCTTCTCTTCTATCTAAAATTAAGAGTAAACAATTTGAAAGCATAAATTAAGATTAGGATTATTCATATTCTTCTCTCATTGTTTAACTTAACTTTTAAGCCAATTTAGCACATATTTCACTTGATCCTTAATATCGAATCATTGGAATTCTTCTTAAACTATAAATGGTAGCACTTAAACCCTCAAAAACTCTTTAAAATAATTATTCATCTTAAGAATTCCATTGTAAAACACTTTTAGTTAATGGAATAGTAGAGGGTATATTTAATGTAAAAGTATCAGGTTGTACTATATAGAAATCTAAATAGATTTCTTAGAGCTGTTTGATGAGATCAGAATCATCTGCTTCTGCCAATTATTCTATATAAAAATTGCTTAGTGTATTGGTAAAGAAGATATAATATTCACAAAATCTTTTGTCTTTAATTTCTTAGAGAAGCAATGTTTAATTTTCCTAAAGATTTGAAATGTATTTATTACTTAAGTTGGTCTAATCAAAAAGATAACTTTCATATGCTAAAGTTTTTATTTAGTAGAAGCAGCAGCATCTATCTTTTCCATCAAATATACATCTTTCTTTAAGATTTAGGATTGAGAATAGATAAGTGAAATGATGCCTATGGTTTCTTAATCCAAAATGAGACATTTCATTCCTTTTATCAATTCATATATATACCTGACACCTCTGATAAGATACGATCAATATAGTCTGTTGCAGAATTGAGTAGATTAAGAGTATATTTCTTTTGGGGTCCTCCTCTATTTTATTATATCATTATAAATTATCAGAATATAATCAAATTAAAATTCAAGTGGAACTATTTAATTATTTAAAAGTTCCGTATTCTCCATAATCGATGATCTCTTTTTTTAATTCTTTTTAATCAGAAGTTTAATATATATCAGATATATGTATCATCTAAGGTATAGGATCAGATTAAAAAAAAGGATGATTTATTGCATCTTCTATTTTAATTCTATCTTTTGGTGTATAAATTAACATTCTACTAATCAAATCTAAAATATAATAATCAAATTTATATTTAAAGAGTTCTGGGAAAGAAACCTTTTTAATTTATATAAGATTTGCCTCTGTAATTGCAAAATTACTCATTTATTAAATTTCATGATTTGAAGGAGTTCCAAGAATTTTAATAATGGAAAGTAGAATATCAAGACTTTTAGTTCCTTTAAATAGAGGTTAACCCAATAATACTTCAGATATTACACATCCAGTTGACCATATATCCAAATATTCTGAAATTTACCAATTTCCTAGTATAATTTCAGGAGGAGTGTAACAATTAATAATTTCAAATTTGCCTTATTCATTTAACTTTTATGTTAAACTAAAATCATATAATTTCAATTCATTATCTCGAATCAAACAATTTTATGGATTTATATTACAATGTACATATCCTTATTTATGTAATGAATTAATAGCAATCAATAATTAATAGATATACTTTTTGAATTCTTAATGATTCATTTGTGTTTTAGATGCTAATGTATTAGGCAAATACTCAAATATCAAACTTACTGAATTTTCATGTTCACTAGTAAATGTAGTTAATAATTTAGCAAAGTATTACTTTTCCTTTATAGTTTTCCAAACCTCTACTTCATTCTTATATTCTAAAGAGATCTTCTTCACTACAAAATTATTTTTCTATTTATCAGATGCTCTATAAACTATTGTTTTAGCATTTTTAAATAGTATTTCTTCAACTGAATAATTAATTTACTATTCATTAATCATATTTTTTATTTTATTTTTAATGAATACTAATTTTGAAATAACTACTTAGACCTTTAAATCACTTCATGAACCATTATAACCATTACCAAGATCTTGTCTCTTTACTAAATTATTTAAATCTAGAGACAATAAAGTTATAAAAAGAAAATAATTTTAAACTAAAAAGGAATGGCTTACTTGGAAAAACAGCATAATTCGAGAACTACTTAATTAGAGAATACTTTCATCTAAATATCCAGACAAAGTTCTAACAATCCTAAATTATACAGTTGAAACATCTAATCATCAAAGAAATCTCTATATTACATATGATTGTGGAGATGAGGTTGAACCTTTATTTCAATATTTAAACAATAATTCAATTAGTTTCTAAGAATAGGCTCAAATATTTGAATAAATATTGCAAATTACTTGTATCTTGTTTAAATCTCAATTTGAACATACTAATCTAAAGCCAAATAATATCTTATACAACAAAAAATAAGTACTTATAACAGATTTTGGAAGTGCAAGAACACATTATCAAAATTTTACAAAAGAACATACAGCATTAGCTGAAAAAGATTGGTAGAATAATTTAATATTCTTTTATCCTTAAGAATACTAGAAAATTATGCAAGAAGATAATTTAGATTTTAGAAATGATTAATGGTAAGAAGTTGATATCTCCAATCAAAATTTTAGAAAAAGTATTGATATTTGGGCTCTATCTATGATGATGATATAAGTATTTGAAAATAATTAAACATTGCCTAAGAAATTAACTGATTATTATGGATTAAATGAATAATTGCTAAATCAAAAGATTGAAAATCTAAAATAATATTCAGCTGGAATATTTTCAGAGGTTATTTATTCTTTACTTATTGGAAAGAAAGAACCAGAATAAGTTTATCAAAGATTTATTAAATAAAAGTAAATGCTTAATATAGTATCCCCTTAAATAGAATCTACCTTTACTATTTAATAGATATTTGATAATGAAAATTTTATTGATGATGATGTTAGCATACCACCTTAAAAACCTGAAAATTATTTTCTTGATAAAAATTAAATTAAAAATCTTTAAGGTTAATTTGATGATGATGTTTCTAGTGTTAAAAGTATAAATTATCAAATTAATATTATTGAATACACTGAAATAAAATCAACAAATAATTTAAAATAACCTCCTACTTTATTACCTCCAGGAAGAAAAATAGGAAAAAAGCCAGAAACTTAAAAATATGATATCACTACCACTCCAAATGTTAATCCACTTTCTGAAATTAAAGATAACGAAAAACCAGTTAAAGGTAAAAGGCCAACAATTTTGGTAACCCATTATGATGAAGCCAAACAAGAAGATTAAAATTAAGTAAATCCCTTTTAAGATGAACAAGGAAAGGATAAACTGGTACCCTTTAATCCATATAAGCCTTTTATTTTTGGTAGAAACGAACAACCAGAAAAAGTTCCTTTAACATAAATTAAAGATCCATCTGATGTTACATAACCAATAATACCATCACCCCCAAAAGATCCCTAATAATCAGATTTATTAGTAATTACTAATTTATAACCATTTGAAGAAGATAAATCTCCACCTCATTCACCATCTTCTCCTAGTTAAGATGGAAATTCATCATTTTAATTTTTCAAGCCCTAAAATTTAGATGCTTTTAATGAACAAGGTGTTAAGGTCGATCCTACATAACCATCTATACCTATAAAAGATTAATATATACCAGAATAAAATGGAAACTATAATTTATTGTCAATTGAAGATTTTGACAGCCCCAAACCTCCACCTATACCTCCTCCAGAAGTACCAATAATAATTTAGCCTGGCAATGGTAAATCAATAAAAACCATTTAGGATCCAATAATTAAAATCCCTAAACCACCAGATATCCCGATAACATTAATACCTATTAAACCAACAAATATCGGTGATGTTTCAGGTGATCCTGTTACTGATATCCATGAACCAAATTATGTTTCCCCTAAATAAATAAAAGATATTTAAAATTTTAAATAATAAGAACAATTGGTTCAAGTACCTATAATAGATGATCCATTCTAAAAAAATCCATTAGACAGTAATATTTCAAGGATAATATAAGTTGGCGGAATAAATAAAATAACTTAACCTCTTTAACCTATTTTGAATCCTATAGATCAAAAGGGTTAATAATTAGGAAAAAATCCATCTTCTTTAGATTATATTAAAGAAAGATTAAAAAAAGGAGTAACTACATTAAAAGAAGAAGATTAAAAAGATTTATTAGTTTAATTGTAAATGATTTAAAGAGTTCTTAATAATATATAAAAGCATATTACTGATCCAAAAGAAATTTTGGATTTAGAATTTGAAAAACAACAACAAATACCATAATTTATAAATGATGTACTTTAACAGAATGAAAAAGAATAGCTAATATTATTTAAAGATGTAAATGATGGTGTAGAATCCATTATTTAAAACTAATAGGCATGTCAACTTATTTAGAATAACTAAATTGAAAAAAATCTTCATTTGCTTAATATATTAAATCCAGTATAATTAGAATAAGGAAAGGTAGGACTTTAGAGTAACAAAATTCTTCTAGCTGAAATAGAAAAACTTATAGAAGCAAAAAAGAATTTAAATAAATTCATAGAAAATCCTAATATGCAAAATCTATTATAAAAACAATAAATTGATTTGCTGAATAAAGAGGAACTAAAAATTTATAAAAATTTACTAGAAATTATGCCAAAAGATAGAAGATAAGGTGATAAAATATTAACTTAGTAAGCTGAAGTTGAAAAGAGGCTTAAATAAATCGAGTAGAAAAAATAAGATGAAGAAATTTAATAAAAATTGATAGAATTTTTGAAAAATCCTTCTTTTGATAAATTATTACCAAATATTTACTTAAAATAATTAGATGATGAAAAAAAATAGAAATACAAAGAAGCCTTAGAAAAATTATTAAATAAAGTTCAACAAAGATAAAAATAAGCTATTTAAGAATAGATTGATATAATAAATAAAGATATTAAAAAAAATAAACCAGGGGATATAAGGATTGAAAATAAAAAACTCAAACCAGAGAATAATAATAATAATAATAAACCATCTATCAACCAAAATTTTTAAGATGCATATTTGAATGTCATGAAAAAATTAGGAGATGAAGTTGATGGTGATCTTCTCTCATTAAATTAATATATAAGAGAATTTTAATTAACTTCAGTAAACTATTAACTTACTGATTTACTTCCTAATGACTGTTAAAAGTATTAAGAATAGGTCACAAAAAGAATTCCAAAATTTTATGATTTTTAAGGTTCAAAATATAAAGGAGAAACTCTTAATGATTAACCTGATGGAATAGGAATATTAAGAAAGAATGGAGTTTCATCCATATATAAAGGAGTTTTTAAGTAAGGTAAATTTTTCTGGGGATAAGTATTAGAGATGAATGATTAAGGTTAGTTGACTTAATATATTGGGTATTATAATTAGTAACATTAAGTTAAACATGGAAAGGCAAAATTGAGATGGTATTAACCATAAAAAATAGGATTCTGTGGAGGATATCATTTTAATGATTATGAAAGTTATGAAGGAGACTTTGTATTGGGATATATGCATGGAAAAGGAAAGAAAACATATTCAGATTCCTCTGAGTATGAAGGAGATTGGAAAAAAAATAAAAGAGAAGGTTAAGGAAGATATACTTTACAAAAGTAAGGGAAGAAAACAATTACTTATGAGGGATAATTTTAAAATGATTTTTAACATGGTAAAGATGTTAAAGCCATACATCATCATTAAACAGGGCTAGATTTGGTAGTTTAAGGAGAATATAGACATGGCAAGCCTATAGGATAACACATACTAATTTTCAACGACGTACCATAAAGATAAATTGATTATTGAGTTATTGTTTTATTTTATTTTTTTGTAAGTTAATGCATATTGTATTTTATTTTTATTGAGTTTTTGCAAAAGAATTATTATATATTAAATTATTTATCAAATGTTGAGTGTGATATTAAGAAGGAGTGCCTAAAGAAGTATGGCAATTAGAGGTGGTCATGGATGGGATAGACCAGATGTACCTTTAACAATTGCATATTAACATAAAAGAAGGGTATTAATCAATATAATCATTTTTATAGATGGATGTTTTTGATACAAATTTATGGTTTTATTGTGGTGTGATGCCTGAATACTTTATCAATTAGAGTAATTAATTAATTTGATCTTTTAGATGAGGGATATTTACATTCAACTTAGAATGCCATTAAATATTTGATACTTGATTCGAAATATATTATTGCAGCTTTTGTGGCAGCTATTTTCACATATGAAATATTCTATGAAGCCAGATTTTGGAACATCCAACCAGATTATTTAAAAAACCCAATCGTCAACTATTCAAGAAAAGTGTAATAAGAGAGACCCTTCTTAGTTAAGCATTTCTTAGATTTAAGTAAGGACTCTATTTAATACTATTATAATAGGTATTACAGGTGATATGGGTATTTAAAGAATGATTCCTGGGGATAAGAGTTTTGCAACTGAATTATTGGAAACTTATGAAGAATAAAATAAACACATCCAACTCATGAATTTGGAAGGCAAAACATATATAGAAAGAGTTGAGGCTGAGACTAGATAAGTTGTTGCTAGAAGACATGGATAAGTTGAAGATCAACATCATCATCATTGATATTAATCATATTAAATAATCAAAGGAAAATTATCTTTTTTGTTATGATAATTAATCTTTCAATTGAAAATCATATCATTTATTTAAGTTAGTCTACTCTAATTTTAGTATTTATAATTTTGGCTACTAATATGTATCTATTTATTACTTTTAAAATATTTATAATTATTGCATTCCTTAAATTTCTATTTAATAAATATCCGAATATCAAACAACTTAAATGTCATTATGTGAAGTAAAATTTATTAGAAAGGATATTTTATAACAAAATTTCAAATGATCATTATAAAAATCATTTTTATTTAACTAAAAAATATGAACACAAGGTTTTTTTCTATTTTTTATATATTTATTTAAAATAATAAGCTCTTAATGGGAACTGCTTGCTCTTTAAATCAATAATTTATAGAATAATCTCCTCAAATAATATTAAATCACTTTGGCATTAAAGCTTATCCTTTGTAATACAATGCCAAACTCTATACTCATTGCCCTACTAAACAGGAAATTTCTAAAGTTTTAGTTTAATAATCTAAAGAGAATATTGATGAAGAATTGCAATCCGATTCTAGTGGGTCCTTTTTGGAATGTTTCCATAGAAGAACAGAATCTTAAAATACATAAAGAAATAGTTTAGATTTCTCAATAAATAATACAGAAGTACATAAAAAAGGAATCCTTAGACAACCTCAGTCTTAAAAAACCATAAGTTAAAAATCTATTTAACAAAGACAAAAGAAAAAGGTTCATTTTTAAAAGTCTAAATTTGTGCAAATGTGAATCCACTTTTTGATTTACATTTATATTCATATGATTTTATTAGTAAATCTTTAAATTAATATTTCAATTAGATAATCCTTATTTATCAAATTTATTTTTTAGATTTCTTTCCTTTATATATTTTCTTCAACTTTTTCTTAGAGTTTTTGTTTAGAAAAGTAAATCATTAATCGTACGTCTCTAATTAATATTTTAGCATTAGTACAGATTTTTAGACTTACATATAAATAATTGTTTTAGAAATTTCTTGAGAATTTATACTAAATTCTTTACAAAAATAATATTTGATAAAATTTGAAGACTTTAAAAAATGTCATAAATAATAATAAAAAAGCTAATACTAAATAATAAAAATAAGAGGAAAGTATATTTAAATAATAAAATAAGTTTAAAAGTTCATTCATTTTTTATAAATATCATCAATTTGGAAATTAATATGACAACAATTAACATGGCCTACTTATTTACAGGTTAAACATGTAGCTTTTTATAAATCAAATCGAAATCCAAATAAAATTTTTGTTAGAGAATAATTGTGCTACTTTTTTCTTAATTTATGTTTTAGAATGCTCACTAAATAGTAAAATTATAACCTTTATATTCTTATGGTTTCATCTCAATACAGTCGTCAGAGGAGGCAATCGATATTGGTTCCTGTAGATGATATAATAATACTTATAAGATCCCAATGATTTGAGATTTTTCGTTTGACTGGTTTTACTATTCCATTTTTAAGAAAATTAATTTAATATTGATATATAATCACTTCAATTAGTCTCTAACTTTCTTATTTAATGGAGTAGATGACCAATCTTATTCTCTCTTCTATCCTAAACAATCTGTAAATCCAGTATCCTTAAGCTAAATTCCCTATTCATAATCAATATATTACTGAATGAAGTATAAACATAAAATATAAAGGAAATCAGATTCTAATGTTAATATTAAAGTGTCAATTAAACTTAATGTTAAAGAATTTGAGAAAAGATCAAATAATTAAGAGTTATTTTTGTAATCATCAAAAATCTTTTTAAATATATATCATAACTTTAGTGAATTAAAAGTTCAACAGCATATCATTTAATAATGAATCCAGACTCAAAGTCTTTGGGCCAAAGTTTAAGATTAGATTGATGATAGTGTTGTTTGAAGATTAATCATAAAGTTTCATTCATTCCTTTAAGGCTGTTCGAGCAGCATTTTAAAATACTATTTCTCTATCTCTTTTCAAATCTTCTTATAAAATGATATAATATAAATTAGACTATGGATACAAAATAAATCCCAAGATATTCTTTTACAACATCCTTTATAAATAATAATATCTTTAAACAGTTGCTTATTTGAGTTTAGTTTAGAGATAAGTTATTAATATTTATAGATTCTTTTAAGATTTGATGTTATTAAACCAATAAAAATATTAAACACTTTATTTAATACTTAAATCTTAAAATTTTGCTATCTATTTTCAAATTCAATTCTCTGATCATAATAATTTAATGCCTTATATATGTATTATTATTCAGGTCTAGATTTTTGATATATTTGTGTTTTTGTTTCTATTTAATTTTTCAAGTCTTTAAAAGATTTTCATAGATCTAATTCTTCAAGACTGATTAGTTATTTATATATATAATAATAATATTCATTTCATTTTATCTAATTAATTCAAATATTTTAAGTGTTCTCTCTCAAGACGAGCAATTTCATCATCAAAAGGATCTCTACTTATATTATTAGTATTATCTGAAGTCTTATTTGGAGTATTTTTCACTACTTAATCTTCCTTTTTTCTTGGTTATGGTTTTGGAATATTTCTTGCAAAATCCATTGCTTTAGTTCTAAATTATATATTATTATTACCTTGCATTAGGTTCAGATTATTTAGGCTCTTTTATTCTTGTAGTTATTATATTTGTTGAATTAAATTATCTTACTTATTCTGCAAATTCTTAACGTTTTAATACTTTTTCTTTGTCTTTTGCCCATTCTTCTCCACTTAAATTAGGACCTAAGCCTCCTAATTTTGCATTTGCAGTCTTCTTCATAATTTCATAATCCTTTATTGTATATGGTTTGTAGCGTTATGATTCATCTGCTGAATCTAATTATTATTTTGCTGATTTTGATCTATTATCCTCTTTTTTTTATGGTTCTGTTGATACTTGATAATTTGCAATAGGCTAAAAGTATTATTATTAGCTTAAGTATTAAAGAGAGTCTAATATTTATTATTCCCCAATATATGGATTATGTTAATATAGAGTTTAGTTATTTGTCTATTTATTGTATTAAATTTTTATAGGAGATATTTAAATATTTGTTTGTTGTTAGAGAGGCTAATACATTGGTGGTGGTTTATTTTGATCTTGATTATTTGATAATCATACAATCAAGTTCTTTCTTGATAGGCTATTGACATGTATTCAATACTGATTCTAATCCATTTCTACCCATCACCGATGTTTTTCCCTTAAACCTCTCTTAAAATGTTGCCATTCTTTAATTAAATAAATTATATTATTATTATAATTTAATAAGATGATTAATTAAATTATATATTATAATAGTTAAATAAACTTAAGAATACATTAAATCTGATTCATATCAGAAACTATTTTATACAAATTCATTTAATAATATATTTAGATCTATATTTAACCTTAACATTATTATTCAGATTTTTAAGACAAAAATCTAATAAATAAATGAAAAAGGTTTAATAAGTTAATAAATCAAATTTTATTCATTTATTTAAGGTAACTTGAATAGTTTAATTCATTTAGCTAGTTATCTTCTATTACACTTTAGACTATATTTAAAATATAAATAATTCATTTTTCTATTGCGATTCTGATTGTTTTTTTTCAACCTAAATTTCATTCTTTATCTCCTATGGATTAAACTTCTATTTCTTAATAAAATTCATAACAAACCCTCTCAATAATTTAAAAATTGAATATAAAGATAATGTTAATTAATAAAACAGTACACTAATTTCTACAAATAAAGCTAAAACTACTAGAGCAATAATAATCCATCCAAAAATAACTTTATTATTCTCAATAAAATATACTTATCTTTAATCATTAAAAGCAAATAATACAATAATTAATATTATTGAACTTAAACTAAAATCTGAAATAAATTATAATGTAAATTATGCTTTTGTTTTGTAGGGATTCTCATATATGATCAAAGCAAGTCCAAAATTACTTGTAATAAAACATAATAATGTTTGCAATAATGGTTCATTGTAATAAAAAATCATAAAGAATATATAAAAGATTTTTCTTAATAATCCAAAAAATTTATATTTAGATCCAAAAGCTGAATTTGTATTAACATTTTCATAGTAAATTTCATACCTTTCTTTGAAGTATTAATTTTCTGCTAATTATTTATGGATGTTTATAGTTTAATACGACTAATGCAAATGAAATATAATTAAACTAATAGAAAGCAATGCAAATAATTAATTAATACCAACAATGAAATCATCTAAATGTTCAGCATAAATTAATTATAACATAATTGCTAGAGTTATGTCTAATAAGCATAATGAAATAGTTTATTTTATTTTTTTTTTAAGTTCTTTTTAAACTGAATTCAGTAATATTATTAAAGAGTCAAATAATTTATGATCTTTAATATCAACTTATTATTTATTTTGTTATGTTTTATTTTTTTCATAATATTTTTTACCTTCCAAATTAAAAATACTAAAGTGTTTTTCCCTGATATTTGTTTTTATTCTTAAATTCTATTGTATAAATTATAGTAGTATAAAAAGGTATTTTATTATCAAATAGATTGAAATTGAGGAAAATATAAACATGAAAGGTATTTATGCATTATTGAAAAATAAAGGATTAATACCTTTGGTTTCAAATCTTTCAGGGGCTTTAAAATAATAGTCACAATCAGGTTAATTTAATTCTTGGTATGTTGGAAAGTTAAATATAGAAGTCCAATCTGAATTTAAGAGGAATATTTCTACATTAAATGGATAACGAACATTTAAAAAATAAAAGTTATTAATCCAACTTAAAATTTCTAAAATAGCCCATAAATAATCAAATAAATTAGTAATAATTGAAATAGGAATCAAAATTAAGAAAATTAATCCAAATGATTATTATGCAGAAGATATTGTATCAGCTTAATTTAATTGATTTTCAGATTTTATAATAAATTCTTCTGGTTCAATATCAAATTAAATGGTATTTTCTGATATCATTAATAACAACCTTGATTTAGATTCATAAAATGTAAATCTAACATGAATTTTATTGTATTTATAAATAGATTAATAGAATGTAAATTAAATTCTACAATTACCATTTTAATCTGTTGAAATAAATTCAAATTATTTTGAATCATAAGAATCTATATTAATCACTACAGTTTGACAATCTAATGAAAATTTTTGTTCTTCATTCCCCATCAAAAAATCAATTGAATGAAGACCAGAATATTTGATGTTTTATAAACTTGAATAATCTATAGTTTATCCTTCTAAATGACAAGTAGAATCACAGCCATCCTCATCCTCTTAATTCCCATCATCACACTATTCAGATTCATTAACTAATATACCATCACCACATATGGATACACAAGCCTTTATTTCTGTATCCGTATACAATCCTTAATAAGATTCACAAAAATCACAATCATTTCTATAACAAGATGTACAAAGAAATGATGAATTTTAACATGTTATGCAATTTGAATCACATAATTCACAATTTTTACCAATAGGATAGTATCCAACCTAGCATTTTTCACAAATAAGATTATTATTTATATTTGAGCATTATTCACAATGTTAATCGCATGTTAAACAAATAGAGAAGGTTGGTCCATAACATAGATAAGCAGGAACTATTTAACAGTTAATGCATCCTTTTTCATTAGGGTTATCACATTCTTCTAATTTATTAGTATTTACTAATCCATCTCCACATTACGAAAAACAGGCAGAATCTTATAAAAGATATCCATCCATACACTTTAAGCATTATCCATAATGGCATACAGAACAAAAATTTTCTCCTTCTTGATTACATTAATCATATTTAACTAGCTTACATTATGAACATCCATCATGATTATCCTAATTACCATCATCACATTCTTCTTATCCCTAAATAATATAATCTCCACAATTTGTTTCACATAAATTTGTTATTTCATTTAGATAATAACCATCATTACATAGAATACAAATTTTATCAATAGACATTCTACATCTAAAAATGTATGAAATTTCATCATCTTCTAATAAATGAGAAATTTTTGACACTTCAATATTGTTCTTTGAAATGTTTTGTTCATTAAATGTTTCAACAAAATATACTGATGTATCTTTCTAAATGCAATATCCTTTTATGCATACTAAACACAATTATTCACATTAATATTTGCAATTAAAACATCCATCAAAAGGAAAATGATTGCCGTCTTCACATTCTTCCTCCCCAGAAACTAAATTATCACCACAAATAGACAATGGAATCTAATATGAGAATATTAATAATGATTATGTAGAATTTTCTTATTTTGATTAGAATAAGGAATCGATAATGAACTAATCCAATTCATATTCTTATTCAAAGCAAAAAGGATTTGAATTCTACATGAAAAAAAGACAATTTTCATTTATTTATGATGCAAAATATTCCTAATGATAATTAAAGCAACCTTCAAGAGGAAACGAATCACTATTATTACAATTTGTAAAAGTTTGTATGATAGGACGATTCAAAAATTCTATATTTGTACCTTTTAATGAAATTAGTAAGAGAAAGAATATTAATAAAATTGAAAAGTGATCCATCTTAATATTTCTATCCTCTAATTTAATATAATTAAATCTAATATTTATTAAGATATTTTAGAATTAGATTTATTTATTAAAAATTATAAAAAACTTAATTAAGCAATTAATTTAAGAATGAGATAATAATAGTATTAAATTATTCATTTAAACTTTTTTTCAACTTTCTTTTTTATTTCTTCTTTCATTTCTTCTCTATCAATTAATTATTATTCAAATTAATCAATCATAATAATCTAATCAACATCAACTTCTCTCCAAAAGAATTTGAATTTTAGTTAAGCTTTAATTTCATAATTTAAACTTCTTAATAAAGCAAAAACTCTTTTGTTTTTTTAACATAAATAATTGTCTTTTAAAATCTATGATCTTAATGATTAACGTTACTAGAGTTTTTCTATTAATAATTCATCTAATAAATATATATTAACATAAAATACTTTATTAATAATAAATTAAACATTCTTCTAATATATATTATAATTCTTAAGTAGAATTTGAACTATTAATAACTCTTTTAATATAATCAATTCTTTCAGAAAAAGACAAATGACCTTTATTCCAAATAGAAATTAATTCTTAAATTTATTATGAAATTTGAGATTATTAATTTTTTGGAAATTATTAAACATAATTAAGTTTAAAAAATGTAATTTATTAGAAATAATAATCTTCTAATTAGATGTCTTCTAAAAATTTTGATTAAAGTTCTTTTCTTAATAATTTTATATTTCTAGTTGTTTAATTATCTTTTGAATCAATTTAAAAGAGCACTTCAAAAGGATCTTATGGTAATAAGATTTTTGATTATCTTTAATTAGTACTTATTTGAGATTATCTAATCTTTTCTTTACAAAGATTGTCCAATTTCTCTATTATTGTTGATTAATTAATAAGTGAAGATTTTTTTGTTTAATAATCTTAACTACTTCTTTATTAATTAGGGGATAAAGAGGATGATGGTTTATGTTATATATTATTATTATATGTTAAAGGATCATTTTCTTTTTCTTATTAAATTTATGACTATTTTTAAATTTATTAATTTTATTAGTGCTATTATTAAGTGGAACATAAATTAATTTAATTTTGATTAATAGTATTTTTAATAATAGAAGGTTATGATACATTAAATGATATTATTTAACTATCATGTGTATTAATTTAAGTATTTATAGTTTATATAAGTTCTTATTTTTAAATATGATTTGATTCATATTATGGTATCAGATTTTAAGTTGATTATTTATTATCAATTATATTTTCTTAAATTTCAAAGTGAAATAAATTTGGTAATTCATCAAAATTGGCAATATTCAATCCATCATAAATTAAACATTCTTAAAGGATTTTATTTTTAATACATGATTAATATGGTGATAATTAAGATTATGTATCATTTTACAAAGATTAACAAATTTCCTTCTTTTTTTATTTAGGTTTTTATGCTTAAATTTTTAAAGCTTTGATTTATGATAATTAATCTTAAAGTAATTTAATTTATTCATGAATTTCTTAAATCTTTTGTCCATATGTATTTTCTTAGTTTTCTTTTTAAAATTAAAATTATTTTGTTTCTGTCTCTATTCTTAATAATTTCTCTCTTTAATTCTGATAATCAACGGTCAATTAAGATTTTGCTTTGGTACTATAAATGGATAATACTTTATTCAAGCTATTCTAAATGAATTTAGAGTTTTTCAGTAAATTCAGTTGTCATTTAATTTTTCATCTAGATTCTATCTTCTTCATAACTTTTTTAAAAATTTAATTTGATTAAATGAATTTTTTTTCTCATTTCCTCATCTACATAACCTGCATATTCCTTTTATATTTTTTATCTCAATCTATTCATAATAATTAATGATTACTATTATTCTAATAAATGCATAGATTTACTTTTGCTTAAATTTATAGAAACATTATGAATCAAAGATTGCTTTTCTTATTCAAACTCTTACTCAATTTAATTCATAATTTATTATGCTAGCTATCATTATAAATGTAATTTATAACCTCTCTTCTTTTTTCTGTTAATTAATTACTGAGAAATTGTGAACCTGTCATTTCTTATTTTGCTTAATTCAATTACTCTATATATTAAGCTTCATATTAAGGTTTCAATTCTTTTATTAGTTCTTTTCTAATCTATCATTATTATAGTATCTTACATTAGGAATCATTTCCTCAATTAATTGTTTAACTTAATCAGACATTAATAAATATGAAATTTGAATTTATATTATTATATTAATTTATATACTCTATCTATAATAATACAAATCAATATCAGATAAAACTCTTTATATTTAATCATATAAATATTTTTATTTTTGTTAGTCTTTATTTACAACATTAAATATTAACAAATTTTAATAATCTATATATCATATGAGCTCAATTTAATTCACTCCATAATAAGAAGAGAAAATCAAATAAGTCTGTGAATTTTCAAGTCAAACTAAAGAAAAAGTCATTTATGTGTTATAAGGCAATAATTGGTAAGTAGAATAGGCAATTGATATTTTAACTAATGCAGGCGCATTCATTTCTAATATAAACAATACTTAATCATAATAGCCTAATAATACTAATAAGATTTCATAATAGAATAACTTATAGAATAATAATTCCCTTCCTACTAAATAATAGTAAAATAATAAAAATCCTTCACAAAATGAAAAAAATGATATTTAAAAAATAGAAGAACAAATAAAATTGACAGATAATTAAGAATGGGAAACTTCTGATATTACTATAGCAAAAAATAAAATGTTATAAAAATCATTGAATTAAAATATAGGTCAGGAACTGAAAAGAATTTATCAACTACCAGTTGGTCTGGTTAATGTTAGAAAAATAGGGTATTTTAATTGCATTATTTAAATTTTGGTTTAGAATCCTGCTTTCTTAGAAAAAGTGCTTACTTGGAAAAAAAATTAGAAATCTTAAAATGAAAAAGATAAAAAAGTAAATATAGTATTAATATAGATATCTTTTATTATGGAATTCTAAATGTTATTAAGAAGGTTGACTTTTACTAACAAAAGATTCTTAAATCATTAAGAATTTGTAGAATAAACATTCGATATTATTAATTTTATTACAAAAACTAAAATTTCTGATAAAAATTTAAAACCTAATGAATTTTTTGAAATTTTCATGAAAACTTTGGATCCAATTTTATCCAATACAGAATATGAAGAAAATTAGTCTAAAAATCTTTTAGATAATACTTTAAATGCTCAATTTTAAATGTAATAATAATCAGTTAATGAAATTACTTTAAATTTTAAAAGAGAAGATAGATATCTATATTTATCCCTTTTGAAATTGGTTTGTTAAGATTAATTTATTATGTTTTAGAAGATTCCTCAAACATTCAGTTTTAGTTTACTATAAAAATAGAATAACAATTCATAGATAAAAGTGGATTATTGGTTTCCTTTAACAATAAATTTGTAATTTCTGACTAACGAAAAGATGTGCTAATAATTGAAAAGTATATTGTTAAATTTAGTGACTGATAAAACAATTTAAGAAATTAACTCAAGTATAAATGAAATAAATATGTCTAAGAATAGAAATTATTGAATTCTTTGATTATAGTAGAATAGAGTTATGAATAGAATAAAATAATTCCAATAAATGTTTTAGAATAATTAAGAATTGAAAGAAAGAAATTATAAAATGAATTATAGAAATATTTTTTATTGAATGATGGCTTAAATTAAACTGAATATCATTAAGATTATTATTATTACTTACATGCAGCAGTTATTTAAATAGAAAAAGATAATTTATAACATTTTTATGTGTATATTTACAATTTTACACTAAAACAATGGTATCGATATAATGATACAGATGTAAGAGTTGAATCAGATGAAATAGTAAGAAAGGATATATAATAAAATGGATGTTTCTTTGTTTATGTAAGTCAAAATCAAATGAGATGTATTAAACATCATTAAGAAAAATAATTTTAGATATCAACTAATTTAGAATTGGAATAAGGAATTATAAATTGGAATCAATTAGAGATAAACTAATTAATGAAACCTTTAATTCCAAAAGAGATTAAAAAAATAATAGAAAGTGAAAATGAAAATAACAAAATTTAATGAATTATTTTTATAATTATTAATGTTTAATAGCAATATTATATCAAAATATTGCACAATCCTTATCTTTCTTTTATTGCTATGCTGGTTATTAAACCTCTGGTTTTTTTGGTTTTTATTATTCAACAGGTTTAATATTTTAATCTGGTTATTAATCTTCATCTACTGGATTATTATCCAATTCCTCAACCATATTCCAATTACTAAAATTGGATTCTCCAAATCTATCTTTATCATATTCTTTAATTAAAAATCTAATGATTATTTTATTTACTTTACTTCTCTTCATTCTAAAGTAATTCAATTGTTAATGGTATTTTACTACTATAAAATGGACTACGAGTACTCATTGGTATTAAAATCCAATCATAAACATAATCATATTCATAACCTTCCTTCACAAATCTTTCTTTGAAGATCTTTTTCAAAAATGAATAATCTGGTTTTTCATCATACCTAAGATTTCTAACATAATTCATAAATTATTAAAATTCATTAGGAACACCTTCATTATATAATTAGATACCTTTACATAATTAATCAATTGGAGTTTATATTTTCTTCTCCATAATTTTCTAATATTTTTCTTCCTTCCTATTTGCTCTAATACCTTACCACGGTAAAGTTCCTTTTAAAAAATATATTAGCATATAGCCTAAAGCTTCTAAATCATCTCTTCTTGATTATTCAAATCCTTTGTGAGTATTAATACTGGCATAACGAGCAGTACCAATAAGAGGTTTTCCTTCTTTCAAAGGAATGTGTTCATGAGTCCTAGCATCCCTATATCGTTTAGAAAGTCCAAAATCAATTGTGTAAACTATATGAGACTTCTTAGCACATCCCATAAGAAAATTCTCAGGTTTAATGTCTCGATGAACATAATTTTTAAAATGTATGTATTCTAAATTGGAGATCAATTAATCTGCAAGCATGAGGACTGTTTTGAGTGTGAATGCTCTTTTACATAACACAAGTAATTCTTCTAGATTTTGACCCAGGAGATCCATAACGAGAAAATTGAAATCATTTTCTTAACCGCACCTAAGAAAATATGAAACAAATAATTTAACCATAACATAGATGGAATACCCACTCCTCCTTATAGATTTTATAGAATCTTGCCTTCATATAATAACTATGGATGTTTAGATTTGACTTCTTCAATCTTTATTGCAACATCTTGATTTGATTACACATTCTTCGCAAGATATATTTAACCAAAACTACCAACTCCTATTTTTGGTCCCAGTTTATATCTATATCTATAATAATATTGTTTACCTTCCACAAACTCTTAATTCAATAATACTCATTAATTAATATAATGAAGCAAACTCCTAAGATGAGTTAGGCTAGCAGTCCAAATAATAAACTCATCAATACATTATTATTGAAATCCAAAAGTCCTTCCTAATACACAATTCAAAGTCCTGCTGTGTCTCCAACTTAAGTGAGTTTGCCCAAAGCCCTCTATCCACACAAAAACTCTTCAATAGATCTAACGAAATTGGCTACATTAATGAAACAATAGAAAGTGAAATAATCATCTTCAGAAGGATCAAAAGACTCAATGACTCAACTTATAGCTAAAGCTCGTGCAATTGCAATGTCAGCTAAAACTCCATCAGGACCTATTCATATTAGAAATGACTCTGCATAAGTACGTAAGGTGAACAAGGAAGCAGAAGTTGTAAGTCCTAAAGCAACTGATATGAAATTAATTAATAAGGCAGCTTTCACTTTTGAATTTGTAATTGGTATAGGAGGATTTGGTAAAGTGTGGAAGGTAAAAAGAACAGGACAATAATTTGCAATGAAAGAGATGTCCAAAGCACTTGTTATCACTAAGAAAAGTGTAAATTCTGTTATGAATGAGAGAATGCTTCTTAGTTAACTTAAACATACATTCCTCATTAATATGTATTACGCCTTCTAAGATCGTGAAAACCTATATCTAGTCATGGATTATATGTGTGGTGGTGATTTACGGTTTCATATAGGCAGAATGCGACGTTTCAATGAAGAATAAACTAGTAAATATTATATAACATTTCAGAGTTCTTTGTAGCATCTATATTCATTGGTCTCGAGTATTTACATACAAATAATATTATTCATCGAGACATTAAACCAGAAAACTTAGTCCTCGATGAAAAAGGATTTGTTCATATCACGGATTTAGGTATTGCTCGTGTCATGAAATAAGAAAATTCAAGTGACACTTCTGGAACTCCTGGATATATGGGTATTATATTTATTATATAAATCAATTATAAGCACCTGAAGTCATGTGTCGACAAAATCATACATTTGCTGTCGACTATTATGCACTTGGAGTCATTGCCTATGAGTTTATGTTAGGAAGAGTAAATCATAATATATCCAATATCTTAGCGTCCTTATGTTGGTAGGTCTCGTCAAGAGATCCGTGATTAAATTCTTGCTCGACAAGTTTAAATCAAGGCTAGTGAAGTACCTCAGAACTGGAGTGTGGAAGCAGTTGACTTTGTTAATCGACTACTTCAACGTAAACCAGCCAGTCGTCTCGGTTTCAATGGTGGCCACGAGATCAAATTACATGCGTGGTTCAAAAGCTTTCCATGGTCAAAGCTCTAAAATAGGGAATTGAAGGCTCCCTTTATTCCTAATCCAAGTGATGACAATTTTGATTAAAGACAAATTGTTATTGAAGATGAGGAAAATGCTGATCTCATTGCTCAAAACATTTAATTGTTAAGAGATCCAAATGCTCAATAATAGTTTGCTGGCTATGAGTATCAATCAAACAATGAGAAGATCTTTGTCTTTGATTAAACAAAATAATCATGAATCCTTTGACTAACATTATTTTAAATTCCTCATTTAATAATTATATAAAATTATGGATATATAAATATTATTTATTTATTTTTACTTTGCTAGTTATAAATGAAAGATTTATTAATATTTGGAATATAATATTTCTTAATTATTTTTTAATACAATTAGAATATAAATTAGTATAAAAATCATTTGAATTTTAATGGAAACTTAGGTAACAGTATTCCACTTACAAATTATGGGATTAATAATCTTAATTTATAATCCAAAATCTTAGAAATTTTCTTCAATTATTATTTTGATCCTTGATATTATCTATTAATTCAGTAGTTTTTAGCCATCTTTAAATAATTATATGATGATAAAGTTTATTTTTTAATTTTTCTTTATTATTCTTTCAAATTTAAAAAATGAAGATAATCTCTTTCAGTTGCTTATATTATATCCTTTTAACAATTTCAAAAATTAAACAAATATTCAGGAGATATATATTTGATGGATATTCGAAATGATTATGCAGTGTACTTTTTATTCTTTAATTATCACTGAATTATATTAGAATATCTAAAGTTTATAGAGAAACTATTTCACATTGTTTATAAATTTTGGTTGTGTCTTATAAGATTAAAGAGCATTAGATTATTTATTTTGATGGATAATAAGAGTTTTTAGCAAAGATATAAATTTTTGTTGCTTGATTTACTATGGGAGAGTTCATTACAGTATGTTAGAGAGAGACTAATTGAAGAATTTAATTAAATTAATAATTTTCATTTATAAATACCCCATCCTGATAGGAATTATCAATTTGAGAGACAACAATAAAAATAAAATATTGTTTAAATCCTATAACATATTATTTTATCTATAATAAATTATTTATATATAATATTTTATAAAATATGGGATGCACAATTACATCTGAAAAAGTAAACCTATAGAAAACTATGATGTTGGAATCAACATTCAATAAAGAATAAAGGGAGAAAGAATAACGAATTAAAGCTCACTTAATTTTAGATCAATATAGATAAACAAAAACTATTAGAAAGTAAGTTAAACTCCAATCTGATGTTAAGGATGCCTTGTAGGAATAATTGTATCGGAACAAAACAGCGTAACCTTAAAAATCCTCTATTGCTAATTGAATTATATATTCGATTATTAGAAAGCATTTCAAAGCAAGCTTTACTGTTTTGAACTAATATTTAATCAATATGTTTAAGTTCTTTTAATCTCTATTCACATTCCTTCTCATCTTTTCAAATTATTTTTAGATAAATTATAACGTTTTAATTGCTAAATCTCTTTAATTTTCCTTTATTTAAAATATATTATTTTCAATGTTTATTATTAATTGAATTTTTATTTAAATTCTATTTTTTATAAATATCCAAAATTTATAGACTTTTGAAATATTCTTCTTTTAATCTTATGATAAATAATAGATTAAATAATATATATTGAGATTATATTTATAACTTGAATTTTAGTGAAATTTGAACAATATTTTAGTATTTTTGTTCATTGTAATAATACTATTAATTTGTTAAACAACCTTTTCCTTTATTTATATATTAAAACGTGATTAAATTAAAAGTTAAATAAAAATAAACCACAGTTCTCATTTCTAATATTCATTATAACACAATATTAATCTTAAAGTTTATTCAATATTGAGGAGACTAATTTTGTTTTGAAAGAATTATACTAAGCTTGAGAAACTTTGAATTAATGATTCTGAAATTTATTTAGTGTAAAATATTGAGATATAAACTAATTTAATTGATTTTTAATAATTGTTGTTAAAATAAACACATTTAGTAAAATAATGAAATAATTTATATAATATATTTTTTATTATTAATACATATGAATTATAGTTTATTTTTAATAATAATTAAACAATTAATAATAATTGAGAAAATAATTATTAAAGAATTTTTAATTTTAAATCTTGAAAAGCATATATGATTATGTGCATAATTTTGATTATTATTGATTATCAAATTTAATTGATCTTTGTTCTTTTGTATATTTTATTTATTGTATAAATTAATGTTCATGGATTTTGAAGATGAAGATAATGCTTATTTGGAAGTAGGTGATAATCGAAATGTAAAATGTCGTCATTAAAATAACCACAATAAGAGAACTAATCAAAGAGAAAGTTATTTAAGAAATTGTAATATTCAAAAACGACAAGAATAAGGATATAAAGATAAATTATAGATTAATGATTAAGAAAATGAAAAATAATTAAGGAAACTATAACAATAGGAAAAGAAATTAAAGATGATAGAAAAAAGAATTTAAAAATAAATTGATATCTAAAAAGATAATGAAAAGATGTAGCCTAAAAAAAAGTAAAAAGTTAATCATTAACTTGCTATAAGAGAATAATGATATAATAAAATATAAATCTAAAAATTTATCATAATAATTTAATTATATCTAAAAAAGTAAACAATAAAGGAACCAATTTGATTTCTTTAATTTTTCTGATATTCTTATTTAAATTGGTTCTAACATATTGTAAACATAATTTGTTAAAATACTAATTAATTTAAAATTAAACACAAAATGTAGCCACAACAATTTTTAGACTTAGTGCAATGTGCCTTCTTTGATAGCAATAATTAGCGTGGATAGGCTGAATAAGTACTTTTAAAGTATAAGGATGAATGTTAAGATGAATTTCTTATGTATTGTGCATCTGCATTTGCTAATCGCTCAATTTAGAATAGACTACGTATTGCATGCAGTACTTTAATAAAACGATTAGTTGGATTAGTTGTATGTTATCTAATTAATCAATTTTAGCATCCTTCTAATCAAATCATGTGGTTAGCTTGTTCTTAAAATACTAAAAATGAAGTAAAAATTAAGTTCATGGATTAATTAATTGATCCTGAACATGAGATTAGAAGATCAGCTGCTAATGTAAATATATTAATTCTATATACTAGACTATAAGTGAGATTTGTGCTATTGAATTACCACGTTAAGAATGGCCAGATCTTATCTCAAGATTGACTACTAATTCTAAACACAGTAATGTTTTAGTAAAAGTATCTGCTATAATGACTTTGGGATATATTTGTGAATCACTTGTATTTAGATATATTATAAATAGAAAAATCATTAATCTTCAGGTATTTCAGAATAAGATGCAAAAGTTATTTTAATGGGAATTTGTGTAGGGATGGATATCAATGAATAGAATGTAGAAATTAGAATTACTGCAATCAAAGCATTATAAGATTCACTATATTTTATGAATAATCTATTTACTTAATAAGTATAGATTACAATATTCTATTATAGGAAATATTTACTTTTGTTAAAAACTTAATTTTATAAAATGCTATGTCAAACATATAAGAGATTAAACTTAAATCTCTTTAATGTTTAATTGATTATGTTAAATAATTGTTTGCATTTTTACCTGTATTCATTTCAGATTTATATTAAACAACATAATCTGCTTTTGAAAATTAAGGAGAAGTTACTATTGCAGCTATAGAAATTTGGAATACAATTTGTGCAGAAATTAAAGAAATAATAACTGAGAATACTAATTAATAAACACCTGAAACAAATTCTGTTGATTGTTGTGTTTAATTTTTTAAGAAAAATTATGAAGGATTTATTATACCATTTATGCGTAATCTGTTATTAGATGATGGAGATGCAGAAGATGAATATCAAGGATTATCTGTCCCAAATTCTTCATGTAAAGGTTTAGCTTATATAATTGAATTTGCTGGTAGTAATACTTATGATTCTGTTAAAAATTTTATATAAAATACTATTACACATTAATAATGGGAATATAGAAAAGCAAGTGTTATGGCTTTTGGTGCATTAGCTGAAGTATAAACTGAAGAAATTGGACTTTTAATTAAATCTGCTTTAACTAGTTTATTTGGTTGTCTTGTTGATTCAAATATTAAAGTAAAAAAAGCTACTACATAAACTTTAAGTAGAATTGCTGAAAATTATCCATAATGCTTTCATGAACATGATTAAGCTTAACAAATGCTTGTTACTCTTTTAGATTAATTATCTAATAAAGTATCTATAGTATAAAATTTGGTTTGGGTCTTTGTTTATTTAACAGAAGGATTAGCTAATTTTCAAAATAGCGTTTTCACAAGAGAAAAATTTACTATTCTCTAACATCTAGCTAGTACATCAGTTAGACCAGATATAAAAAATTCAGAAATTGCACTTATTGATACTGCATTTATGGCAATCTTAAATATCATTTATAGTGTAACTGAAACTAAATTATGTAATGATTATTTAGTTTAATTTTATCAACAAATTCAATTATTAGAAAATAGTAATTAAGTACCTATAGAAATTAAATATCATCTTGAAATGGGTTTAATGAGTGCCATGCATGGATGTGTTGTAAGATTAGATGATACTACAACTTCAGAGAAATAATTTGAAGACATTATGAAAACATTATCAAAAGTAGATTCTAGAGTTAAAAATGATTACTTTTATGTACTTTCTGGAATTGCTTATGCATTCAAAAAGAAATTAACTAAATATTCTACTTAAATAATTTCTGAATTAAATAAACCACTATCAGAACCAGAAGATATGGAGAGTTTTAAAACTGCACTCTTTTGTTTATCTGATATTGCTAGAGCCATGGAAGAAGAATTTGTTCCTTATATGAATATTTTAAATTATTTCTTTGGATTAATAAAAGTATTTAAATTATATTATTTTAATTAGAATGGTAGTTTCAATAGAGAATTGAAAATATAGGTTTATAATGCAATTGCAGATATCATATTAGGTTTAAAAGATAAATCAACTTCATTTATGAATGATCTTAAAGAAATTCTTAAATTAGGTTTTGCTGCTAGTATAGATTTAACAAAGAGCAAATTAAGTGTTGACTAAGATTATGCTGAAAGATTGAAAGAGACAATGACAGCATTCTATACTTGTATGTTACATGCATATTGTGATCCAAAAACTCCTATTTTTGAATTAGGAGACACTGTTTAATGGTTTATCATATTTTGTTAAGAAATGTGTAATCTAAAATTAAAACCTACTATAGTAAATTTTAAATCTTATCAATATAGGAATATGTAAGATTAACTCTTTGTTGTATATTTGATTGCTCTCATTTCTTTTAAAATTTACCTGATATGAAATAAAAAATCAAAGAATTTATAACAAGTGATTTTGTAATTGAATTGATAAGAAAATTAAGTTAGTTTAATGACAAAGATTATCAAGATTGTGTAAGTTTTGCTTAGCAATTACTTAATGATGTATACGGTTACTAATTGAAATTATATTGAATGTTATTTTAATATTCTTGTTTTTCAATTGTTAAAAAATTTAATTAAAATATTTATCATATGATTTTATTAATTGTTGAATCTATTAGTATGTTATTTAAATTCATTTTCAAAGAAGAACAAAATAAAATTAGAATTATTATATTATATTATAGATATTTATATAAATATTCAAATTGTGTCTGATTAAATGATCTTTTGGGTTTTATCTACAGAATCTCCAATTTAATCATCATCTCCTTTCTTTTCACTAACTTTTTCTGTCTTACTTCCTGCTCCACCTCCAGCAGCTAATTAATTAATAATTTATTATTACCCATTGGTAGAATACTGTTTACTACAGCTCCAAATGTACCACCTAGAGCAAAGGCCTAAATTCCCAAGAAAATAAAGATAAATATTAGTAATAGGATTATTGCTCCTTATATTAAGAGCATAGTTAATAATCCTGGAGAAATTCCTAGAAAATCTAATGCCATATCTGTGTTCTTTTATTAGAGATATTTCATGGCCTAATCAAATTCTTTTTCATTTAAAGAATCTTAATTGGCTGAGGAAGAACCCTTTTTAATATTTGCAAAGATTTCATTAATTCTATGCTCAGATAAATTCATTCCTAATCTCTTTGCTAATGTTCCATATTCTGTCTTACTAATACTTTTAGTTCCATCCTCTAAAATAATATATTTAATATAATTTACCATCTATAGCTTTAAACATATCTTAATTAGTAGCTGTTCCTTCTTATATCTTTTTCATTAACTCTTATATTTCTTTAGCTTTTTTTGGATCTTATTATGATCCACCTATGCTTAACTATTTACCTCCGAATACACCCATTTCTTAAACTTATTTAATTATTTATTCAACAATCTTTATTGCACTGTCACTAACAGATAATTCTTTTAATAATTTTGGTACATATTCAAAATTGTAACTAGCCAAACCGAAAATACATTTGATCACACCCATAGGCAATTCAATTATTTTAGCTCTTTTAGGTAATGCTATTGTCCATTGATCAGATTTTGATGCTTGCTTATCTTTTTATTAATTATTTCCACCTTTTTATTTCTTTTCCTTAACCTCATTGTTAGGATCTTGACCAGTCAAAGTATATAATAAAGATTCAATTTAGAATAAAAAGTCTTAATTAGTAATAGACTTTAATGGACAATTGTTAATATTCTATATTTCTTAGAATAATTCACGAATAATAACTGTGTTCACATATTGTAATAAATTTAGGTTCTTAAAGAGAACTGAATCAATAATGAAACACAAAACTTGAAGTTTCTTATCACTATCACTTTGAGCTTTCAAATCATCAATATTATATCCAGTTAATAATAAAATAATACCTGTAATCAATCGTTTTACTTAAGTTGATTGTTCATCAATCTTAGTCAATTAAACTTACAATTCTTATAATTTCTTTGCTTTTTCTTAGAAATTGTAACCTTAGGGTACGATTGCCATAGATGGCATAATTTATTATTAATTACCCATTTGTAATTATTACATAGGAATTTATTATTAAATAGGCATTTATTATTATTATATTGGTATTTATTATTATTACATAGGCATTTATTATTATTACATAGGTACTTATTATTACATAACCATTTAAGGTTATCCAATAATAGAAGTTCCTAATTATTATTACATGGGTATTTATTATGCTTATTATATTTGTTGTGGTTACATCAGTTATGCTTGTGTTAACATTGGAAGCTAAGTACTTAATCTTTTAGCTTAATCTTATTTTATTTAATTAGCTTTCTTTTCATTAATCTCTTTGTTGAGTTTATCTATTTAATCACTTAAAGATTATCTATTTTCTTCCTTAAAACTTAACCATAAAGAATTAACAGTTTATCCTAATACATCTAAAATAAATTCATTAATTGTTTCAGTAATTTATGCTAAACCATCAGCAGGAGCATCTTCTAATTATTTTTTTTCTTCATTATCATTTTATTCATCATCTTCTTCATTATCTTCTTCTCCATCATCATCATTGTCATCATCATCATTCTCATCATCATCATCATCATAATTTTATTCTTCTTCATCTCTTTATGAGTGGACTTGAGAACCTTATACAATTTAATTTTGTTATTATTCTAATTTATCTGAAGAATCTTTTAATACTTTTAATGATCTTTCAGGTATTTAGATAAATACAAATAATTATACAAATTTGTCAAATACTCCTAAATATGTTCTAATAGCATCAGGTACATAATCACTTATTGTAATAATTGTATTTGGAATAATCTTTTTGAAATCTATATTTTAAATTTTTAAAGTTTCAGGATAGTTTATGATTTGATTACAAATCTTATATAAATTAAATATAGGTCCAATAAATTTAACTTATTCAATCTTTTCTACAAAGAATGAACCTGTCATAATTTTAAATATGAAATCACATTCTTTTCTTGAAAATGAAGCTTTCTTTGTATTATCCATTTTTTCCATTTCCATTTGAATTTATGTTTAGATTTTAAGAAATTCTGGCATCTTTAATAGCCATAAACTCCATGAAAAAGTTTAATGTTTTTTACTTTGTGACATTTTTTCAATTTTGTTATAGAATTCTTAGTCACTATGACCAGGTTTGTCTTATTTCTTTTTAATTGCTTAAAGGATTATTTAAAATGAATTAATAACTTTTTATCTTTAGTTATTTCTAAGAGATCCATTCTTTTTATCTTATTATTCATTAATTTAAGAATAGATTAATAATGGTAATAATTATAAAGGTGGAATGATTCTCATTGCATTTTCTGGTTTTAAAAATTCTTCATTACCAATAATTGTAGATATATTTTTCCACATAAACATAGTTAATATGAATCCAGCACTCATAGAATCATGATGTAAAATAGCTGAATACATTTTTTCAATATTACCACTTGATATTGCTAAAAATAATAAAGCAATATTTTTTGAAAGATCTTTATTCTCATCATCATTTTTATTTTCAAGTCTTACATCAATAATCTTTGAATCAATTAAATTTTCAACTTATTTTTGAATATCAAGTTATAATTCAACATTATTTGAATTTTGATTATTTTTTTTATTCTTTTAAAGAGCCCTTTTATTTTAAATAAGCATCATTTTATTTGATTTTAAACCTATCATAGCTCTTAAGAATTATAATTCTGTTTCAGGTTCATCCTTAGTAAATGATAATTTTTATAAAACTACAGAGACATCATCATCTTTTTAGAAAAAAAATGAATAATCATCATTAACTATTTTTATTATGAATTAGGTAATTAATCTAATAGTAGTTAGATTAGTTTTATATTCATTTGCTAAATCATTAGATTATCCTATTTCAAAATCAGTAAGGATTGGTAATCTTAGATCATTAGGTAATGTTTCTTTTGTAATTGCTTATGCTAATTACCAAAGCAATAATATAAAGTATTCTTCTGTTTTTTTAGGATCAGAAGATAGAGCTGAATATTTACTAAAATCAAATCTAACAGCATCTATTTTCTCTATTTAATGTAATTATGATTAATCAAATCCATAAAGTAATTTTAATAAAATTGTTTTAATTGAAAAATATCTATCTCCAGAACTACCAAAAGATGCTTGTAATTTTGATTTTCCCTTCTTTTCAGGTACTTTTTTAACTTTTTATTCTTTTGATTATGCATTTTATAATTCAGGTGGAGGTGGTACTAAATTTTATGGATTACCTTATTATTATTATTATTCAGGTGGATCTTATTTAATCTCTTCAGGTTTAGTATCATCTGGTTTCTTTTATTCATTTTATTATTATTCTTATTTTGCTTATGGTTATGGTTCTCCTCTCTTTTTTTTAATCAGATTATTCATTTAAACAGGTTTAAATTTGGTTGAAGCACTAGGATTGATAACTTAAGAGTAATCAGCTAATTAATAATAAACATCCATTTTGCCTAAATAAGCATCAATCAATGAATTCAAAACTTCTGTATCATTTTAAGAAAGATTCATTGATTTAATCAAAGTTAATTGATCTTCAGATTATTAAATATCAGTATCATATAATTACATAGATAAATTAATGAAACTATTAACTAATGAAACATTCTATTGTAATGATTAAGCTAAAACTGTAAATCCTTCAAATGATTTCAAAAAGACAGATAATATTTCTTATAAATTCTTCTTATTAGATGCAGTATTCCAACAACAAGCATTTAAATAAGCTGATAATTATTATGGAGTATTTTATTTCCATCCATTCTTAACTTTATAAAAAGAACCAGATAATGCTGCTAATCCATAATATGCCATAGCTGCAGCAGGTTCTTCATCTGTAAAATATGTATCAGGTTCAATTATTGATTAATAATTACCTTTCCAAATATCAATTAATAATCTTATATTATCATTATATTAATAACATGCTTATGACCATTATTCCTATGAATTCAATACACTTAACCATTTTTTACCTGTTCTCACATCTATAACCTCAAGTACAGCTTCTTCTAAAGTAGGTTCTTAAGAAGAGTTTTATTTAGGTTCAATAGATAGTTTTTATTAATTAATCCATGCCTTTTTCATACCATCCTATTATTCATGAATTTCTTTATCCATTAATTATTTAAGTCTCTCTTTCAAAATAACTAAACGAGTTTATGCATTTACTTTTTTATCTATACCTTCTGCCCTTATCCATTTAGTTATTTAAGAACTGCTTTATAAAAATCCAATATCAAAGAAATAATCATCCCAATTTATACCTTAATCTACAGATGTCTCAATATTCTAAATTGAAAATTTAAGATAATTTTCAGGTTCTGATATAATATCTAAACTATATTTTAGTATTTTATTAAATTAATAAGATTTAAAGAATCTATTCTTCATAGAACTATATTCCTCTTACCTTCTTTCTATTAGACCCTTTAAGAATTTAAATTTGTGTAATACTTTCTTTTATTAATTAGCTTATAAGGATTTATGTTCCAAAGCTGTTTGATATGTGACCAAACCAGCTGTACAATTAGCTGAAATTAAATTTTCAGCAGATATTGCAAATCCACAAGATAAACCTATTAATAGAGCAGCTTTTGTTTTTGAAAAATAATCAGTAAAATTCTTAAAATAATACATTCTTTCTATAGATGTCAAAATGAAATCTATCTATTGTGTTGTGATTTTATAATGTTCTTCATCTCTTGGCTATTAATTTTCAAGTGGATTCCAAAATGATCTTCTCAAACTTGCCAAAGAAGAGGCTATTCCCATTGTAAATATAGGTGTCTATTAACATTCAATATCTTTCATTATCCATGAATCAGTTAATACTTTCTATTCCATATTTCTTCTTGGATCAATAAATAATGAACAAGTTTCTTAATAAACTTTAATCATTTATTAATAAAGTATCAAAGGATAGAAACCTTTTAATTTGTTCTATTCTTCTGGATCATCTTTCAAAATTTCTACAGCTTCATCATATGAAATTCTATTGAATTATGGATCTGTAGATGGTGTATTTCTAATTATGTTAGCAATTCCTAATAAATCATCATCACCAGTCATATTTCCATACATCTCTACTGAATCTGCCAATACATCTAATTATGCATTTTTAATATCATTTTTGCCAATATTTAAAAATTGAATTACTTATGGATTGAAATTACATATATCCACCATATCCTATAACTCTTCAATAGAATCAATTGTATCAGAAAATAACTTTTTCTTTATTTCTTCTATACAATTTTCTTACTCATCAATCCAATTAGGTACATCCCAAAATGGCTCAAAGTCAGGTACTTCTAATTACTCATTGTAATAAATTTTCGAATAAAGTTCATCCATTTATCTAAACCATTCAACTTCCCCAAATATTTCTTTCAATAATGTTGGAATAGCTTAGAAAGACAAAAATGTTGATAATACTAAAACTGGATTTACCCATTTCTTTTCTTCATTAATATATGTCTCTTATATTAATTTCCAAGCAGGAATCATTCCTTAAGTAAGCATTAAAACAATAGGATCTATCTAAATTATCTATACTAATTTATAAATAGCATATTCGACTGAATTATTAGTTGGAGTCAATTCTGTAGGAATATCTTTTGTTTTAGGGTCTTCCAATAACTTATATAAATTGGCCAAAAAGCCTTTCACATTAAAAGAATCAGGAATAGGACCACTAATACAACCTATCAAACCTTACAATAATCCAAAATATTCTGCTCTACCATCACATTAAGCATAATCAAAATGAGGAAGTTTCTTAATGTATGTTTCCAAACCAGTATACTTTCCTCTAGTCAAACCTTTAGTTAATACTGCTATTTCAGGATTAACTTTCATATCTTTAATTAATTAATTGTCTTTAATTGACTAAATCTGTTTTATCCAATCTTTATCATAATTTGACACAACTTTATCTAATTACAATAGATTTTAAACTCCTTAAACTTTTAATTTTTATTCTAATTTCAATCCATTTATTAAAGCCTAAATATTATTGATTTCATAATCTTAGAAGATTATTTATAAAATCAATACAAATTCATCTCCTTTTACTCCTACTTTATCTAATAATGGTCCTAATTTTTTAGAAGATGTAGATAAATATTGATAATTTTGTATTCTTTAAGAAGAAACTTTAGCATTTTTAATAGTAGTTAATGTACTAATCATTTCAACTACTCCAGAATCCATGTTGAGTTCTTTTGAAAAGAAAGATGTTTAATATCCTTGACCTGTTATTAAATTGATAAAATTTAAGACAAATTAATCTGGTATTTTAACTAAAGATTACAATGGTATTTTAATTCCTGGATTCTCCTTTTCAAATTTACATGCTTATTATCTTCTCATAAATTTAACCATAGTTTATGTAAATTTTTGATTATCATTTAAAAAGAATGTATGAATTGCTTCAAAGAATTCTTATTTAATATCCAATTTTTTAGTTAAATATTACAAAATATTTTATTTTTGAATTTATTTAGTTTCTTAATCTTCAAATGTTAATTATAATTCACTCCATTAACCTGTAAAATAAAGATAAAGACATGCAAATATATGATAAATTTATGGAAGTGGTCTTTTCTCATCATTCTTACTTCTCTTACTATTTTATATCAAGAAATTCAATAATAATGTAATAGATCTTTATTTTGAATTTTCATTTAACATTTAAATAACTAATACTTAACCATCATTTAAATCTTTTTTATCTAAAGCTTATTTTAATTCTTTAGCATTTTAACTATTTAATGTAGATGTTAAAAATGAAACTGATTTATTTAATTATTTTAATGTTTCCTTTGGTAATTTACCATTCTCATCTTTTCCTATTATTAAATATGCCAATTAATAAAATGAATTTATATCCATTCCTTTATCTTTATTAAATAACAATTTTTCAATTAAAGGTAATGGTAATTTTATCATAGGGAATAAATTTTACATTTTTGTATAAACAAATTGATGTTTCTTTTAGATCATCTCCATTTTAGAATACATAAATTCTAAATAACTCTCATAATCTTTTTGATTTTCTTTTGAAATAAATTCTTCACTCTTAGTTGAATCAACTTTAGGTTAAGAATTTTATATTGATTAAATTACTCTATCTGAATTAGTTAAAAAGATAATGTTTATAAAATCTTCAAAGAATTATTTATTTACATTTAAAATTGAAGCAAAAGCATATACACTTTATTTAGTATCACTTGTTAAAGCTTATGGTGATGAGAATAAATCAATATTCTTTAATAATAATATATTAGTAAGTAAATCTATTTCTCTTTAATTAATTTGTGCAAATTAATTTTAATTGTTACCAACATCCATTAAAATATCTTTAACTTTTTAAGATGTAATCTAACAAGTAGGATCTGATATAGTTTCAATTAAAAATGTTTTCAATCTTCCAGAATTTCCACCTTCAACTGAATTATCTTCTTTAGCAACTACATCTTTTTTAAGTTTTTGCATCCACAATTTTAATTCAAAATCAGGTTTTTATATATCATCTATTGTATCAGAACTAGCTCCTAATTTTTATAAGTTATCTCCATCAGCATATGCAATATCAAGTACCTTCTTTCCTAATAATACTAAAATAATATATTCTCTTGGTATATCTAAATCTACACAAGCATTAGATAAATGAGTTGCATTATTACATTTAAATAAAATCAAAAGTGAAAAGAATTATTTTACTTTATTAACTTCAGTTTTATGAATTTTAGAAATAATCTAATATAAATCTTATAATCCCTATTTAGAATATAATTATAAAAGCACAGATACAATTGCAAGTAATGTTTTTGTATCTAATCTCAAAGATGTAGCTAAATTCATTAACAAAGGATTTGTTTATAATTTTTCAAATAATTTCTCTTCATTTTCTGATCCTTCATAAGTTGTATATTTATAATATTTTATAGAAGCTATGGCTTATAATTATTGAGCTTTCTTTTCATCTATAGAAAAAGCATTAGCTTATAAATGTAAATTAGAAGTCAATTCTCTTGAATCTTCCATAAAGAGACTAACCATTTCAAATACTCCTGTCATTAATGGAATTAACTTTTTAAATTCTCTTTCACTAACTACTAAATCTCTTATTGATTTAACACTTTCATCATGAAAATTCTCAAAAATAAATTTAAAAACATCTCTAATTACTTCTTTTGGTATCTTTTCAAAATTATGTTACATGAAATTAAATAATAAAGTAATTAAAGATGGATTTTCTAATATTTTATCTATATTAGTTTTTCTAGATTTAATCATTCCATTAATAACATCTAATGCTTTTGATATTCTTTATCTAACCAATTTAGTTGGTAATGCTTTATGTTATTTATTGAATGAATTTACTAACAATTCAATTAAACCTAATAAATCTTTCATATCTTTCAATTATGGAATTTCATCAAAGAATCCTGAAATAATTCCAAATATTTTATGAAATGTTATTTAATTACCCTTTCTACCTTCAAAAAGTGACATCGCAATTTTTAACAATCCTGAATATTTTGATAAATACTTTATCTAAGTAAATTATGGTTCATCTTTCAATTATTTTATTATTTAATCAAGATCATTAAAAACACCTAAGAAATTTTCTTATTATAAATGCTTTTATAATGAAATAGCCTTCTTTAAAACTAAAGATAATATTCTTGGTTCAAACATTTACATATCTTAATCTTAAAATAAAATTGCACTTTCTTATTAAATTAATTAAGCAAAACATTCTGCACATGGTTAAATAAGTGCTTCCAAATAATCTTCTGGACTCATCTAAGCAGTATTTCCACTTGGATAAGCAAATTCCCAAACAAATGTCATTATTGGTTAACCAATCTTTTTAAGACTATCAAGTTTTAATGTATTAGCTGCTGTATAAATTAATTAAGTAAGATTATTTTTAAACATATTTTTATCTTTCTTAAAAAGTGCTAATGCAATATTAGCTAATTCTTATCCATATCCTTCTATTTATTTTGCCATCTATTCTTTCAACATTGATATTGCCTTATCTTCTAATTCTTTCATCATTTTTGCAACAAATGCTTAAGGATTTGCAGCTATTGCTTATAACTCACTAGCAGCATTAGAAGCAGCCTCTAAAGCTTTATCTGGATTACTTAATAAAGCTTCAGCATTCTCTTCAATATGTGCTAATGTACTCTAATCTACTAAACCTAAACTTGCTGCTTATCCAGCAACAGACTTGAATGCTTCACTATCCATCATGTCATTCATCTTACCTTTTAAATCCATTTTAGCTATCATACTACCCATTTAATCTTTAGCTATTTTTTAAACATATGCTATAACAGTTTCAAATCCATCAGTTGCTATTTCCTTGAATTAAGCAGCTTTTGAACTGATAACTGTAATGAATGTTGCAGCAGCAGTAGCATAAGGTAAAAATGCAGTAGGATTTACAATAGCACCTAAAAGTAACCATACTAATGCCAATGTAATGAAAACACATAATTGATATGCTGAATATAATACTAATGCCCACATAATTTATCTGAAAATTAATTGAATTCTATTTGCTGTTTTAGGAGATACCTTTCTAAAGAAGTTTTCTTATGGGAATTACATAGATATGTAATAATATAGCAAATCAATAATAGAATAGACCCAATATATACCAACAAGAATTAAAACATTCTTAATCCAAGTACTTTCATTATATAACTTTAATGGAACAACCCAATAATTCTATAATATATCTTCTAATGTAATCAAATATTAAATTGGAATAAGTGAATATTAAGCATATAAAATCTTTTCTAATATTGTAAATGAGAATAGAGGAATGATTAATATAATTGTTGTTATGAAATGAGCTAATACTGTGAAGAAATCAACCATCCACCATCCTCCAAATAGAATAAGTTCTCTATTTGCTTCAGCTAATTCAGCTTAAGTTTTAATTAATTCAGGATTATTCAAAATTAATGAATAATGATTTTACATTTTCTATCTATTAATAATATAAGTTTATTATTCTGGTAAACATTTCTTAAGACAATCAGTTAAGCAATTCTACACTTTCATCATAAATGAAGGAGGAGCATCATCTTCTTTATGAACTTCTTCTTCATCTCTTTCAACCCATTGTTATGGGATATATTTACTTGTAATATTGTAACTCTTTTATAATTCTGATGCTGATGGTTATTCATAAGGTAAATGATTTAAAACACAAAATTCCTAATATTATTCATTAAATGTTTGCACAACAATATTATCTTCTTCAAAATTGGTTAATTTACAACAATTATTAATAAATAGTTCTAAAGTATTTTTATCTGCTGCTATAACAGGTAATTTAGGCATCATGCCATTAAGAAGAACTCTAACATAAGATTCTGTTTATGCATCTTCTTTAAGTGTAATTTTAAATCCTTTTTATTTTAATAATTTAAGATTCTTTTCATCATCCAATTTTTATTCAAGAAAACCATTAAGGAAACAAAACTTTTCATATAATGTTTTCATCTCATTTCCTAAAATTGATTCTGTTGTTAAATTATGTAATTCTGAATCTGTATTGCTTTTTTATTTCTTTTAAAATAAATGTGTATAAAATTCTTCAGCTGAATTAATATATTTTTTGCTTATCAATACACATAAATAATCTATGAATGCTGATAAAGGAGGGGCCAATACAAATAATTAATATAGTAATCTACCTAAATTCATATTTAAAACACTAAAAAATATATAAAGATTAATTACATTTCCATATCTTATGAAGATTATTTCTTTTTATCTGTATCATCTTGTTTATCAGATTTTTCATCTTTTTTTACATCTTTTTCCTCTTTTTCAGGTGCAATCTTCATTAAAGGTTATGCTCCTTCAGCGTCATTCTTTTTTTCTATACCACTATATTTATTAGTAGCTGCAACCTATTCTAAAATTTATTTGTAAACTGAATTTATCATATAAAGAACTCCTAACATTAAAAAGAATGCTGTTAATATTGAGATGATGACAGATACATATACTGCCCATTAAGTTGCTGGACTTTAATCTAAATTAATGTTTGTTAATTAATAACTTGTTTCATTTAATTTTACTATTTCAACCCATCTTTCAAATTCATTATTAGATTCAATATATTTACGTAAACCAGTAGCTTCTTTTGGATAATTTTCAGTTGGAAATTTAACTGAATTTTACCATGCAATTGTTGTTATTGAATGTTCAGCTTTTTCAAAATATTTTCCAATTAAAAATCTAGTATTATAAATATCATCTAAATCTAATGTAGGATGATAGGGACAGAATCCAGGACTTAAATTTAAATCTAATGTCCATGATGCTGTACTCATTAAAGTAAATGAAAATGTACCCATCCACCAAGGTTTTACATATGAATAAGCAGGATTATAGGTTAATGACCATTATTAATAATTATCAGATCTAGTAATTTTAGATCCAACTTTAAGTACAAAATTAGGATCAAAATTATGAGGATCATCAGCCATTTTCAAATAATGTCTTAATATTTTTTAACTTGGTAAATCAAAGTCAACACTTCCTGATGCATAACTTAATCCATGAATAATAGTATCCTTTTTTGTAATAGTTTTATTTTATTTTTTAATAATGTTCACATAAACATTACCAAATCTTCCAGTAACATTTAAGAATCTTAAACCAGTAGGTATAGAGTGAGGTAATTTCTTTTATGCTTCTGCAAATATTCCTTTATAATCAATTTTAGCCTCTGTTTTGTTAGCATTTTTATCAGTCTCATTTTTATCATCTTTTTTTAATTCTTCTCCTTCTTTCAATAATCTTAATTATGATCCTTAAGGTTTTCCTTAAGTTTAATCAGTAGAATTTGTTGGATTAATAGTATTATTAGATTTTGTTAATACATCTTTAATTGTTTAACATTCCAAAGATTAACAAAATATTGAATTACCAAAACAAGAAGGTTAGAATAAAGTAGCTTATTTTTCTTTAATGTCTTTTGTTTTACTTTACATATTAGCTTTAGGTGTTTGAGGATTAGTTTTATCATCTTTTTTAGGATCAACATCACTTTTAGGAGCAGTAGCATCTTTTTCTTATTAATGAGTTATTTAATCTAATTAGACTTAAAATTCTTTGGATTGATTATATGTATCAACAAATGGTAATAAGATAATATTTCCTTATAAATTTTCATGTTCATCAGCAAAAAAGCTTTCATAGATTTCATCTTCTAAACTTAAAAATTCTGTTTCATCTTCTTTATCTCCTTTATCTTTTTTATCTTTTTTTTCATCCTTCTTATCTTTATCTTTATCTTTTTCATCATCATCTTTATCTTTATCTTCATCCTTCTTCTTCTTTTTCTTTCCAGTACCAACTCCTTAAATAAAGGCTTTTATTTCAGATGCAGGTGCTTCTTAACAACCAACAACAATTGGATTAGCAATGACTGGAGCAGCATAACAATAATGAGGATTAGCATGTGTCCAATTAACCATCATTTCATTATCAGTTTAAAATATGATATCACCATTTTCTAATCTAACATCAGAAAATTATTCAAATTATAAATAATTTCCTTAAAATCTTCCTTAAATACTATTGAATGTTAAATTCTTAGTAACTAATTTTAAAGCATTTAATTCAACTAATTCTCCTGTCTAAATAAATATTAATAATAAATAATTACAATATTGATTGTATTATATGATATATTATTAGATGTCATCACTATAAAACAAGATCCAAAACAATTTATTGATAAATCATCAAGAACTGCTTGTTTATAGACATGTAAATCAATTTAACAACTTTGAGCAGATAATAAGTTTGTAAATTCATAACTATAATTGCTACCTTGAATATCTTCTGAAATAGTTGAAGTATTTGCATTAGGATCTATATTGAATCTTCCTGGAATTGAATATTCAAGGGCAAAGTCTGGTATAAGTAAGCTTGAACTTTCATCTATTGCATCACCTAATTTTGGTCCATCTATTGTTGTTTAATTAAGACTTTGGACATGAGAGTTTTTCTTTTTTAATGTTGTAATACTAGCCCCTAAATATTTAATTGAGGACATAGATTTTGTAATTTGATATTCCTAAAAATATATATTATTATTATACACTATCTATGATATGCATTCTACAATTAGTAACATTCATCATCAATCTTGAATTGGCAGGTATTTTTTAAATACCATCATAAAAGGCAAAAAATTCAAATATTACATAGAAACCTGTAAACAAAACTGTTGTAGTTATGATTAAAAATATAATTCGAACAAAAGATCTTAGACGTATTGCCCATTTAAGTGCTTGTTTGTTTTATTCCTCTAAATCCATTTATTATAACTAAAGGGACTTCCTAAAATAAGATTTGGTAAACAAATTTACGTTTTATTCCCATGCTTTTTAGAATCTGATTTCTTGATAATAGGTTTTTTATCATCATCATCAGAAGAGGAGGATGACTCTTAATCTGCTTCTTTTTTCTTATTTTTTTTTTACACTCTATAAATTCAAAAATATTTTTACTTTTTTGGTTTTTCCTGGTTGCTTTGTTGAGCAATATTATCCTGTGAATTAGGTGGTTTATTAACAGGAATCTCAATTTCTATAGGTTGTTCTTCATTCATCTATTGATATTGTTAAGACATTTGAAAAAATAATAATGAAAGTATATGTTTAAATTATTCGAATTTAAATACATTAAAAAAGAAGTTATACAACTTAAATAATTGATCATTCATATCATTTGATCATGATTAATGAATAAAATGAATAAGTTTAGGTATATTAGATTTGTTAGAAATTTATTTAAATTTTATTTTCAACTAATACAAAACACACGCTCAATATAAATTTAACCAAAAATAATACATTAAAATATGTATATAATTATTAAAAACCAATTATTAAAATCATAAAGCGAGAGGTATTAATTTTAGAATCATATCAATGAATTTCAATTCATCATCAAATTCTTAAATATCCTCATCAATTTCCTTTGCAGTCAAATTTACATATTAACATAGAGTTTTTGTTGTTACTAATTATTATAATAAATAAAATATACATGATAAAACAATCTTTTTATTTTATGAATTTGCTATAATTTGTTAAACTACTTTTGGTTTCTCAGGTGATTTTTTCTTGAAATTCTAATCTGGAAAATCAATCGTTTTATTTATAATACTATAATTGATATGATATGAATCTAATTAAATATCTTTAGAATTCTTTATTATTTAGTACATCTTTTATAGATTTTATATTGTCCAACAATCTGAAAATATTTATAAATGATAAAATCTAAATAATGATTCAAAAAATACCTTCTTTTAAATGCTTAATAACTTCTCTCTAATCTATATTAAAGCTTAATTTCTTCATAAAATGCTACTGAATGTATTTGATGTTCAGATAATCTTATATCTGGTAACAATAATAAACATAATTAAAGAGAATCTTCTAAAATAGAATGTCGTTTATTAGATGACTTAATTGTCAATTGTTTTAATATTTCATGTATATCTGATAGCACTTCTTGTTTTTCTTTTAACATTGGATCCTCTTTTACTCCCATTTTTATTTCATAACTTGATAATTTTTGATCATAATAACTCTTTTCTTAACTTTCCTAATTAAACTCTGAGACTCTCTTTTAATTTGTTGATCTTCTATTAACAATTTCTCTACTTTAAGATTAGAATATATTTGATTAAATTAATTGTATTGGTTTTAATTCATTTTATTCTTTTTTAATTCTATCCTTGAGTTATTAAGCAGCATTTTATGGTGTTAATATTTATTCAGTTTCTTTATCATTTGGATTATATTAAGTAATTTAAATTTTAACACAGAAAACAGGCTAAATTTTTAGTTATGAATTTTTACGAACTTATTAATGAGTTTATTATTATTACTCTTCTATTTAAGTTATATTAGGCTAATTAGATTATTTTTTATCTTAAGAAGTAGATTTTGGATATTTTGCTTTAGAAATATAAAATTAATTTGCAACATTTTCTTGAACTTGTATAGATGCAATCATTTAATTTTCTTTTTTGCTTTAAACTTATATAGGTGTCTATTCTTTCTAAATACTATTTTTCTTTAGTTAGCTATTTCTAGTTGAATATTCTTTTTATTATGATTGATTCTATTTGAATTAGATTTCAGATACATAATCATTTGATGCGACATTTTCTTATTAGAAATTTGAATTTTACATTGATATTTGAAATTTAGTTATAATAAATATTATAATAAAATTAAATTCATATTTAATTGATTAGTTTTTCTAAAATTATATATAAGTATTGATAAATTTTAATTCAAAAAAATAATATATTATTATTTCATATATATTCAATATAAAAGCTACTTATTTAAGATATTTATTGAATGTTTAATAACTAAAATTGAATTATACATTTTAAGTAAAATACAATGTGTAATGAAAATTTAATTAATTTTAATATATGGAGAGTGAAATTTAAATAGAATCATTATGTTATCATGTACTAAGGGTAGGATTAATCCATTTTAAATTTGGTTACTAAAGAATCAATTTCTTCATCTATTTAGATATAATAATAGCTGGTTCATTTTAACAGAAGTTATAACGAATGACAATTGGATTAAATTTAACTTTTTTATCGTTCTTCTCTAACTTTTTGTGAGAATATTAAGTTTAGATAATTTGAGTGATAGAACATTCCTCTTTAGATTAGACTTTAACTTCAAAATCATCTAAACATTCTACACTTTAATCTTCTTGATTTTGGTAAAATCCTAAGGGAATAAGTAATAATTATTTTGGACCTATCATTGATAATGATATAAATTTATTTATCATTTCAAGTATTAATACTTCTTTAAAAAATAATTAATATTTAATATATTTAATTCTTTGTAATCTATAACAATAGTAATATATAATCCTATATATATAGCACTTTCTTTAATATAAATTATGAATTTTCTTTGATATTAATAATATTTAATAAAAATTATTCTTATTTTATGTCAAAGTCTAGATCAAAAAGTACAATTGAATAGAGAATCAAAGAAGTCAGAATGTAAAAATCTAGAAATTATTCTCATGTTGAAGGAACATGTGTATGCTCTGATTGTTTATGTGGTTAATGCAAATGCTAAGTATAGTAACAACATTATGATTATCCAAAACTTTTACTATCAAATTATAAAAGAGAATATCCATGGAAATATTCATCACCTCCTAAACCAGTTTAAAAAGTTGAATATTAGTCAAATTTTGAATAAGTTTGTAGATCATCTACTTACTAAAGAAATTTTCAATAATTCAACATTTAGAAAACTGAAAATTTCAAACCATCACCTTAAGATTGGAGAAATGAGTCACCAATTGTTGAAATGACATCTTATAGAACAAATTTCAAATAACAACCTAATAGTATAATATTAAAGTTACATTAGATATCACACCAATCTTAAGGCCAATTGAAGTTGATCATTCTGTAAATTTACCTATGTCTTAGAAAACTACTTATAAGAATCACTTTAGAGCCTGTAGTTCTTAATTAGAAAATGATCATTATGTTAGAGAAGCTCATTATAAAAGACACACAAATTAAACTCCAAATCCATATTTAAAAACATCATATCAACATTTTTATAATGTAGTTTCATAATCACAAACAAATGCAATTTTACCATAATAAAATTAACCATTTATGCCAGCTTTATCTGGATCATAGAACAGATAAAGTAGATATCAATCAGATTATAAGAGAAAATAAAAACTTAAATGTTAAGCAAGATAATATTTAGAAGAGTACATTATTATTAATTAAGATTGAATTATATATTTATCATTTTTTTATATAATTGAATATTACTTGAAATTGTTGTTTTTTAAGACTCATAATTTATCAATTAATTCTTAACATTATATATAGATTTTTTTAAAAAGTGATTTATATAAATATATCATATATAATTGTAGTTTTCTTTATTTTCACATATTTTCTTATTGCTCTTTCTATCAGAAAGCAATTATGATTTTGATTTTCTTTTACTACCCAAATTAGGTTCAACTTCTGTTGATTTATTTATAAGTTTAGATTTATTCTTATAAAGATTCAAACTTTATGATTGATCTTCAATTTAACTTTCCTTTTATTACTATGTTACATCAAAGTTATCATTGATATTTTCATCATTCGATAATACATCTACAGTTTTGTCTGATAATTCCTCATCCTTTATTAAATAATCATAAGCTTTAAACAATAACTCATCGATTTTACGATTGATTTTTTGAATCTGGTTTCCCATCAATTAATCTAACAGAAATAAATATATTGTTATATTTATCTAATTTTATCAATTAAATAAATAGTATAAAGACTGATTAAATTAAAAAATATACAAAAATGTACTATTTTTATGGAATAACATTCAACTTTCATTTAAATTCTCTCATAAGAGTTGAAAACATAAATTCATATATTATTAATTAATTAAATGTCAAACATTAAGTATATTTATTTGAAGAAAATACATAAAGTTCCATCAAATATTACTAATTACTATAATCTCATTGAAACCATCAAGAATACTAATAAATAATTAAAGAACATTTATCTATTTGCAATCATTAATCCAGGTAGATATTTAAAAATACTATTATAGAAAAACCTGATATACTTACTGAAATCAATTCAGATGTTACATTTTAATAATTAAAAATAGTATATTAATAATAAGGATTGCCTTCTATTAAATTATTAGTGACAGAAACACAGAATTATTAAGAAATCTTAAAAGATTGTTAAGACTTTTTAAATTAAAGTATAGTTACAACAGAAAAGAAATATTAAGATGTTTCAACCTTCTTTTAACCTAGTAATTAAGATTAATGGCAATAATTTTCACCATTGTTAGGGAATATAGGGTAATTGTATTTAAATAATAGTTTTTAGAACTTAAGCATAAGTATAAAAAATTGATAAAGCATAAAATACAAATGAAATGGATTTTAGAAATAATTAATAACTTAAAGAATTAATTGATGAAATTATTGATTAAAAGTTAAAAAAATAATTTTTAATTGATTAAAAGCCAAAAGAATTAGGTTTAATAACAAACAATAACAATTAAATTGATCCATCTGATTATAGATTTAGATTGACTATGAAAAGTCTTGTGTATATTGCTATTCCAAATAATAACCTTAATGTTAAATTAATTTTAAAAAATAATGGTAAGAAGAAATGGTATAATCCATATATAATAAATAAAGAAATAAATTTTCTTTAGAAATTTATAGATTTGTCTCCAGATTAATCTATTGAAATTAATATTTCTATTCCATTCATTCCATAACATTTTAATGAGAATTAAAAACATTTTTATAGTTTCAAAGTAAATATAATACTTTAAAATATTAGATCAATGTTGAAAATGAATAAAGATAATAGTTTGAAGTAAATGGTTAAATTCCAATCTTAGTCTAGGCTCCAATTGATATTTAATAATCACAATAAGAATAAAAGATATCAAAATTATTGGATATCTTTCCATAAAAAGGAAAGAATTATATTACTAAATTTGTTTAAGAAAATGATTAAGATAAATCTGTTGATTAATTAATTGAAGAATTATTATAATGATATTAATGAAATAATTAATTAAAATTGATCAACATATGTATGGGTATTATAATTCTTATTGATTTACATTAATTGATATTGGAATAATATTATAAATTTTGATAATGTAATAATACAATTTGGCAGATTTCTCATTCAGTTTACAAAACTAAAATGATATTGATGTTGAATAACAAAATGATGTTATTAGAATAAATTCTTCAGCAGCTGATATTTCATCTGAAGAAGAAAATGATTTGGATAGGAAAATATAATTATTATATAGTTAAACTAAATAGGGCTTATAATCAATAAAGAAGAGATAAATTTCAGAATAAATAAAGAGTTCAAAAGATCTCACTAAGGTCAGTAGTTATCTTGTTTGTAGTAAATCTCTTCCATTTGTTTAATTATTTGTATCAAACAAAGTCTTTACTCGTAATAATAGAATAAAAGGATTTACTGCAATTCAACATCCTCAATACAAAAAATAAGTAGATATAAGTGATAATTAATAATAATAATATGAAAAATAGAAATCCAATTAGAAAATACATTACACTAGTTATTTTAGTGTTCCAAATAGGAACATATGCTATTCTTATATCAAAATTTGATAAATAATTTTATTGTATTTTTTTAGTTTTATATACTACCTATAAATTTATAATGAAAAGCAGAGAAGATTCAGTGTCTATAAGAAGTGATGAAGAATCGTTAGATTTAGATTGTAGAATTATGAAACCAAAGTTTAAATAGCCAGATTATGATACATATTAAACAGAAACTAATACCTCTGTTTATAAAAGAATAATGGAGATTAAGTCTAGTTCAAGTGAATATAAATTTAAAACATGTCATGAAACTATTTTATCAACAAATCAATATGGATGTAATAGAAAATCAAGTGATTGTTAATTTTAAGAATTCAATGAATAATAATAATAAACAAATAACTAATTCATAAACTAAAATTTCGATATTAATTTAGGTAAAGATAAAACAAGAAAGAAAAAAAGTAAAAAAGGATCTTTATATTCTGTATAAAGTTAATCTCAATCTCCTATTTCTAATAAACATTAATAAATCTAATTATTAGAAACATAATCAAAAAAATCTCAAAAATCTGTCAGCAAAAGTTCAACAGTTAATCTATCAAAAAAAGGTATGTGTAATTCTTAAGAAAAAAAGATTGGTCATACTTTAGATTATCAACCAATCAAATAAGTATAGCGATCTAATCATATGTCCCATTAATTTGATTAATTTAAAGATCCAATCTAAGATAAAATGAGTATCAATTAATTGAATAGATATTCTTTGAATGAGAATAAATTAGGATAAATGTATAGAAATACAAATCATTTCTTACTTACTGCATCATAACCAAAAAGTATATTAAAGAGTAAGTCTGTATGTAGTGAAAGTAGTAATGGAGAGAATAGTAGTAAATACAAATCAATGAAATCATCTATATTTAAGAAAGTTACATTCGAGTCAATCAAATATTAAAATAATATGAAATAATCTCTTCACAATTAATAATAATTGATTATAATATAATGAATATTTAATATATATATATATATATACTTAAATTAATTATTATTTTTATTAATCATAATAAGATACAATTTCTAAGTATGCTTTAGATTGTATTCCTATACTATTATTCTAAAATAGAATCTTATATTTTTTAATCCAAAATACATTTATAATAATTTAATTTAAACCAAAATTATAATTAAGTCATTAATCATTCTTTATAATTTTAATATATATCCAATTAAAAACTGCAAATATTATTACAATAATAGACACTGTTAGGGTGACAAGTTACCAATAGTTTAGAGAATCTTTCACTTCAATACCACTTTAATATTATCTTTATTCTGGTTATCTCACTTATGTAAAGTTGCTATTATCTTCAATTAAAGAGCACTTTTTATGACATGATAACTCAAAGAAAAAGTATTTGTAAAAATGATATACTGTCTATGTATTTTTTCTTGAAGTTGTAGAATTCTCTTAAATGGTTCTATACATTATTTTTGCTCTTTCATCTAATCTCATAGGAACCTATATAATTATATTTAAATCTACATAGTTTATTTGAATTATCTCTACAACCTTTGTTTCGTGTTTTTAGATGTAAAAATTGTTAGGCTTTATTTTGTAATTTTGAGGATTTGACAATTCTATTTGAATTTCAAGTATATTCTATGAGATATTTTTAATTTTTAATTCAGTCTAAATTTGCAAAGTATTCCTATTATAAGCAAATGTTAGTTTGTTTTAAGCGGAGAACATTAATAATTCTTCCATTTCTTTTTTTTCTTATTAAGAGTACTTCAAAACTAATAATTAAACAAATTAAAATAAAATTACGTTATTAATTAAATATGAAATCTAGGCTTCAAAATGGAAATTATTTTTTGAATAAAGATTTTGTCTATTATCATAGACCATAAATACCTGTTACAATCCAATCAAAATCAGCAATTGAAATTAAACCAATTCCGTAACCAAGTAATCATCAAAAAAAACAGAAAACCATTCACTATTATGATCAATAAAAATTTGAATAATATACATCTACTAAAACTAAACTCTATGATTTATTAAGTTTAAGATAAAGTAAATATAACCAATCATTCAAGCTAATAGGACACCAATTCAAAGAAGAAGATAACCTGAATCTTCTCTTATAGTTAAAAGAAATCCAGAGATTTTTACATCAATTGTTGAAATAAATGATATCAAATAAAAAGTCAAAACATTCAGTTAAGAATGTCCAAGAACTTAATAAAAAATTACAATAGTTCAACACTCATCATAATTAGCGAGTACATAAAAAAGAAATCATAATCATTCGAAATCTACTAATAATAATAATACCTCGACTCCTTAACTCAATAAAACAGTCTCTCAATTTTAATGTTTTACTCCTCTAACAAATTAAAAAAACAATAATTCTTAATTGGATCTGATACAAAGAATCAAATAATAAAAATTAGAAAGTCTAATCAATCTTATTATCAATAATCAACTTAATAATATTGTACATGGCTTCACACTCATTAAGAATACTGCTCCTCTACTACGTTACATAAAAGATCTGGAAAGAAGAAAAGCAGAATTTAAACAAAAAAGATTTCAAATTAAATTAATCAAAATTAAATGAATAACTGAAAAATTAATAATAAAAACTAATTTAATTGTATCATTAAATATCTATATTATAATTAGATTGATTTATAAACAAAATATATAAATAAATATCAGAATTGACTATCAAGAAGATTTGTATTCTGCCATTAAATCAGATCAACAAGCTTCTCAATATTTGTTTAATATAATTATAATAATTCCTTTTATTCTAATTTCTTTTGCAGACTTATTGCTATTTGATTCATATTTTCCTTCAATTCTAAATAAAGTTCTTTAAAAATTTATAAAATTTCCTATATCTTTGAAACATAAATCTGAATTTTCTCATCATTAATTGGTGATATTATATTCAAAGGTAATCTATCTCCTTAATTTTAAATTGGCATAAATATTTCTTCTGAATGTAATGATATGTATTATTTTTCAGGATCAAAATTCCATCCATATCTTTACAAGAATTACAATAATTTATCACCCAATGTAACATTTTCACCTATGGCAGCTAACATAATAGTTAAACAAAAAGAACTAACACCTCCAGTATAAGAGTCATTTAATCCTCTTTACTTTAAGAATTTCTTTAAGACTATGGCTACTTCTGTAAAACCTTTTACTGAATTTCCTATCTAACGTTGATAATCTGTTGAAAGAAGTCCAACATGATAACCTTAGTATCCATACATTGGGTATGGTTGTTGTAATTCAAATGTGATATCAATTTAAATGTTTTAAGCTTTACTTAAAAATTAAATCAATACATAATTCTCCATATTTTAGATTAAATTAGTCAATATTTCTATGATTCATTACATAATAAAGAGGGTTTCCAACAAATTCTAGAAATCCAACAGAAGGATCAATTGTAATTTTGAGTAAAGGAATAGTTGCTTAAAATATATGTCTAAAAATTATTTAATGATAAATACTTGTAATTTATAGCCCATTTCATTTAGGAGAATACTTCCAATAGTTTTCTCATAGGATCAAATAATTATGCTTTAGTAAATACAGGTAATCCAAAAACTACCATATCAACATCACTATCATAAAGTGCTAGACCCGTTCTTGAAGAACCAAAAATAACAGGTTCAACTTAAAATTAGAAAAAATGTGCTTTAATAATATGTTATACTCTTAATATAGCTATTTCTCTTGCTGTTCTAAATTTGAGTAAATTATCTTATTCTTTTTAATAGATTGATTAAATATCCCTTGAAATTTTATGTTCTAAAATACTCTAATATATTTTTTCAAGAATTTCTTTATCCAAATCATATTTATATGTTTTTTATTCTTTACTTGCACTTTTGACTAAACCAGGTTTCTAAGGAATATTCTCCTATTCTTTTTTTTAAGAAAGAGTTTTAGTGGGTGTAGTATTTCCCATTTTATAATCATCAGATAGATAATTTTATTATGAAGAATTTGATTTTTTCATTAAGATAACTTATTTTTCAACTTAATCTTCTTTTTATTCTTTCTCTTTTTTATTATTTTATTTTTTTTTTTTCCCATTAAATTTCTTTTTAGTAACTTCAATAAATTCTCCATCATCATCATGTGTAGAAGTAGTTGTATAAAGTAATATCTCTTAGACTTATTCTTATATTTGTTGTTCTTCTTTTTAGATTTCAATTTAAACTGAAGGTTCAAATTATTATGTTTAAACACTTTCACTTGATTCTACTTACTATATTTCAGGTAATTTCTTAATTTTTTTCTTTTCTTAATTTCTAATATAAATATTAAATAATTACTCCTTTCTTCTTTGTTTTTTCTTTTGATTCTTTGTTTATGTATCATTAATCCATTCTTCATCAAATTAAATTTCTTATTATTATTATAACTATTAATATTCAGTACAATTAGATGTACATTCACTCATATATTGTTTTTTCTGATTTTTAGCCTTTTTCTATTTTTACTTTTTGAATTTCTTTTGATTTTCTAATTCTAAAAATGTTTCATCCATAAGTCTTTTCATAAATGAAGTAGTATATTCATATAAATTGTTTTCTATTTCTTCATTATTTGTACTAAACAATCTTTAATCATTTTCAGGTAATATTTTAGATTTGGAAGAGTTTTTAAATAAATTATTTAATTATTGTAATTATTATTAAGTTTATTTATCCTATTTTGGTTTAATTCTTTTAATATCAAGTGCTTAAGTTAAAGGAAATTCTTTAAGTAATGTTTTAGAAATTAAATATTTACAAAATAGTACATATTCATTTAAAACTTATTTAATAGGAACTTAAAACAATTCTTTTGGTTAATTAAAATAGTGTTAAACTTCTTAACAAAGGATTTAATACTATAAAGGATTTAATTTGATCTATTCATTCCAAGATTGAATTAAGTTCAGTTCATTAATTAATTATTTATGATTTGATTATTAAGTAAATAATTATTTAAATTCAAGGAAGGCTTAATTTAAGTTTAAGGAAAGATAATTAAATCTCACAAGATTCAAATTTAATATATTTTTATGATAAGTGTAATTAGTTCCATCTTAAAATTAACGATACCTATTTTATATAATTTGATTATGTACTTTAATAAGATTGCAATTTAGAATTCTTCAACCAATAATTCAGATAATGTTTAATAAACTTTCTGTTTTTTAAGGTTAATTTCAAAATATCCTTCATCCTCATAAGATTCCAATTATCCACAATTTGTAAATATGGTACCTTTAGATATTGCTTCAAATGAATTTATAATTTGTTCAACATCCCCTCTTAATGTAATGGTATCAAATAACCATTCATAATCAGACACATATATGTGATCAAGGATGTACTTTAATTTATTGAGATTTATGAAATACCTTATGTGCATTTAAATCAATCTTATTTAAACGCTTACAATTTTAAATAGAATAATATCTATTAAGTTCCTATACAACATTAACTTCAAAAGGACTACATAATAATTCTTAATATTCATGTAGTCCATTTTGATCTATCTTGAACATTTTAAGATATGAATAAACTCTAAAGTAAGATGTAAATGAAAGCACTTCTTCCAATTATTCCTAATTTAATTGTCTCAACCTTTAATTTAGAAAGATTGTGATACCAATCGAATATTGATTATTTTAGATCGTTAGATTTTAGTTTTATTTCTGGTAAAGGATTGCTATAGTAAATCACTTTATTAATTTGTCTTGTTGATGTTCTATATACTTAAGTCAAAGGATAGAAAATCTGGTTCATAAATAAATTATTTTCTAATATTTTCAAATATGATAAAATAAATTTGGGGGATGTTTTTGTTGTTTTTAATTGTACTTGAGTATATGCAAAATATATCATCATCTGTACCTTCTGAGGGAAATTCTGTTTCTTCTAGCATAATTGGCTCTTCTTGATGGTCTTGTTTGATTATTTCTGTGACCCTTTACTCTAAGACCTCTACTCTTTCTACCAGCAGATGTTAAGCCTAAAATTATAGAAATTGCATATTATACCTCTTAATTCTCTGTGTTTGTGAACTGGTTGGGTAATCCAATTGATTCTTGGATCTCCTCTGATAGCTGAATGGAATGGATCAACTGTGATGACCTCATAATATTTATATGTTCCATCTTGAGCCACCCAATATGAATTTAAAACTCTCAATGCTCCAATTTTTCTTCCAACTCTCTCTTCAGCAACTGATCTAAGATTTCTGGTTGGCTTCAATTGATTAACTCCTTGACTCTTGGGTTTACCCTTAACAAGACCCTTTCTGATCAACAATTTTCTTCCACCTCTTCTGACTCTGACTCTATAAATTACATAACCTTTAAAAGATCATTATAAAATCTAACCTTATTTGGCCTTGTAACCTAATCTTCTGGCTTTATCTGGTCTGCTGGGTCTAGTTGCTCTATGAATGACTGGCAATTATCTGTATTCCCATGTTCTGATTCTCATGATGAAGCTGAGGACATCAGATTATTTCTTTTTCCAAAGCTCTTGTAAATATTTATATGCACCCATTATGAAAGAGAAAAAAAGATTTTTATTTATTAAAAAATTTCAAATCGATATAAACAAGCACACTAAATATACACAGATTTAAATTTCAAAAAATAGCGTAAAAATATGTCATCAAAGTTCGTACTTGAAGAGATTATTGTTCAAGAAATTTAGATCAAATAAATTGCTATCATCATATTAATCCCATTTTGTAAGTTACCCTTACAAATTTGATTTTATAATACTTTAAGGAGATTCAAATCTTTTATATTTTATGATATCTGTTTTATTTAAACTTTTTATTTATTGTAATTGACTAATTGATCTTTATTTGATTGTTTTAGGTTTTATTGAGCATTACTCTATATTAAAACCTAAAGTGAATGGACAAGGTCGAAAAGCCCTTTGATTTTTTATTTTCCTCAATGTAGACATGGCTCTCAATATCTTTTAATCATTTACATAAAGTTTCTAATTCGGAGTAAATTATGCTTAGTGTTAGGAGTTATTTTTATTATGCTCCTCCAATATTTAATGTTTAGGTTAAATAGTGCTAAAACTTTCCAATTATATTCCGAAACTCATCTACAATTTCTACTTACCCTAAGAATCTGCTTAAGCAGTTGAAGGACGTTTCTATCTTATAGGTGTGATTTATTTTTATTATTTTACTATTTTCTCCTTAACTCTATTTCTGCTCAAAATAAATTAATATAGTCCATGTTCCTAAAACTTTTACAATTATAAACTTTAACTATTCCCAATATTCTTTTGACTACACTACAAATTATTTTGATTCAACATTTTAATATATTATATATTTAAGCCCTTTATATAAAAATTATTAAATCAATAATCTATCCTAAAAAATTATATAACCTTATTAATTAGATGACAATCTAAACGACAATAATTTTCCAACTATCTAAGACATTTGTATTTAGCTTATGACTTATGGCTTTATTTTCAGAGTTATATTCTAAAAATTTAACTGACTTTCTTAGTGAATTATTCTATTTTTTCTTGAAAATCCTCAACATCTTACTATTATTTTCATTTGCAGATTCATCAGAAACCTAATGATTTGATGAATCTAAATCATTTACTAAATCTTATTCTAGCGTAAAATTTCATGTTTTTGACTTCAATTAAAAGTCTATCATTTGAGATTTAATATATTCATAAAACTCTCTGTATTTAAATAGAAATACTAATCAAAAGTTTCTTAAGTATCTAGCATTGAAATATAGTAAAATTGAAATTCTTAAATCAATTAAATATAGCAGTTAAATATGTTAATAACCTTCTTCAACATTTATTAACATATTTAACACAATAAGGTATGTACTTAATATTCTTTAAGTTAATAATTTTATTTTCAAGTATTAATATTATCGGGTCTTCAAATGATTGAACAATCTTGGCTTAACCATTCCTCTCATAGTAATTCATTAGGTTAATTAGGCCTAAAATGAAGATCTATATTATTATAAATGAAATTTTACAAAATTCTTATTAAAGTTAATTATTTTTATGAGGAATTAAATACTTATTTTTTAAAATAAAGGATAAATGATTAATTTATTCAATAGTATATTATTATTACTCTAATTAAATGTTAATTAAAATAAATGATTTACTGAGATAATATTTAAGATTAGAAATTAAAAATTGTATCAATTTATTTATATAAAACTATAATTATATCAGTCGCCAGAATTGAACAATTGATTATGAAATTATTCTGCCATTTTTAGTGGTTGTTTATTTGTTTTTAGATCAATAACTTCCCCTGGTTTCTCTTATTGATTAAGATTGATTTAAGCAAGAGGCTGATTTTATTATTGAACTGGGGGTGCTGCTTATTATTAGACTGGCTAGATAAATTATTAAATAGGTTGTTATATCTACTGCTATTTAAGTAATTAAGGGGGATTTGGATAAGGATGTTATTAAGGGAAGGGCATAGGATGAATTTATTATGAAAGAAACTATTAGTTTGGCAACATCATTGATTAAGCATATTATGGTTAGAAATTGAATTGTTGATTTTGGAATGGCATAATCGATGGAAATCCTGAGGGAAGTGGTGGTAACTAAGGCATAGTCATAGTCTCAATAGCTGTGATAGGATTGAATTTTTAGAGAATAGGGAATCCTTAAAGAACTCTAGTAGGAATTGGTGAGCTAGAATTATAATTATTTTATTGACTATTTGGTCTTTCATGTACAACTCTTCTAATTATTTGTTATTATTATTATTATTATTATTATTATGGTTTGATTGGTGATACTTATTTAGGCTGTTTAATTTGATCTCTTGTAATGAATATATAGGATTGTAATTAATCTAGAATAATTTAGAGTTAAGATGGTCTAATTTCTACTTGATCTAATTCATTTTTGACTTAATCTACAAATGTAATAGTCATTTCATGTTAACGTTAATAGACATCTTCTGGTCTGCTTTATCTATAAGACTTTATTAGGGTTTTTAGACATTTCTCAGAATTCAATTTCTATAATCTTCCTTACATATTATTCCATCTATCATAAGCTAATCTATGAAATTAATTAATTTCATTGAGTAATTAATCAGTTTGTTTGATTGATTATGAATTTAGATTGTTTTCTAGATTTTACATAAAAGTATCTATTGCCTTATAGAATTATTCCTTTGCTTCTAAGAATTTCTTTTTCTAAACTTCTCTATGATTTTTAACAAGATTCTTTAATTCTACTACATCTTCAATGTCTTCTCCTAATAGATTACAAATGTCAACGATTTTATTATATTGTTCACCAAGACAATAACTAAGTAAATCAAAATGGGGAGCATAGTCTTATCCCAAATGATCATCTTAATGGATAGTAACACACATGGGACAAAGTGGTAATAGACAATCACTATTATGATAATTTAAAAAAGTTTACGGATTTTTGCAAAAGTTTTAAATGAATTGATCTGGATGATAATGGCAACTGACGATTGGAGTACTTTATTATGCATTATAAAGAATATGCTTTAATTTTTAAGGTTAAAATGTTGGGATTGGTTATTATTGTTATTATTGTTATTATTGTTATTATTATTGTTATTAGGGTTAAATATGTTAAGAGGGTTGAAGTGGTGATAATGCTCTTGTAGGAGTATTAGATCTATCAGATGGTCTTTATGAATCAACATCAAATATTCTACTTCTTGGTTGCCTCTAACTTGAATTCATAATTATTATTTTTAACGGATATTAATAAATATGTTCCTATAAGTATCAAATCATTATTATGGAATTTATCCTTATTTTCTTTGATTTTCTAGTTAATTAGGATATTAATTCCACTGTCATCTATCTTATCTAACCTATTTAAAATTAACTTTATTAAGATCCTGTTTAATAGCAAAATTTAAACTNGGTTTGATTGGTGATACTTATTTAGGCTGTTTAATTTGATCTCTTGTAATGAATATATAGGATTGTAATTAATCTAGAATAATTTAGAGTTAAGATGGTCTAATTTCTACTTGATCTAATTCATTTTTGACTTAATCTACAAATGTAATAGTCATTTCATGTTAACGTTAATAGACATCTTCTGGTCTGCTTTATCTATAAGACTTTATTAGGGTTTTTAGACATTTCTCAGAATTCAATTTCTATAATCTTCCTTACATATTATTCCATCTATCATAAGCTAATCTATGAAATTAATTAATTTCATTGAGTAATTAATCAGTTTGTTTGATTGATTATGAATTTAGATTGTTTTCTAGATTTTACATAAAAGTATCTATTGCCTTATAGAATTATTCCTTTGCTTCTAAGAATTTCTTTTTCTAAACTTCTCTATGATTTTTAACAAGATTCTTTAATTCTACTACATCTTCAATGTCTTCTCCTAATAGATTACAAATGTCAACGATTTTATTATATTGTTCACCAAGACAATAACTAAGTAAATCAAAATGGGGAGCATAGTCTTATCCCAAATGATCATCTTAATGGATAGTAACACACATGGGACAAAGTGGTAATAGACAATCACTATTATGATAATTTAAAAAAGTTTACGGATTTTTGCAAAAGTTTTAAATGAATTGATCTGGATGATAATGGCAACTGACGATTGGAGTACTTTATTATGCATTATAAAGAATATGCTTTAATTTTTAAGGTTAAAATGTTGGGATTGGTTATTATTGTTATTATTGTTATTATTGTTATTATTATTGTTATTAGGGTTAAATATGTTAAGAGGGTTGAAGTGGTGATAATGCTCTTGTAGGAGTATTAGATCTATCAGATGGTCTTTATGAATCAACATCAAATATTCTACTTCTTGGTTGCCTCTAACTTGAATTCATAATTATTATTTTTAACGGATATTAATAAATATGTTCCTATAAGTATCAAATCATTATTATGGAATTTATCCTTATTTTCTTTGATTTTCTAGTTAATTAGGATATTAATTCCACTGTCATCTATCTTATCTAACCTATTTAAAATTAACTTTATTAAGATCCTGTTTAATAGCAAAATTTAAACTTACATAACTCTCGTAGGTAAATAAATCAATTAATTTTGCATTTTTTATAAAGAAGAGTTGTGATTTTTCATTCTACAAATTGATTCATATCCAAAATAAGTAAATGTAAGTATTTAAAGTCATAGACATAAGAGATCTGAATATTTTCAAGGTAAACATTATTCCCTAAGATTCTAATATCTTAAACATCATCTATATTTTTATTTATAATACAAGGTTAAACATTAAAATAAGATCTATAAGAAGAAAGTTCCATTGCAAAAGGATCTAAGTTAACAAAAAGAATATTGTTAATAATATGAAATTAAAATTCCCTATTTAATAGTAAACTATTTACACTTAACAGTTTTAGTGAATAAATTGATAATTCATTCAAATAAGATAAATTAGATTTAACAAATGAAAATCAAAGCAACTAAAAGGAACAATCAATAGACAAAAGTTACTCGATTATGTTTATTATATCACATTAATTACTTTATTAAATCTTAAACAAAATGATAGACTAAAGAAATACTATTCAATATAAACAATATATCATTTGAGAATTGAATATGATCATGGATTAAAAGCAGAAAAGTTGTAAATTTATCAAAGAAAAAAATATCATTTATTTACTTAAAAAAGGATAAACTTTTTCAATTAATTCTGTTTCTATGTGTTTTAATTTTTACTTGTGTTTTTATTGAAATTAACAGATCGTATATAAGATTTATCAAGACATTCCATTAATTAACAGATAATTTAAATTATTATTACTTTTTAATAGAACTTGATTATTTAGTAATATCAATTTCAAAAACAAGATATAATTATAGATAAAAACTATATTTAAAAAAGAATAAAGATTTCAATATTTAAAATCTAGAATCTCTAAAATATAATAAACTTTGTTTATCACAATTTTAGTTGTCTGCATTTTGGAAATCTCTTAAACTTATTTAGGATAAATTTATTGAGCTGTAAAAATTTGTACTAAAAATATAATATATGAGATCTGTAAAAAGGAAAGGATGAAAATTTTGTTACAAAAGATGTTTATTAATGATTAAAAAAAATTATTCTTTTAAATTCAAGATATACAAGTTCTACAAATTTATATTACTACAAAAATAAATCATTTTAAAATAAAAGAATTAACTTGATTAGTAATAACATATCTGAATAATTATAGAGGATTTAAAGGCAAGAAACAAAATCATTTAACTTTTAAATTATAATGTAAAATTTAAAAGAAAATCATAATTATTATGTAAATTATTTTTAAATTTTATGAGGTTTTAAAGAATACATTATAAAATGATTGAGTGAGGTCAAAACCAGTAATTTTTTGTTTTAATAAATTTTATTTAAAAATGAATAAACATTAAGAAACTACCCTAATACAAAAATGTCCATATAAATTATAGCTTATGAGGTTTCATAAACAATAAATTGCAAATCTAATCAAATATAAAGTTCAGCTAGCCAAAAAAATTGCTAAGATTAAACAACATCCCTGAAATGATTTTGTTATACATTTTTAATAAATTATACATTATTTGCTATTAAAATTAGTTAAAATAAATAGCTTTCTATTAGTATTCATCATGTATTATGAACTATTATAAATTCGTTTTATTCTTCAGTGTTGTTCATTTATATAATTTTTTTATATTTATATAGAAAAAGTGTATAATTAAAACACTTCCTTATATTTTGACAATGGAAATGGAAAGTGCTTAATAAAATTCAAATTTAATAGAGTCCTAGGTTTATCAATAATTATTAAGTAATATGATCAAATTTAATGTAGAAAAGTGATGAAAGAATATTTCCTCATTTATTTATTTTACGAGTAATGAAATAACAGAATTTACACGGCATAGAGATAATTTCAAATAAATCCTGAGAATTTAATACTTGACATTTATTTGTGCCTTTTTAAAAATAATGTATATTTCTTTCTTTTCCTTATATGAAAATTAAATTAGAAAACTATAATATATGGTAAGCATAGCTAGTTATTATATAAAGACTTAAATATCAAGATTAGATAATATCTTATATTTTTAGTACTTTAATTAATTATTAATAATTAGCATAATTTTATGAGAATTTCTTATTAATAACAAATTATTTAAAAGGGTTTTAGTTCATTTTTTTAATATTAGAGTTTCTGATCAAATTCATAATGTATATTAATGAAGTACTTTTAATTAGATATTTTTTGATATAATAAAGAGTATTAGTTATTATAATTATAATTGCATTTATCAGCAATATCTGATAGTTAGATGGATTTGCCTTATAGTTTGATTGATACGATGTAATTATTAAAATAAATGAAATTAAGTGATTAAAATAATCAATAATAATAATAATAATATTTAACAGCTAGATGTTTTCATCAACTCCAAAACTAAAATCATACTCTTCATAACAATTACTACAAAATACATTGTAGTAAAAAACATTTTAGCAACCAATATTTGGAGATCTAAATCCTTCTACTCCCTAAAAATTTAGTATTGTTAAGAACTTAAAAGTGCTTAACGCTCCATCATAATAAACTGAGAGCAGTTTTAGACAGAGCAATGGTAAGCGTATTAACACTCAAGAGAGTCCTTCTGTTAATAAGGAGAATATAAGCTATAGAGTAGAGACATCTCAAATAGAGATTCAGCTTAGACATGTTTTATAGGAGAACAAAAAGTTAAATGATTTAATTTAAAAATTAACAAGAGAGAAATAATAGTTGACAATAGGAGACAAGAATACTGATTTTATTCTAATAAAACAAAGAGTTGAAAGACTTGAATCAGTTATTGATTAATAAAGTGATGAGATAGAAGAATGGAAAAAAAAATATAAAGAAGTATGTGAACAAGATTAAAGGAGTATTTCAATAGAATAAATGGTATTAAATATATTAAACTAGGAATAATAAATGATATCAGTAATAGAGGAAAATGAGAAAATAAATGAATAAAAAACAAAAATGCAACAATAAATTCGTATTATGGAAAAAGATATGTAGTAACTTAAATTTCAAGTTGCTGATTAAAATAATTAGATTATAGCATATGAGGAAGAGAGGATTAAAATATTGGATCAATTAAATAATAATGTTCTATTAATGAAGCAACCCTAATAATAAATGAATAATAAAGATTATTTTTTAGAATAAATATCTTTATTAGAATAAGTAAGAAATATTTATATAATATAGAACATATCTGATTTGTAATCAGTTTACAATGTCTAAGTATTAGAAAATTAAAAGTTGAATTAAATGATTTTTGGATTGAATGAAGAATTACAATTTGTAAATAAATAATTAGAAGAGATGAAGAAGGGTCATAAAATTGAATCAAATCAGAAATTCTCAGCAGTGAAATCAATTTTAGTAAAACTACGTTAAGAAATGAATAGTTGATTATTCTTATATGTTATACTTTGTTTAGAAAAGAGATTCTATTAGATATGTACCATTTATGTAATATATATATACGCACTTCATTATAAGGCTGGAAACTCATCTTAGTTTTAGGCCTTCTATTATTTCTTGGCTTTTGATTCCTAAAAAAAATTAAAATTATTTAATACTTCTGTTTGTTTCTCTTATTCTTCTTTTTTGCCCCAGTTTTCCCGGTTCAAATAATACTCCTTACGCTCTTAGATGCTCTTGACAACCTTGTCAAGCTCAGTTATGTAGAATGGAGTTGCCACTTTAACTGTATCGAAGAATTAGAGAGTCTACAAATCATGTTATAAGATGCTTGGTTTTTCATCTTTTTTCTCTTCTTTAGCCTCTTTTTATTATTGTGGTTGCTTAGATTAAAATTTAATATATACCTTATTCTTCTTTTTGGATTTCAATTGACTAAAATTATAGATATCATCATCTGTATCCTTTTTGATAACAGTGCATTTCTCTTTCTTCCAATCATCACTCTTTAAAACTTATTCAACATCTATTTATTTTTATTATTAGGCTTATTATTAAGCAGCTGTTGGTTTAAGTTTATTGCAATATGTGATTAAAGTTTCACAAAGATCTAATAAAATATTTAAAAAAAAATAAATACCAACTTAATATTAGAATGGATTAACATTTTCTAATTCTTTTGCCTTAGCTTCAGCTTCAGCCTTTTCTTCAGCTTCTCTATCAGCTTCTCTTTTAGCTCTAGCTTCTTCTCTTTTTTTTCTTTCTTCTTCTTTCTTCTTTCTTTCAGAGTCTCTCTTAATTCTATTAATTTATTTTAAGAACCATTCTCTATATTTTTATAAATCTTCATAATCTTCAAATTTATCCCATGAATTATTGTAATCTTTCTTTAATTTTTCTTTTCTTTCTTTCAATTCTTATACTTTAGCTTCAACTATTTATCTTTCTTTGTCAATAAGTGGATTTTATTTTGTAACAACTGAATCTTTTGTACTATCCTTTAACTTTTCATAATCAGATTTGTATTAATTAATTTCATCATTCAAATCTTTAATGTTTTAATAAAGAGAGCTCATAACTTTGCCAATAGCTGCTGATTTAGTTCTTAACACTTTTTACTCTTTCTCCAACTTTTATAATGGTTCAATGTATGGAAGTGATCTTTCTAAAGCACTTATTTATTATACGATTCTCTTCTCTTCATTTGCACTTAATTTATCTTATTAAAGTGATTCCTTCAATCTAGCCAATTCATCAATAATTCTATCTGGATCATCTAAACTCTTCATCTTTTATCTGTATTCTTAAGCTTAATTAAAGAGTTTATTAATGTGATCTTTAATTTCATCATTCTCACTCTTCATTTTCTTTAATTCTGATGATTTCTCATTTACTAATTTAATCTTGTCTCCAATAACTAATCCTAATGGTTTCACTTCATTTTTGTACTTCTCTTCATTTCCTTGTCTAGCCATATTTTATTATTCCTTAACATTTTTTACAAATTCATTCTATTAAATTAAAAATAAACTCTTACAAAATGATTCCATTGTTTTCTGATATCTTCATCGATCTTATCCAATTATTTGTAATGCTCCTCTTTATTTGGTTTTTAAGGAGGATGAGCAGGTAATTCTGGTACTTTACTTTCAAGAGTAATCTTATTCTTATCCCAGTCGAATTCAGGACGCTTTCTCTCCTCTCTTTATTTCTTCTTTTATTGCTTCTCTCCCTAATCTCCTTTCTTTTCTTATGTCTCATTCTAAGCTTCAGTTGCAGCACCTAAAATATATCAAATTAAATTCTATACCTTCCTCGCCCTTTACGACATATTAAACTTGTTATTACTTTTGTTTAGGCTCCCTCTTTCTATTCTCTCCTCTACTCTAGTTTGGTTTTTTCTCCTCCTTTTAGACTTCTGGCTATGGTGTTGGGTCCATGCAAATTTTTTAAAAATATAGATATTTTTTTTAATTGCCTACACGTATTTAATTTAACTCCTAATACAATTCCCATAATTTACATAATAAATATCAGACAATATAAAATTAACAATAAATTACTTTATTTTTCTATAATTTTTGAAAATGAGTCACTCCAAACCTTCAATCAACTCTAGAAAAATAGATATCAATGAACTAAGACCATAATAAAAGAACTTTTTTAAAATACTTTTTTTTTCAACAGAACAATTAATTTAGAATTTTAAACCCATTTAGGAAGAAGAGAGCTATAAAAAAGACTATATACCTCAATTTCATTTCTTTAGATAAAATGTAAAATATAATTGTATAAAATAAAAATTCAATATAAAAATAAAAGAACTAATTTAAATAAATTAAATTGCCTGTGATTATATGAACTACTATGACAAATAGATATATTAATAAATTATCATTACTTCGAGTCATAAATAAAAATATTTTTTATTAAAATTATTAATTATTATTTTTATTTCAATATTCTATACTAAAAACGTAATGTCAAATATGGATTTATCTAAATATAATTAATTATTTCTTATAATTTCAGATATCTAAACTTCTTTTAAATTAATTATATTTAATCTTGATTTTTTAATGAGATATAAAAATTTAGTAATCTTATGATTAATCATATAGTGAATGAATTAAAATTTAATTTAACAATATTACAATTCTCTTCATACATAAACAATCCAGTCAAAAAGAGAATAACATAAAAAAATGTAATTAAACAATATTTTATAGTAAAATATCATATATTTAATATCATTTAAATTTTAAATCATATAAAAGTATATTTGTATACTGATCATATTATCGTATAAAAGTTGTATATGAGTAGTCAAAAATAAGTAAAATTTGAAATATTTACCATTTTCAAATGTTCATTATACTATTAGATATTTTGAATTCTCAAATTTTAATAACATTATTTTGATTATCAAAGTTACACTTAAAAAATATTATCAGTTTGAAGCCTTTATATAAATTGCTTATTTAGATAAAGTTTAGTTAATATTTTTTTAATATTAATAATTTTATAAAATGAATTAACCACAGACTAGACAAGTATAGAAGTTAACAATTGATGATAAAGTAAGTAGATCTACATAATATATTTAGTAAAAATTTGAATTATAAAAGGAAATATTTATCACAATCAGATTAATTGATATGGTAGAAAAGTGTGCATAATTGGCAGATGATAAAATAACACCAGAAAAACACTCTTAAGAAATAACTAAATTGATTGAAAGGTACAAAAATTTTACATCTAAAATTGATAAATATGATCTTAACTAATTCATTAAGGTTTATATGTTGATTCTATTGATTAGGAATATGGACTTGAAGATTGCAAATTTGGAATCGACAGAATAAACAAAGGACCTCCATAAATTAAATAAGGAAATAGAATTTAATTAGTTGTTGATCTCATGCAAAGATTCTATTTGATGCAAGATATCATCTTAGAAAACAAAGATAATCCAAAAACATAAATATTTAAACCAATTGTAGATTAGTTGATAATGCTGTTAATCAGAGCCAAAACTGAACTTCCACCATATAAATCATACTTAGAGGATTTACAATAATTGTAATATTAATTCAATATTTTTTTTAGCTCCAAACAACATCTTGAAAATTAGATTATTGGAGTGATACCTGAAGAGGAATTTTAGAAGTTTGAAAGTATAATAGATTTGGCTTAGTAAAGTTTTATGACTTCCCATTAATAACAATGAGCTAAATTGTTTAAAATCAATTAAATTCTATTCATTTTTAGTTAGTTTCATTATTTATTATACTTTTTTATTATATTGTTAATGTTAAACATATTAAATCATTCTTCCTCTTCTTAAACAACTTACTTTTTCTTTTTCTTTGGTTTTTCAACAACTTCAGGTACTTCAACCTCTTCTTATTAAACTTCTGGTTACTATTGTTCTTTTAGAATATTATTATTTTCTTCAGAAACATAAAATTACTACCAATCTTAAGGAGTATTGGCATTTGGCTTTCCATGTGGATCAAGTAATCCCTCTTTAATTAATGCCTTCTTTCTAAGAGCTCTTGGTCCTGTACCCCATCTAAAATGGATAAAATATTTATAATACTTTCTTGGATATGTTTCTCTATCCATAATTACTCTTTTGGATTTGCAAACAACTCCATGATCACATGATGCCATTTCACCTGTTGTCATTTGACTAATATATAAATTTATATAAATTACGCTATTGCAACAGCAATTGCTTCTCCTTTAGTTGTAATTAAGACTATTTCATCACCAATATCAATCTTATCATCAAATCTTAATACTCCTGGAACCATTAATTTTGCTCCATAACATATAGCATTAACTGTAGAATCCTTAACTACAACTCTCTTGTAATTTGTCAAGAGAACCTCTAATGGTATGATTACATGTCTTAAATATGATTCATCCTTAAATTTTTCATATCTATATTAGGCATCCAATACATCATGCATTGTTACCATATATTTATTCTCATCCAATATTCCTGATCTTACTCTTCTCAACTCTTCCATATGACCTCCTACTCCCAATAATAAACCCAAATGAACACATAGAGTTCTCACGTATGTTCCTGCTTCACAACTCATCCAAAATATTCCCAATCTCTTTTCAGGGTCATACTCAAACAATTTACTCTCATAAATTGTTCTAACTCTTAATTCTCTTTTTACTGCAGATATTGCAGGTGGCTTTTAAAATACAGCTCCTGTCAAATCTTAAATAGCCTTTTCTAATTTAGCTGCTGATGATATTGCATCATGTAATCTGTAATATTATCATTATCATAATTACCTTATTATTCCTACGTACTCCTTACCAGCTGATTACTATGCCTTGACAAGTCTTGTTGCTCTATTCAGACACACAATCAATGCTCCTGTAACCTTTGGATCTAGAGTCCCTGAATGACCTGTTTTATCAACTTTTAATATTCTTTTGATCCATGATACAACTTCGTGAGATGATGGATTAGATGGCTTGTCAAGATTAATAACACCATATTTTAAATGTTCAATTAATGGCCTCTTTAAGGGAGTCTATTATATATATTTTCTATCCTTACTGATCCACTTGGAATTGGTGTATAATGTGAGGTCAATATGTTCATCCTTTCATAATTCTTCAATAACAATGGCCAATTTGAGGAATCAATTTTAGGTCCCTAATGACTAGACCTTATCACATCCTCATCTTAGACCTATTCAACTTCTTCAACTTTTTTTGATTTTTTTACCTTTGTTGTAGCCATTGATTTCTTTTTTTAATTATATAAAAAATTTCTAATTAAAATGCTAATGTCATTTATATTAATTATTTTAAATAGGAGAGTTTCATGTCATTTATATAAAATATACATATATTGATAATCAGAATTATTGGAATGTATTATATAATAATAATAATAAATACTAAATAAATTTGAAAGACTTTATCTCTAAAAGTTGTTAAATTATTTTAATTTCATTAATAATCTCATTCAATATCTTTATTATAATTCATTAATCAGATTCATATACATTTATTTCTATTAATTATTAAATTATTAAAAATGAAAAATGACTTTCAAAAAAAAATTGATGATAATGATAAAAAAAATTATGAACAATTATTGGATGAATAAATAACTTTGTGTTAGGATGAAGAGAATTGTAAATACATTTTCAGAATAGATAATTATAGATATGATGAAAAGTAGAATAAATTTATAATTAATTACAATTTCAAAGAGATCACATAAAATATCAGTTAAGAAGCTAAATCCTTATCTTAAGTATAGCTTAAGACTTTAGAAGAAAAACTTAATATTTTTGATTAACTGCTTGAATTAGCAGAGTTTTTAAAAAAGAAAAAGATCATACATAATAATATTAAAAAAAATAATTTGATTCTTTATAACAATAAATTATATCTCACAGATTTTGGATATCTATAAGAATAAGATGAATCAAATATTTTTATGGATCAAAAAAATTTTGTAAGAACGCTTAATCAAGATTAGTAACGATAGATTTATCCATATTAAAGTTATGAACTTTTAGAAATTTTGAATAAGTATTATTTACAGAATGAGGAATTAATGGAAAAATTAGAATAAAGAACTTAAAAGGATATTTAAGTCAATGATTAACATGTATTAACAGTTATGATGTTTGAAATATTTTATTATTTTGACAAAAACTACTAATATAATTTATAGAATTCTTTAAAATGCTCTAAAAAAGCAGTTAGAAAAAATTAGCTTTAATGGATGAAAGAAAGAAATCAAGATGTGTAAGATTATATACTCATAATAATATAATAAATACTGAAAAAGAGATTTATTATAGATAATGAATTATTGGAAAATTTTCCAAAATCTTTATCAGGTTGTATTTTTTAAATTGATAGAGAAAAATTAATAAATATTGACAATTAGAAATTAGTTTAAGAATACTTTGAAAATAAAATTTTAGAATTTGATTAGGAATTATTATATTGTTTTACTTATAAAGAACTTTAGCAACTATAAGGTCAAATCTAAAATCCATAAAATTAATTCGAATAAGATTTAAAATAAGAAATAGAAAAAATTTAAAAACTTTATGATAATATTGATAATAAGTAATTGAATAAGGAGAATTTTTAATAATTAGAATTAGAAAAATAGTTCATTTGTTTAGTTTATTTAGATCAAAAAATAGATGAATTTGATTTTGTTAAAAATCAAGACCAATCTTAAGAAGTAAAGAAATTATTAGACTATTATAATTTAAAATAAGAATTAAAGGAATTTTATACTTAAATAAATAAGAAATAATAAAATTTTAAATTTAATCGTCAAATTAAAATAAAAAGTAGGATCTAATCTGAGCCTCCTCCTCAATAAATCAATCAATCTTTATAATAATCCTAATTAAATCCGCTCTATAAAATTGATAGAGAAAGATTAATAAATATTGACAATTAGAAATTAGTTTAAGAGTACTTTGAACATAAAATTTTAGAGTTTGATTAATAATTTCTATATTATTTTACTTATTAAGAACTTTAGAAATTATTAAATCAAATCTAAAAACAATAAGATTAATTCGAAAAAGACTTAAAATAAGCAATAGAAAAAATTATGGAAAATTATGATAAGATTGATAAAAATAATTTTAATAAGGAGAATTTTAAAGATTTATCATCAGATGAATAGTTCATTTGTCTAGTTTATTTAGATTAAAAAATTAATGAGTTTGATAATATTTAAAATCAAGACTAATCTTAAGAAGCAAAGAAATTATTAGATTATTATAATTTAAAATAAGAATTAAAGGAATTTTATGATGAAGTAAATCATAAATAATAAAAAGATTTTAAATTTAATTCTATAAAGATAAAAGTGAAGATCTAACAATATAAAATTAATAAAGAAAAGTTAATAAATATTAAGAATAATAATAAGCAATTAGCTGAAGAATAAAATGTAAATGAAATTAAAAAATTTGTTTAGCAATTACTATATTATTTTACTTATAAAGAACTTTTGTATATACTCTCTCAAATATAGGAACAAAAAAATAAATTCGAAAAAGACTTAAAATAAGCAATAGAAAAAATTATGGAAAATTATGATAAGATTGATAAAAAGGAATTTAATAAGGAGAATTTTAAAGATTTATCATCAGATGAATAGTTCATTTGTCTAGTTTATTTAGATTAAAAAATTAATGAGTTTGATAATATTTAAAATCAAGACTAATCTTAAGAAGCAAAGAAATTATTATTAGATTATTATAATTTAAAATAAGAATTAAAGGAATTTTATATTTAAATAAATAAGAAATAATAAAATTTTAAATTTAATAATCTTATAAATTAAAGGTACTAATATTTAATTGATAAGGAAAACTAGAATATAGTTTAAGAGTACTTTGAACATAAAATTTTAGAGTTTGATTAATAATTTCTATATTATTTTACTTATTAAGAACTTTAGAAATTATTAAATCAAATCTAAAAACAATAAGATTAATTCGAAAAAGACTTAAAATAAGCAATAGAAAAAATTATGGAAAATTATGATAAGATTGATAAAAATAATTTTAATAAGGAGAATTTTAAAGATTTATCATCAGATGAATAGTTCATTTGTCTAGTTTATTTAGATTAAAAAATTAATGAGTTTGATAATATTTAAAATCAAGACTAATCTTAAGAAGCAAAGAAATTATTAGATTATTATAATTTAAAATAAGAATTAAAGGAATTTTATGATGAAGTAAATAATAAATAATAAAAAGATTTTAAATTTAATTCTATAAAGATAAAATTGAAGATCTAACAATATAAAATTAATAAAGAAAAGTTAATAAATATTAAGAATAATAATAAGCAATTAGCTGATGAATAAATTGAAAAGGAAATTTTAGAATTTGTTTAGTAATTACTATATTATTTTACTTATAAAGAAATTAAGAATATACTCAATCAATTCTAAAATCCATAAAATAAATTCTAAAAAGATTTAAAATAAGAAATAGAAAAAATTTAAAAACTTTATGATAAGATTGATAAAAATGAATTTAATAAGGAGAATTTTAAATAATTAGAATTAGAAGAATAGTTCATTTGTTTAGTTTATTTAGATCAAAAAATTGATGAATTTGATATTAATTAAAATCAAGACCAATATTAAGAAGTAAAGAAATTATTAGATTATTATACTTTAAAATAAGAATTAAAGGAATTTTATGTTGAAATAAATGATAAATAATAAAAAGATTTTAATTTTAATAATCTTAAAAAGTAAAGGTTCTAATATTTAATTGATGAGGAAAAATAGAATTTAGTTTAAGAGTACTTTAAACATAAAATTTTAGAATTTGATTAATAACTTCTATATTATTTTACGTATAAAGAAATTAAGAAAATACTCAATCAATTCTAAAATCCATAAAATAAATTCTAAAAAGATTTAAAATTAAAAATAGAAAAAATTTAAAAATTTTATGATATGATTGATAAAAATGAATTTAATAAGGAGAATTTTAAATAATTAGAATTAGAAGAGAAGTTCATTTGTTTAGTTTATTTAGATCAAAAAATTGATGAATTTGATTGTGATAAAAATCAAGACCAATCTTAAGAAGTAGACAGATTATTAGATTATTATAATTTAAAATATGAATTAAAGGAATTTTATGATGAAGTAAATAATAAATAATAAAAAGATTTTAAATTTAATAATCCAATTAAAATAAAATACGGTAATTAATTTTTATATGAGTATATCAATTAAATTACACTTAGATTGTAATCTGATAAATATTTAGTTTAATAAGTGGATTTAAATAATATGATTTTGAATATTCCAAATCAGGAATAATAATAAATTGAATTTAAATAAATTAAGTAAGATAAAAATACGTTCTAATTTATTATTCATAAATTTTTCCTCTAAAATGATTTATATTATTGTAAGTATCTAGAAGTTAAAGAATAAAAGAGAAATTTTGAACCAATGGTTATTATGAACTTTAATTTAATAAAAGAATATAGATTTGAAGATTATAACTCAAAAGTAAGATTAATTGATCACAAAAAAAAATTCAAATATTTTGGAGAATATTAATTAGATGAACAAGGAGAAATTAAATTCAATGGGCAAGGTACTAAAGAAATATTAGAAAAGGATAAAGAGATACTTGAAACAGGATAAGTATTTAAAGTTAAGGGAAATTTTAAAAATAATTAGTTGAATGGAAAATCGATCACTTTTTATCATCACTATGATGAAAGTAAAATAACTTTTAGTATAGGAGAGTATAAGGATGGGTAAATGTCTGGTCAACATATACATTATCCTGTAAATGATCAAAAAATATTAAAAACAACTTATCACTGGAAGTTCCTAAAATATTTTAATTATTATTTTGAAACCGGTTGAAAGAATTAAAAATAATTGATATTGATATTTTATAATAAAGATATTAATAATTAAGAGTATATGAAATATAATAAAAAATCATTAAAAAATTGGTACTTTGTGAAGATGAAAAAGGTTGAGAATTATTTATTGAGTAATTGTCATATTTGAGAATGATCCATTAAAATCTTCATTAAGATCTTCATCATTTTGTTCATAAATGTTATGAAATTGCAAATTAGGTAATTGTATTTCCTAATCTATGATTTAATGTTTAATTTTAGTATTTTGATTTTGTTTACCAATAATTTATATAATTTTTTATTAAATTTGATTAATGAAATTCCAGATGAATAAATTTCTTAATTATTAATCATTAGAATAATATAATTTTTAGAATTCCTAATTATTAATCTTCAATAATTAGATCATAATAAGACTTGAATTAACTTGATGAAATTTATTTCCAAATATATTCATTAAATGATATGGTTTTTCAAATAAAGATTTCATTTCTTCTGTCAATTCTGTAAAAGTATATTGAATAAATTATTTAATTTTGTTCTAGACAGATGATTTATCTTGATTATCTTTGATAACAGTATAATTGCATAACCATAATTGATTTGTTAAAGCTTTAAAAGTATTTGGAGTGAATGGTATTTTTTGATTATTTATAAAACAATAAATTTCATCTATTATTAATCTATCGCAACCAATAATTTATATTTGATCTGTTATACTAACAATTTCTACCATGTCTGCATAAACAGGTAACTTGTCAGTAAAAGGAACTACAGGGAATTTACCTGATCCATGTGATGCCAATTTTATAAGCTATTTATATCTATCTTCGACTATTCTTAAACAGAAATTTCTTTTATAGCAAATTTGCTTATCAAATAGAAATATAGGCATGGAATGTATTTTTTAATCTTAGAAAATATATTTCTCATCTGTTTCACAATACCATTGTAAAAATTGATTAAAAAGAAGATTAATGTTCGGTTCTGTTATCATACATTATTAAAGACAAACAGGACAGTATTGTTAGATCAAGTCATTTTGAAAACATTAAAGACAAAAGAGATGTTAACAGGGTAATACAACAGGATTAATAGGAGTAAGGCCACAATCTAAACATAAAACTATTTATGGAAATTCTGTTTGGAGAACTAAATTTTTGGATAGATATATAAAAGTTACTTTCAGGTCCTTGTTCAAAGAGTATCAACAGTACTTCTTTTAACATTTCATTGACTGACCATTCAGGTAATGTAGGTTTTCTACATAAAGGGCAAGTATGATTTAATTTCAAATGATGATTGATACATTTTTCACAAAAAGTATGTCCGCAAGACAAACAGGTTGGATCACTTAAATGATTCAAACAAATAGTACAATTGAATTGAATTTTTTACATATTAACTTTATAAACAAGAATTTAAGATTAATATTTTCAATATGATTATATTGGAATAATTTAAATTCTAAAGTGTTCTTGTTATTCTGAAACAATTTTAATGGTTACCTGAATTTAAAATAAGCAAAACATAAATATTTATTACATTACTCATTTATAGAGTGAGATAATTAATGTTATTTTATTCATAAAATTAAATCTATAAGATATCTTATTAATTAGTCAAATCACATTAAATTGAAATTCATGAGAATAAAGCAGGAATGTTAAAAAAATATATATATTATAAAATAATGATTTGCTGTTCATCATCAAAGAAGAAAGATGAAAATAAAAAACCAATTGAGATATCGGAACAGTTAATACCTGATAATCATTAAGGTGATAGGTAAACAGATTAGTTATAAACTTCAATATTAGATCCTGTAGAACCAATCAATAACAAGAAGTAGAGTTAGAAATAGAAGAACGACCTAAGAAAAATTCAGTCGGATATTAAGTGCAAGATGAAAATGTATCAGCATCAATATGTCCCTCATTTGTAGTTGGCAAAACTCCTTTTACTCTTTTTGTTATAAGTCTTCTTGAAAAATAATAAAATATGAAAAAGGAGTCTTAATAACAAGAAGAAATAAAGATTGACTTTTAAGAGGATTTAAGTGTCATTGTTAGTTATCCTCAAATAGAGGCTGAAGTTAAGAATAATGAAAAGGATAAATCATAACTTGAAGAAATTCCTGATCAACCTGAAGTAATATAAGAAGAGGATGAAGAAGAAGAAGATCGAGAAATGTCAGAAGAAGAAGCTAAAAATGCAGCCATCTATAAATGGGCTAAAGAGATACATGATTATAATACAGACAATACTGAAGAATTGATTTTAAAGGCTGTTTCTAATTTTAAACCACTTTAATCAAAGGAAGAATCAAGGTCCACCTTAGCACATAAGGATGGAGGTAAAGTCTGCAAAAATAAAAAATTAATTAGAACCTTGAGAGCTATAGGTAAAGAGTTGATCAAATAAATTGGTAAACAAATTTTATCTGGTAATTTAAATTTAACAACTGTGTCATTTCCTATTAAGGCCATGATACCTAAATCTGCACTTGAGAAGGTCTTAATGTCTAGTTGTCTCTTTCCACTTTATATTAATAGAGCAGTTCTAGAGAAAGATCCTATTGAAAGAGTAAAGTATTAATCCTATAATTAGATGAAGCTAATTATTTGTGCCACCTTAGGTAATTTCTATTTGAATTGTTCATTTCTCAAACCTTTAAATCCCATCTTAGGAGAAACTATTTCTGGTTTTTATTAAGATGGCACTACTGCATATGTAGAATAGATCTCACATCATCCTCCAATTAGTTATTTTCTTACTATTGGTCCTAATAATAGTTATAAATTTTATGGTTATTATAATTATGAAGCCAAAGCAGGAGTCAATTCACTCTCCTTAAAAAATAAAGGCAAAAGGTTTTTACGATTTGCAGATGGAGAATTAATAGAATACAACTTTGCAGGAGAAGAATATAGTGGTAGTTTCTGGGGACCTATGAAAGTAGAATGTAAAGGCAAAATTACCTTTTTGGATAAAAAGAATGATATTTCAGCTTGTGTTGAATTAGATAGTGTAAGATGGAAAGCATCTGATTACCTATCAGGAGAAATTAAAAATAAAGGTAAAAAAGTCTGTAAAATCTATGGATCCTATATGGGTTACATTGAATTTGGAGAAATTAGATATTGGGATGTCAATTATATACGTCCATATGAATGCAAAGTCTTTAAACCTAATTAATTTCTTTTAAGTGATGCTTCTTTTAGACCTGGTAAGAAATTATTATATCAATATAGATTTAAGATAACTTAAACGTAATAAAGTATAAGAAGCATAGAAAGAAAAAGATGATCTAGAAATGCAATAAAGATAAGATGCTAAACTAAGAAAACCTAAAAAATGATTTTAACTGAATTATTGTTATTCATATTATGCAAGCAATTTCTTAATTTGTATTTTACTTAATGTAAAGAAATTAAAAAAATTATTCCTTTTTTACTGAAAAAGTAATTCTAAAAAATAATGATTTATTATTTTTATTACTTTTGAACTAGACATCAAATGTATTAATACTATTTTTAATTAGAATATAATTTTAATTATTTCTAAAAGATTATTTATAGATTTAATAAGAATAACAATAAATGATAATAGAGAATAATATTGCAATAATTGATTAATAATTTAAGAAAATATTTCAATTAAAACTTCTTAAATATTGTTAAATAAAATTATTAAATCATTAAATGAGAGTAAAATAAATTAAAAGTTTATATAAATTCTATATAAAATAGAATTTAATCAATTCTTTATTCCTAATTATAACATATATATATATATATATAGGAATTAAATTCTTATGATATTCAAAAATATTATCTTATTTATTGCTAAGATTGATGAAGAAAAGTAAATAGGTTTAAATGATCTAAATAAGTTTATTATGCAATTATAGGTTTATAGATAAGATCATTTGATAGAATTTCAATGATTAAATAAGTAATTTAATAAGAAACTATGATTTCTGAAATTTTGCATTATTAATTTATATGAATTTAAATTAACATGATTCATAAATATTGAATATAATTTGCTTATAAATAAGCAGAATTAAAATTAATATAAATTTAATTGGGTTATTATATTATATATAATTGTGGTTGTGTATATTCATTCATCAATTTTAAGTACAAACCCCAAAATATCTCGAATTCCTACTTAGCTTTGATCGACTGGTTTATGGGAAGTGGCATAATTCCAGAGTGATTTATCATCTATAATGTATCCTTCTCCAGGTTCGAGACTCATTTCAAATAGTAACTTAGTTTTGTCAGGACTATATATTTGGCTATCAGCACCTTAACAATTAATCTTATTGACTACTCCAATAATTTCTAAATCATTTCCATCTCTATTTGGTCCTTCTGGAGTAGATTGAGCAGGTTAATCATTATATGATATCTAATGTAAATATAAAGAAATATACTGTTCTGACTGCATGAACAGAGATTTAAGCTTTTTTGTATTATTTTAATTGCCAAGTAATTTGAAGAGTATTATAAAGAAAATCTTTATAGATCTAATCTTGTTTCATCTCTTTAGTTAGTTCTTCATAGACATTTGCATATTGGAGACATTTGGTTTCATCATAGTTGTCTAAACGATATTCTTCATGGAACCTTGTCATATTTCCATCTTTATCGAACTCAATATGATAATTCATCATTCTTCTTTATCTCATAATTTTATCAGATGGTAATTTGAGTCTCTTTTGTAAATAAAGATCAGGTATAAGTGTTTCGAAATGAGGTTTAAGCTATTGAAAATCTGATTTGACATCTCTGTTTGTGAATGAAGCAAATGGGAATTTTGTTGATTTAAGTGCCTATAAAACTTTCATAAATAAATTAAACAATAGTCAAAAATAAAACTTATTTATTTTAGATTTTGAATTAAGTCTAAAATATATCTATATATATTTAAATATGTCTCAAATTAATAAATCATAACTAATTCAAATTTTATAAGGTGCTAAACTTGATCTTCTTACATCTTCTACTTCTTATTCTTTGTCATGCAATCTCATACGTAAACTTTCAACTTCACTAGCCAAAACTACAATAATCTATAATTAATCTTATAGTTTTTTTATTATGGAACCCTCATCAGCATATTACATTCTCCATTATCTTAATTCATCATCTTATACTTTAATTTCATCATTTAATCTATCAATCTCTGCAGATAATACTCTACACTTTATAATTTAATATAGATTATTACATTTTCTTAAAATTTCTTTAATTATTCTACTTGATCCTCTAATTAAATAATTTGTTATTGTAATTTAGTTAATAATCTTCTAAGATTTTCTATTTCCTAAGATTTATCTTCTATTGTATTTCTATATTACACAAAAGTGCTTTAAAATTCTTCAATTCTTAAATTATATTCATAGATAATACTTTGTAGTTTAAGTGATAGTAATCTATTCCTTTTACTTGATAATTTGATTCAATTTATCTACTTCAAGTAAAAGATTTTGATATCTACCTTCTACTTCTTATTTCTTTTTTTAAATATCTTGTAATTCTGTTAATAATTAATTTACTTTGCTCTTTTCACTAAGAAACTCTAATATGAAATTTAGTAAATACAATTATTGGCATTTTCTAATTATTATTTGATTTAATTTTATTATTCCTATCTTTATTTCAATTAACTTTCTAAAACTAGAATAGTATCATTTAATTATTGATTTTCCTATTAGATTCGTTTATAATCATCATTCATTAATTATAATTTAAGATACTTTTATTTCCAATTTTCTGTTTCCTCTGATTTTGAAACCAATAATTTATTAACTCTTTCAGTTTCATTTTTATATGATTATAATTGATTTTCTAATTCTCTTTATTTATTTATTTCCTTTTAAAGAATAACATTTTTTAATTCATCATTTTCCTTCTATTTTTAATTACACAAATCTTTCCATTTCTTTAATTCTCCTTCTAAGAATTCTCTCTAATATTAAGAATTAAGTTCTTATGTTTATATTGCCTTTTCCTATATTATATAAATATTATTATAATACTATTTCAGTTTTCATTTCAGATTCCAATTAATTTCTTAAAACTTGCATTTCATCCAATTTTATAGTCTCAAATTCTCTTAATTATAATGTAAGATTATCAATTTAATTAGAGAGGTTTACAACTCTACTCTCATAATAATTAGTCTATAGTTCTTTTTATTCATGAATTTCTTCTTATAATGTTGTAATTTGAATAATTAATTCAGATTTCTCTATTTTATGAGTTTCTACAATATTAATCATTTCATTCAATTTATTAGTCAAATCTATTATTTATTATTCTAAATGATGTCTATCTTAAGTATTATCTTAAATTTCTTTAATTCTGAAACGTAATTTTTCATTTTCTGATCCTAATCTCTCAATTTCACAAGCCATTAAAAATTGACATATCTATGGACTCAATTTTTATTATCTACTTTCTGGAGTAGATCTGATATTATCAATTGAAGTTTCATGTATTTGATATCTTGTTTCACGTGTTTAAGGAGTATTAGAACGCACAGTCTTTGTTTCAGATGTATACTTATATTCTTAAATGTTTTAAATACGTTGTTGCTAGTATGACATAAATTAATTAATTAAAATTCCAAATAAAATTGAACAAAATAAGATAATTTAACTGATTTTTTTACATTAGTTTATGTGATATAGATATATTATTTAATTTCTAATAATATTTTTATTGATAAACTAAATACATAATATAAATAATAGTATATTATTATATATATTCATTACTATTTCTTAATTCTCTATCTAGATTGATTAAGTTTCTGTTTAAGTTTTGCAAATACTCTTACAGTAGCTCTTATAGTTACTTTGGAGAGTGCCTTACTTAATTCATTTTCAGAAATGAAGAAATTCTCATCTGAAAATTCTTGTTCAATCAATGGTTCTTCTCCATTCATTGTAATAAATGGATGATCCTAAATTAAATATTCATATTATACCATTAGTTATTCAAGTGTATGACGCTATCTTGAATCTTTTTTAAGACAACAATTTAAGAAATCTGCTAAATCTGGATCAGTATCTTTAGAGAATTTAATTTCATTATTTGAAACAGCTTCTTTAAGTTATTAAACATTTTTAGCTGGGAAAGGATGTTCTCCTTATGTAAGAATAAAGAATGTAATACCAGCAGCCCAGATATCTGCTGGTTTACCTTTAACTTAAGAAGTCTTAAAAGCTTCTGGTGGTAAGAATGCTTTGGTTCCAACATCACCTTATATCAAATCAGCAGATGAACTATCATACATTTATGCAACACCAAAATCTGCAATTTTTAAGTTATCAAATTCATCAATCAATAAATTATCTGGTTTAATATCTCTATGTACAATTCTAGCAAAGTTATGTACTTAATAGTTAATTATGTATATATACAATAATCTAATCCAAGTAAGAAATGTCTCAAATATTTCCTAATTTTTTCACTACTTATTTTAGGTGGTTTTTCTCCTTCATCCCAATCTATATGAACACCTTCAGATTTCCAATACTATTTTGAATTAATAGATCCCTTTTTAACATGTTCCATTATTAGATATAATTTTCTTTCTTCTGGATCATCTATAACTTCCACTAATCTAACTACATTTTAATGATCGACTTTTTTTAATATTGCTACTTCTTATTCTAATAATGAATATGCAGATGTCTCTTTTGTTAACAATTTACGTTTCAATTTGTTTTTATCAGCTATTTTCATTGCATAATATGATTAATCTATTTCATTATATATTAAACGCACCTTTCCAAAGGCTCCTCTACCCAATTCATGTAAAATTACAAAGTTATTCATTCTTTTTCTTCCTGCTTCATCTCGAGATCTCTCTAATATCTATGTTTCTTTTGGTTAATGGATTCCACTTAATCCTCTCATCAATCTTACAGATCTTCTTTACTCTGCTGCATTTATTACATTTCTAAATGGATCACCTACTGAAAATGATTGCAATCTTCGTGGTCCTTTCCCCATTGGAACACTTAAAGTATTTGGTATTATTGGCATCTAAGCCTCATCTTAACATTATGATTATGATCGCATTATTCGTGGATTATCAACATCTTCTATCCTTAAATAATGTTCATCTAAATCTAATTTAGATGCATTAGATCCACCCACAATAAAACTCTCAATTTCATTAGGTGATTCTAATATTGATGTCTATGAATTTAAATGCTGTAATCTAGGAGATACAAGTGACATTCTTTTAGGAATAGTAATCTATAAGTTATATAATCATTATAATACCTATAGAGCATTAGTACTTTCATCTGATACACTTTTTTAAGGAACATGATTGGCAGCACTAATTGGAGAGAGAATAGAACTTCTACCTTGACTATCATAAAATTTAAGTAATTTTTGACGAGTACAAGGTGTATTGTCTTCATCTCTCTTTTTTTTGAAGAGACTTATTAGATTAGTTTTTGGATTCTAAAGTAAATATTTTCGAATATCCTCTTTAGTTTTTTATTTTAAAATAGGTGGAGTTTTAGGAACTTATTCATTTTATTATTCTAATCGTTTCTTTCTTAGAACCTCTAAGAGATTCTATTTATTGTTATTCATAAATTATATTAATTATAAATTTTGAAAAAATACTTATAATGGTCATTATATTTTAATTTAAATTTTAAATCATAAGATTCTTGTTCATTATATTATTAAATATTCTTAATGAAATCTAAATATAATTTTTAAATAAGAAATAAAAGAATTATATGTTATAATACAACTTTATTAAATAATTTTCGATATTATTATTATTTTATTAAACTTATATTATAATAAATTATTACTTATATATACACAAACTAGAAATACTCAAAATCATAATATTAAATGTAATTTATTTTAGAATAAATCAATTTTTCTAGAATGTCTTTTTGAACCATTTCATTTAAGAATTTGATTTTAATGTTAAAAATCTATTTAATATATAATTTTTTTTAATAATAACTAGTTTTATTCTAATATTAATTATTTTAATTATAAAAAAATAAATAAGATATCTTGATAATAAATAATAATATCTTACTGAAATACAATTTAATAATTAAATTAAGTTTCATCCTTAAGTGATTCTTATTTTAGACTCTCAAATAAAAACTTATTTATTTTTCAAATGCCCCTTCTATTGTTATATGAATTTCTAGGAATTCAACAATGTAAAGATTATTAAATTTTTAGATATTTGAATAGAAACTATTAATTAATTAAGTATTAAGGATTTATGGATCGTACTTTCACCATTTTTAATAAGTAATTATGGTTTTGAGATATTTATATTACAAGTTTTTATTTCAAACATCTTATTTCTAAATTGATAAAAATTTGATAGGAAAATATTATTTATTTATCAGATGAAGAACCTACTCAATTATTATGATGAATTCAAAAAGCATACATATCAAGTGCATATAATTGATTTACAATTTATAGCTCCATTTCAAGAATGGCGAAGTAATAAAACTCGATGGTTATTCCACCTACTGCAATCATATAAATAGAAGCTCATCGATTTTATCTATTTTAATATTTGCACCTCTTCGAGTTATTAAGAACAACATATTGTATTACAGTTTAAGTATTCTGTCTTTGATATTGTTGACATCAATATGGTCGATGTAATGAGAATTATGATATTGTAGAGATTAGTCACAATATGAATTTTATTTCATTTTTTCATTTTAACTGCTTGCCCATATTAGTGTAGAGCTATATAATAAATTCAAAATTAATGGGCTAGACAAAAAATTAAACAATCAAGAAAATAAAATACTGAAATAATGGGATGAATGTATTAGCAATAAAGAAATATTAAAAAGAATCAAATAGAAGGCAGCTACAAAACATAAAAATGATGATGTAAAAGAAAGAGATCGCAAGATTTCTTTTAAAAATAATGATAATTTGCAACGCTAACCTAGTCAAAGAAGCAGATCATCAGGATGTATCATAGTTTTTTTATTTAGTGTAATCATAACTTTCTCGATTATCTTTAAATTAAGGTAGAGCTAAGAGTCCATCAAATTAACATATAGATCGACTAGAAAAAATAGGTTCTAGATTTTCAGTAATGAGTCCCTTGATCCTTCAAGATATGCAAATTAAAAACTAATTGAAAATCAAATTAGTATAAGACCCAGCAATTAGAAATTTTATATAATAAATGCCAAGTATGTTTGACAAAAATAATTCAAAAATAAAAAAACCATAAGAAAATAAAAATATAAAAAATACTGATAAAATGGATCTAATTAAATCAATAAATTCTTCAGAAATATAAATTGGAGATGTAATTATTGTAGAAAGAAATTAAATTGCTTCATGTGACATATTAGTATTATATTGTAATGATGAAATTTATACTGTCTAAAATTAATTATGTGGTTATTCAGACAAGACTATTAGAAAACCATTAATTCTAAACAAATGTAAATCTTAATAATTATTCTTAGTTGATTCACATAATTTAGTTCTATTTAAAAAGTCTTTTACTGGAACGATACAAATTACTGAAACCTCAAATAATATGTAGGGATACTTTTAATTAAAAAAAGATCCATAATCTTATATAGTGTAAGATGATAATTTCATATTCGCATAAGAAAAATTATTAAATACACCATGGGTAATTGGAGTAGTAATTAAAGTTGGATTAAAGTGTCGTTGTTATAGAAACTTTTAAATTAAACCTTAAATGCCAAACTATCCTTAAGATTTATTACTTACACTTGTGTGTATTTAAATTGCACTCTTAATTGTAATAAATTTTATATAATAATATAGATAATGTATATCATAATCTCATAAATTGATAATGTGAAATATTATCTAGATATTATGCAATTAATTTTTGAATGCCTTATGCATTTAACATTTCTATTACCAAACAGTTTTGCATTTTATTATTCAATTGCTGCTCTTTATCAATAATAAATGATTCAAAAAATAAGTCATTTGGATATTAAATAAATAAAAGACTTTCATCCAGAATAATACTATAATATAAAAAGAATATCTATGAATTTAGATAGTATACTTGATGGAAATTTTGAAATTAAAAATTTAATATATAAGAATCAAGTTTGTTATTGTAAAGAGTCAGAATTGATACTTCATGCTTAAGAGGTAGCTTCATCAATTAATAGTCAAAATTTATTTAAGACTGCAGATTCTAAAGAAGATTCAAAACCTGATATATTATTATCTAATAAAATGTAAAATAATACTTTTAATGCTGCAAAATATTAAGAAGATGAAATAATTAGTGTAGATGATGAAGAAGATGATATTGGGGCAAATATGCCTTAATCTATTGAATTTAGATTGATTAGCAATTTTACTAATTTAACTCAATAAGATCTAAATATTGTAGTTTAACCACTTAATGCATCTGAAAAAAGTGAATACTAGCCAAAATCAACTAATAGAATTCATCAATCTATTCATATAAGAAGTCTTAGATAAATTGCTATGAAAGATAGCAGATTAGATAGAAAGTCAATAAATGTAAATGAGATGATACAATCAATCAATAGCAATAAAGAAAATCTAGCATTATTATAATTAAGTTTAAATTAAGTATCATATACGAAACTAATATATACAGCAACAGGAGAGGAAAAGATTAAGAATACTCATGTAAATGTATTAGATGAGAAATAAATTTAGATTGCCAAATCATTTGGTTATGAATTCGTTTGTGTAAACAAAATTTAGTAATCAATTAATTTAATTTTAGAAATACACTCACATATATTATTAAATAGAATCTTTAAATATATTCATTTAAATTGATTGATATGTAGATGCATCGTCATCATTAGAGATTATATATGTTATTTGAATTAGATTCTGAGTATGAATAATTATTGAAAGCTCCTTATATCTTATTTATTAGAGAATCTAATAATAAAGTACCTGAAATGATTGATGAGATGAAGACAGGATTAAGATCATCACTTCCTATTATAATAAATCAAGAGAATGAATAAATACATTAAATTCATTACTTTTATTGTTTACTAAATCATTAAGATGCTGAGGCATATGTAAGTTAATAAGCAACATCCTAATAAAATACACTTGAAACAGAGGAAATCATTTATAGTTCATTAGAATCATTATAACTTAATATCATTTTGGGATTCAAATATAATTTAAAACCATAAGCTTAAGATTTTATCAAAAATATTGAAAAATCTGAATAGTAATTATTATTATATACTGAATAATATTTTGCATTTGCTAATTCAATATTATCCCAAACTGATATACAACATCATAATAAATTTGTATTTGAATAAGATAATGATGAAGATCTAAGAGCTTATTTTAAGAAATCTTTACAATAATTTTCTTAAATATTTTAAGAATAATAACCTATGTTTGGTTCATAAATGCATTCTCTTAAATAATTATCTAATGTAAATCCATCTATGCTATCAAATAAAAAAACATCTGAAGATTTTCATTAGACTTCTTCTATTGTTGTTATTCTAAGCAGTTAAGCATTTAAAATTATAGAAAATAATAGCTATATGATCAATCATCTTAAATTATTACTTAGTTTTTCTAAAGTTACACTTCTATATGATGCTAATCCATCATCATTAGAACATCTATAAAAATGTTTTGATGGTCCTAATATGACTCTAAATCTAATATTTGAAAATCAAGGTTTATTGAAGAGTTATTAAGGATATCATCTTTAAATTGCATAGTTATAAGAATTTAGTTATTTTTAATAATTCAAATATGAAAATGTTAATAAATAAACTTTTTTTAAGAAAATGATACAATCATTAAAAGTTAGATTAGTTTATGAAAGATGTATTTATTATAATTTATATATAAGGTTTATTTAATGAATTATTAATATTTCATAATTCAGATGCCATACTATAAGGTTTTAATGAATTGAATGAATTTCTATTCTATTATGTACCTTTGTTAAATGTGTTATCAAAATATTAGATTAGAGTTGCTTTTGAAAGAACTATGTTCTTTTCTTGTTTTACAATAACATTTTATATAGTTAATGTTGTATTTTTTAATACATAATTCAATATATTTCTGGAATTCATATTTTACTCTTTCATTTATACTCTAATTATCTATGTATTAGCAACAATTTAATTCATTTAAATTTATAAGAATAATAAAATAGATATTCATTAATAAAAAGTAATAGAAGGTTACATAAAAATGTCAAAGAAATAACGTCATTATTTTTATTTTGGAATTAAATGTAAATCATATTAATTATTATTAGCTATCCTATAAGGCATAGTAACATAATTAATATTTGCTGATCAATCATAAATATAAAGTATAGATGTAATAATAGTATATACATTTTTATCAATTACACTTAATGATGCAATAAATACAATGATAAATACAGGACTAATTATAATGTCAAGTATCACATATATTTTATCCTTTTCATTTTACATTTTAATTCACTTTACTGTTATGAATCCTAACTCTTATTTTACCTTTGAAGTCATAAATATATTTGAAATCTTATTAACTATTTTCCTACTTTAAATATCTGAGTCATGGTTATAGCATTTCTCTATGTTTTAAGTACCTGATATGGATGGAATATTTTAGAAGATCTACAACAAATTCAATATATATAAAAGTGAAAGTTATTATAGAAATCATTTTCTTTTATTATTATAAAAAGAAATCAATAGAGTTTTTGAAAATTTTGAATAAGTTGATCTAAATATATAAAAATGTAAGTATATTTATATATTCATTTTATAGTATTATTAAATAAGAAAGCATTGCCATAATCATTTGGAACATGGTAATCTTAAGTGTTTTAGAAAGCATAATCAATAATGAAATGGAGAAAGAAATCTACTATTTAAGGATTATAATTAATTTGTTTTCATTGTTAGATGTTAATAATAATTTATTCATAATCAGATGATACTTATTATTTTCTCATAATTTACATTGTTTACTTAATAATTTAAGTTTTATTGTTTTGGTTCTAATTAATATATAATCTAAATTCTAGATAATTGTAATATTTAGAAGTAGTTAAATTTATGATTTGTGGAGCTGCTACTTTGATAACAATAATGGGATTATCAATAACTAGTATGAATTCCATATATCACCCTTTTACTGAATTATTAGTGACCTTTTAATTATCAAGCAAATTACATCCTATTTATGATAATAGATTATATTTAATTCCTACAGTTTTTGTATTGATTGCATATTTTATAATGTAAATAATATATATTTTTATATAGATTCATTATTTAAATTGAGATTGCTCCATATTTTATAATCATAAAAATTGTATTAATTTTATTATTCTCTGTTTAATAATATATTATTAAGAGTTATGTAAAGAATTAATAATTATTTTAGTTCATTTTATTAGAAGAAGATCAAGCAACTAATTAGATCAATTTTATTGAAGAGAATAATAAAATACATGATATTTTGGGAATACTCTTGCCTAAATTTATTAGACATCGTTTAAATGAGAGTAATATTACTTATTATTATAATTATAGCTGATGAATATAATATCCATTAGAATTAAGGAGATGTGGCTATTGTTTTTTGTGATTTATGCAATTTTGATTAAGTTATAATGGAAGAATAGGAAAACATAGTACAATTCTTAGATGATTTATTCAGAACCTTTGATAAATATTGTGAAATTTGTGGAGTTTAGAAAATTGAAACTGTAGGTAAAACTTATATGGCATCTGCTGGTCTTAAAGCATGTGAATAAGAATTAGTCTATTTATCTGAAATTTAACCTGTTTAAAGAGCATTGAATTTGGCTGAAATGATGATGATGTATATTAGATCAAAACTGTAATTTTATTATATATAAGAATTAGATGGGGTATTAATTGTCAACCATTAGTGGGTAAAATTGGAATACATTATGGAAGAGCAATATCAGGAGTTATTGGATTTCATAAACCTTAATTTTCATTGATTGGAGATACTATCAATACAACAAGTAGAGTTTGTTCTACTGGATAAGAGGATAAAATTACTTTATCAGAGAAGGCTTTTGAATAGTTGAATAATGATAAAGTAGAATTTGAAGTGAGATATGTAGAAATGAAAGGTTTAGGTTTAAGACCTACATATGTATTTCTCTAAAGACTTAATATAAAGAATGGTATTTCAAAAAGTGATGTTAGTAATGGTTCTAGTAAACAAAATACAGTTAATATTACTAATAGAGTGAATAGTTAATCTTTATAAAGAAATGGATTGAAAAAAAGAACATTAGCATAATAGGATCCTTTAACTTAACGTTCAAGACCTATTTTATAATTCTAATTATCTTGGAATTTTTAATAATAATAATAATAATAATAATAATCATAATTATGGTAAAATTCATAATCATTAACAGATGAATAAATTAATATTAAAGGATTTTAAAAATAAGTTTCAAATTGTAATTTAAATTAAATTAATAATTTGAATATTGGTGATAATGATAATGATGATAAAGTTAGTTTGATTTAATGTGCTTCTAAAACAGGTTTATTGTAAAATTTAGAAAATATGTTATAACGTAAACTTCATTTTGAAAAATATTAACCAGAAGTAGATCATTATATAGATTATGATTAATTACTTGTAATTATTATTATTATTTAGAATGTAATTTTATTGAAAAATGAAACTGGAGTTGAAGAGACTACTATTTTAGAGAGTTCTTTTATGGAATTACTTTAAAAATCTTATTATTAAAATTAGAATAATTATTTAGAGTATCATGATTATATATATCAATAATCATAGACTCTTACTAATAAAATAATTCAAATATATACCTTATATTATTTGATTAAATAATTTTGTTTGATAGGTGATTATCATGTTATTTCAGTACCATTAATTATATTATAATGGATAGGATGTGCATTAAATTTAATATCTTTAATGATTTATAAAAAGAAAATAATATCTTATTGGATAATGTTGATATATATTCAATTAACTTTTTAATTAATTATTGGAGGACTCTTTATTATTTTTGATGTAAATGATTTCTTAAGTTACTTACATATTATTGAGATGATATTTATACAATCTTTCTTTAGTAATATATAATTACTTCATTTTTGGATAAAAATATTATTTTGCATAAGTAGTTTTTTATTTGAAGCACTAATATTAATATTTATTTATGAATACAGAATATCTCTATTTTTTGTATTTGCTGCAGTAATATACAATATTAATTATTCATATTTTTTAGAAGAACAATAAGTAGCTTGTTTTAATTAAAAAAACATTTTTTAGAGTCAATAAAATAAAGAATCACAATTATTATAATATTTACTTCCAAAACATGTATACATTTGATAAATTTAGATTTTATAAACATTTTTTGATGATAATACTAGAGCTAGATGTTTAAGTGATAAAATTGAAGATGTAACTATTTTATTTGCTGATATTGCTGGATTTACTGAATATTCAAGTAAAGTAACTGCTGAATAAGTCTTATTAATGTTAAAAAATCTATTTGTGGAATTTGATAGAAAATGTTATGAATTAAATGTTTATAAACTGTATACTATAGGAGATTGTTATGTTGCTATTGGAATGATAGATTTCAATGATAGAAATCCAAGTGAAGAAGCAAAGAATATTGTAGATTTAGCATTTGAAATGATTAGAATAATTGAAATTGTTAGGAAATAAATAGATTTTGATGGATTAGATATGAGAATAGGCATTCATACAGGTTGTGTTTTTGGAGGAGTTATGGGAACTGACATTGTTAGATATGATATATATGGTCCAGATGTTCTTATAGCTAATAAAATGGAATCAAATGGAAAAAAAGGATAAGTACATGTAAGTGCTGCAACAAAATAATTGTTATAATAGGATTATGAAGACAAATATTCTTTTACTTTCAACACAAAAGTCACTTTGTCTTCAATTAATAGAAGTATTGAAGGCTTTATTATAGAAAGTTTGATTGAAGATCAATATCCTTCTGATTAGATTATTGATCAATAGATTGAACCATTGCAATCAGAACATTGATTGTTATTATTTTTTCATTGTTGTATAAATGTATCATTTCTTAATTTACTTTACGATTTTAACTTCTTCTACTAAAAATGCTCTAATGATTCTATTTTTAAGTGCTCCAGCACTCAATACTCCACCATATGGTCTTGAAACTGTTCTCTATCTTCTTGCAAGTTGTTTTAGTTTTGTAGGTCTGATTCTCTTTAATCCATTTAAAACAACATTCAAATTAGAATCTGCACATGTAGATGCAGTTGTCTTCTTATTTGGATATTAAACAACAACATTGCCACCTTCAATTAATTCACTTTTTACCTGGAGTCTTTACTTTTCTGATCTTATTTGATCTTGTATTATAGCTTGTTCTTCTTCTATAAGTTACTCTTACACCCATTTATTAAAAATCTTTATTTTAAATTTTTTAATTTCTATATAAATATACTAAATCAACTTTTACAATAAATAAATACAAACTAAAAATTATTCAGCTCCACATATTTCCCAAATCCTTATATGATTTTGATTTTATTTTCTCTAATTTTATAGAACTCATTTAATATTATTATTCTGTCTAACGTAATCTATGCATTAATTGTGTTTCCTATTATTCTAATTATTATAATCTTTCCTATGCTTGCATATTAAATAAGTAAGCATCTTCTACTTTCTTTTTGTAATTTGTTTTTGCTATTACTTATTTTGTTTACCAAAATAATTGCAATTTCTCTTATTATTATTATTCCATCACTTTCACTCTTCTATAAGCTTTAACATTATCTGATCTCAATTCTGTCATTGTCTAATACAAACCTAATTGAATTGATTCCTTTAATTATTTATTCTCTTCAACCTTTATTTATAATCTTAATATTATATATATTTTACATTTATCCTAATTTCCCTTTTGTTCTTTGCATTATCTAGAAATGTTTTTACCTTTATTACTATATTTCATTCCTCTTTCTATCAATGATTTCCTTTTACATCAACTGGTATTTTTATTATAATTATTCCTTATAAAACTTATTTTATTTGCAAGTATATATTTATTGCATACTTCTTTCTAAGCTTTTAGTCTCAATACTTTAAATAAGTATACTTTCATAAGATTTTTTTTCTCTTATTAACTCATATATTGAACTCTAGCCTTTACTTTTCCAATATTCATATCAATAATCTTGTTAGCTGAATGAACTTCAGGATATCTCTAATTTTCCATTTATTACTCCAACTCATAACTAATATTCTCTTAAAATATATAATACTATTCTGAAGGATACTCATTCACAGTCTATAATGCCCATTCAATTTAACTTTAAACCTTTTCAGTTGATGATTAATATTCATTAGATTTCATAACTTATTGTAACAAATCCTAAATTTCATTTTTTCTTCCTTATTCTAATTAGTCTTATAATGTATTTAGATCCAATAAAACATAATCCTATTCTTTAGAATCAAAAACAAACTCCCCTTCTTAATTTGTACTTATTGAAATCATATAAATATAATATTTATTATTTAAGGATTATAAATATTAAAAAGCAAGAATTAATCTTTATTGAAATATATAAAAATTCAATTTAAACATTTATTAACAATGTAAAACTGAATTGTATAAATTAATAATAAAATATAATAGACATATTTAAACAATTTTTGTAAAATTTATAAGATTTTATAATTCTTTTAATAATTATCAAAATTTGGATTTGATTTTTATTAAAGAAAAACAAAGTAGAGGTATTATATTACTTTTTGTTTTTATACAAATATCTAGTTCTATATTATTTAATTTTATTGGATTAATTTTTATTTTTTAATTTAGTAGAATTTGTATTAATTAGAAATATTCATTATTTTGCAAATATTGATAAACTAATAAATTTCATTTAAATGATATTTTTAGAATTTATAGTAAATTATTTTGAAAAATTAAAAAAAACAATCAGCTAATGTTATTAATTTCAAAGCTTCATGGTTTGCGATTTAAAAAAGTAATTAAAATTGATTAAATATAAAAATACTATTAATTTTTTATCAATTAGTTTGTAATTCCTCAGGTATGATAAAACATTACTATGTATTTTTGTTTATATAAGTAATAATAACTATTGTATATATAAAATAACCAATATATGTAATATTTGATTTATTAATAAAGATTAAATATATATATATATTTCTACTATGGAAACATAAAATGAGATGAATTAAACTCTTTCATTATTAGAAATTAAGTAATTTAATTATTCATTTGTTTAAGAAATAGAATCAGATCAAGGAATTTATTCAATTCAATAATAATTAAATTCTTATTTGCAACAATTTTATTACTTAACCTTAGTCTTTAAGTTTAATTTAAAGTCAACAAAATAATGATGTTTATTGTACTATAAACATACTAATTTATTGATTTGTTGAATTATGTTTATCATTACTTTTAGATGAAAAACTAGCATATTAGATTGTAATTATAATATCATATCCAGAAAAAAGAAAAGAATACATATATATATGATTACAACATTTTTAGATTGCTTATTTATGACATCATTTTTAATATTAGAAAAATCAGGAATCACCTTATACATATATAGTAATATATTACTTGTCTGTGCTTTAATATTGGATTGCTATCTATTGTATTTTAATAGAAGAATGTAGGAATCAATTAAAAAATTAAACAAAACATCAACAATTATTAGATTTTATATTTTGATATGTTCAATATTTGTTAGTTTAAGATTGGATAAGATTATAAATTGGGAATGGAGTGCTGTATTATGGGCTTTATGGTTAGGTTTATTTTGTTCAATTGCCATTAGTATTGGATGTTTAATCATAACTTTTAATAAAGTAGTTTAATATTTATTTGATAAATCAAGCACTTAAAAATCTAAAAGTATTAAAATTGTAAATATATAGTCATTTCCTATATCTGGTTAACACAATTATCAATTTATATAACAATATGTATAGGGCTTACTTCATTAGGTTATTTAGATTTATTAACTATGAAACTGAATTATTAGAGGAATTTCATTATTCTTCAATATTACATTATAGCTGAACTCATTATAATAATGTTCTATTAAATATATTTCCATATAGAAATAAATGAATATATTTATAGTATTCTCTAAGATGATGAACCATTAAATAATTAATAATAATTATCTGCACATTCATAAAGAAACAATTAAACATTATAAAATTTAAATGTACTTACTTCAAGAACAAGAATACCTTAAGTTATGCAAAAGATCTCTAAAGCTTATTTCAGTATTCCAAAAGAAAAAGATAAATATATTAAAGATTCTATTCATGGTTCTCCAATGTTAAAACTATCATAAAAAGGACATAAAAGAGCATTTTCAAGTTAAGGCGTAGGATCTTAAATGTTTTAAGAATTAGATTTCAAAATAATTGAAAAATAATCATGTGCTATTGATTAAGGTATTACAAATAGAACAAGATCTTAGGTTGAAAAAAGAAGAAGCAATTCTTAATTGATTACTGTAATTAGTAAAAATATTAAAGATTGTTAGAGATGAATCTATTCAAAATTAGAAATTAGACATTAGTTAGACTAGTAATGTTTGTATAGTTTGTTATGAAAGAGGACCAAATGCAGTATTTATGAATTGTGGACATGGAGGTACTTGTTATTAATGTGCTATTGATATATGGAAATAAAAAACAGAATGTTATTTATGCAGAGATGTAATTGAATTATAAAGATTATAGAAAATAGTTTATATTTTGAAAGTAGATCTTGATGAGAGATTAGGAGATCTTTTCAAAGTTGTTTCAACCACTTAAATGATAGATTAATTTAACAAATGATATTAACTATTTGTATTAATAATTGAATATCTTAATATAGTTGATTCTCAATATATTTAAGAAATATCAAAACTCAACTTATAATTATATGGTTTATTAGGTACAATAGTATCAAAAAACATTTACATTTTAGTTAGTTTTTAAATAGAGAATTTAATCGAAAGTTCATTAACATTATAATCTTCCTTATTAACTAAACAGAGATTTATGAATTCACTAAATTTTAATTCTATTTAGGCATGCTATTCTGAGTTATTTTCATACTACATAATAATTCCTTATTATAATCTATTATATATACCTTAATTGTGTTAATTGATATAAATACAAATCTATTCACATTTAATTTTTTTTGTATTTTAATCATTTATTATTTCTTAAAATCTTTATGATTCTACTATTTGAATTTAATTATCATTAATTAATGTGTGTGTATATTCATATTAAAAATTTATATTTTCTTATTCTAGTATAATCTTTGGATCTAAAGTATATAACAGAATTTGAAAATAATTTTATTTCACTTTTACTAATGCTTATTTTTACTGTAATAATGAATCATATTTTATTAAGTATCCTAATTCTTTAAATTATATTTATTCCTATATATCTATTGAACCTCTATTTTCATAATAGAAATAAAGAAAACCATATATTTTATTGGTACTTACTAATATTTATGGTTATTAAATTTAATTAAAAGATCTTATATTATCTTTGGATTATGTATCTTTTATTAAACTTTTAATTAGATTTATCTATTGTTATTCATATTAATTATTAGGATATATATTTAATGGTACTTTTATTCCTTTAATTGTCAAATTAAGATTAAATTATTTTTATAATTGTTCTAAAGAGTAATTTTTTTAATTATTAAAATAAATTTGACATAGAATATAGTATTCACCTTTTTCAAGAAATGGATTTATATATATAGATCTTGCAAAATTACAATTCCCATCAATAAATCTATATTAATTAGCCTTCAATTCCTAAAACAATAACATTCTAATTAAACCAAAATGTTTTTTTTCATTCTAATTATTAATTATTATCATATTCCCTTCTTCAATTATATATTCTTTTTGCCATAAAGTTATCCAATAATTACTATTATCTTCTATTTTAAATTTATAAAAATATGTGTGTTCAATAATATCAGTTTTTCGTTCAATTGGCTTCTCTAAAGACATTGCTGTTACTCTATACTCATCTTTCCATATTAATACATGAACAGTTTAAAAATTCTATTTAAATTCCTCCCAATTTAGATAACAAACAGAATCCACTTTTTATTTTCCTAAAAATTCCTAATATTTTAAATATTACCTTATTTAAAAATAGATTATTAGTTTGGAGCAATTAATTTAATAAGTTTTTATTATTATTATTTATCAGGAATAGTTATTACAGATGCTATTGTTTTAGAATCTTAATAATATTTTACAAATAAAATATTAGATTTATCTTTTTATATTTTCTCTAATTCTTCAAAGGATTGAAATTCTTATTCATATATTAATGATCCTGTAATCATCTAATTATATAAATACATAAACATACTTATAAATAGAAATCAATAGTATCATTTTTTATGACATTAAAAGAATTATATCCAAAACCTAATATGTATCCTATTGCTTTCTCCAAAATAATAGGCCATTCATATTCAGAAGTAATTGTTGCTAATTGAGGATAATTCCCATTCAATTTACATGGTATTTGATCATCAACAATGATTAAATACTATAACCCTTATTCCCAAAGCCAAACTCCAAATAATCCATCTTCTCTTTATTCAAATAGTTATTTTAAATTTCTCATATTACTTTATACAATATTAAAAGCATTTATTAAGGGAAATGAATTATAGAATTAAGATGGTTTAAGTTTATAATCTGCCAAATATGAATTCTTAATCTTTTCTATTTATTTTAATTCATATAGCACTAACATTTAGTTCTCAGATTTATCATAAAAATCTTTCTATTCGAATTTTTATTTTTATTCTAAATAAAAATTTTTCATCTCTTCGTCATATTTTTATCTATCTTCGTATTACATATAATATAAATATTTATAAATATAATTTTTTAATTCTACTAAAATGTTCATTGTTATTTCTGATAATAATCCATTAAATTTAATCTTTCAATAATTTTATCTCATTCTTAATTAGAGATTCTTGTTTAAATAAATTTTATTTTTGGTTATTCAAAAACAATTTTTTGATTATATAAATAATTATTATTGCTAGATATTAATTATAATAGATAATTTATTATTTATTTATTGTTATTTTATAGATAATATATATAATAAATGATTAAACCAAGATAGAACTCTTTACAAGCTATTCGTATCAATTAATCAAGTGAAAAAATAATGAAATCAATTCCAATTAAGCCAACATCATAGAGTGAATTTCAAAATAAGAAATCAACTGATCATACAGATCCTAACGAACTAAAACCTTTCTTAGAAGATTTAATGAGAAGATATGATAAAATAGCTATTGAATTACAAGCTGCTTAATTGAAAGTACTTAAAACAATTTCTTATTAGAATTATGAATATAACGATCAAAATTAAAAATTAATTAAAGAAAATGAGTAACTCAAAGAAGAAGCCAAATCTAAAGAGAATGAAGTCAATTCTCTATATTCTAAACTTGCTGGATATTAAAATAAGTATGGTCAATAAATCGATTTACTATAAAATGATAATATGAAAGTAGTATAAGTTTTGACATAAAAAATTGATGATTTAGAGTCTGAATTAAAGTAATAATTCTTATATTACTAAGAAAAACTTAGAATGATTTAGATTATAATAAAGGATTATTAATTTTGAGAGAATAAGAAGTATTAGAATGGAGAAGCAGAAAATAATTTGATGAATCAAAAACTTTAAAAGAATTGAACTAAATAAAATAAATATTATAAACAAAAGAATAAGAATTGTAAGCATTAAGAATAAAATATGATTTCAAATAAAAAACAACTTAATCATCTTCAGGATAATAATTAGAATTAGATGCTCTTAGATAAGAATTATATATTAAAGAATAATAGCTAATAAAAATAAATAATTAGGAGAATTCAGAATAATGTAATATATATTAAAATGAAATAAATAGAATTAATAAAATTGTAATTAATTCAATACTATAATTAAGGTAGTAGAATTAAGAAAAGAAGTTGAAAAACTCAAATAAGAATAGGCTGATTATGAATGGTTAAAGAGAAGATATGAAAAAGAACATTAAAGCTTTTCTACTTTAAGAGTTTGAAATATATTATATAAGCAGTATTACTTTAAATAATTTTATCTAAATTAAAAATTAAGTTCTTAAGAAAAATGCTATTAAGTTATTATGAATATTCTAAATATTTTAAATTTACTTAGCTTATATAGCATTAATTTAGAAAATCATATTTATCAAAATTAAATTGAAGATAAAGAACTCCTCTTACTTAAAATTATTTAATTTCATGTTAATTTACAATATTTACAATTAATCAAAATATTAATATTAAAATTCTAATATATTTTTTTAGGAAAATGAATAGAACAATTAACTAATTATAATAGATTAAGTAGTCCATCTAAATTTTATGGAAATATATATAATAATAGTCTCATTATTTTTTGGATTTAGTAATCAACCAATCTACTACCTAAGTAATATTATTTCCTGTTAATGCACTACACATTGCCACAGCCCAGGCATTTGATGTTATATAATCCAAATTCAATCCTACATTAATAGATTAGTACCTTCTATCAATTATTTTTCATTTAGATGAGGATTCACATCAATCTTATTTCCTATGATCAATATTGGAATATTTCTCAATGATTTATTATCTAATAAATTATGCAATTCCTTCTTTGATGTACCCAAAGTTGCTTACTATTGTAATATTCATCTTTACATTGCTTGTATCAACAAGGAATATAAGTGCATCACAACCTTATGCATAATTTCCCCATTCCGGTCTATATTGTACTTAGCCACCAATATCCCAGATCTATTTTTAAATATACTTCTACTTTCATAGTCACTCCTCCCTTTTTTACAGTCCTAACATTAAGACCCACAGTAGGTACTGTAAATGAAGGATCTCCCATTGATAGTTAATTCAACATTGTTGTTTTTCCTACATTCTCTAAACCTACCATACAAACCTCCAACTTTTAAGTAGAGAATAAATTCTTCAATTTTTCGAACAAATTTCCCATTAAAATATATAAAATTAATTTTAAAAATAAATACTTGTTAATAATGTAAGAATTCATTATCTTTGGAAATAATTAAAAAAATGATTATATATATTAATTAACTTTTATTTTCTAATTCTTTTCTTCAATTTTACATTATTCCAAGTGTTTATATTTTAATATGAATTAATTTTATATTAATAAAAAATAATACAAAAAACCATTCTAAAAGAAAATAAATTGGTTTTAGATATAACATATATCAATTTAAAAAAGTATGAGTATAAAGTTTATATGATATATTTATAGTAATTGTTAATTTAGGATATTCTTATGATCTCAAAATTAAAAACTATATTTGAGCTTTAAATATTTATTAGATCTTTTAAATATATCAAATATCTTCTATTTGAAGAACAAATTATGTTATTGTAGTAATTAAAAGATTTAATTTAATTTAGGAAGTTAAAATGAAAACTAGTAAAGTTATGTACGAGATAATACTTAATAAAATATTAAATAATTTATTGTGTAATATAAATTAATTAATGGCACGCAAAAGGGCTGATCCAGATCGCTTCTTAGAGTACGAAGAATTCAAAGATCATTCTGGTTTTACTATATATGAGGATGGAGATTATATAGATTTCTACTATGACTAATATAGAGGTTGGTTTGATGAATTTGGCAATTACTATAATTCAAATGGTGAACCAACTCGACCAAATTAAAATAGCTTGAAATTTTGGGATTCAATAAAACATAAATGTAATAATCCTCATTTGAACAGTTATAGATTTTTAAGATGACATAGATGATTTATTAAATCAATATGATGGGGGGACTGATAGTGAAGAAGATAATGATGATGATTTTGAAAGGTTATTGATAAGATATATTGTAGAGAGTACCTTAATAAAGCACATATTGATAAACTTGCCAAGAGATTAAGACATTATGGAGATTAAGAAGAAATTAAAATTAAATTCAGTCACAATAAATGGAATACTAAAGATAAAGATATAATATAATTATTGGGGGCATAAAATGTGAAATCAGTTTAATTTGATTTAAAAATTGGTACAACTTACAAAACAGGAACAGGAACCATTATAGCCTTTAATAAAAAGTGTGCTTAGTAAATTATATAATCACACAATATTGAAATTAATGGACAACCTATCTCATTTGATATTGATGCATTAGATATTAATGATTCAGAAGACGAAGTGATTGATATTTAAAAAGAAGATCCATTATTAATTAAGCCACAATAATAATAATAATAATAATAATAATAATAATAATAATAATAATAGATATAAGTTTAATAATAAGAACAAAAAGTTTAAGTTTAATAATAGTAACAGTAATAATAATAATAGTAGTAATAATAATAATAATAATAATAATAATAATAATAATAATAATAATAATAATAATAATAATAATAATAGTAATAATAATAATAATAAAAAAAAGAAATTTGGGTTCAAGAATTCTTAATTGTTGATGGATTTCCAGAAAAAGAACCCCTTTAGAATATTAAATTATGGTTGTCTTAAAAAATATTAAATAATTCATAAATTCATGATAATATGATTGAAGTTAAAGTTAGAGAAAAGAAAGAGAATGGAAAGGTAGTTGACATATATTAAGCTGTTAAATTAGATTTAGGATCAAAAGAGAAAATAGAAGATGCTAAAATATAACTTGATAATTACAACATGTATCAAGGTAAGAGAAAGATATCCTATACCATATACAAGCCTCAAAAATGAAATTATGATTTATTTAATTTCTATTATAATAAATGAATTTTATAAACATAATATAATATAATATAATATATAAATCACAGATAGAATAAACCGTAACTCAAAATTTGATATCAGTTATTGATTTAATAGATGAAGTAGGATATGAACTTATTAAGTCTGAGATGAATACAATAGAAGTTTCAATATCTATTTGATCTTCAGGAATGTCAATAGAATCATTATTTGGCAAATTTGCTAAAAGCATCAATATATGATCAGTATTCTAATTTTATTTTGTTTCTTTGATTGACTAACTTAAAGTGACTGAACAACCCAATTTAGCAGATGAAGATTGATCCCCAATTGAAAGCATCGATCTAAATAGATTTTTTATGTATTCATAATCTGGCATAGTCTATTGAGTTAAAGTTTCAATATATTATTTGAACTATGAAAATTACGGAGGAAACTTTTAAGAAAGAACCGTAGTGTTAAAGATGGCCTCTTTCATTTCCCCTATTTTTTTTATTTCCAATTATTGAGATTATTGCTATTTTAAGGATTGCCAAGGCAGTTTCTCTAAAAAAGTCAATATTCAATATTTACAATTTCTCAAATACACTAAAACATATAGTAGACTTTCTAAATCATCTTTATAACCTAGTTAATTGCCTTTATGAGCTTATCTACTGGCATATCTTAAAGAGCCGACGAAAACTTTATTTAAGAAAGGTTTGTGTCCAAACTTTTAAGATAGGCCGAAATCAATGAGTTAAGTGAAGCCAGGTTGGAGAATTTCATCAACTGGAATATTGATATAAGGCTATGATATCATTATATTTTCTGGTTTTATGTCAAGATGTAAAATGCCTTTTTTATGAACTTAATGTAAAATTTCAATTACACTGAGTCCAATAGCTAAAGTGCAATGTAGAGAAGGCAAACTTTCTTTTGCTATCTCTTGGAGATTTCTTTTTAAAAGTGGAGTGATTATATAGCTCCTATAACAATATTATGATCATTTTACTTTGAATCTTTTGTCTTTCCAAAATCAATCAACTATGGAATACCTTTGATTCCATCTAGCTCTTTCAATTTTTGAATTTCTCCATCTAATTAGCCTAGATTAGGATTTTTTTCAATTTTTAAGGCTAAAATTCGAGAGGTCTAATTATTCTAGACTTTAAAGACTTGATGTCCAGATCCAGACCCTATGTTGGAGAGTATTTTGTAATTAGAATTCTATAAATACATCACACTTTATTAATATTAATGAAAATGTTTGAATCTCAATGAATAAATTATTAATTTTCACGGTAGTTTAAATCTTTTAAGTTATTGATCAGGTTTTACTATAATTAGTTTCATAAAAGAAGGTAAACATTTGTTAGGATGAATATAAATATTTATCGAACATTATAATACAATATTAATAAAAGATTTTAATAAATACTATAAACAATCATTAAAATGAAATTAGGTTTCTTTCAATTTGTATTTCCATTCCACTTTAATTTAAAATTTGTCTTCTCTAATTTGTTATATTGTTCCAAATTTAGTATGATTGTCTGAAAGATACACCTATTTATTCAAATCAAAAAGTCAATCATTATTCGTGCTTACTGATGTATCATTAATCCAAATATCAATATCATTAAATCTTCCAAGTCTAAAATACATAGAGTTTATGAGTTAAACGATATAAAAACTTGAACTGTTATTCCAGTTAATTCTTTAACCCTTTAAAATAAGGTTTAAAAATTAGATTTATTGATAAATTTGATCATTGAATAAGAGGATTTAATTAATTCAATTAAATCATAGTATGCATCATAACTTTTGAATTTGGATCAAAAATTGAATTTACATACTCATATTTTAAGTTCTTCCACAAATAGTTGATAGACCTACTAAATTAACAATTATTCAAAAAAGATTCATTATAGTTTATTAGGAGAAGCAACAAATCCTACAAATTTATCATAATGGACTATATATATTAAAATCCAAAACAATAACTCTAATAGTAAATTTATTTCTACTAAATTTGATTATATCTACTTACTTTGAAAGAATACTATTGTCATTAATTGCTATTAAATAACCTCATCCAAACAGAATTTCCATAAATAGTTTTATGTTTAGATTGTGGCCTTACTCCTATTAATCCTGTTGTATTACCCTGTTAACATCTCTTTTGTCTTTAATGTTTTCAAAATGACTTGATCTAACAATACTGTCCTGTTTGTCTTTAATAATGTATGATAACAGAACCGAACATTAATCTTCTTTTTAATCAATTTTTACAATGGTATTGTGAAACAGATGAGAAATATATTTTCTAAGATTAAAAAATACATTCCATGCCTATATTTCTATTTGATCAGCAAATTTGCTATAAAAGAAATTTCTGTTTAAGAATAGTCGAAGATAGATATAAATAGCTTATAAAATTGGCATCACATGGATCAGGTAAATTCCCTGTAGTTCCTTTTACTGACAAGTTACCTGTTTATGCAGACATGGTAGAAATAGTTAGTATAACAGATCAAATATAAATTATTGGTTGCGATAGATTAATAATAGATGAAATTTATTGTTTTATAAATAATCAAAAAATACCATTCACTCCAAATACTTTTAAAGCTTTAACAAATCAATTATGGTTATGCAATTATAATGTTATCAAAGATAATCAAGATAAATCATCTGTCTAGAACAAAATTAAATAATTTATTCAATATACTTTTACAGAATTGACAGAAGAAATGAAATCTTTATTTGAAAAACCATATCATTTAATGAATATATTTGGAAATAAATTTCATCAAGTTAATTCAAGTCTTATTATGATCTAATTATTGAAGATTAATAATTAGGAATTCTAAAAATTATATTATTCTAATGATTAATAATTAAGAAATTTATTCATCTGGAATTTCATTAATCAAATTTAATAAAAAATTATATAAATTATTGGTAAACAAAATCAAAATACTAAAATTAAACATTAAATCATAGATTAGGAAATACAATTACCTAATTTGCAATTTCATAACATTTATGAACAAAATGATGAAGATCTTAATGAAGATTTTAATGGATCATTCTCAAATATGACAATTACTCAATAAATAATTCTCAACCTTTTTCATCTTCACAAAGTACCAATTTTTTAATGATTTTTTATTATATATCATATACTCTTAATNATCATTTGAAATTAAATCATACTTGCCCTTTATGTAGAAAACCTACATTACCTGAATGGTCAGTCAATGAAATGTTAAAAGAAGTACTGTTGATACTCTTTGAACAAGGACCTGAAAGTAACTTTTATATATCTATCCAAAAATTTAGTTCTCCAAACAGAATTTCCATAAATAGTTTTATGTTTAGATTGTGGCCTTACTCCTATTAATCCTGTTGTATTACCCTGTTAACATCTCTTTTGTCTTTAATGTTTTCAAAATGACTTGATCTAACAATACTGTCCTGTTTGTCTTTAATAATGTATGATAACAGAACCGAACATTAATCTTCTTTTTAATCAATTTTTACAATGGTATTGTGAAACAGATGAGAAATATATTTTCTAAGATTAAAAAATACATTCCATGCCTATATTTCTATTTGATCAGCAAATTTGCTATAAAAGAAATTTCTGTTTAAGAATAGTCGAAGATAGATATAAATAGCTTATAAAATTGGCATCACATGGATCAGGTAAATTCCCTGTAGTTCCTTTTACTGACAAGTTACCTGTTTATGCAGACATGGTAGAAATTGTTAGTATAACAGATCAAATATAAATTATTGGTTGCGATAGATTAATAATAGATGAAATTTATTGTTTTATAAATAATCAAAAAATACCATTCACTCCAAATACTTTTAAAGCTTTAACAAATCAATTATGGTTATGCAATTATAATGTTATCAAAGATAATCAAGATAAATCATCTGTCTAGAACAAAATTAAATAATTTATTCAATATACTTTTACAGAATTGACAGAAGAAATGAAATCTTTATTTGAAAAACCATATCATTTAATGAATATATTTGGAAATAAATTTCATCAAGTTAATTCAAGTCTTATTATGATCTAATTATTGAAGATTAATAATTAGGAATTCTAAAAATTATATTATTCTAATGATTAATAATTAAGAAATTTATTCATCTGGAATTTCATTAATCAAATTTAATAAAAAATTATATAAATTATTGGTAAACAAAATCAAAATACTAAAATTAAACATTAAATCATAGATTAGGAAATACAATTACCTAATTTGCAATTTCATAACATTTATGAACAAAATGATGAAGATCTTAATGAAGATTTTAATGGATCATTCTCAAATATGACAATTACTCAATAAATAATTCTCAACCTTTTTCATCTTCACAAAGTACCAATTTTTTAATGATTTTTTATTATATATCATATACTCTTAATTATTAATATCTTTATTATAAAATATCAATATCAATTATTTTTAATCCTTTCAACCGGTTTCAAAATAATAATTAAAATATTTTAGAAACTTCCAGTGATAAGTTGTTTTTATTATTATTTTTTCATCATTTACAGGATGATGTATATGTTTACCAGACATTTACCCATCCTTATACTCTCCTATACTAAAAGTTATTTTATTTTCATCATAGTGATAATAAAAAGTTTTCGATATTCCATTCAACTAATTATTTTAAAATTTTCCCTCAACTTTAAATACTTGTCCTGTTTCAAGCATCTCTTTATCCTTTTCTAATATTTCTTTAGTACCTAGCCCATTGAATTTAATTTCTCCTTGTTCATCTAATTAATATTCTCCAAAATATTTGAAATTTTTTTTGTGATCAATTAATCTTACTTTTGATTTGTACTCTTCAAATCTATATTCTTTTATTAAATTAAAGTTCGTAATAACCTTTGGTTCAAAATTTCTCTTTTATTCTTTAACTTCTAGATACTTACAATAATATAAATCATTTTAGAGGAAAAATTTATGAATAATAAATTAGAACGTATTTTTTTCTTACTTAATTTATTTAAATTCAATTTATTATTATTCCTGATTTGGAATATTCAAAATCATATTATTTAAATCCACTTATTAAACTAAAAATTTATCAGATTACAATCTAAATGTAATTTAATTGATATACTCATATAAAAATTAATTACCGTATTTTATTTTAATTGGATTATTAAATTTAAAATCTTTTTATTATTTATTATTTACTTCATCATAAAATTCCTTTAATTCTTATTTTAAATTATAATAATCTAATAATTTCTTTGCTTCTTAAGATTAGTCTTGATTTTAAATATTATCAAACTCATTAATTTTTTAATCTAAATAAACTAGACAAATGAACTATTCATCTGATGATAAATCTTTAAAATTCTCCTTATTAAAATTATTTTTATCAATCTTATCATAATTTTCCATAATTTTTTCTATTGCTTATTTTAAGTCTTTTTCGAATTAATCTTATTGTTTTTAGATTTGATTTAATAATTTCTAAAGTTCTTAATAAGTAAAATAATATAGAAATTATTAATCAAACTCTAAAATTTTATGTTCAAAGTACTCTTAAACTATATTCTAGTTTTCCTTATCAATTAAATATTAGTACCTTTAATTTATAAGATTATTAAATTTAAAATTTTATTATTTCTTATTTATTTAAATATAAAATTCCTTTAATTCTTATTTTAAATTATAATAATCTAATAATAATTTCTTTGCTTCTTAAGATTAGTCTTGATTTTAAATATTATCAAACTCATTAATTTTTTAATCTAAATAAACTAGACAAATGAACTATTCATCTGATGATAAATCTTTAAAATTCTCCTTATTAAAATTATTTTTATCAATCTTATCATAATTTTCCATAATTTTTTCTATTGCTTATTTTAAGTCTTTTTCGAATTAATCTTATTGTTTTTAGATTTGATTTAATAATTTCTAAAGTTCTTAATAAGTAAAATAATATAGAAATTATTAATCAAACTCTAAAATTTTATGTTCAAAGTACTCTTAAACTATATTCTAGTTTTCCTTATCAATTAAATATTAGTACCTTTAATTTATAAGATTATTAAATTTAAAATTTTATTATTTCTTATTTATTTAAATATAAAATTCCTTTAATTCTTATTTTAAATTATAATAATCTAATAATAATTTCTTTGCTTCTTAAGATTAGTCTTGATTTTAAATATTATCAAACTCATTAATTTTTTAATCTAAATAAACTAGACAAATNATTAAATTTAAAATCTTTTTATTATTTATTATTTACTTCATCATAAAATTCCTTTAATTCATATTTTAAATTATAATAATCTAATAATCTGTCTACTTCTTAAGATTGGTCTTGATTTTTATCACAATCAAATTCATCAATTTTTTGATCTAAATAAACTAAACAAATGAACTTCTCTTCTAATTCTAATTATTTAAAATTCTCCTTATTAAATTCATTTTTATCAATCATATCATAAAATTTTTAAATTTTTTCTATTTTTAATTTTAAATCTTTTTAGAATTTATTTTATGGATTTTAGAATTGATTGAGTATTTTCTTAATTTCTTTATACGTAAAATAATATAGAAGTTATTAATCAAATTCTAAAATTTTATGTTTAAAGTACTCTTAAACTAAATTCTATTTTTCCTCATCAATTAAATATTAGAACCTTTACTTTTTAAGATTATTAAAATTAAAATCTTTTTATTATTTATCATTTATTTCAACATAAAATTCCTTTAATTCTTATTTTAAAGTATAATAATCTAATAATTTCTTTACTTCTTAATATTGGTCTTGATTTTAATTAATATCAAATTCATCAATTTTTTGATCTAAATAAACTAAACAAATGAACTATTCTTCTAATTCTAATTATTTAAAATTCTCCTTATTAAATTCATTTTTATCAATCTTATCATAAAGTTTTTAAATTTTTTCTATTTCTTATTTTAAATCTTTTTAGAATTTATTTTATGGATTTTAGAATTGATTGAGTATATTCTTAATTTCTTTATAAGTAAAATAATATAGTAATTACTAAACAAATTCTAAAATTTCCTTTTCAATTTATTCATCAGCTAATTGCTTATTATTATTCTTAATATTTATTAACTTTTCTTTATTAATTTTATATTGTTAGATCTTCAATTTTATCTTTATAGAATTAAATTTAAAATCTTTTTATTATTTATTATTTACTTCATCATAAAATTCTTTTAATTTATATTTTAAAGTATAATAATCTAATAATTTCTTTACTTCTTAATATTGGTCTTGATTTTAATTAATATCAAATTCATCAATTTTTTGATCTAAATAAACTAAACAAATGAACTATTCTTCTAATTCTAATTATTTAAAATTCTCCTTATTAAATTCATTTTTATCAATCTTATCATAAAGTTTTTAAATTTTTTCTATTGCTTATTTTAAGTCTTATTCGAATTAATATTATTGATTTGAGATTTGATTTAATAATTTCTAAAGTTCTTAATAAGTAAAATAATATAGAAATTATTAATCAAATTCTAAAATTTTATGTTTAAAGTACTCTTAAATTAATATCTAATTATAAATATTTATTAAATTTCTATCAATTTAAAAAAAATTATCTGATTAAATTTTTTGAGAATTTTACTTTTAAACATTACCTACACTAAATCTATCTATTAGTATTTTTTATATTATCAAAAGAACATTATATTACACATTTGTATTTTTACCTATCATCCATCCTAGCTACTGATTTCTAATTGGTTTTTTCGACAAATCTAAAGAATTCTTTAATAAATAATAGTCGGCCAAATCAAAAGGATAAAATATTTCAAACATCAAAACTGTTAATACATGTTAATCATTATCTTAAATATCCTCTTAAGTTCTTTATTCTAATTTTTCCATTAATTCTTCATTCTTTAAATAATAATTATTCAAAATTTCTAAAAGTTTTTAACTTTAATATGGATAAATCTATCGTTACTAATCTTGATTAAGCGTTCTTACAAAATTTTTTTGATCCATAAAAATATTTGATTTATCTTTTCCTTATAGATATCCAAAATCTGTGAGATATAATTTATTGTTATAAAGAATCAAATTATTTTTTTTAATATTATTATGTATGATCTTTTTCTTTTTTAAAAACTCTGCTAATTCAAGCAGTTAATCAAAAATATTAAGTTTTTCTTCTAAAGTCTTAAGCTATACTTAAGATAAGGATTTAGCTTCTTAACTGATATTTTATGTGATCTCTTTGAAATTGTAATTAATTATAAATTTATTCTACTTTTCATCATATTTATAATTATCTATTCTGAAAATGTATTTACAATTCTCTTCATCCTAACACAAATTTATTTATTCATCCAATAATTTTTCATAATTTTTTTTATCTTTATCATCAATTTTTTCTTGAAAGTCATTTTTCATTTTTAATAATTTAATAATTAATAGAAATAAATGTATATGAATCTGATTAATGAATTATATTAAAGATATTGAATGAGATTATTAATGAAATTAAAATAATTTAACAACTTTTAGAGATAAAGTCTTTCAAATTTATTTAGTATTTATTATTATTATTATATAATACATTCCAATAATTCTGATTATCAATATATGTATATTTTATATAAATGACATGAACCTCTCCTATTTAAAATAATTAATATATATGACATACAACCTTTATAAAAGTTAGAGGCATTATATTTAGGTGAATTTATATCATGAGAAATTTCAAAGACTTAAATATTATGGATTTGAAAATTGGACCATTTATCTTAGAGAAAAAGAAACTAGTATTTTTATGAATAGATTGCCTAAAAAGGTTTGAGGATTTGAGATAAATGAAATTTATGATAAAATGAGATTACTTATACAAGTACTAAAATTTGATTATTATTATGCATATATAAAATCATACTATCAAAGAAAACCAGGACAAAAACAAGTAAAATAAAAATACAGGATAAACTGCCAATTTCTTCTTATGGGGTGGTACCAATGATGCCATAAAACCAACAGATGCTATGATTAGATTAAATTAGAATTTATACAATAGGCAGACCAAGCAAAGCAAATAATCACTGGGATTAATTTGACTACAAATGGTAAATAGGATCCAACAAATGCAATAATTATTGCTTCAATATTGATTGGAAATACACAATAACCCAATAAACAAACAGATTAGAAAAAGGATCTAAAAAATAAACGAATTTAAATTACACTTTTCCTCCAAGTAATTATGCATTTAGAGTAACAACAAATGCACCAACCCAAATAAGAACAAAAATGATTGCAAAAACATCAGATTTTGAACTATTAGTTGTTGAATCAGCCTTGAAACTCAAAGTCCTTTAATATAAATAGTAATATACATAGCCAATGCTAAACAAAAAATTAAAGGTCCCCATAAATCCCCTATAAAATATAAAAATAGAGTTTACAATTTCGTAATTCTTTTCCATTGTCCTCTTATTCTTTAGGAATTAATACATATTTCAATTTATATGCTATCATTTTTAAATCTCTCATCTAAATAACATATTTTCTTATACAATAGTCTCTGATACACTTTCTTCTAGATCAAGTGTTTTTAAATCTTCCATTTATGAATAATTTTAAGGATTTTTTTAGTTTGTATAATCCATAGAATGTTAATAAATATATTAATTATTTCTGTGAAAATCTATCCAAATATTTTTTAAATAAAATACACAATACATAAAACAGTCTTCAAAGTTTTAGATTATGCTATAAATATTATAATATAGTTTTTAAATCATGAGATTAATATCATCCACAACAACCTTTTTTCTTTTTTGTTTACAATGACTAATACTAAATAGAAACATCATACAGTAATGATTTTTTTAAGACCTTATATTTCTTCATTTTTTTGGGCAATCATATTTTATAACTCATCTACATCTTTAATATTATCTCTATATATATAAATTTGATATATTGAAATACCTAATTGTTTTGTTTTCAGTTTATAATTTACTAAGTTAATCTGATAATTATTTTTTTTATGCTTCCAATTATACTTTGTCTTAATCTAATTTCTTTATTTTTGTTTCATGTTATGCAATATTTTATTCTAATATTTTTATATTATCCAACAATTATTTTTCCTTGACTTATTATACTGCTTTCTCTTCTTCTGCTTAATTTTTATTTTTACTATACTTTTGTCTAATATTTTATAAAATTATATTTACACAACAGAATTAACTAATTACTTAACAATTATTGGATGATGATTCTATAAAAAATGTATTAAAGTATTAGCCTTTTCAGTACCAGCAGATTTTTTATCATAAGCAGTTAAAAATCTAAAATATATCAATTTATATAATTACTCATTGAAATGTTAAAAGAAAACTTCTAAATTATCAATTGTAAATGTTTCTTGATTCAAATTCTCCTTTAATTTTTAAGATACTTCAGCAATAACTTCTTCATTTTTTCTAATGACATAATCTATATCAAATACGTATTATTCATATCATCATTCAATCTTATTGCTAAATTTTCTTTTTCAGTCATAAAATCTAATAACTTTTTCTTATATTCTTCAAAATGATTATTCTTCTCCCTTATACCTGCTATATAATGAAATGTTTAAAATGATTCATCTCTAATCTTTTTTAAGATTTAAAATATCTCTTCAAAAGATTTAGCCTCATCAGAACCAAAATATTTCTTTAAATTAGTTTCATATAATTATTTTGCTTAAACTAAACCCTATTGACATTCAGTTTCTACAACATGTTCCCAAGCTGTCGATATGATTGGAACCTTTCCCTTATTAAAATTAGTTATGAAAGTTTCAATCATTTTACAAAACATTCTTCCATTTAAATTGACTCCATTCAATTATTTAGGGGATGTATTTTTCAATAAATATTCCCTAAGTTAAATTACTTATTATTAAAATTCCTCTCTTAATTGATTATTTGGTAATTAATTTACTTTTTATAATTCATTTTCATTAATCACAGGTCTAACCAATTAAAAACAATTCCTATCTTTAAAACATGTTAACAATGTTTTTCTAACTTTTTTTGAATTCTCACTTTAATATTAACGATCATCATGCAAGGCTAATTCTAAATATTCTTTAGGTGTAATCTTTCTATTTTAACCATCTTTCATTTCAAGTACAAAATCTCTTAATAACCATATAAATTTAGGTGTATAATAACCTAATATATTTTCATTATTGCTATTATCATGATCTTAAACTTATATATTCTTAGATAATAATGTAGTTAAATGAAGTTAAATAATAGATTACTCATCAATACATCCAATTGAATTGAACATAAAAGTACTACTCATTAAAATAGCTAATGCAAATATTTTAGCATCATGAGTTTATGATTTTACTCCTGATTCACTACCTTCTGTATCTAAAAAATATATTTAAAGATTGCTTTGTTTATTAATTAAAGGTTTTGTATATAACCAGATTCCTTGAGTACAAGAATTTGTTGCTGGACTAACTGAAAACTAGATCTATTAGCATAAAATGTGATTACTCCTTCATTCTATACATCAATAAGTTTGTTCAAGAGAAAACTCTTTCCTGTTCTGTATTTACCACATACAACAACAAATGCTATATTTCCTCTTAATTAACTCAAAAATTAAGCTGCTTCACTATTTAATTCAAATTTATTATTTTATGACACAAAGGTAATCAATTAGATTGCTTTATAATCATTAATTTATTCTAATTTGATTTGATCAAGATCAATCATCTTTTTTGATTTAAAAATAATAATAATAATAATTTAATATATATATATATATACATAATTAGAGTTCATATAAAAAACCTTTAATCCAATTATATTCTATCTTCCTATCTTTCTCATACTTTTTTCTTATATTAATAATTTCTAATTAATCGTTAAATTTGAATGGAAAATAATGAATTAGATGACTACATTTAGCTTAAGAAAAATGTAATATCATTATACAAATATATTAGTATGCTTTGAGAGAGAATGAATGGAAAAAGGATAAGGCATTGTATGAATAAAAAATACAATTGTTAGAAATTCAATTAGAAGATTATAAAACTAGGGAAATGAATTAAAAGAAATTGAATGATACTATTACTTAAGCTATAGATATTTCAGGAAAATCATAAGTATAATTATATTCCTAAATTATTAAGCAAAAAAGCTATACAGAATTTCAAAAATCTATTGAAGTCTCAATGGCAAATAATAAAAAGCATTAAGATAGTATATCAAAATTAGAAGAAAAAGTAAATTAAAATCATAAGTTTTAGCTAAGATGTATGAATGAATAGTTAAATGAAAAAGAAATTTAAATTAAAGATCTTGAACTTTAGCAACAAAAATAATAAATTACTTATGATCACAAGATTTAGAGTTTAGAATCTGAGAAATAATATTTAAACTAAGAAATTTCTAAATACAAAGATTAAATATAAAAAAATGAAGAAAATTCAAAGTCAAAAGAATAAGTATTAAAATTATAGTGTGAATAAGAAATTCAAAAAATCAAAGATAACTTTTTTAAAGACATGCAAGAAAAATAATCAGATTATGATTAAAGATATCAATAATTAGCATAATTATATGAAAAAGAAAAAGAACAATTACAATAAAGATTAATTCGAAGTCAAAATACTATTAAAAAATATTAAACTCATATTGAATCTAATTAAGAAATATAACAAATGTAATAAAAGTATGATGAATAAATTGCTGCTTTAAAATAAGAAATGCATGAACAGTAAGTTCAATTTCAATATGAAAAGAAAATGCTAAATAAATAAATAGATGACCAAAAAATGTAAATTTCAATTTCATCTATATTTTAGAAATACTAATAATTACGATAGTACTTCAAAGAAAAAAAGCTTAGATATGATTAAAATTAGAAATTCTGTTGTTTCATAAGAAAGTCCTGTTTAATGCAAAAGTTTTCATATATCCTAACCAGATTTTAAATAAGTGCTTTAATAACCTAAGAATTCAATAACTTCTATTTAAAAATAATTGATGTAACCTCCAAAAAACAATTAATCATTTGAAAAAGTCAAAGCTAACAACCATGATACTCTACCTATGCCTATTGAAGATTTTAATTTAATGATGAGTAAAAAAGCCAAATCATAATCAACAAATTCTCTTCCTTCAAATAATTTAAATCTTAATTCTTATCTTCAGGATGCAAGTATTATGAAAGAAGAAACTGAAACTGGAGATGAATTTATAAGATTTAAGTTATCTAATCAATAAACAACCAGATTTAATAATGAAGTTGATCAAAGAAGATCTTATTCTCAATAAGGCAATAAAGTACATAGTATTACTTCAGCAACCAATTTAAGTAAAATGTTAGGATAGACAGATCAAAGTTATTAAAATTAAACTACTTCTATTTCTACTTAATAAAAAACTCATAATACTTCTTTTTCACATTTTAAGGTTCCTTCCTTTACTTAAGGTTAGTTAAACAATCTAAAATATAGTTTATATTAGCAATAACCTTAAACAACTTTGAGAATGAATGATAATCATATTAATTACATTTAGTAAATTAAGGCAAGATATATGAATTAAGATGAATCAAATTAGAATGATTCTACTTCGTTTAAATATGTAAATCAAATTGGTATTAATAGAATAAAGAGAACTAGTAGCCATCAAAAAGTGTACATATAAATAATGAGATTAAGTTTTTGATTGGTAAACTACTTCAAGCAAAAGGAAAATTGACAACTGAATTAGAAAATACTCAAAAATCTTGTAGATATAAGACTTGAATTTTTATATTCAATAAATTTTTGGACGAATTATATACATTTTATCTCTTTATCAATTAAAATTAATCAAAATATTAATCATTAAAATAATAATAATATAATATTAATTTCTTAAAGGAATTTACATTTCTATTCTGGTACCAGAATTTTAAATTAATTAGATTTTACAATATTCAATAAATTATTAACGAAATCCTATTAAAATAAATATAAATTAGATTATCAATCTGTGTTAATAGCACTTAATTATTAACATGAAAAAATAATAAATGATACTCAAGCTTTATCAGAAACAGACAAGATTAATCATAAAAAATTAATGAAAAAATTATAAGCAAATCAATGATGAAAATATAAGAATAAGATTGCATTTAAAGTATTTCGATAAATAAATTAAGATTGTTGCAAGCAAAGACTAGAGACTTAATCTAATTATAATTACCTTCATTAATACATCAATTTCTTCTAAAATAATTCTTAAATCAAAGGAACTATACTTTACTTTAATTATAAAAGAAGCATAATGATATTTTAATTTCTAATTGATTTATATATTGGTATTTATTATCTTACAAGAAATTACATATTTTATTTCTTCACAATGATTTATATATATCATTTTCAGTTAACATATTTGAGTATAGAATTAAATGTAATTTTCAAGATTATGCCAATGAAAAATAAAGTTTATAATTGAGTCTTTATCAAAAAATTTAGTTTTATAACATATTTTATTATCAATTGATTTATTCTTAATTTAATTAAAATAAAATAAAGAATTAAACATAATGAACAATCATTATAAATAAACTTAAAATAATTTAAGATATATGAGATTAATAATAGACAAATAGATAATTTAAAAGAAGAAATAAAATTAGATAGTCTTTTTTATTAATCATTTTAAATTTGTTATTTCAGATATAAGATTGAATTCTCCTTCTAACAATTTTTCCCTAAATTCTGAATCTCTATCAATCATTCTTACAATAGATTTTACTTTATCCATATATATCTATACAGAATGTTTATAGAGATCATAAATAGTTTATTCAATTTTTTTAGACCATTCTATTTGTTCATTTTTAGTTTGTAAATAAAAATATTTTGTTAATCCATCAATTGCTTTTTTTCTTTTGTCATCTTGTACATATTCACTTGAACTGTTTTGATTTTCTTTAAAGTTAGATTTTACATTTTTCTAATTCTTTATTTACACTATAGTAGTTTCTTATTTTTATTCATCATTTTTGAATTTTTTTTGAATTTATGGCTCATTATTTTTGGATTATATTTATTTTTATTGACTTTTTTAAACATCTTAATTGTCTTCATTATTTGTACTTAAATCATTAGAAATAATAACTTATTTCCATTATTTAACTAATTTACGACATATTTTAATTGCTTTGGCATACTTTTCATCATCTTCATCTGTATATTTCTTTTAACCAATTCTAACAAAACTTTTAGTGATTTAGCTTTCAATTATAGATTATAATTCATATTGACTTTTATAAACTTAAGCAATCAATTAATAAGACTTTTAAATTGGAGCTGTAGAAAATTTCTTAAGTTCTTGTTTAATTTCAGACAATTATTATGTATTTAATTTCATTTATTTAAAATATTATTTGTACATCAATTATAATGAATATACAAAACCAAATTGCATTGAATATATTTGAAATATATATATATATAAACATAAACTCATTTTTTTAATAACTTGATCATATGAGGTTAATATTATTCTAAAGACTCTTTAATAATACTTTGACTTCTTGGGTCTAATTTAATCATATTCGCCTTGCTTATTAATGATCTCAAAATGAATTAATATTATTAATATTAAGGAGATTTTGTTTATTAGAGGGAATAAATCAAAATAGCTTAACTGATATCCATTGCTTTAAACTCATTGCTTTTGGTTAAATGAAGTCCTAGTTTATTGTAAATATCTGTATCTGTAATTCCGAGTCTTTAAATATATATTAATTAGACATACTTATTCAAATTCCAAATCATTATACAAGCAAATTTTGAAGAAAAAGGTTGATTGGATTTTTCTTAATTTTTTAACATAATATAAGCCAACTTTTAAGCAAATTCTGGACTTTGTTTCAATTAACCTAAAGTTCTCAAAAGTAAAAGTAATTGGAGTATACCTTCATTGGAAAGATCTTGTTCAGCTAGATTTTGGATGACAAGTTTTTGATACTATATTAAATTTTAATATATACAGCATTGATTTATTTATTATCTTTGATATTGATAGTTGCTTATAAAAGTAAGATTAATGATCTATTTGTGATTAAGTCTTTTTTATTAAAATTATTTATGGCTAATTTAAATGTATATATTAATAATGCACTCGCATCTAACTTAATATCTTGAATAGCCCAAATAATTAGAACCATATCTTTGAATTTAAATCTAAAGTCTCTAAGAACTCTTTTCTCTGATTATAAATCCTCCTCTAATTCTTATTCTAAAAAATCATCATCTTCATCAGATTGATTGATTTCATTATCCTCTTGATTTTCTTATTTTTAATTTTCTTTAAGAGATTATATTTCATCAGGTTTCTCTGAAACTGGAATAAGGGAATCTAAATTCTATTGTAATTGATCAATCAAATGAATCACTAATCTTGGCTTTTTTATACCATTTTTATGATAACCCCACAAAAGTATAGCAATTTATTTAATTCTAATACATGTCAAGTCACTTCCATATTATTTGATTAATTATTTATTTCTTCCTATTTTAGCAACTTGCACATCTATCTAATAATAAGATTAGATATTTTACAAAATCTCCATTTTTCTTACATAGGCACCTATTTGAAAACTTCTGTTAATTCATCATAAAATGCAGTATCATCATTCAGATCGAATCTCTTTCTAACTGGACTTGTATTCATATGTTTCAAAGCTTCAAGAAATAACAAAGGAGTAAAATGTTCCTAATTTTTATGATAGATTTAATAGATTTCTTTAGGACTACCACATGTTTTGATGAATCTGAGAATCTTCTTTTCAGATGAAAAACACTATAGAATCCTAGTTGATAAAATCATTAATTAAATAATGTTTAAAATTATTCAAAGAGCTTGTTTCAGATATTCAGTTGCCAACACCAAGGCTGAGGCTGAAATCAAATCAGTTCCAGGTATCAATATTAAAGAGTGAATTTAGGACATAAGCCACCCTCTTTTGAAGATACTGTTTAAGGAAAATATGCAGGAGTGTTATTCTCAACAGCATCATAAAGAGAAGCACTTCATCTAGTGTTGTAGGACATGAAATACTTCAAAGAATTGGCTGAAAAGAGTCCAGTATTTGCAGGCTTTTTGGTAAATTCTGCTTACAAGAGAAACCAATAAAGAAATGTGATTCAAGCTCTGACAAAAGTAAATAAAGTTAATTATGTTTTAGGAAGGATTCCATGAAGTCACTTAGAATTTGTTAAACACTATGATTGATAATCAAAGAATTTCTTTTCTATCTAAGACAGCTGATAAATACATTGAATATTATAGAATCTTTAATAAGGAAGAAAATATCACAATTATTTCTTCTGAAAATTTGTCTGAAGAATAAAAGTAAATATATATAGTTATTTTAATATAGATCACAAGTAATTTAAGCCTTAAAAGAATCAAGTCCTAATATGCAATTTTCTGTTTAATACAAAGTGGATCCCTCTATTTTAGGAGGATTATAAATGTATTCAGGAAATAAATTCTTGGATTGCTCTTTATTATCAAGAGTAAATAAATTGAGATCAGAATTATAAAAGTTAAGCATCTGATGAAGAATAAGTATTAATAATAATAAATATTATATATATATATTATAAATATTAATGGACATTCTCAAAGACCCTACAAATGATAGATAAGTAAAGACTCTAAAGCCTCCTCCTCATAGACCACTCTCAAAAAATCTGATGTTTCCAGATAAATTGAAAAGTACGTCACAACATTAAATTATTTAGACAAACCTGATTGGAAATTATTGAAAGATCATCTATAAAAAGAAGGAAGAGTAGCAAAAGAAGAATTATTTAAATTGGTTGCTGATTGCAATAAATTATTGAGTAAACTGACATTTTGATTGTTAGAAAATGAGGGAAATGTTCTATATTTGCAAGATCCACTTACTGTTGTTGGTGATATTCATGGGTATATATATAAATTTAAATAGATAATTTTATGACTTACTTAAATTATTGGAACCCAAAGTTGGTGGCAACCCTGAGACAACAAAGTAAAATAATTTAACATTATTAGATATCTCTTTTTGGGAGATTTTGTAGACAGAGGATCTTATTCAATCGAAGTTGTCATTTTACTTTATGCGATAAAAATTAATTATCCCAATACTGTTTATTTTTTGAGAGGCAATCACGAATGTAGATAACTGACAGCATTTTTTAATTTTAAAGATGAATGTACCTACCAATATTATTATAGGTCTATATAAATATGATTAAGAAACCTATGAAATGTTAATGGATTCTTTTGATCTATTTCCATTAGCATGTATAATAAATTCAAAATTTATTGCAATTCATGGCGGAATCTCACCTGATTTAAAATCAGTAATATTTTGGGTTATTTTTTAGATTGAAGACATAAAAAAATTAGATCGATATCATGAACCACCTCGTAGCGGTCTCTTTTGTGATTTACTATGGAGTGATCCAGTAGATCATGATTAAGGAAACATGGATGGATAATGGAAAAGCAATGAAGTTCGTGGATGTAGTTGGTTCTTTGGGATTGAAGCAAGTATGAAGTTCTTATAAAGAAATAGTCTTATAAGTATCATAAGAGCTCATGAAGTAATAGATTTATATATTTAAATAGGCATAACTTGATGGATATAAAATGCATAGATGGAATGGCGGATAAGATTTTCCAGTTGTAATTACTATTTTCAGTGCACCAAACTATTGTGATGTTTATAACAATAGAGGAGCAGTGATAAAATTCGAAGTAAGAATTATTTATTAAAATTATAGAACAATACTCTAAATATTTAATAATTTTAATATACTCCACACCCATATTTACTTCCAAATTTTATGGATATATTTACTTGGTCAATACCTTTTGTGGCTGAGAAAATCACTGAAATGCTTTACAATTTAATTTAAGCAGGTGATCAAGGAGATGATGAAGATGATGTTAATTAAGAAGATATTGCACAATTTAAATAATTAACTAATTAAAATAAGCAATTTAATAAATAATAATCAGGTGGTTCGAGTGGAAAAGGTAATTTATTATTATTATTATTATTAATAAAATAGGTACAGAGAAATTGAAAAGTAAACTAAAATTCGTAGCAACCATGATGAAGCTCCAAAAAACACTCAGAGAAGAAAGTGAGAGTGTTATGAAATTGAAAGGAGCTTGTCCAGATAAAAGATTACCTAAAGGTATACTATCAGCTGGTAAAACTGCTATTTCTGATGGTATTTTGATTAATAATAATTTTAGCACTTGCTGATTTCAATGTTGCTAAAACTGCTGATATAGTTAATGAGAAAATGCCAGCTCAAGCATAAATTCCTTAATAATCTATATCAATAAAAAAACCCAGTAATAATACACCTTAGCCCAAGAAAAAATGAGAATCCAATTCTATTAAATATATATATATTCAAATATAGATGTGTAATAATCATTTCTTGTTTATATTTTTATTTGTTCTTTGATTTATTTATTATTCTATAAGAACAATAAATGCAGTATAATCTTCATTTGTTACCTTACTTATCTTTTCATAAGCTTAAAACAAAAACTATTCTTAAATTCATATTTTATACCATCTTTATATTATTTTTCCTAAATATTAGAATGAAAAATAGATGATACAAAATAGACGAGCTTTAATAATTATTTCAAAATTAGAGATGTATATTGAGTATGTCAAGAAGAATTTCTAACCTACAGCTTCAGAATTAGAGTTATTGAATTCCTAAGAAATAATAGAATTATACGAATATATTTAGCAATAAGGCGGATTTATTAAAGTATCATAAAACACTATTTGTAGTATTACTCACAGTAGTACAATAAATTTCAATCCTATGATAACAATGAAATTCTTCAATTGTTTCAAAAATACTTATTAAATTATGAATTAAGAACTACAGATATAGATGGATAATATCTACATAGATGTGCTTATATTGAATTTTATAAAGCAATCAATTGTTTTACAGAATCCCCATAGAAATGGCTCAAAGATTAAGTAACTTTATGGTCTTTGCCTAAGGATGTATTTACAAAATTGAATAAAAATCTGTTTACATTCTAAGATTTATCAAAAAATCATAGAAATTTTGAAATTGATATTAGAGCTCAGAATCCATTTATAGACACAACATTAGCAAAAGAGGAAAATTATTATTAGGCTTATACAATGACAGTAAAATAATACAAAGATTATGCTGAGGATCCAAAATCATTTTTTTACAATAATCCCCAATATAAAAAAGATCAAGTGTATTAGGCAGTAAATGTAGATATGGAGGAATGGAAAGAGGAAATCCATAGATTATTTGATTTTTTACCGAAATACTTTTCAAGAAATAACGGATTGAATTATTTAAGATAAAATTGTAAAGGTGCAAATGTACCAGAAATATATATGAGAGTATAAAATTGTTGGATAGGAGGATAATAGGATTTTTAAGGTTTAAGTTAGATTAATATAAATCATGGGCCAGGAGATTGTATTTGGACAATTATTGATGCTAATCATATAGATAAGTTATTTCATCTTATGCCTGATTTATTTAAGAAGGAGGGAAGATGGTATGTAAATATTGCATATTTCTTATAAAACTAAATACCTGTTAAATAAATAATTTAAAAATAAGGTGATATACTTATAATTGGGGCTGGATGTTTTTTTTAGGCTAAAAATATTGGAAATTCAATACATACATCATTTAATTTCTTAATGATGGATGATTTTTCTTTGTAACAAATTTATAAGAGATAGATTAGGAATGATTTCTTTCAATTTTGGAGTGTTATAGCAATTAGAAATTTATTTTTAGATATCTATATCCATGAAAAATTAACTATTTTAAAAGATTATTTAAAACAATTTATTGATGAAGAACTTCGGCGTTAATTATCTAAAAAACATTTAACTCGCTTTAAATTATATATATCTTCAAAAGATGTATTGATTTGCACTAAATGTTATAAAGAAATCTTTATATTTTTTTAATTCATCAAAGATTGGGTATATTATTGTCCAGATTGCTATATTGATTGTGAAGATGTAATATATATGAAATACAACATTATACAATTGAAGTGTCTTATCTAAGCTGATACTATTTAATGTTCGAAATTGTTATGCAGCAATTATATTGGAGAATCTAAATGCACAATAAAGTAGACACTCTCTTAAAAAGTGTAATTATAGGATTAAGATAATTCATCAATTGTTGAAAGTAGACAATTTTTGGATGAATTCCTTGTTGGATTAAACATAGAATCATCTAATTCTCAAAATTAAAATGGGACATCTCACCAAATTGATTTATTAAGTAAAGACAAAAAATAAATTAAAAAGATTAAGGAGAAAATAACGATGATCAAAAAATAACATGTAAAACAGTTAAAGTATAAAAAGAAAGAAAAATATTCAGACCTTTAGGTAATTAAGTACATATAAAAAACCAAAAGAAACATCTTAAATTGATGAATAAATTTATACATATATTATCTATAGTAATGAATCATTTCATGGAAAGTATTGAATATTTTAGCAATGTAATTAATTATTCAAATTATTATAATAAATTTTTATTATTACTTTGTCATTTAATTGATATTTAAATCAAGGGAAATCAAACAAAATTGTCTTTACTATCTAATCAAATTATAATTAATTCAAATAAACTATATTAGATATATTTTTTAAATTATCTATTAAACACAAATTATGTAATCAATTTATTCCCCATATTTTTTCAAATACCTTATAATATGTGCTTTTTAAAGATTTTGGCTAATATCAATAAGCTTTCTTACATCATGTTAATAATAATAATGTATGATACCAATAACAAATGAGAAAACAATAACATCACCATGAGGAATATCTATCATTTTCCCCCTACTTTTTAATAAGTTTATGACTGTTTCACAAAATCTAGGAACAATACTTAAACAAATTTCCATTGCTCTACATTTATTTTTCATAAATACCTAGTATTGGATTCAAGAAGAAGGGCAAATGAACTCATAAATCCACCAGATAATGGAACAAATGGGTCGACCTTTTTAAGGAGATTTTTTTGTTTGCACCAATTATATCTTAGCATTTGAACCATAAAAGATAGGAAACAAATGCTTTTAAAATATGAAACAAGAGCTCTGCTTATAGTAGAGATAGGACTATTGATTTAATAGTATTGATAATACTTCTTCATAAGTTGTTTTCTTTTATACAATAGAAATGGGATTAGATGAACTGGCAAATAAACTTTAGAATTGGATTTCATAATTCTTGGAAGACTTTAAAAAGTGATTTTGAGTAATACTTACTTTGATAAAATGTTCATTTCACAAGATTGCCCAGGATGCACGATTTCACAACTAAAGGGAGTTCCTAGTAGTTGGATGGATGATTCTACCTGATTAAATGATCAATTGATCTGCTGCACTGATCACATAACTAGACATGATTGTTTTATTTATTTTAAAATTTTAGTTGAAATCAATGAATATTATAATCCTTCATTAATTGAGCTTTTTAGTACTATAGGCAGCCAATCCAATCAACAATCCTTGAAAAATGAATGTACCATCAAATCTTAATATTGGAACTATCAGTAATATAGATAAAGATGAAATGATGAAACCTAATAATCCACTAAAATTAACAATTGGCAATATATCAGCACCAGTTTTTTTACCAAAAATCTATAGTAATCCTGGACCTAAAATTACAATAATTCCTTTAGTGACAATAGATAACAATAGATAATCTATCAATAAATTTATAAGTTTACCAATAATGAATAAATCTTTAGAAATATTTAAGGAAATAGGAATCATTATAGCTATTATACACATTAATATTAATAATTTATGTAATAAGACTGTGAATGTAACCTAATCAGCCATCTTACCAAAAACGAAATTAGCTATTGATCCAAGAATAATTCCAAGTGTGTCAACCCATGTAATCAATTAGTCATTATTAATCTCTTAAACTAATAATATCTATTTACCTTTTAAAGAACATAAGTTTTATAGTTCAATCCCAATGTTACTTCAAAAAAAAATACAGTGAAGTAAGATCCCAGAATTATTTTGAATTGAGTAGTTTTAACAACTTATAAAAGAGGGTCATTTGGAGTAACTTTAATATTTTGAATCTCACTGGTCAATACTTATAATTCCTACTCTTCTGCCACTTCCAATTTTCTTTGGTTTATTAATAGACTACCACAAACACTTAATGTACCAGCTATAAATCCAGCATATTTAATAGCTTTGTATGTGTTAATTGCAACATCTTCTGAGAAATATAAATATTACTATGAACCTACTTTCATCTATGTAATAATTTATAGATTACTGATAAAGTAGCTTCTTCATTATTTGGATTCACTATATATGTGACCAGAAGTAAAAAAAAAAATGTAGCAAATCCAAAGACTCCAAATAAAATACCTGTTACCATACCTTCTTGCTCTGAAAAATGACTCCATAAACATTTCAACAAAGGAAATGCTAATAATGCATATCCTAAACCAATAAATCCCAAATAAAAAATTATGAATTCTAAATATTAAGTTGCATGTAATGCTAGTAGGAATGATAAGAATTATAGTGATGTTGTGATTCTTATTAATTTCTCATAGCCTATTCTATCTGCTATCTTTAATGAATATACTGATGCAGCTGCCAAAGGTATACCCATTAATGCTATAGGTAAGGTGTTATAAGCAACTGATAAGTTAGGATCATTCATTTTGAAATACGAATAATAATAAACATTTGATTTTCCCCAAGTCATCAATAATGCTTATCCAGCTTTTACCAATATTGCACCTACAAGGCATTTCTAATATATTTTATTTTATTTGTACAAGGCTATCAGGTGAATATTTATTCATTATATATATATTTAATTATTAAAAAGAGATGTTTTAATAAAAAGAATTCGATTATTCATAAACTCCAGAAGTGTAATAATTATATTAAGAATTTGTTGATGCCTTTGAGGAGAAATTAATTGTTGAAGATTTTATTCCAGTAGTTGAAGCAGCTTGTGGAGAATAATGTTCCTTGTTATTAAAAAATTATAAAGAAGAAAAAATTAGAAATTAGATTAGGATGAATTCTCATAATAATTCAACTTTGAATTGTCTGAACCAGAGAACTTTGATTGCATCTATGAAGTCCTAGAATAAGGCAAAGGAAAAATAACTTTCGAAGGATTAAAAGCAGCAAACCAGAAATACAAATTTGGATTGACCGATTAAGATATGAAGATTATGATCTAATACACTAATGTTAAGGATTAACCCATTACTAAATCAGTATTTAGACAAATGATATCATGATTTAAATTCAATTTTATATTAAAATAATTAATTTTCAATTAACTAACCACCATTCGTTAGCCTTCTATTCAACAAATTCTTCAAAATTTACAAAACCTATACCAAATATAATTATTAACAGAATTTAAGATTAGTATTTGTTAATCTTATTTATTTATTAAAGTGCTTGTTTTATTACAATTTTATTTTCTCTCTTATTCATTTCTTATATTTTAATTTTATTAAGAACCAATGATTTTTAGACTTATTCCTCTACATCCATCATTTTATGAACTTATTATTATATGCCCGAACTAAGGATTGTATTTAATTAGATTTATATTGAATTGAACCAACTGATATATTATCCCTTCAATCATAGTTATAACTAAAGAACTAATTAAAATTAAATAGATTTAATTGACTAGTTTGGATTTCAATTTTCAGGATTAAACTTTGTAATATATAAGAAAATTGTTGTTTTCACTTCAAATCTTCCATTTTGAGTAAGAAAAAATATGTTTGGATTTTTTATTGGATAATCAAAGGTAAGCTCTATTTTCAATGGTAAATTTCTTGTGCATAATCTGAATCCTCTAGACACATTATTATAAGATACCATTCATCGAGATAATTAATAATACAATGATCAAAATGAGGTTGGTGAATCATTTCTAAGTTATTCAAGCTCTTTTATAATTCTTATTGTCACAATACACATGTGGTTTAATTAAATATATATTACTAATGAATATTTGTAGAATATTTCCTAAAAATTGCTATAAATTTCAAAAAATCAGTCTAAAATAAGGCAAGAATTTTATGAGACAAATCAGAATGTGAGTAGAACTATAGCTATAGTAATTAATAACTTAAAAAAAAAATGTAAATATATAATAATTTTTCTAATATCGATTAAAAATTATGCTTGCAAACACTTCATTATTAAAATAATACTAATCAGATAATTTTTAGCAGAACTTTTTGGACAATTAGTATTTTTATAAAAAATCATGCTTTCATAAGTATGTCAATCCTAAAATATTTCAGAATCATAGATTCATGAATACAAGCTAAATTAAGTAAAATATTTCAATAAAGTCACACTAGGTCGTTATAAATCTCTTATGAAGAGCATAGAGATAATGTAATTATAATTAAAATTATATCAAAAAAATCTTTATTCAACCAGCTTATAGTAAAAGAAATGAATTTATTATGGATATTGTAATTGAATTACATCTAAAATAAATATTAGCTCTATTAACAAAAAATGAGTTTTAGTTTATCCTTAAAACTTATGATATCACCATTAAATAATTAAAAGTTACATCAAAATAGTTAATCTCTTTGGAATTTCATCTTTGAATCTGTTAGAAGATCCTAATTAAATAAATTTATGAGGCCTTATTTTTGATTATCGTAAATCTTTTTGGATCTCCTAAAGATTGAATGACAATTATTTTATGGTTAAGTGATGATACTCCTCTTGATCAAATCAAATACAAAGCATCCTAATCTTAAATTAATTTGATTGTTTGAGTTAAATAGGCTATTTGAATTGATGAACTATTATTAAAATGGTGGAAAGGTAATTACTCATAAAATTAAATAAGAAAGATTGATTGATAAAATAATATAGATTATGATATTATGATTCAAAAGAGGTAAATAAAAAACTTAGTATATTTACATTTTTTAAATATAAAAATTTTATAAATAAATTGATCTTTTTTGAGCAGATGTGGAATTATGCTGCTTCAAGTAAAATTATAGAACAAAAATAATAAGCTTACGTAATTTTATTACTATCTTACAGTCATACGATAGACATGTTAAAGTTGTGAATAAAGCTAAGGCTACAGTTGATAATGGGAGTCCATACAAGCATCACTTTACATCAAGATTAACAAATAAATATTAGTAATGAATTTTAGTTATTTTATATAACAACACTACACAGAAATAAATAGAAGTAATTCAGCATTACTCAGAAAGATGATGTATATCAACTCTCACTCAAGTAACCTCAATAAATAAAAGCTTGTAAAATCCTATAAGGAAATATCTCATGTTTTCAAAAATAACAAATAGTTGCACACTGAAAGAGACCGAGTGCAAGATGAAAATGAAGTAATGATGTTATGCAAAATTATATTAGAAAATAGTTGCCAGACTCTAAGCAACTAAATCATATTATGAAAGAGAAAATTAGCTTATTAAAGCGTAAAAGTATATAGCATGTAGAAATAATATATCATAAAATGCAAGTAATTAATATTGTAATTTCAGGACGAACTGCTTACTAAGACTTTTGTGATGAATCATATGGGTTAACGAAGATATCTCTATCCAAGCAATACTGATATGTATTTTAATTTAATTGGTGTGTCCCTTTTATTATTTGTAATATAAATCTCAAAAAAAAATTAAATATTAATCAAGGTATTTAAATCTTTTAATATATTTATTCAATGGCTTCCTAAAATAAACCACCTTAAACTCGTCAATTGACTAAACCTAAATGTATTTATCTTATTTTAAGCTACTAGTTGACAAACTCAGTGAAGTCAAACCAGGAATTCACGGATATAATACCTACGTCAAAGTAAGACTCAAATATCTAAAAATTTTTAGATTGAAGATATCAAGAAAGAACAAATCAAAAGATATGACGGATCTACTTTGGTTGTGGCTGAAGGTTTGGCCGGAGATGACACAGGAGTCATTAGATTCAGAGTTGTTGGAGAATATGCCAACTAACTTGAAAAGGGTAAATGTTATGCATGGAGAAACGGATTGTCTGAAGTCGTTTAAGAAAGACACAGACTCTCACTTGATTAATTTGGACGCATAACTCCTGAAAAAGTAAATTAAGCAATTTATATTTCAGGATGATTTAGTTGTTGTCAACTAAAATGGCAAGAAATACTCAGATATTGAATATGTGAGAAAGGATGCCAGACCAAACACAAACAGAAGAGACAACAGAGATAACAGAGACAACAGAGATAACAGAGATAACAGAGACAATAGAGATAACAGAGACAATAGAGATAACAGAGATAACAGAGATAACAGAGAAAATAGAGGACAAGGATAAAGAAGACCTTAAGGTAATAGAGGCAACAGAGGAGGAAATTAAAAGAGAGATTGAGTTAGTCAATGTATGGAACATAATAATATTTTAACATAATTATTCTCTCTGTTATTATCATCTCATATTTTATGATGAAATAAAATTGATAACTTAAGTATAACTAAATATTCTCAATTAGCAAAGGATCTCCTTCTAGAAAACTCTGATCTTGGATGCTAATGCTGAATTTTCTAAGTTTCAAATTTCTTCATTAGATAATAACAATTCAATTTCTCATAGTTATTTTCTTTATCCCCAATTAAATAGGCATCCTATTAGTGATTACTAAAATTCTACACACCTTTATTTAATTATTTTTGAGGTGTGTATTTTCTTAACTATGCTTTTGTCTCATGATTTCTATTTTCAATTGCCTATTGCAAATAATCTAATTTATTCATCATAGAATTGATATTAAGTAAAATATCTTCGCACTATTAACTTGCTTTTAATTTTTTTTATTGATTTCTACTAGATGATAAGCTGTTTCGTACAGATTTTCTGTATCCACTACTTTCCTAAACATATAGCATATTTATTTTTAACGAAAATTAATAATAACAAAACTCATAAATATTTCATATTCAATGTTAATATCGATTTCTCAGCTTATAGTGAAATTACCAATACTGTTTATTACCTTGATTGTTGAATAGAAAATCTACACTGTTTTAATTAAATAATTATTATTATAATAATGGGAAGTGTTTCATCAAATCCAAATGCTGACGAAACTGGCACTATCAGTAATCTTCCTATGCATCTTAGGAGGATGGAATTGAAATTTGATATTACCAAGGATGTCAATCCAAACCTTAAATAACTATTGCACTGTAATACTAAGCCTTTATTTTAGGGTCATTGATGGAAATAAGATAAGTATATGAACAATTTTAGAGAAGGTCAAATTCTCCTTTTATTGATAAAAATATTTTCTGTAAAATTGTACCTTTTAGCAGATCAAATGCTAGCTTCATCTTCGACCAATTTTGTGTAGGAAACAAAGTACTATCTATTTATGAATTCATATGCATTTTGACAATCACTGCCCACACTCAATATATTCATAAAGTTCATTGTATTTATTAGTTTCAACATATTTATTAGTCTTGTATATTGTTTTTGATCTAGATTGTAGTGGAAATATAAGTCTGAACGAATTACTGATTATATTTAAATCAATTATTTTAGGATACTGTAAGTTAACAGAAGCTGAATTGCCATCTTATATCTAATTGGAGAAGTTTGCGAAATTGATGTTTCTAAAAAGTGATATTTAAGTAGATAATTCATTGGAACTTAGCGAGTAATATAATACATAATTTTAGAATAATAGAATGGTTAGATAATAATCCTACAGGTTTACAATTATTTCAAATGTATGAACCAAAACAAAAGGTTTAAGAACCATTTGAAGCCTTTCGTTCTTTTCGTGCTTATACAGAATAAGAGGCTGAAAATATGCTAGAAATGATAACTAAATCAAATAAGAATGAATATTATATGAAAAGCTTAAATGATTAGGTTGGCAAAAGAAATAAATTTAGCTATATGGCAAATACTAAGAGTTAATAATAATAACAATAGATTTATTCAATCTAACAATAAAGAAATTAATCTTTACCCAAAATTTAACCATAAAAATAAGTAAATTTGGAAGAAGACTTAGAAGAGCTAAATATTTTAGAAAAAGCATTAGATTAACATTAAAAAAAATATGATTTATCAACAGAGAAACCTTCATAAAGTTTGCATCATCCTGCATAAAATCCTATTTCATTAGGTAAAAGAGTAAAAAGTTAAGGTAGGATAATGAAAAACATCATTATAACTAAAGGGTGTACTTTAACAAGAAATGAAATATTTAGAGTAAAAAATTATTTTGATTCACTATCTGACAATAATAAAGTTATTGGAGTAAAAGATTTTACAAAAGCATTCTAAAATAAACCTCATATGAAAAGAGTCACAGCTAGCTTATATAATTACTTAGATTCAAAATAAAAGGGATTTGTCACTTTTGATTAATTGATGTTAAAGCTATACCCTTCATTAACTAAAGTCTAATTGGAAATAGTTAATAACTGGATTAAGTAGTATAACGAAGTATTTTCAAAAAGCTCAAAAGAGAGCATAGAATTGGAAGTTCTTAAAAACAATGATACTAAACAGATGAAAAGAAAAAGAGTATTACCAAAAAGCAGTATGATCAGAATTAAATAGATTTATGATTTAATTGATTAAGATAACAAAGGATGTAAATAGATATAGTTTAAAAAATAGATATCTCTTTGGAAGATCTCAAAAAGACTTTTACTTATGGATTTACTGGTAAGGAAGTTGAAGATCTATTTCGATTACATGATTTAGACAAAGACGGGAAATTAGGAATGGAAGATTTTATAAGAATAATACTTCCTCCAGACTATGTTATTGAAGATGAAGCAGAAGAATAATGAAAAATATTAAAATTTCTTATTATATCATCATTCCTTTTGTTGTGACCTTTTAAATTATTATTACGAATAACTAGTAGCACATTAAAGAATAATCAACAATATTAAATAATAGACTAAAGATTATCCGTCAAGAAAGATAGCAACAAGATTTATAAACATAACTCCAAAATTTTGACAAAACAAATATAATCCAAAAATTGCCATATCTTCATTCCAAATATCTGAGATAATAACAGCCGAATTAAATTATCCTGAATTGTCGGTAAATCCTCTAGATATTTAATTCTATATTATACATTAATAAGCCTAAAATTATATTGATATTGTAATTTTGTTGGAATGCACTAAGAATAGCAATTATGTTCATGCATTAAAAAGCATTTCCATAAAAGATTGAATTTTGAATAATTCCAACAAAAGATCTAGATAAACCATTACAAACCCCGCTGAAAATTTAAGCTACTCCAACATATAGGAAGATTCTTGCTGTTTTCATATTCACTGTTATTTCATCTTCGCCAGGAATAGAGGAGGAAATGAATTTATGAAAAATTCCAAACTCAAAACCTATTACTACACCAGTAGAAATAAATAAAGAAAATAAAAATTTCATTTCCTTCAATTAAAATTTCAATATGATCTATTTAAGTTATGCTTTGAATCCTATTTTTGCAAATTCTTCATTAACGTTTGCAATCTAAGCTTCAGATTTTCCAAAAGAATCATTTTGAATCATCTTTTAATCTGCCTCATAAATCTAAATCTTATCAGGTTATTAAACAAAAATAAATAAAATAGATAATCCACATTCTAATAATCCACTATAAAAAAAGAAACTCTCTCTGCCAATATATTTTAATAATTAATCAGAGGTGACACCATTCAGCAAATATGCACATCCAAGTAACATATAAGTTATTCCAAAATATAACTCTTTATTTTTCTCACTTGTACAATCACTTACATATGTATTTTAGAGAACAAAATATCCACCTAATCCAGCTCCTAAAAACACGCATCCTATGAGTGTCAGAGGAATCAACATTAATGGATTGCATATTAAATCAACTACGTTGTCTCCATCACATCTTGATACATAAAAAGCAGGTATAAAGCAAGGCAACACTAAAACTGCTTAAAAGACAAATCCATATCTATATTTCATTTTCGTCAAATAAAGAGGAGCTAATATTAACATATTATGTTATAACAATACCAATCAGATTGAAAATTAGATTTACAGTGTATATGCAAATTAATCCTAGTTCACCTAAAGAAGGGTAGTTATTTTATTCAGCTATTTAGGGCAAAAGACTGGCTAAGGCTAAGCATTAAGATAAATGAAATGTTAGAACTAGATTCATATACAAGACTTTTCCTAAGTTTGTATACTTTTTCATAGCAAATTTTAATGACGAACTTTAAATATCAATTTTATTATAAAAACTCTTTATAAGTAAATAAATTATTTTTTTCTATTTTTATCTATCATCTAATAATGCATCTTCTTTTTGATTACCTTTTCAAAAATCAATTATTATTATCTAAATTTCAACAACTGTCTTAAAAAGGACTACATTAAAGTCAAATCACAACCATAAAAAGATTTTAACAATTCTATTGACAGACATCCATCAAATAAGAATCAATAATTTACTATTATAAAGAAGAAAGGGTTCATGCTTTTGCACATCAAATGGAAAATATTTTGTTTTGATAATTAAATTCCTAATTTAGATAATTGATGGTATCTAAAATTTTTTTTTAATGTTAGCTCTTTTAGAACATTAATTTTCTATTAAATTAATCCAACTGCTTTTAAATTTAATTTTTATTGATATTATACACTTCCAATCCCATTTAGTAATTTTAGAAAAATCTTCCTTTGGTTGCTAGAACAATAATTAATAAAGTATCCAAAGTTTTCAAGAGAATCAAGATCTCAAAAATAACCCCAGCATTCAACTTCTGTTTTGAAGTTTAGCTGCTTCCATTTAATTTTAATCAAATTTATTATATAAAATAAAAATTTCGTCTATTTTAACAGAATCTAAATGTAAATATGTAAAAGAAATATTATGATAATTCTGGCTAGTGTTCTATTTAACTTAAAGGCTCTGGCAAATAAATTGATTAATGAAAATGGCCGAAGCGCTTATATAGAAAATAGTAAGATATTAATTGCAGCATCTGAAAAATAAAAAAAAAAGAAAAATTTAATTAACTTTTATTTCTGATGATGTCATTATTCGGGTCACCCAAGGAGTTCTCACCTTCGTTCCCCTAATCCGGTGATAGCGTTCTACACCCATTAGAGTCGAGTGCTGACCATGACCATCAAGGAAGTCAGAAAGAAAGAAAGAAAGAAAGAGGGTAAGATTTAAGAACTCGTACACAGGACACTCCT